CAAGGCGTACGTCTCTACTATACATCGCCTATTTAATGTACCTGTAGTAAACATGCGCTGCCAGTAGTGAATACTCGACATATATGCTACAGGGATAAAAGCAGGTCTAGCCAAGAAAAGATAAACACAGGCGAGGTGCAAACAGTGGCTCACTACGAAAACGCGACCAGCGCATTCAGCATAATACCAAAAGCAATCCAAGGACCAGAAGAATTGAAAGTATACGACGGTGCGGTACTGGATGTGATTGGCGTAGTAGAATCCGGGATCGAGCCATTACCTTGCCGAATCAAAGCGCCGAGCTGATCTTCGCCCTCGACTAAGACCAGGGCCATTCCAGACTAAAGAACAAAGTAACCGTAAGCGTTTGTCCCCCAATTGGGAGTCAGAAAGGAAGGGGAGTTGGTGTTGACAGACCACAATGTGCCACTGGATATGGCAATGAAGTATCCATGCGCCCGGGTTATCAGTGATATAGCTATTGCATCATTAACCACTACATGGCTTGAATTTTTTTTTTTTTTGCTTGCCGGCTTGGACTTTTCACTCACCGAATCGCGAGCCATCCTGCTGATGGTAAATTCGCGGTATCCCTGTACGGTGGGTCGTCGAGGTTGATCAGGGACGACGGCGCTTCTGCTACCGACTGGTAAGGGAATGAGCCACTGCCGGAACCCAGAACCCAAAACTTATGGCCATGAAGGTGCATTGGATGGCCCATCTGATAATGCATGTCAGTGGCTCTACTATGTGCGCGGTAAAATGGTAGAAAGGTAGCACAGGGGGCCGAGTGGGGGGCGCACCGTATCCAACGAGTCATTTGCGATATTCATCACGATATCAACAGTCGAGTTCGCCGGGAAGTGGAGGGTGGTGTTTGAATTCCATCCATCAGACATGTTACCGTAGATGATTGGAATCGATGGTTCAGCATACGGATACCGGTCCACAACCCAGGTGACAATGTCGGTCTGATTGATATTAAAGATTCGCGTGGTATCGGCAGCTGTAACGGGAGGCCTATTACCCTCGAACGGTGCCAGGTGTGATTCTACCAGTTCGTTGGCACCTCGCGTGGCGGAACCGTTTGTCAACATCCAGACAGACATCGGATCAACCGAGACGTCCTGTGTGTCGTTTCTGGCGGTCTACTCAGCGTGTTAATAGCAGCGGCGTGGGATGGAATGCTTTGGATCCACTGACATTATAGGACACTATTGCCTGGCCCTCCAAAACCTGTTGCATATCACCGTTTGGAAAAGTGGCGAATCGAAGGTAGTAGTTGTCAGGAGGCTGGTCAAGCCTTATCATCACAGAATATCGTTGGCCAAGAGCAATTTCAAGGACCTGGCAATGTTAGAAGAAGGTAGTTTGATGACAATAGAAAGGCGAGATCATACCTTGACTTCCTGCAAGTTCACATAGAGTCCATCTGCAGCATAGACATACATTGAGTGGCTGTCAAGGGAGACCTTGAGGTTGCTAACGGCTCCGGAATTCACGAGGTTGAGGGCGAGCCATCCCTGAGACGCATTGGCGTTGACAACCAGCTGTTGGGATGTTGTGTTCACACATGTCTCTGCTGGCAGCGAGGTGATATTGAATCCCGGCTTGAACATCATGGGTGGCATGCAGCCCCGAGGGCTCAACCCCATTGATTCGTCCATGGCGTGGGACTCGCCCATGGTACCCGAGCTGGGCATAGCCATCCCACCTGTTGTGGACATGGTGGACTCTGACGGATTTGCCGTGCTCACCAGAGGCATGGACATCATCTGGTCGTGGGAGTTATCATCGGTGGGATGCTCCATTCTTCTCGCCATCGATGGCATTTCCATTTCCGTAGTGGTCATTGTCGCACTAGGGTTGTGGTGTGTGGCATTGGCTTCGTCCGTGATGCCTAAGCCCGGCCCTGCATCGAGCATATACTTTGGCAGGCATTCTACCCTACCCAGGCCATTGGCTAGAATACTGTCCACACAGTTGGGGAAGGCGCCTGTTTCAAGGTAGCGGCTAAAGATCGTGTCCGATAGCTCGTGCGTCCAGTCGTTCAGGAGGATAGGTACCGCATCCGTTTCCGCCTGCAGCAGCTGTTCACGCTCCGCCCTGCTTGTAGCCAAGTCTTCAAAGGGCCGACGACGAGATGGTGCGGGCCGGATCATGAGGGCCCCTCGTATAGCATCGTTATAGTATGCACGGAAATGAGAATGATACCAGTAAAACCCGTATTCGTCCTTCAAAGAAAATCGGTATGTAAAGTTTCCGCCGGGAGGGATTTGGTACTATGAACCGAGTTAGTCAGACACGGACACTCTCTCCAGCGCTCGAAGGGTGGCACAGGTACCTGCGTTACTCCTGGGACCCCGTCCATGTCCGGTGTTCCACGCTGAAGGATCCCTGGATCCAGGTGCTTAGTTGGGCTGCCAGGTATGCTTTGACGATAACATACCATGCCAATGGATTGTAGTGCTAACTGGCAACTCATTTCGAACAAACACCTCCACATCATCCCCTTCGTCAACTTCAATCAGTGGACCGGGCTGCTTTCCATTGATCAAGTACACTTCACGGGAGTAGCCATCTATTAGTAACTAGAATTAGCTGTCCTGCTCATAAAGCAAGGAATCGGTGCGCAAACCTGGTCTGCGCTGGGCGGTATGAACGGTGAAGTTGAACGTCCGTAGGGCACCAAGAGCGACTTGCACTAAAAGAAGAGTGCATACCGCACCAAGTGGGAATGAAAATCGTGGCATTTGATGGGAAGAAGTCAATCATGAAGAAATCAATGTCCCTGAGAAGGGTCAAATGTCCTTGCGGTCGGAGGAAGTAAATGGAGCCGATTATATTCTCGGAAAAGGTCACACGGGTTCCATGAGGTGTTTTCGCGCATTTTAGCGCGTCTTGGCCAAGTTTTGGCTACTGAACACATGGAGACTGGACGTCCAATGGATTGTGAGGATCTCAGGGCTCAAACAATCAATCAAAGTGACACAGTTTAGAGGGTTCTATACAAAGATACGAGGCATTATCGCGCGGTCTCAAGTTCCTTGGCTGAAAATCTATCTGAGATGGTGCGAAAAGGTCCCATGTGCCTTGAGTGTTTCTCTTGTACCTATCCATTCGGCTGCGGACAAAGATCCAACGATTTAGTCCATCATCTGACGAAGATGTGGAAATATGACTCTCTTGCTGACTTGGCGCTCTAGAAAAGCAGGAATAGGAGCTATTCTGCCTCCTAAGGGTAGTAAGGAAACGAAGCGGCCGGGCGCTAAGAAGAAAAAGCAAGTAGACCAAGCCAGGGGTTGTGTGCCTATGACCATGCCTTCTTTTATTTACCCCGTCTATCTCCTTGGCACAGTCTTCATATACTCTTCTCCAAAAAATCTTGGGTGTCATCCTTGTTGTGAAGCGAGGACCTTGGTGGACGATGGAATCCTTAAAAGAGGACGAAAGACAGTTATCGTAATGGTTTCTATTCTCTAACTCTTTCTGATACACTATTATAAACAAGTCCGACTATCGTGCGCATATCACTTTGCACGGTTTTTTTTTCAAGATCAATTCCATCTTTACCCGTGCTGGAACTTGGAATCCCCGGTGCATTCCCTTGTCAGGATGGACGTGGAACAGTCACGTTCCCTCCAAGGTGATACTAGTGGCATTACGCCTAATACTTGCGAAATCGGAAACGACTATGACGGTCGTATGGGCCTCCGTGTTTCATCTATTTTCGTCATCATGGCTGGCTCGATGACAGCGGCACTTTTCCCTGTGCTGGTGATGCGTTCAAAGACAGTTGGCGCTAAGTGGGAGCGAATCGCACAACGGACATTTTTTATTGCCAAATATTTTGGCTCTGGTGTCATCATTGCGACTGCGTTTATTCATTTGCTGGCTCCAGCGGAAGAGGCTCTAAGGGATGACTGCTTGGCTGGTTCGATCTCGAAGTATCCCTGGGTGGAGGGGATCATTCTCATGACCATTGTTGCCATGTTCCTGGTGGAATCGATGATTATGCGCCATTCATCTCTCGACTCGAGTCAACAGAACGAGATCGTTGATAATGGCGATCGGTGTTTTGGCGACGTTGATACTTCTGGTGGATGGAATCAGGCCAAGCGTCACGCGCTGATGGACGAGAATTTGCGCCATCCCCAGCAATACCAAGACACAGAGATGGCTCGAGGCAACCTGGCATTTGCGGACGACTATGCAGGCCAACTTGTCGGTGTTTTCGTTTTGGAATTTGGGATCATCTTCCATTCCATATTCATAGGCCTTACACTTGCAGTTGCGGGCTCTGAATTCGACACGCTCTACATTGTTCTCACCTTCCACCAGACATTCGAGGGCCTAGGTCTGGGATCCCGCCTCGCCATGATTCCATGGCCGAGTTCCAGGCGCTGGACACCTTACGTTCTGGCCATTGCCTATGGCCTGACTACCCCCATTGCCGTCGCAGTTGGCTTGGGAGTGCGCAATACTTACCCGCCTAGTGCTCGGTCAACACTGATAGTCAACGGCGTTTTTGATGCCATCTCAGCAGGCATTCTTATTTACACTGGCCTTATTGAGTTAATTGCCCGCGATTTCCTGTTCAGCTCATTCATGCGGCGGGCTCCTCTTTGTACTGTTTGGTCCGCAATTCTTCTGCTCTGCCTTGGTGCAGGTCTCATGGCGCTGCTCGGCAGGTGGGCGTAACTATGTATATTAAGACTAAATCTGGGCTGAGTGCTTTGGCATTATTAAGCTAATAATGGGAGGAAACTTCTTGAGGCAAGAATTCGAGAGATGAGAACGAACAACCATAGCTCGTACATTGCGCTAAGATGGGAAATTTGCACCCTGCCACAAAATAGGTAGTTAGAGGCCATTGATATTCCTCCCTTCATCTTATCTTTGCCTTTTTTTTCCCCTTCAGTTTTCAACTTCTTTCTGCAGTCTTTTCCATTCTTCGAGAGGAGTGTGTGGTTCCAGCCCAACCCCACAATGCGATGTTTTTGCGGGTTTTAGTGGCTTGGCAGATGCTTGGCCAGTCAGGGTCTCTGAATATGCCCGCCAAGGAACCTTGAAACTCAAAAGACCGCAAAAATCTCTCACATTGGACTGGGCAAAGGGTTTGGCCAACCCCCCATCCATTTGCTGTTTCGTGATTAATATCAGCTCTCTCCTCTTTCTGCAGAGACTAGCTAGGCTAACAGGGGGCACCACATGTGTGGGATCCAATTATTGACAGGATAAAGTATTGGGGCCTGTAAGAAGGAGTTCCAAGGTTGTCTTCATCGCACACAAGAATCGGCCTCAAACCAGCCCCGCTATTTCGCACCCAGTGCGAGGCTTTTCCTAGGTTTCGATGCCTGCTATGGATAAAGAAATAATATATCATTCCGCGGATCCTGGAAAGTCTAATCGAAGCCCTTTCTACTCACAAGGAGTAGGGGTTGAGGAGATACAGGGGATCTGCTTGAAATATCAGCGAGGGATTATCGCTTGGTTGAGCACTCACGCACCAGCAGCATACTCCAGATCAGGTTCAATTCCTGCGGGCAATTTGAAGGCGCAAATGCCGTATTTTGGCGAGACTGCATAGCTATATAGGGAGAGTAGAGGGCACTTGATTGTACGGCTATATTATCGCCAAATCACTTAAAATGCCTTGCCGCGATTGCTTGGTCCCCGCGAACAAACCTTCCAGACCCTGCGCCGAGAACGAGGGTCTCTCTGGATGCGCTTATCGGTTGATTTTAACGATGCTACCCGAAGTATTTGCGTTACTGTTCAGCTCGTGTTGCTGGCTGCCGGTATGCTCTCCATGCCAAACTTTTACGCGCTTTCCTTGTATTCTGACCACTGGTAGACTGCCCTTTTCCATCCTGACTCTCTCCACCAGCATAGCGCGGAAAGGCTTTACCCGTGGTAATATTTGGCGCGCAATAATTTGTGCTGGTCTACTGGGGTGGGCGCAGTATAGCCAGCGGGATCAGGGTCGTCATAGCTGTCATTAATTTCTACTATCTTGCCGGATCATCTTGATGGGTTGGCTATTATGAAAAAAGGATGATCTTATTTATCGGCAACAGGCTTTCGAGGAGGTTGCTCTAGCTTTGGTATCTTATGGTGGTCCGAAGGACGATACCTAGTAACCTGGATACTACTTCTATTATATGCTATTGCAACTGTTTTGAATGCAATTCTTTACTACTTTCCAAGGAGTCAGGGTCCTGCCGCTAGAGTAGGTCCTTGTCATTGGCAAGAGTTATAGAACTACGGCAAAGTCGATCAAAAACAGAGCGAGAGAACGGCAAGCCTTACGCGGGGACTTTTCTTCCCCATGCTGCCAGGTCAAAGGATGGTAAAGCTGTTAAAGCTGGCGTGCTAGAATTTCAAGGTTTGGCGCGCAAATGGCGCACAAACTTCTCAGTGGCGGTCAATTGGACGCACAATCGGGATATGCCAAGTCATTGTTTCTTGCGGCATTATCGCGCTTCCTGAATCTTCTTTTGAAATACATAACTCATTGCTTTGAAATCAGCTTGGATAATAGACATATAAGATCTAGGTCTTCTATGAAGGACACCCTCAGATATACATTCACCGTACCATACTTGCATCTACAATTATGGCTCCTACTGAGCAGCGTTTGCTACCCGACTCGAGGTTTACAACCATCTTGGTGAACAACCTCCATTGCCCCTCGTGTGTTTCTACAGTGAACGATACCCTATTTTCTCTTAATCCACCCCCTTTCTCCGTGTCGGTGTCCATCGTCCTGCACGAGATTAAGATTGCGCATCCCATTGATCTAAGTCCATCACAAATGGTGCATGCCCTAGAAGACGCCGCCTTTGATATTGACAGCGTTGCTGAATCCAGCGATTCCACAAGCGGTGGCCCTGAGAGTGTGGAGAGTCTTTCAGCGTGGCGCTCAACCCCTCCATCAACCGTCGGGCCCTCCTCCGGCCTGGATCCTCTGCAGGAGTCAGAAAAGCATATCCGGCAATGTAATGCATGTTCTGTACAGCTAGCGACGCAATCATCCAACTTGAGGGACGATCTGCCGGATATGCAAAATAACCTCGGCCCGGTCGCCGAGTCCAGCAGCCCCGGAGACGACCACCTGGTATCTGTCGTCAACGACCATCTGTCGGAAAAGCGCATCCGCGTCACACTATCGATCAGTGGGATGTCTTGCAGTTCGTGTGTCGGGAAGATTACCAACGCTTTGAATAACCAACCATGGGTTCAGTCGGCCGACGTTAATCTACTGACTAGCAGCGCGGTGGTCGTTCTCCTGAACCAGTCGCGTGTGGACGAAGCACTAGAGATAGTCGCAGGCTCCGGCTATTCCGCCAAGCTCATCAATTGTCAAGATATTTTGCCCAAGAGGCACTCGAAACCGCCAGTGTCCGCCGACATGTGGCAAGCCTCCTATGTTATTGGAGGCATGACCTGCAGTTCCTGCATTAAGACAGTTACAGACACGCTCAACTGTTACGAATGGGTTAAAAAAGTGGACGTGAATCTTGTTTCAGGGGGTGCGACAGTCGAAGTTCATGGCAAGGAGCATCTGGAAGAGGTCGCCGCCATCATCAGCGACTTGGGGTATCCCGCTAAACTCGGCAATGTTGAGGGTAGAGCGGCATCCGACCAACGAGCCTTGAACCGGTCCGTCACTATCCAGGTGGACGGGATGCATTGTCCAAACTGCCCCCAGCGAATTTTAGATGCTCTAGCCGTGTTTTCCAATAGGCTCCAGGTGACGGAGTCTCCTCGAAAGGGACATCCGCGGCTCACTATAGCATATACCCCAGACGGGCCCGATTTCACCATTCGGGATATCTTACATGCGATCGCACAGGTGGATAAGGCTTTCAGGGTCTCTATGTACCATCTCCCTAGTCTCGAGGAGCGCTCCCATATGATGCAACGTCGACACATGTGGCGCATCGCCCGACGCCTGCTGCTTTCGGTGTTGATTGCTATTCCAACGTTTATTATTGGGATCGTCTATATGTCTTTAGTACCCCGAGACAATCCCGGGGTCATGTACCTCGAGCAGCCCATCTGGGCCGGTCAGGTCTCACGCATGGAATGGGCGTTGTTTATTATGGCAACCCCGGTTTACTTCTTCGCAGCGGATCTGTTCCACCGTCGGATGATGCGCGAACTTGTGGCACTGTGGCGGCCAGGGAGCAAGACCTCAATCCTCCGCCGATTCTACCGTTTTGGCAGCATGGATATGCTGATGTCTCTGGGTACTACCGTCGCCTACTTTTCCTCCATCGCTATTTTGGGTATCAATGCCACTCAGCCCGTTGACGGCCACAGAGTCACCCATGTTGAGTCATTCTTCGACTCTGTCGTTTTCCTCACAATGTTCCTCTTGATTGGTCGATTGCTCGAGGCTTACAGCAAGGCTAAGGCCGGAGATGCCGTCAGCTTACTAGGCAAGTTGCGTCCGACGACGGCGGTTTTGGTTGCGTCGAAGAGGATAGAGCACTCTTCCCCATCTGCTGCTACACCGCAGACAGTCCCGATTGATCAGCTGGAGCTTAATGACGTGGTCAGTGTGGCAAATGGTGCCTCTCCACCGTACGACGGTATTGTTGTTGAAGGGAGTTCACAGTTTGACGAGTCGAGTTTGACAGGCGAATCAGAGCCGGTCTCCAAATCCGTCGGCGACGAGGTCTTTTCGGGGACAACTAACCGGGCAAATCCCGTTCTTGTACGCGTCACCCGTCTCTCTGGTGACTCGATGCTGGACCAGATCATCAGCGCTGTTCGCGAAGGACAGGTTCGGAGAGCACCAATCGAGCGCACCGTAGACCTGATCACGGGCTATTTTGTTCCCGTTATTACCCTTATCGCTGTCCTGGACTGGATAATCTGGTTGTCACTAGGTATCTCCGGCCGCTTGCCGACGTCCTGGCTGGAGGGCGAGGCCGGTGGATGGGAATTCTGGTCGTTGCAGTTCGCTATTTCAGTCTTCGTTGTTGCTTGTCCATGTGGGATTGGACTTGCAGCCCCGACCGCACTGTTTGTCGGCGGAGGGCTTGCTGCTCAGCATGGAATTCTAGTTAAAGGAGGGGGGGGAAGCGTTTCAAGAGGCTAGTCAGCTAGATTGCATTGTCTTTGACAAGACAGGCACGATTACTGAAGGTGTCCAGCCGTCAGTCACCAACCACAAAACCACCCATGAAGAATACATTGATGAGGTTTGGGGCGCGGTGGTAACACTCGAGCAGAAAAGCACTCACCCGATTGCTCAGGCGATGGCGTCCTTTGCTGACTCCAAGAGACCGCCGGCCCTCACAGCCTCAGCTGCTGACGAGATTCCCGGAAAGGGGATGAAGGGATCCTTCCCTCTTCGTCACCGGCCGTCGTCTACTCTTGACATTATTGTTGGCAACGAGGCCTTAATGCTTGACCATGATATCACTATCTCGTCTGCGAATGCCGCCATCCTTACAGCTTGGAAGCGCGAGGCCAAGTCGGTCGTTCTAATCGGAACCAGAGTCCGAGAAGAACCCGGAGATATGGCAAAGGTGCACTGGGTGCTTTCTGTGATGCTGGCTGTAGCTGATCCCGTCCGGTCAGAGGCCAAAGAGGTCCTGCAGGCTCTTCGCAGTAGGGGAATTTCGGTTTGGATGATTTCAGGAGACAACCCAACAACGGCTCATGCAGTTGGTAAAATGGTCGGAATCTCCTCGAAGAATATCATCGCCGGAGTTTTGCCTGAGCAAAAGGCAGAGAAGATACGATATCTCCAGAAGACGGTGCCGAGACCCTCCAAGAGGAGATTATTCCACTGGGGGAGAGAACCAAGGCGCACCCGACCACTTGTTGCTATGGTTGGCGATGGAATTAATGACTCCCCCGCGCTGACAGTGGCTGACGTTGGTATTGCAATCGGATCTGGCTCAGAGATTGCAATCTCGTCGGCGGAATTCGTCCTCATATCTTCTAGCCTGACATCGCTCCTGACTCTTATTGATCTTAGTCGCATTGTGTTCAACAGAGTCAAGTACAACTTCTGTTGGGCTCTAGTATACAATTGCATCGCTATCCCGGTGGCTGCTGGTGTCTTCTACCCCATTGTGAGCAATGGCAATCACATTCGGCTGGACCCTGTTTGGGCTAGTTTGGCGATGGCATTGAGCAGTGTCAGTGTTGTTTGCAGCAGTCTGTTGATGAGGACTCGACTGCCGTTGGTTGGTTTCACGTCAAATAAATAGAGAACCGGGGTCATGCTCGGACTTGTTTCACGTTTATTCTTCTTTTGTGTCATTGAAAAGACCGGCCATCCTGAGAAAGATTTGAGTGAAGGTTCCCGTGCTAATGACCTTTTCCCTGGCCGTTGCAGTGTCCAATTTAATATGCTGTAACCTTCCACCATGGAACTAGCCTACAGCAAGCTTGATGAGTATGTCAGGACGCAAAGTATCTGAGCGGTATCAATTCAGAAGCATCGCAATATGTCTGCAGGACTAGGAACGTATATGCAGTAGCATATACAGAAATACAAACAAACAATTTATTAACGCCCGGCGGCTAAGCCGAAAGGGCAACTATCACTTATCTACTAGTACATGTCCTAAGATGTGCCTTGTCTCCTTGTGGCCCATACAAAATCACTGTTAACATATGTCGTGCCGCCTATCAGTATCGTAGGAGATTCTCGTGGGTTAGTAATTTTGTTAGTAGGCTAGCTTGAAGGCGCTTCTCCAAGTGTTCAACATCCTATCTTCGGCAGTTGAAGCGCGTCTACCATGTCTGGCACGAGGTGGTTGGTGTGAGTTAGCTCGGGAAGGGTGGGTGATTTGTGTTCAACAATATGGTTAAGCGACGTCGAGTCGGCCGGTGGCGATTGCAAACCATATTGACGCTCGTACCGCTTCCAAGTTTGGAGTCCAGTCTTGATTATCCGAGGGCGATTTCCCGCCTAGGAAGAAGGATATGTTGCCTCGGTGGGTGCTGGTACATTGCAGCATTTCTGTCCGATGTGTCGTCCATCTCCGACATCAAAAGAGAAAGTGCTCTACTGTCTCTCTTGCTTGTCCGCATTCACACTGATCCGTTTGCGCAACGTTGATTCGATAAAGGTATCCGTTTAATCTTGCCATGCCTGTTCGGAGCTGGGCCAGCACGCTCGCTTCTTTCCCTGATAGTCGATCATACAGCTGTCGAGTATGCTTGCCTGGGAGGGCCGCGTCGACCCTCTTCACGTGTTTGCCTACTTTCTCGGGCAAGCCTTTGCTGGTGTCTTGTTGGGATCGTGCGATGTTGAGAGTGGTTGATTTCATCCTGGGGAGCTGTGTGTATGGCATGGGGTCCTCTTGGGTCGCTGCCCTGGCCTGCACTTTGGCAAGGCTACAGAAATACAGTACTTGTCAATAAGCGACTTTTGCTGAAAGGCGATAGGCAATAGTTCAGAATGGAGCCAGTTATTGAGAGATATCAGGTGCTGACGTTCAGTAATATTTAGGTTTGATCCTGGTAATGCAATATCAAGAATTTAAGGAGCAATATTAGTTACAATGACAGATATGTCTCCTAGAATCCCGTTGTTAGGGATATCAGAGACGTCGACGAGATACTTCTCACTTTTAACATCTGTCACCTCAAAATAATTTCCAGTCAGGGCCCAGGGACCCCTCCAGTGCAGCGATGCTATTCGAGTATCTCCATCGTATAGATCCAAGCTGCCCTTGACTCCTGAACGGTAGACTGCACTTCCACAGAATGATACTGTCCCTTCCTCTCCATGACTTATCACCAACTTATTCACATCTTCGGGCGCTATTAGGGTTGGTTTCTGGCCTTTTTTGTATGGTTCACCACTGTCATGAAGGTTACTATGACTTCCCAAAAATAGGAGGATCATTCAATTACCGTGCCACTAAAGTGTTCCTGACCGTAATATCACCGCCTAGGTGTATATTATTTTTGACAATAATTGAAAGACGTTGTGTGAAATGGTCCCCCATTGCTCAGGCTTCTAGTAATATTACTATTTGCTGAGAATGTGTGAAGTTATGATGTCCTGTTGAACATTAGTGGCTTTAATATCTGATCCTGAGCTGTTTTTGCGTTGTATGTTACGTTGACGTCCTAACTTGGAATTTAAAAATAAAGCATGTGATATACTTTTGCCGCCCGCCTTCCTAATTTAGCCAATCAGTAAGCCGGACTTCTGCGCGATTTGTGCCCTCTGTCTAGACCTACCTTGGGTAGCGACTATTGATTCGTCAAGCATGCAAGGATACGGCGGCCACAAGGGTGACCACATGCGAATCCTTGACTGTTTTGGGTTGAATTGGCCTGAGACTCTACGCAGTGCTAGGAGTTAGGCACACCGTTCCCCGGCAAAGAGAGGCTGTGCTCCCGGTCGGAGGGCACAGCCACTGTTAGCACACAAGAGTGGGCGGTTGTGATCGCACGATTCTTCGTCCGGTCCGATATTGACCCGAGGACTGTATTTCAGCCACGCGTGACTCACGTGAGTGGCTGAGTGAGAGGCAGCGCAACTTATCCATGCCAACCTGCCTGTTTCTGCTTTTCCCAGCAGATTGAAATCCTGCTTTCGAGATGCCGCTGGGGCAAGGCGGCATCAAGATTTTCTTGAGATGTTCTAAATTTCTCAGAGCCAACGATCTTATTGCCGGATCCGGGCAACCTTACGCGACAGATCTTCGATCGGCTTCTGAAGCACGATAATCTCACCCAGGTTTCACGTCGCCGATTCAGGCTTGCTGCTTGTATTAAAGTTGTCCTTGATCATGCTTCATCTAAGAATGCATACTTGACTCTTACCTCTCCTAATTGTATGCGGCTTGTTGCATGAGAACTGATAATAACTCCGACAATGATGGTACTCTGTCAGATAAGCCCTATCGTTCCTGCTTAGGACCGGAGGTCTTAAGGTATTCTTATATCAAAGAGAGAAGACTGCTCCTTAACGAACTAAAAAGGTGAACTGGATTTCTAAAAGGTAGTGTAGCTTAGATTCTAAAGATAGCAGATAGTTACTAGTACTAATTATATACAAGAACAAGTGTCCTTAATACTGAATCCTATTATATCTATTATAGCCTTTTAGCTCTAATGGCTATGAGCCCTGTCATAGTCCTTATAGTTTTTTAGCTTGGATGGCTATAACCATAGTCCTGTTTTGGCCTAGTATTGGACCCTTAGTTTAATTAGTTAGAACATCCTAAGATTCCAGTGCTAACGTGACATCTTATTAATTCGTGATGTCCCGTCACCTTTATAATCTTTCAAGGCAGATTTATTAGCTAACAGCATCCTATGTCTTAGCATAGCTCTCTAATATCCCCCTCTTTCAAGGTCTTTGTCCTAAAGACATAAGTAGCGCAGTATCCTTAGATAAGTAAGGTCCCTTTACCAAATCCCTTTGTCTCCCATGTGCTTTTCAGGTACTACTTTGCAATATCTTCCAAGTCTAATATAAACAAGAACAGGCTTAACCATCATACAGCAAAAATTGTGAGCCTACCGAAGTATCATCTCAACTTTATATTCTTGGAAACAATATCCTTTACATCATATTCTTCAGAGGTTTTTGGGCATCCTCGTATCGGCATCCCTGCTTTTCACTAACATCGCCTGACTCACGGTTCTCAAACCATGCTTCAAACCGTTTACTCAAGTGAACATACTGCTGGTGGTCATCGTTACTACAGTCAAGCATTTTCCAGTCCTACGTACCTCCAGCCTTCTGTTGCCCCTTAAGCCTTCGTCAGCGCCAAGCAACTCAATCATGACGGTATGTCTCACTGATATGCGGGTAGACTATATTTACTAAAGATAACCATAGCGTTCTTTATCCTTGGACCTTTCAAGTGCTCGTATTACAGAGATTCTTCCAGCTCCCAACGTCGCTCCAGCCTGCCACATCTGCTACCGCAGGGGCACTAAAGAAAAAACTTTGACGGCCTAACCGCAATGGAAACGCTGGCCGCCCTTACTGGAAGTGCCGTCCTTGTGATAAGTTTTTATACTTCATGGACGAGCGAGGCAATGATCCCTCAAATCCACCGTCATTGTAATACTCTAAGCAAGCGACAGGTGGCTGGACTGCATAAGAAGGTTTCACGTGGTCTGCATTTCGTGTGTTGAGAGGGAAAATGTGGTTTCTACATATAATATAGGGCTTGGCATTAGGGGGTTGTGAAACGTGGACTATTATTGAGAAAGAGCGCATATAATAGAGAAGAACGATCTGCTAGACCCTCAGCCTTTCATCCAACTTATTTTATCCCTCCCTTCACAAGGGTTCTGATGGACAGTCAACACTATTCACAGCTACCACGCTCTCCACAAACTCCTCGTCCGAATTAGATAGCTCCAGGCACTCTTCTAGTATTCTCTCTTTTCCCTTACCTTCTTCTTTGGTCGGGACCCTTAGGTTAAAATAATGAGCGACTTTTTCAAGACTTTTATTAATATTGTTTAGACATTGTTGGTCACCATGTACTATTATTTTGATAACATCTGTTCCCGCCTGTCTAAAGCAGCACGTTTAGTCTGTATTTCCTTTATCTTAGCAAGATATCTTCCTTTAAGATGGTTCTTATTTTGCTAAAGCTCCTTGATTGCTGTTTTTAACTCCTTGCGTAGCCTGGAGACTCTCTTTGCATGATTAACCTTGTCTAAAGTCTTGATAAAAGTTGTGTGTTCTCTGCCACATGTTGCACCCCAATAGAAGTCTTTTAAAGTTGGTGAATTGTAGAGTGCCTTAATTAAAGTTGCTAGATAACTTGTCTAGAGGCTTCTTCGTGGTAACTAGCTCACAAGAATATTGGGAAGAGACTTAATCTACTTAGTAAGTTCCACTGCCTCTAGGCAGTCCTAGCTATTCTTGACCAAGAGCTGAGGGAAGTGTCTTTGAGCATATGTAAAGCAACTTTCTTCCACTAATCTCTGAATACTGGTTGTAATGATATGTTAACTTTGGTAGTGTATGTAGACAGGGTAAAGACTTGGAGTTAAATTATCTGTACCAATCCTTGTCTTGGAAGCCTAATAGTATATATTAGAAATAACCCTAAGTTTACTTTTATAAAGTACTAACTGACAGGTTCTTCCTTTTCCTTAATGGTTGGTTGCGTCTGGGATCTGATTATACTGTCTTTTGAACCGTGCTTTTCGGAAATCTCCCTTGATGTATTCGCAACGTCTCTTGCTGCCTCTATTTCTGATGCTTCTTGCTTAGCGCTCTGAGCAGCTGACACGAACAGCTCGGGAAATTGGATCTTCGCCTGTAAGTTTGAGTGGAAAATTTCGTCGTTAAGAAGCCTTTTGGTAATGTTGTATGTGTGGTCTATATTATATTCTTGGAGAATATCTGTTAGGGCAGGCTGGTCCTATTGGATCAAACTTATCACTTGCTTCTGTTTGCGGACCATGGAGTTAGGGCCGCGAAAAATGTGCTGGTAGGCTAGGTAAACTAGCCTTTTATCAGGGTTGCTGTGCGCTATTTTTAAGGATAAGGGCTTAGATTTGCGAGAGCAAGAGAGAATAAAGGTTGAATATTATACATCAGCCAGCTTCCGCAAACGGCCAAAGAGCCTCTGGAGAATCCGCTTTCGCCTTTTGGGTGTCAAGTGTTCACTCGAGTTATAATGAATGTTAGCTAACTGAGAACCACAAGCTATAAAATTGCCAACGTGAAAATTTAAAGTTTCTCGCAGACCTGGGTCTCGAGCTGAAGTAACCTAGGGAATGGAATTTCCTCCTACTTTAACATAGTTATTAATGGCCGTGTTTCCTTAACGAGCTTTCCTTTACTGTATTTACTTGTAAGTATCCTGACTTGATGCTTGCAAGCACACTTAAACCCTGCTGTAGAAGCTGATTGAATCAAAGGCTCTGGTCGAACATTCAGTTTCTTGCCTGCAAGACTGATCAAGCGAGGCAAGAGGCATCTCCAGGCAGCAGCATGCATTCTAGCGCCGATTTTGTGGCGATGCCTATTGACTAGATTAGCTAGTGCTCCAAGCGATGAATCCCGTAGCCAATGTGAAGGGAATATTGGTCAATAGTGGAAATTAGAGTTCAGCTAAATGATTATATAGGCAGGTCTCGCGAGACCGGCGAGCGCAGGGTGAGAAGCTCAACCCTGTCTATTGCGCACTCACCCAGCTCACCCGCGTCTCACCCAAGTCGCGCGACCATAAAGCGGCCTCACCCTAAGCTCACCCAGGCGGCAGCCACCCGACTTCTGGCCACGCTTAAGCCACACGCCGGTAGGTTAGTAGTATGGTGGGTGACCACATGCGAATCCCTACTGTTGTATGTTTTTTGCTCACCCATTTTTTTTTTCTCTCGTGTTGTACTCGGTTTACGACTCCAAGAATTTGGCCTACCACGAGCGCCGAACAGCGTCTGTTGTAGGCTCAAGATGATCGTGTGGTTACCGCACACCCAAGCAAGGCTCTCAATGCGAAAAGTATTTATTATCGACCTGAATGCCATGTCCTAGCAGGACTGTGACTCGTCTAGAGCTGTATGAGGAACTAGTTACACGGAAAGACGTTACATCCGCTCCAGTACCACCTGGCATAGCACGAGCACCCACTGGCCTGGGCATCTTGTATTCCATTTCCAACCCCGGGTATCCGGCCACCGGTCCCAATGCATATCATCCCGGGATCCTGCCCGAGCTGGATAACCTGAGAGCATTTGAGACGATAAACTTTGCGGACTATGACGGACTGCATGCGCTTAGGCAGTTTGTCAATGTGAATCGGGTCGCTTTGGGGCTGGATCTGGTTGAGCGTACGGATCCTCGCTGGCGCTAGATAGGGGCAGGTATCTTCTTTATGGAGTACCTGGAAAGGGGCTTTTTTCTTACAGTAGCATTCTGCTTATAGATCCATCTCCTTTATCTTCTTAGGCGAATTTCCCCCTCTGGGGAGCCACCACTCCAGTCCCCTCATGTTAGTCTTGTTCCCTAAGTAAGATTGCCGAAAAGCTATTTGGACCCTTCATCCTCACTCCACCACAAACTTAACCGTAAGATCCACTCGAAATTCGATATCTACCGGCTGAAGCGACAGTCCCAGGTCTCCCGACGAAGAGTACGAATGCCTCCCCTCATTATACACATCCATCACACGGAATCCATCACCGCCATCCTTCGCACCCCCACTCCCACTACTCTCCAAAACCTCCACAGCCTCAACACTCCTATTCTCCTTCCCAAACCCACGCGCATAATCCTGTGCCCGGGCCAAAGCATCCCGACACGCCAGCGTCCTCGCCTCCCGCGAAACAACCTCCTTCGTCGCATCAGTAAGACTCCAGTCCACACCCACGAGCTGCACAAAATCCATACTGCTGAGCTGCGCCGCGAGCGAAGCGAGCGCCTTGAACTCCACGAATTCAATTTCAACACTCGTTGAGACGGCGTGGTACCGGCTCGCTTTGGACAGGCTCTCGGAGCGCATGTATGTGGAGGATGTCGGGGTGCCCATTGTCCATTTTAGGACTGGAGTCACGCCGCCACTCGTGGCTGATTTGGGTGTGAGCGTTGAAAGGATGTTTTGAAGCCTTGCAGTAGCGTTTTGGACGTTTGATGCGACTGTTGCGGGCTTTGGGCCTGTGTCTTTTATGGCGAGCCGGAGGAGGGCGCGTTCGGCGGGGTGGGTTTTTGTCGCGCGGCCGGTTGTTGTTATTTTTAGGGGGGCCATGAGTATATGACTGTGGATGAATACCGAGCTGTGTGGTAGGATGGATTTGAACTGTGCCCGGTATTTTGCCGGGGGGGTGACGTTTTTATAACCTTTTTGAGTTTGAATGGTGCCTGGTGATGTCTCGGGGCAGTGCAGGACGCCTCCATTTCAGCCGCAGGCCGTAAGACGGGAGGGCTGAAACTAGACCGAAGCGATCGGGAGGGGCAGATGTCTCGCATTCTGAGTTGAGACAGCACGCTGCTACCCGGTTCCCGATCAACCTTGAGCTTCTTGATCTAAGACATGCGTGGCCGCCTGCACCTCGGCCATGTCTTAGGACTCATGCACGGTAGAATAAGAACCATGCTGGCGCGTGTAGGCAGCGAAGACCAGAGACAGTCCCGGGGGCACGACAGTTTGGTGTGTGGGACTGCAGTAATGCTTGTTTTGACGGCACATTTAGGGAATGAAGATGCTATTCTTGAGTCGCGAAGACCGGACGGGATCGACATGAAAGCTATCTTGGCGGATATAACAGCCCTACTCCGTACACTGTCGAGAATATATATATATGGGACTGATTACTGTAATAAACCTGATTCGCCTGAATGAGTCGGAGTCGGGGCATACTTGGACTACTTCAAACAACACCATGACACCATTAACAAGAATCTATAACCTCCACGACCCTAACAGACTGTGCAAGATGACAATGTAGGGCTATGACGACGGACCCACACGCCCAGCCGGAAGCTCGGCAAGAGGCTCCTCCGAAGCCCATCACGTGCCCATCACTAATCGGCTGGTCAGCAATCAGAAAAACCACGTCAGGTTTTTGACGTCACCCGCAGGGACCCGAAAAAATGGCCTGACAGGAAACTCAAAAAACACGCCAGATGTCCAGCCCTGCTGTTTATTGACGACCAAAGGAGGTGGAAGTTCCTGTTGGGGCGGGAGGTCCAACATAAAGTCAACACAACAACACCCAGCCAGCACGCCGGCGCTGTAGCCCGCGGTTGCCAACAAGCAAGCCTCAGGCGCAGAAAAGAGAAATTCCTTGAAATGCCCACCCTCTCCAAGGAACTCCCGCCCTACACCGGCCCATACCGCGTCGGCGCAATCGACATCGAAGCCCCCTGCGACGGCCGCCTGGTGCATGCCGCCACATATCTCCACGACGGCGAGGCCGCATTTCAACTGGACACGGTCCTATTCACAGTCTACTACCCGGCCGACGCCGACGCCCCGTCCACAAAGCCGCGGCACAGATGGCTTCTGGAACCTGCACGGCTGCGCGGCGAGGGGTTTGCCCGCTTTGTGAATATCTCGAACTGGGTCGTCGATCGCATTTTTGCGTTTTTTCTCTGGGCGCTTGTGGGGAGTATTCGCATTCCGGCTGATGTCGATGTTCCGCTGAGGGATCCGGATGCGTCGGGGTCGGTTTCAGATGCGAGGTCGAGGTTCGGGTCGAGTCGGTTGGATGTGAGTAGTGCGAGTACGGAGCATCTACTGGGCACGCACCTCGAGCGTGCGAACGATAGTGGCGGGTCGACGATCCGGTATCCGGTCGTCGTGTTTAGCCATGGCATGGCGGCGTCGCGGACGGATTATACGCAGCTCTGTGGTGAGCTCGCCTCGCGCGGGTATATTGTTGCTGCGATTGAGCACCGCGACGGTAGCGGGCCGGGAAGCGTGGTTCGTCGTGGCGGAGGGCGACAGGGGACGGTACTCCCGACAGATATCCACACGCATGGACACGGACACGGACATATCCATCGACACAAACGTGTCCGAAGCATGCGGAATGTTTTGCACTTCAGCTCGCACCACCTGCAGCATAGCCCGCCGCTCGACAAGGAGGCGCTACAGCGCGCACAACTCGCCTTCAGGCAGGCGGAGATGGAGGAAACGGTCCGGGTTCTTCGCATGCTAAACGCAGGCGGGGGACACAGCGTCTTCCGACATAATTCCCGCGGCGAGGGAACGCATCTCGCTGGGTGGCGCGGGCGGCTCGACATCGAGCGGATGGTATTAGCTGGGCATTCGTACGGCGCAACGGGAGCTCTGCGTGCGTGCGCGCCGCCTGAAGACCCAACCCCGCCATCAGACTCGGCCTCACAATCAGCATCCGCATCAGCCTCGACACCAGCATCAACGTCACAATCAACCCCCTCAATCCCCACAATCCCCGCCGTCCCACCACGCCCCATCCGCCCCCTCCCCATAGCCGGCTGCATCGCTCTCGACCCCGGAAAGGCCTCCGGCCCGTTGAACGCCGACATCCCCGTCCCCCTCTTGATAATTCACTCGCACAGCTGGTCCCGCAAAATCAGCCTCTTCATGGGCCGTCCCCACTTTGACGTCGTGCGCGACCTCGCCCTCGCCTGTCTCCGGCGCACAGGCGCCGCCTGGTTCATGACGAGTCTCGGGACGAGTCACCCCTCTTGCACTGACGCGCCAATCATCCAGCCTCTGATCCTCGGCTGGGCGACGGGGGCGACGATTGAGGCGCGCGAGGGCGTTTTGCAGTATGTGAGGAGGATCCAGGAGTTTATTGATTACGTGATTGTTGGGGAGAGGTGGGGGCTGCTCGCCAAGGGGGTTACGCATGAAGCGTATCGCGAGGAGGTGCTTGTGCCGTGGAAGAAGTTTTATGGGCCGAGGGATTGGAAGAAGGATTGGCAGATTCATGTTGCGCCGGAGGATGAGGCGGAGAGGAGGAGTCGGAGTGCGAGTGGGAGAGGAACTGGGGTAGGGAAGGCTGTCTCGGTTGGTGGGGGGATAGGGGAGCGAGGGGATGATTTCGAGTTGGGAGAGATGAGGCCTGTGTCGACCATAGAGGGTTCGAGTGGATATGGCGATGTCGAGGTAGATCTCGGACATCGCCGGAGTATATAGCTCTTTGGGCCTAAAGTGTAAATTTAGCGTTGATATATATTGAGAATTGAATCGCGTGTAGGAAAGCACTCCGTTTTGAGGTAATTGGTAAAATTCTGCGGATTTCATGACTGGCAAGGTGGAGGAAGAGGGAAGCTATCTTATATCCTTTACCCTTGCATTTAGTAGAAGTTGTATGCAATAACAGAACCAAAATACTCCTTCTTCACCTCGCTGGATATGGATATACCCAGCTTAAGCCCATACTGACTGTTATGTTTTGCCGGAGAAGTCTGATAGTAGTAGTAGTAGGTCTGGATTGCACGTAGCTTCCATCAGTAAATCCGGCGAGACAGTTATCTCGTCGCCAGCCCGACTTAGAAGCAGCCTAACGCATTGGCCGTTAAGCAACCTGATGACGAATGCCACAGACTCTAGACCCACGGGCCTTTAGATTTGCCCATGCGCTAACAGCAGTCTTGCGACTTCCTGCCCACAAGCGATGTTTGCTGTAGCTTCTTCCAGCACCCCTATTGTCACTAAGGTTATGTCCGCTCTATGCTGTAAAATGACACTGATGATGCGTTCTCCGCAACCTGCGTTTTTGGCGACGATGCAGAGTGCCTTGTCCGTGATCTCGAGATCATTGCCCCACCCGCCCAGCAGAAGCTTGATCGCACCACGTCCACATTCGCCAGTGCTACCATTAGAGACCGAGGCAGCCTGCCGCGGTCTCCACTGTGGAAGAGGCGAGGTATATGGCATGGGCCTCGCACTAGCCACACCGGGCCTGCCTTCTTGGATTCCCAGAGGGTCTCGTAATAACCGTGTTGTACCTAGCTGGAACCTGGCAAACATGGTTTCTCCTGATCCGATGGATCTGTTATCACAATCTCATGTTCTTGCGCCCTACGGGACAGGACAGTCCTTGATTAGTAAAACCTTACCTTCCCAGCCTATAAACCCATGCTCGTGCGATTAAAGTGGGCTTTGAAGTAATCAGCATAATACGGCGCGTCGTGTTCTAGTTCCAAGAATACAGAAATCTTGATAATAAGCTGTTACCTCGCCCAATCAATACATAGACGAAACGATGGAGCAATAAGCGTAGACGCAAATGGTTCTCCAGTTATCAAGCCACTTCTCAAGTCTATCTGCTTGGTAAGCGGATTTACGACCCGCTTTATCTGCTCGGGATATCCTCAGCTGCCCCAACGTACTGACGAACTGGCCTCGCCCACAGAATCGCCAGGGGTTGACCATGGCCAAGACCGAGGCTAAACCTTGGGACTTGGAAGGAACTGCGCGGTCCTGTATATGATTGGCCTGTGGCGGCGGCTACGCTAGCGAGATCCACTTTATTAGCTTCAGCGGTGCCGATGGAGAAAAGTCGGATGCCCAGCTGGAGGCACTAACTCACACTGTAGCAACGAAAATTGCGAAGAGAAGCAGGTAGAAACTGGTCTACTTTGCTCTAGAAATGATCTGTAATCAGATACTGTTAGCACGATGGGGATTAATAATGCCACATCGACTTCGTCAAGCAGGGGGAAAAAAAAGTAGCAAAACCCCCTTTCGTCTAGAACTATATATCCAGCTCCTCTGCAAGACCTAGCAAAATCTCGATTTAAATCACGTACAATGCTCTCTTTCCTCTACTCACTCTTCCAGAACTTCTTCATACTCCCCTTCCACCTCCTGACCCTCAATTACTTCATCCAACCGCAACCAACACCCACCACACCCTCCAAAATGAAAAACATCGTCATAATCGGCGGCTCCTACGCGGGCCTGAGCACAGCACACCAAATCCTAAAACAAACCTCCAAGTCGGCCTCGTCTCCAGCAAAAATCACACTCATTAGCCGGGACACGCATCTCTATTGGAATCTCGCCGCCCCGCGCGCCGTGGCGAGTGCTGCAGAAGTTCCCGACGAGAAACTATTCGTCCCTGTTGCGGAGGGGTTCAGGCAGTATCCGAAGAAAGTGTTTGAGCTTGTCCTTGGGAGTGCGGTTGGGGTGGATGTTGCGAGTAAGGAGGTAACTGTTGTTGCTGCTGTTGCAGGTGAGGAAGACGGTGGGAAGAAGATCCACATCAGCTACGACATTCTCGTGTTATGTACGGGCTCCGACACGAAAGTTGCCACGCCGTTCAAGTCGCGGGGGTCGACCGAGGCAACGAAGACCGCGCTGCACGAGTACCAGCGCCTTGTCCGGGCCGCGAAAAGCATACTTGTTGTTGGAGCTGGACCAACGGGCGTGGAGACGGCGGGAGAGTTGGCGTTTGAGTTTGGGAGTGACAAGAAGATTATCTTGGTGCGTCATTCCCCCTCTTCCCCTGGACAAACACCTATACCGTCATAAGCTAACTGCTGTCAATCAACCCACAGGCCTCAGCAACACCAACGATCCTCCCCGGCCCCAACCGTCCACCATCCGTCCCCAAAACCGCCGAATCACAGCTGCGCGCCCTAAACGTCGACGTCCGCCTGAATACAAAAGTTACAAACGAAACCAAACTCGCCGACGGTACCTGGAAGATAACCCTATCCAACGGTGAAGAACTAGTCGTCGACATGTACATCCCGACCTTCGGCGTGAAGCCCAATACCTCGTTCCTCCCCGCCGAAATCCTCGACGCCGACGGTTTTGTGCGGGTAGATCAGTACTTGCGCGTCACGGGGACAAAAGACGTGTATGCGATCGGGGACGTCTCGAATATGCAGGCCCCACAGGCTTTCCATGTCAAGGCGCAGACCAAGTACCTTGCGAAGAGTATTGTTCTGGGTGTTGCGGGGAAGGGAGGTGCTGTGGGGGCGTATAAGGCGTCAGCGTCTGGTGAGTTTTGCCCTTCACGCTATGTACTTGAATTGAAGATGTGTGGAATGGATTTACTAATGCCATTGGCTTCATGCGGGTAGATGTGCTCGCTGTGCAGATCGGGAAGAAGGCTGGGACTGGTCATCTGGGGAGTATGAAGCTGCCTAGCTTCATGGTCGCGTATGCACGCAGAACACTCTTTGTGGAGAATGCTCCCAAGACTGTGGATGGGTCGGCTTGAGAAGTAGGCTTCTCATTGTGTTGGTATTTCCTAGGCTATTAATAATATTAAATCGTCATTCATATCACAGGGACGGGAGCTCAGGGCTTGTATGGTCTCATCGTCATGTACAATTCTAGACGAGGAGCAGGTCACCACACCTCCGTATCGCATCGCCCCATCCGAAACCCGGCGTCTGCCTTCCTATCCACACTTCTTCAAGAGCAGGTAATATCCGACTCCTATGTTTGAGTAATGGCTGTATCACCGGTGCAGCAGAGAGGACCGTCCGTATATACCCCTGCTCCCCATCCTGTCGAGCAACACACCCAATGATAAAAAGAGGAGCAATCATTGCAGACAGAACATTACACGGGACTTCATTTCGAAGTATCTGCATAGCTTCGGAGAGGACACCGCCCAAGCGATCTAACTCTTGAAAACCGTGGACGACAAGATGCAGGTAGATGATGGCCATGTGCGGGAATACCATTGCGGGAATGAAAACTGAGAGAACGGAAGATCCAGATTTCGACTTCGTCGTTTCCTCGACGCCGGACTGGATCTCCGCATGGATAGAGTCGTATTCCTGGAGAAGCCGAGCGCGATCAACCCGCATGCCAAGCCGTTGAGCGTCGGCCATGCGAGCATGCAAATCCGCCGTCCTCCCAATTTGGATGGCGAGCCAGTTTGGACAGCCGACGATCTTCTCAAGCTTTGTCGGAGAGTGAGGGCGGAAAGTCTCGGAGTGCACTTGTAGGAGTGTCGGAGATGCTCCCGAGGTAATAGATGCAATCAGATCAAGCCAGATAATCGTAGCTTCCATGAATCGAAACGTCACAACCTCTTGGACAATCGTGGCGCCGTCGTCCGCGGGGTCGAAGTGGCCCAGAGGCATGCCATGCTGGATTAGGGCTTTTGACTTTTGAGTCAGACCACAGTGGAGTAGTTCGTCCCTGCGGCCTTTCTGGAACATGTCGACTGCTGCGTCGAGATGGATCATCCAGGCTGAGCGGTCGCCGGCGAAGAGCTGATTGGCGTGGTTAGCACCGCTCCTTTAGTACCGACGACAGGAGATACCTCTAAAAAGACTAACTGAACCACCGAAGCAAGCAGCCCCAAGGCGTTATGCGATCTCTCTTTGGTGAACACCTGGACATCTCGAATCGTCCGCTGCACCTCCTCCAAGCACATGGCCAACCGCTCTTCCTTTTTCACGGCGGAAAACACGCGACATTCGGCACTAATCATGGAGAGCCCGCTAATCATGAGATGGTACGAGCTCAGCGCCAGCGCAGCGTGATAGAGCGGCTTTGTCCGCAAGAGCAACTGCAGGAGCCAGCCCCTGCCGCCTTCCAATAAATCTGGCTTGTAGACGGGGTACTGCAGTGGAAATATTTCGTCGAGGAAGTTCATGAGGAGTGTACTCTCCTCTGCGGAGACAGACCCAAGGCTAGAGCCACCCACAGGCGTGCCACCCCCGCCACCAGCCTCATTCTCTGCACTCGGGGTCCCCGCACCCGCACCCGGCGTCTCCGTACCCGGGGGCGTAGCTCTAGGCGCTATCTCCCTACCCCTGCGCACAGTATCACCATTTCCCCTATCAAAAAACCCCTGCTTCCTCCTCGAAGTACTCTTAACAATCTGCTTGAACTCCTGCACAACAGCCTTCTCCTGCGGCCCGCCGTCCATCCACTCCGGTCTCGGCCCGTACCCGTAGCAGGTGATGGAGAGCCATTCACAGGTGGAACATAGAGGCTGGCGCTCGTCGCATTTTTTCTTGCGGAGGCGGCATGTCCAGCAGCCTTGTCTACTGCGGATTAGGCTTTTCATGGTTTGTTGGCTGCAAAAGGACGAGACGTTGCGTTGGGGAATGAATGCGTGATGCAATGGACGTTGGGTTGTCGGAGCTCAGCCGGCTCAGCTAAGCGGTCCGCGGATGAGCAGTGGGCTTGGCAAAGCTTGGAAGAATGGCCATCATGATGGATCCACTACTGGAGGTACATTGAATCTACATGCTGTCGACTTCAACAAGAGGTGCCATCGCAGTTCCGCTGTAGCCACATAAAAAGGCAATACCTCGATGAAGTAACGGTGGAGTGAAATGAATGGGCAGAAGCTCCTTGGGACGCAATGGGTGGAAGGAAGATGCGGGGAGGAGACGCAGTGAACTACGGGGAGACGTCGACTACATAACCCCGGCTTCGAACTATCCGGTATAATTGCTGGGTCGAGAGGGATACCTGGATTTCTCCGAAATACTCTTTTGGCGCGGACCTAGTTGTATTTATCATTTTCTCTTCCTCCGCTGAAGTTGATCGTCAAGCAGCCAGTCCAGTAATGCCCTCTCAAAAAGATGGTGGAGCTGTGCCTGGGAAACCGGCGCCAAAGGGGTTGTTCGATGCCTCATGGCGTTTCCTTTTCGCATCCAGCTGAGCATCCAGAATTGCATCTCCCACGCGTTTTGTAAATTCCTTTTCTATCCCCTTCACTTCCTCATCCACCATTTTGTCCCCATTGCTCTGCAACACCTCTTTCACTGCGTTGTCATCGATATCCCCAATCATCTGCGCCAGACCCTTTTGAGCTGCATCCTTTATTCTCTGCAGTGCAGCCTGTTCTAGCTCGTTCGCTTCCTGCTGCATCTTCAATACCGGCCCAACATCCAGATCATCGCGTATTGTCTTGAATTTCTCGCTTGATTGCCTTCCGGCCTCGTCAACAACGCTGCCCATTTCCTTTTGCGCGACAGCCTGGACAGCCTTCTTGACCAGCTCGACTGCCTTTTGACGAATTCCTTGCCCCTCATCCTCTTTCTTCTCAGGCTCGCTGTGATGTAGCAAACTTGACACATGGTCCTGATCCGCCCGTCTTTTCCTTAATATCTCCTTCATTTGTTCTCCCAAGACACTTTCATCCACCGCCTGGCTAATCTTTGCTTCTGCTTCCTGGACTTCTTTCTCTGCCGCTTCATCGATCTTCTTCCTCGCCTTCTCCTCCACCGCCTGGTGCGGGGTGCCTGGCAGGTTCTTGAAGGCCTTGTCCGTGGTGCTCGCTGCTATATCTTTCACTCTCTGCACTGCCGCCTGTTTTATCTTCTCCGCGGCCTCATTGAGTGCCTCTAATGGGTCCATAATCTCCCCGAAACGTAAGGGATCATATGCTTTCCATGCAGCCTTGGCAACCTCATTTGCAGTCTCTGGGAGCTCGTGCTTTACCGCAGCCTGGATGGCTTTCTGGAGCAGCTGGACCGTATCTGGCAGGGCAACTTGCCACTTCACGTCAGCAACAAGCTTCTGGCATTCCTTTTCCGCATTCGCAATCACCGTATCGGCTGCCTCCTGAATTGCACTCAGCAGAGCGATCTGGGTTGCAAACACTTCTGCAGACCGGTCGTCCTCCAGCTGCTTTTTCACAATATCCTCTACCTCTTTAACGGTGTTCGGCATCGTGTTCTCCAGTGTTTCTTGGACCGCGTCCTTGACCTCTTGCCGTATATCATTACCAATGCTCTGCAATGCAGCATTCTTCGCTTCGGGTGAGGCTTGTTTGACACGTTCCGCCACCTCATCCGTTTGGCTTTTTACTATCTCGTTCGCTTCCGCGGCGAACTCCTTCCGTGCCTTCTCATTTGTGTCCTCAACGAGCTTTTGAGCTTCTTGTCTGATGGTCGTCATAGCATCATCCATGGCCTGTTGCGGGTTATTTGCTGCAGTCGAGTCTCCCGGCCGCTCTTGCTGAGAGTTACCGAAAACCTCCTGTCCTTTCTCTGATGCCGCCTCGCGTAGTGGTTCTAGGGCATTCGGAACTACCTCCTGTAGTTTTGTTCTAACTTCCTCTGCTGTATCCTCTACCAGCTGCGTGGAAACCACCTTGATCAAGTGTTTAAAAGTCTTTCCCTCATCCGACACTACGGTCTTCAGCGCATCCTTGGCGGTGTTTACTGCAGCCTTCAGGTTCCTGACGTACGGTTGGATCTGCCCTTTGACATAATCTTCGCCTTTTCCATTGCGAAGCGAATCGACAACGATATCCCCAATCCTAAATGAAAGTCATTAGCAAAGACACAAGAGAAAAGGAAGAAAAAGCGAATGAACTGACAGTTTCAGCTCCTTTTTTCCAAGTGTTGTGGCCCCGCTCTTTGCTAATAGGCGTATCACCCCGGCGAAAACCTCGTCGAGGCCAGTTTCTGTGAGTGCATCCGCGAGAAATTCATCAAACGCAGCCCCAATCTCTCCGATCGGTATTCCAACAACGGCAAGAATCTGGCTTTCCAGGATTTTGCACACGCTGACTGCACAGAGTTCAGCTCTTATATTTGGATCTTTTACCAATAAACCAAACAGGGCTTTGGTATATGGTACGACGAGGTTGGCCATTGAAGATCCAAGAGCCGCCCCAAGGGGCCCGCCTAGAATTCCGCCGGCAATCGACGCTGCCAACACAACTGTGGCATAGGTACATTCTGCCAATGCACGAATACCTTCATCCTAGACGCGGACTTAGCTAATGGCAGAAAGCAGTTAAAGAACATACGCACCGTATCTCCGGAAATGAAGTCCATTTCGGCAATGGTATAACCAAGCAAGGGGACCCCTTCAAGAAACCTGAAGAAAGGACCCCGTAGATCGAAAAAGCCGTATTCAATGCTGATAAAGTATAATGGTCAGATAAATGAGATTCCCAGGCTCAAACGGAAACGGGAGCTGAACTGGAACGTACGGATCCTGAATCCAAATGCTTCCATCGTCTCGAACCTGGATATCTTTGTAGAGCTCGTACACATTTTTCAAATATTCCCCATCGTGGCTCCACGATTTCAAGAATGTTACGAATATGAACTCTGGCCAAAGATAGGTCCCTTCGCACGTCGCGCTAAAATACCCGTCCTTCTTTGGCTTGAACTTCCCATCATCGTTCTCGTAATGATAGTCCAAATCAAGCTGTGCGAAATGGAGCCTCCCGTCCTTTCCGATAACAAGGCCACGGAGAATCGAATCACCGGGCTTCAGAACAGGGCAGACCAAAAAAAGCCGAATCTTTGCCGAGCTAATTGCCTTCGGCTATCCTTGTGGGTGCTGCTCACTAAATTGGATGTCCAACCACATATCGTTAAGTTGCGGTGCAGGAGCAGGAACAACCAGTGAAAGATAAAAATTACAGATGCAGGACCAGGCAACATGTGACTTGCCGAAATTTCTTACATCAATGTCAGAATCTAGATGGAGACAGTGTGGCGCCGCAGATCTTCCAAGATGCGCTCCTCGCACAAGTGCTGGAGGGTTCTGATAGTGCTTGGGCCAGCTTAATGTCTCTCGGACCCAGTCCGGCCGAATGAAATGCGGTAGTTCCGAGGAAGTCTCGCCAATAGTGCCTCTCGTACAGACTTGACAGGGCGCTAAAGAGGAGCTAACATGATCCTGATTGGGCCCGCTCGTCATGGTGGAGTACCTCAGCGGGGCAAATCGAGTTGTTTGTTGGCGGTTGCTTCGGCGATCCCGGCATGTCTGTCCTCAGACTTAGGTCCAGTTGAACGCTGGGGGAAAGACAACTTCGCCAAGCATGTTGGTGATATGGGTCTGGACCCTACATTAACATGTTCGAACTAGCAAACAAACGAGCGCTGCTCCGGAGTAATTTCCCAGGCTGGCTAGATTGTGAGTTTACCTTTCTCAAGACAAGCCGAAGGGGCTGGCTGAATGAAGGATTTAGTTCAGCTCATGTACTTGGGCTACAAGCCTACAACAGAGGCGCTGGTGATGAGAAGCGGGCCTTGCGCTCTTGCCTGGCTTGAAGGAATCGCGACGGATTCAAAGAGCGAGGTATAAAAGACGTCTTCCCATCCTTCTACTGCCTGTGAAGGCCTTTGACATTCTTTCCTGAATACCCAACCAGCCTACCGCTTCTTTGCCTACCTCTTATCCTAAACACTTATTATTGCCCGCTTATCGATCGCTGAGTGCCCCGCCGTTTTGCTATACACACCAAAGAAGCAGCCAAGGTCATTGCAGGAGCCAGACGTCATCGAAGATTCACTACCTAGCCGAACGAGCAAAATGGTTCTTGAAAAGGAGAAGGCGCGAGAGAGGAATTTAAAGGCTCAGGCGTCACAGGGCAAGAAGAAGAAAAATAACAAGAGCGGATCAGAATATCAGCGAAATAAGGAGGCCACTGCCGAGATTATGCGCCGAAAGGAGGCAGAGGGTAAGTTGAGTTGAGCCAGTTGAATCGCCTGGTTTTCTTAGCATCATCATGCCTACCTAGATACTGGAGAAACAGAAGCTGGGCCATCCTGGGTTTTGTCATTTGCTTCTTTCTTCATCAAATAGACCGCGGATGCGTTTAATGAAAGCTAACCAGTGTGTTCTCCACTTACAGCAAAAGCCGCTTGATCTGGCAAAACGAAGTGACCTGATCTGGTTTGATGAGTCTTCTGAGGCAGCGAAAGAGTTGGATGCTAGATTGCGCGAATCAGCATGTAGCAGCAGAGATTGGGTTGTTAGTAGCAATATGGACAGCCTTAGGAGCAACACAGAGTGGAATACTATTTTAGCAGCTTAATTAATGTAAACTAGACTATTAGGCCACTATATCAAACCCTTTAAAGGAGCCACCTTTTTAAAGGTTGTATATGCCCAGAACCTATGTTTGATGTTCATCACTAGTATCGCTATATAAGGTTCCTAACATCATGTTAAGACAAACGGCTTACCGTGGGGGATGATGGCCAGTTCGCTCTCCTCCCACCAGACTCCGTGGATGTGGCGGCGCAACTGTGGAACCTCGCCGACTATCAAAGGTGGTTTGCTGTTCGCGGTATATATGAGTGTACTCACCCCCGCTGGGTTTAGCATTTGAAAAGTCTCTTATATGTATAAGCATCTCTCTTGTGGTCGCGGAATAACCAATCCAAAGTAAAGGAGGGATCAATTTGCTTCCGTGGAGATTCTTTGTTTTTTTATTGAACTCGTCAATCCGGACCCACTGCCGGAACTCTCAGTCTGCAACGAAGTAGAGCGTCGATGGACCTGCCTCACTGTGAATGAGGTAGTAGTGGGCTTTGCGACCAAGTACAGAAGAGGGCGATTCGAGCAATGTAATTGTGACCGTGGACACGGGCTACGTGTAGCCTGGTTTTCGGGGGCTGTGTGTATGTATCGGATACATGGGTAGTGAAGAGCCGACTGCAGTAACGGACTAATGAGGGTCACTTTTCTATGGTGTCATGCGTACTTTGCGCCGGGACAGCAGACGCAAAAGAACTAGATTGCCTTATGCTGAGATAGACAGGGTAATGATAAATATATTAAGCAAGATGGAGTTCTAGGCACCATGATTTTGGTACCCACGATCATTCCTGTGCTATCTCAGAACATCGCGCATATAGTATCCGGTCAAGTATGATGCGAGAATTCGCACCTGTTGATAAAAACTGCCCTCGCCGTGGAATTAGATCACTTGACGGCATGCTACGACGTATGCAGCAAGTACGCTCCAATGTCCACCTGAACAGGGGGCCCCATTCCGCTTTCGGCTAGGTCAGGGGTTCGAAGGCATCATGGGTGTTTCGAATCGATCCTGGTTTCAATCAATCAATCCTCCTTGCACGAACAGCCGGAAAACCAGCAAAGATGGCAACGAGGGCTTCTAGAAGCCTTTTACAGGCCAACCGCCGGCTTTGCAGCTTTGCTTGGCCGGGACGACGGAATGCCACCACCGTGTCGGCATTCCGATCGACGGGGCGGATGATCGGCCCGTCCGACTCGGCATGGACTGGAAGTCGATCTCTTCGGCCGCGGCTGAACCCGATTCGATATGCCCATAGTCAAAATACAGACTCAGCCCAGAGAGCGTGGTGGAAAGATTCAAACGTCAACACTAGGGAAACCAGACCCCAAACGCCCAGTCTTCCGCACTGGGAGAACCAGGAGATGCCCGCTCGTAGGTTTTCCACCCACTCCTTGGCCTCAGTCCACCTCGACTAGGGAAATAAGTAAGCGCTCCCCTCTAATTTGACTTGTATAGTGGACTTGCCGATCCCAACGCACGTTGTCTCAAATTTCATGGGCTTTGCGTGCTGGGGCGACCTCCCCAATGGGAAGAAAACCTCGCTGCCGCTGATGCAGCAGGAGGAAGGGATGCTCTGGATGCTGCCGCCGGCCGAGTGGGCGCCAGCGCCCTTCAATACAGGCGCCGAGGCAGTGGGCGCTAGGATCTTCCTGCGTACTACGAACCACGAGGGCATGGAGCGGGTGTCGTTGGTCGGGAAGAATATCCACGCGTTCAAGACATATCTCATGGAGGGACTTGTTCCTCTCTCAGAGGCCCAGTGGAGGGCCAAGGATCTCAACAATCCCGACCGGCTCGAGACTGCCATCGAGTACATCACGGGGGTCAGTGCCGTCTTTGAGTACCTCAGCATCCCGCAGGTCGAAGCCAACCTACGCGAGTCCTTCAACTTGGTCTACGATGACCTGGAGGAGCTAGGAGGCGCGCTTAACGCGCGCCGCCGCATCCATCATCCACACCGGCCAGACCTCGACCTCCCCGCACTCTGGGTGGAATTCATGGCCGCGCGGTACGAGGTCATGACGAGCACCGCGCAGGCCTGGATGATTTCCAAGGTCTCGCAACTCAAGGAACAGCTGCTCGACCGCTTCTGTGCCGTCGCGCAGTTACCGCCCGACCAGGTCACCGCGGAGGAGCGGGGACGACTCGAACAGCTGTGGCAGCTTCTCACGGACATTACGGCCCTGGCCGATGTTGGCGCCTGGATTTTTATGGATACGTACAAGGGGTATAGAGCAACCCCGGGCGCGGGCATTGTGCCTGGGCTACACAATCCTGATATAGATGCACTGGCAAAAGCATACCAGCCGCGCTTAGGGGAGCTGTCTGTCTCGCGACTGAACGAGGTGATCCGGGCGCAGACGAACGCGGGCACATTCGACAGTGCAGGTTCCCTCAGGGAACGCGTCTCCGCGATAACGTACGCGCAGGATAAACTGCGATTGGAGATGCGAGGGCCATCGCCGACGGAGCCTCTGACACCGCCGTGGATTGACTTTCTCATTCGAGACGAGGAGGAAATGCAGAAGATGAAGCCGCAGGTGGAGAAGCATACATTTGGCTTTGCGATCTACGGCGCTGCGGGTAAGCTCTCGGACAATCAGTGGGAAGCCGTGAAACAAAAGGTGGAGGACCATGTTGCTTCTTGGGGAGAGGGGATCAAGGGTGCAGACAAAGGGAAGCCACTGCTTAAGCTGTATTGGCACGACTGCAAGGAGCTTGGTCTCGATGTCAACGATGTCGATTCTCTCAAGAGGTCCGTTCTGACCCTTTCATCTTCTTGAACGGACTGATGCACTAACCCCATACGTCAGCCACTTCCGGGCTGCCCGCGCAGCAGACACCTCCCCGCTGGGTATCGGCATCGAAGAGACCACTTTCCTAGTCCTTGACTCATGGAGCGTAGGCTCCTACACGGACGCGACACGCTCCGAGCCATACCTCAAGGAGAAAACATACCTGCCGGGCGACTTCCAGCCACACCTCCTCGCCGTTGACGCACACTACGTCGCAGACCCCGAGCCACCCGCGACCGAAAGCGAGGGCCAGTCCAATAATACAGACACCGAGACCAGTGATGCTAATGAAAACGACGACTTCCCCACCCTGTTCCCCCAACCACCACCCCCGAAATACACAGGCCACATGCGCATCCTCGGAAACCTCGTCTGGAGCGAGCTGTACGCGCTCGTAGCAAGGAACGCCGCGACGCTCGAGGATCTGTTCCCGCTGGCTTTGGAGCACCCGCAGAAGCTCTACACGGGGCTTACGGTGCCGAGCCAGATCCGGGCGTGGAGGGAGCACACGATGCTTAAGAACTCAATGATGGAGTCGTTTGCCAAGTACCTCGCGAAGAAGGATCCCAAGGCGGCTGAGGCGCTTAGGAGGGCAAGGGAGAAGCATGCTATATAGTTCTGACGGGGGTGAGAGATCGAAAATGTGCAAGGATTGGGGTATTTGTGTTTCTGGGTAGGGTATGTATGATAGTTTAGCCCTACGGGGCATTGCTTGATGAGTGCTGGTATCTATCAAATAGATGAATCTCAAAACTTAAGAACCCGGAGAAAGACACGGTCGCCGAGATCCGCCAAAATGGGAAACCAGCCTTACGAGAACCATGGGTAGCAGAGCATACTCTCGATATGCCTGGTATTCCACCCCCACCCCCAACCTGGAGCACCTGGGGTTCCCCGTTCCCCAACTCCACGTGGTAGTCAGCGTCATGGTTTCCTCCCATGGCGAGATAAACTTCAGTATATTTGTTTTGTTTACTCCAACATTGACCGGCACAAATCTATGACTTTCCCAAACTTCATCCTTGGCGGGCTGTGGAAGGAAGGTTCAGCTGAGCAAACAACTTGACCCCTCGAGCTCCTTCCATCATAGTAAGGCGGGCTTCCCCCCCCCCCACGCAAACAAATTTTGGATGGGTCGGCTGGCTGAAATCGACGATCGCCGTCCGATCGCTTGCTAGATTTCCTCGGCTCCACGCACTAAGATCCTTCGGGTCTTGGGATCTGCATGGCTGAACCAATCTCGATCCGACGGGCCGGGAGAGTTCATGCAGCGTGCTTCAACTTGCATGAACGCTACGTAAGTACGGAGTACTATGCTTCAGATTTGTTCTTCAGAGATCGAGCTGAACTGTGGGGAAATGGGGGGATTGGCGCTGAGGAGACATGCATGGATGCATTTTCGGCACGCGCGAAGGAAAGCTGTCGTCTTATTTCCGATCGCCCGGGCCTCTTTCCCCCACTGCCCTTTTCATTGCTTTAAATTCGGCCGATTTCCATTAGCTGGCCCAGCTCTGTATTGCTCTCATTGATCTTTCCAAATTAACTTCCGGGCAGCATGGTCCTCCTCCGTACCTCCTTCAGGCTCGTTACCCTCCTTGCCCTCCCTCTCGCTTCCTCACTCTTTATTCCTCAGCAAACCCTGGCGGCGGATTCTGAAACCGATTCGCTCAACACCGACCCCACATTTCACGACGATGCCGACTTCAACGTAACCGACTACTACACATCCTCCGACGAGTGGAACCCCACGAAATGGGACTACGACGTTGTTATTGTCGGCGGTGGTCCTGCCGGGCTCGCAGCATCCATGTCGCTCTCTCGCGTTGCGCGGACATCGCTGCTCTATGACTCGCAGGAGTATCGGAATGAGCAGACGCGGTATATGCATGATGTGCTTGGCCAGGACGGTATGTTCCCACCTTTACAATCGCATAAGAGCGCCGCGCCTTTTACGCTCCCTCAGATAGTCTTTTCTAAATGCTGACATGTTTAAACTCCACTACAGGCCAAGTCCCTCTGAAATTCCGCTCCGCCGTCCGCCAACAAATCGAAGAGCACTACCCAAACTACTCCTTCTGGGCAACCCGCAAAACAAAAGTGACGGCAATCGTCCCGCTGGCCAAGGGTTTCCGCGTCTACGACGACAGAAACGGAATCGTAACCGCCAAGCGCGTCATCCTTGCGACAGGAATCACAGATGTCCTGCCCAACAAGCAGGGGTTCGCTGAAGCCTTTGGCCGCGGCATGTTTTGGTGTCCCTGGTGCGATGGACACGACTACAAGGACCGGAAGATGGTTGTTTATGGGAAGTTGGCGAGCGCGATTGGGACGGCGCTGAATATGCGCAAGCTCACGACGGATATCACCATTGTCACTGGGGGACCCCTTACAAAAGAGGATAAAGATGCTGCGGAGGCGCGATGGCCCGGTTGGGAAGCCGTTGTGAAGAACAACTACAAGATCCCAATCCGCGAGAACGACATTGTGCGTGTTGAGCGGACAAACACCGGCATGGAGCCGAGGGACGATGAGTATCGGGTTCATTTTAATGCGGGCGGGCCGCTGGTCACTAATGGGATTATCATCCATGTTGGGACGAGGCAGACGTCGACGCTGCATCAGCAGCTGCGGCTCGAGATGGCAGGGAACTCGGTAAAGGTTAAGGATAATATGGAGTCGAGTATCGGTGGCCTGTACGTGGTTGGAGATGCGAATAGTGATGGGAGCACGAATGCGTACCATGCGATGTGGAGTGCGAAGAGGGCTGCTGTTACTGCTCATGGTATGTTGCTTTCTCTTAACTTATGTGTTGGTATTGTCTCGTGCTAACCAGGCTAGTGTCCATGTCCAAGCAGGAATACCTTGATGAAGTACCCGCGGCCATGGTCGCCGCTGCTGGGGGCGATGAGGAATTCTACCGCGATCAGATTGAGGCACTCGAGTTCCAGCTTGGGGATGACATCGAGCACATGTATAAAGCGCTCGGTGGATAGAGTGGGAAGCAAGGCAAGCTTAGTAGCGAACTAGTACTTGCGCTTTTCACCATGCCTCCAACAAGAATGACATATCCGAGCACTTTAGATGCACCCTACTCGGAGGAGAGGATGTTAGAGCTGGAACTACGTCTATCTACCCAGTAGTTGTTTTTCGACCCCGCTGCCACTCTACGGGGTACTTCAGAGTGCCTTTCTCTGGTTCATGTAACTTGCGTAAAGCTTCTTCTACACCTGGACTTTTGGACTCCCTTGATGAATTTATCATATACATCATCGACTACTGACATAAATCTTACCAACAAGTAGCTCGGAGCAAAAGCTGTGGCGGACTACAATCTAGCCCACCAGTAAAATAGATCTAGGCCCTTGCTCAAGATGGTCTATGTAGTACTAATGACAATCAATACACTGTTGCGTCAAGAGTAGACATCAACATAACAAGCCCGCCATTGCCAAACACCCCGCATGGAGAAACAGCGAGTAATCATATAACCAAGTCAGCTTGTCATAATGTATGCTGTGTCAATACCGTCACCTGGCCCTATCTATCTTGCTGAGAATATATTTGACAGATATAGATAGCGCCTTTGACTCCCTCTCGTTCCCTCCCTCCTCAACCTTTACTACTGTTCTTCTCTCAAGTAATTCGATTACTATTACGACAGGATGCCCGAATACGCCAAGCCCCCATATGAGGTGTTTTCCCTTGATCATGCAAATTTCGGGAAATGTCTGTCCCCCTGTGAAGCGACCACCCTCGGTTTCCCACTGCGCGACTTTATTTCCGTGGATGTTGTACCGAATAAGCCCACAGCCGTGGGGACCCAGAACGCCATGCTGATTGACTACGTATTCTCGACAGGTCCGATGACAACAAGGGGGAGGAAGGATGGTTACTTGAACCAGTTGAAAACACAGAGGCCGAGTATACTTTGCTCTCCGACCCCAGGAATAGGGAGAGGCTTGTTGTTGGTAAGTCCGGTCAAACGACACATATCATATCTCGTTGGGGATATAGCAGGCTATCATAGGGGTATGTAAAATGGGCTTCGTAATACTATAGTTCCCTTTATACAGCGGCCTATGAATATCCTGCAATGTACGTACGTAGTGAACAATTGGCCATTATTCCATAGTCTACCAATCCATCAGACCTCTCAACCCCGTACTCACGACTTTCCCAACCCCTCCTCCTTAATAATACCGCGCAGAACCTCCGCATCGTTCCTATCCCTCGGAAACCTTTCTTCGATCGAGCGAATAACCCCCTCATACCCCTGATCCCTAAGCTCAATACGAACCTCAAACGGTAGAGGATGGCTAATCGTGCCGGGCGTATACTGCGACCTAATGGGCACCTCCTTTCCCTCGCGGACCATCTTACCGATCCGGAACGCAGCGAGAGTCTGTGCGATGGTAAGGAAGATATTGGAGTCTGCTAGCACTCTCCCGGGACAGATGCGGCGGCCAAAGCCGAAGACGTAGTTTCGGGGATCGGGCTCGGGGGTTGCCCCTAGGAACCGTGAGGGGTTGAAAGTCATGGGGCTTGCGTATGAGGTGGGGTCATGGCAGAATGCCCTGTTTTTGCAAGCTGTCAGATTGATATACGGAAATGAGGGGGAGAAACAAAGCCGTGATAAACGCGTAGGGGTAGGGAGGGGAAGCCACTAACCAGATATTAGGAAGAATAAGCGAGCCCTTGGGGATGAGATAACCATTATAGACATCATCTGTTGTGGATCTATGAGGTAAGCCCATCGGCCCGATAGGATGCCAGCGCAAGGCCTCTTTCACGAGAGCGTCGACGTAGGGCAGGCTCTCCCGATCAGCATATGCGGGTAGTCGATCGCGCCCAACAACGCGATCGATCTCATCCTGCGCGCGTGTCTGTACGTCGGGGAAGAGAGCCATTGTAAGGAAGAATGAAAGGATAGTTGAGACCGTCTGTAATGTACTTGGTCAGTATCCTGCGTATGAGATACGCAGAGCTGCGTAGGTGTCGAATATGCAATACATACCGTATCAGCACCACCACCGTACAGCGATCCAGCAGACCACTTGGCATTGACCTCGTCTGCGGATCCGGGCGCTATACGCTCGTCTCGCAGAAGATTGGAGAGAAACGAGGATGTCTCAAAGCCCGGCTGCTTCATGCGCCGTTGCACAAACGCGAATGGAACATCCGCCAGGGCGTTGCTGTGTTTCTGGAAGCGTTGGGCGGTTCGTTGGAAACCGGCGCCTGGGAACCAAGCCGGGATATGTTTTACTAGATAAACGGTTAACCTTGTTGACTTTGATGGGCAGAAGTAAGGGAAACTGACATATTGGCAGCATATCCACCAGCCATTTCCCCGGCTGGACAGCAAGGGAGAACTGCTCCATTGCTTCTTCCGCGAGATCAATGAGGGGATCTGTTCCCTGGTAGTCAATGGAATAACCGTAGGCGATTTTTAAAATCACGGCCCCTGCAAGTCTGTATCCTGGTCAGTAATAAGCCTCTCGCGCAGAATGTCCATAGATGAGGAAGCCAGGCATACTTTCTTACATGCGATACCAACCCCTGCGGCTTATCCATCAACTGAAGCAAAAAGCGAGAGACCTCGGTCTCTTGAACGGTGTTGAACCGCGCCACACTGAGCTTCGAGCCGATCTCGCGGTGCATATGCTTGCGGTATGCATGAAACCGTTTGCCGTACTCAAGCAATACAATGCCGTCTCCCCAGCCGGCTCTAAGTCAATTGATTAATACTGCCCAACGAGAAGACTAGATGATGCTGAAACATACAATCTCGCAAAGGGCATATCCGGCCGATCCGAGTAGATGGCAGACCGCTTATCCAAGAGGTCAACGGCGAGTTGCGCCTCATTAAGGATGATTAGACGTTGGCCGAACACCTGAACAGTGCTGAGTGGACCTGGTGTGATCTATCAGATAGGCTGAATGGGTGGCTTGTAGGGAAAGTAGAATACCATAGAGATCCTTGTGTTTGAGCCAGTGCAGCCACTCCTCGGTGCCAGGCGAAGGTAGGTCGCGCAGATTCCCGACCAGTGGTAGAGGCGTTGGTCCGGGAGGCAATGGGGCACTTGATCCATTCGCTTTGGGCAGAAAGCATTTTATGAATATCATGGCGATGGCCCCGATGGCCAAATAGGCCGTATACTCGTAAGCCATTATGGGCAGATGCAAATTCCGTATGCCGACTACCAAAGTAAGGGCACACCATAAGAAAAAAGAAAAAAAAGTCAAGAACATCAGATCGAGGGCAAAGGGACTGCTTTTATTGCGCACATACGCCCAGGGCCTCTCTTGAGTAATCTTCCCCGTCACTCACAGCGGGAGGAATAATGCGGGCTAGCGGTTCGGTTGTCAGCTTAGGTCAACCCCATACTCTCCTCTTAGTAATGAGCTTTGATTAGTTTCACTTACCCCACTCCTAATCTCTGGCTGCAATAATACTGGTGGCGAGTTGTCCCTTTTAATCGTCCCACCTTGACATTTACATCGTATTGTGCTCAGTCAGGTGCGGTTATGTCCGAGGACATGCCGAGGCTGAGACTGACCAGAGGAGCCTCCAAGGCGCTAACCCTAATAGCCGCAAGGGACCCCCACGAGGACGGAATTGTAGCTAACATCAGGTCAAAAATATCTAGTGCAGACGTTTATACCTCTCCTCGTAACTAAATATCATAATACCTACTAGGCCTCTCCTTCTAGATATGAAAGTGGCCCTGTATTAGACCATCATCACGTCCGTCAAACAGAAGGCGCGACTTCTACTACACAGCTTCAAGACTATACAGAATGTGGAATCTATGACCGTTTCAGAAAGGTCACCATGTGCATCATTGGTCGTTCAAGCTTTTCCGATCAAGGTTTGAATTGGCGCTTCAGTGTGGGAAGACGAGGTCGAGACGCATTCGTGCTTCCAGAGCCCGGTCAACTCTGGGGACCATCGTGTGGTCTATATGGGGCTATCAAAATGGGAAATTGAAGCAGCACAACCCATAGCCCGATGTAGTAATAATTATAGCTAGCCTTGAACTGTGCGGGCGGCCTTGCTAACGCCGCTTCTCTCCTCCTCTCCGGTCTCGACCAAGCATCATTGCGTACTAAGTCATTATTCTCATAGCATAACTTGCACGAAGCGGCGGGCACAGAACTCAACCCCCTACTCGACTTGGTAAACTTGACAACCTTGTTAGCTCCCTGGCTTTCATCCTCCAGCAAGCACCGCTCTCGTCCCAGCACGCTGTCCCTGTCTTGTAAACTAATATATCTGGCGACGTATTATTGCAAATATCACTACCGACAGGATGGACAGCCTGTTGGCTGCTTTTGAATCTTTTGAAAGCCGACGGGCGTATAAGGACACCGATCCGGCGTTTGCGAATCAGGGACCTAAGCACACCGAGGAGAGGGCGCGGACTTTGTGGATTTTGTTTGATAAAGAAAAAGTGCGTAACTTTGGCTGGTGTGGCAATTTTCTTTGCAGAACTTTATCATCCCAGGTCCCGAGGTCTGGAAGCCTTAGGTCTACATTGAAGTACCGGGGTGCTCGGCAAGGTCTGGGGTAGATCATATTCAGCTCCTGCGCAGCCATAACCTGATGGTTCAGGGCAAATAAGCAGTAGTGTCGTTTACGGACTGCATTTGAAGCACACTTTTATCCCGTATTCTTCTAAAATTAGCATGAGGTACTTGACTATCTCACTGGATTTTTGTGCTATTCACGTTAGACTACGGAGTTGGGCCAAGGAATGTAGAGGAAGAATAAAGAATACATGAAGAGATGTTTCAATCGTACTATGATGGTAGTATGTAAAGCTGTCGATACGGATGACGTTCGGTGGTAAACAAGACGACTTATGGTTGAAGATCGCAGGCGTTGAAGCGGGTTGTAGGCGGCCCTTGGCTCCTTCCATAACAGTACGCTCTACAGAGTCTCGTCAAGTAAGATGTAAGATGTAAGCATTAGAAGTCACATGGCTACGTCTTAATATTGTTCGTACACTATAATACATAGGCAGAAGCTGAGTCGCCAGGTCAAAATAGCCAATAAAGTTTCAAACGCTGTGATGCAGGTCAAGCAGTCGGTCCAGGCAAACAGTCCATAAAAGTATCTCTTGCTGTAGAACCACCACCAGTTAGCCTCAGCTCCACAGCCAGAATCAGAACAGACAAAGCGGCAGCACTAACCTATTACATCCCCAAACATAATGGCAACATCACTATGCTCAGTAGGGAACTCCAACTCATCCAAGCAAACCGAGCCGGGAAGCTCCCGGTCGTCGCCACTGGAGCCAGTCTCAGGCTGAGGTAGAGCATACTTTGCATCTCTGATCCGGACGCCGCATTCGCCCTTTTGACCCATCTTTTCGGTCTCGTCTAGTGCGGTTATCCCGAAATTTATGCACTTCCAGTGTCGGAATGAGTGGAAGAACGCGATGATTTGGAATCTTCCGCCCCGCTGGATGAGCTGAACGCGCGCGAGATTGGTGTCCCATTGTTTGATGAGGGGGAGGAGCTTTCGTCGACGGGTTATGAGGAAGCGGGTTGCGAGGCTGGAGAGAGGGATAAAAAGGGCAAGTCAGTCTTTTCTTTTCCTTTCTCATTATCTCTCATGCCTGGGGAATGATATGCATTGCGAGCTACTCACCCGTCAAATCGGACATTGAATCCAGTCACTGCTTCCTGGAACTTGTGGAGGTCTACCGGAATTGGATGACACGGTCAGCTTCTGGTGGAAATAGTGGCGTAACATCAGATCTCTTACCCGTCTGAGTTTTGAATTTGATGATTCTTATGCTGGACTTGGTCTGAATGGAGAGAAGAAGGCTCTTAATTTTGGCGAGGTGGTCCTTGCTAACAAGGTCGTGTGCTACAGTTATGCTCAGATCATCTTGCGGGAGGCGATGAAGATGGATTGTATTGCTGTCGTAGATTGGAAGCGCAATTGTGAGCTGTTTAGGACCTATGTCAATCAATTATCAGTCAATCCAGCTACGATCACTTGGAGACTCTGTATGTAACTCACCAATATTCAGCCGATCCGTGATGGAGCCCCATTCATTCTGAATAACAACCCGCAGGTGCTCCGATAGAATCGTCTTCCCGTAGTGAGCGCCCCTGCTTTCCAGCTCAGCCTCCTCTTCAATAACTAACGCTTGACTTTCCCCGCTATCCAGGTGCTTTGTAGCCTGTGTTTCGGACCCGGGGCCTTGCACGTCGATTACATACGAGCTTATCAAGAACGATTGTGGATCAGTTTCTCCACGGAGCGGGGTCGAATCAAGGAGGAGTGAATGCAGCAGAATGCGCGCGTCGGGATTATCGAGGTAAATGAAGAGTGAACATGTCTCGTCCTTGTCCTTCTCGGCAAGATGCAGGACTAGACCGGGCGACCCGTCTTCGCCATCTACCAAGCTATAAGCCAGCGGGCAGCTGTTCGGCAGGTCATGCGTGACCCGGTGTCGCGCCTTGGTATGTGGAGGAGTCGCGATGACGATGCGGAGTCCACCATGCGCTTTACGTTTTCCTGTCCCCTATGTTACCGTGGTGAGTTTCTTCAGGAGACGCACGCGGCAGTGCGTGACGGGCTTTGCGGGGAACCCGGCAGGCTTGTCGCGGTTGATATACTGGCAAGATTTGGCCGTGTCGTCGAACAGAAGATTCTCGTCCTCGCCGGCAACCATGTCAGTCTCTGTCGCGATAATGTCATGAGTCACCCGTGTCAGCGAGCGCCATCGGAGGAAGGTTCCATGCCTGTCCCCGAATTTGGTCAAGTATAGCACTGTTGTAGACTCCCAATGTCGGACACAATACCCATAATCGTTTATCGAGGTCGACAGTCGCAGAAATATCAGCCTCCGCGCACAGAACCGCCGCTATCCGTCGTTCGTAGCCACGCAGGCATTGAAGTACAGCTTGATATTGGTCGAAGAGCACGCTGTACGGGGTTCCTTTCATTCGGCACGCGGCCATTCTGATCTTGAAGGTATCCTGCATGACGATGTGGTGACATATCCACCAAGCCTTTGCAATATTCACGAGCCCCTGCAGAATTTCCTTGCCTGCTGATTGTTGATCTTCGTCTCGGTCCCCCTCGGTTCCTGTGACGTGCTGCCGGGCCTCCAGTACGGTCTTCCCTTGGACAGTCCACCATATGGCAGCCCTCAGCCAGTCCTGCAGACGAACTTCCTTGATTGGATTGGCTATATTTGCAGATTCACCGAACAGACTACTCAACCGCTCTGTAAGGATTGTTTTGAACTGCTCATCCCAACTCTGTATTTGAGCAAAGCTGGAGACGCGCTGGGGTTGAAGCAGCAGAGTGCTTGTAGGCCGGAATGGTTGGTATTGGGGTGCTTGTTGACCTGTAGACGTAGAATCATCCTGATTAGCAGCAAACTCTGAAAGTATGGCTAGAGCCAACAGACGCACGACGTTGTTCATATCCAGGCCCAGCCGCGAAATAGTCATCGCGCTGCTGCGTCGCTTTGGAACCCTCGCCTGAGCCGCCCAGAGTCAAAAGTGTCCTAAGTTGAGCCTCCACAACCACGATCGGGGCGGGCTCGCTGTTTCCTGGGGAGTCCATCGGATCGATCGAGCGCGGGCTGAGTGGTTTGCGATCCATGCGGCGTGGTGCGCTGCTTCGTGCAACGCAGTATGCGAGAACAATTGTCCTGATCGAAAAGGTGCTGGCAACACTACTCTGAGTCTCAAGATACACTTATACTCTTGTACGCACCAATCTCATCCGCTCACCGATCTTGTATTTGCCGAGCGCGAACCGTCCGTGGCGCAGTTTCAGGCTGGAACCCTGACCCACCTCTCTGATTGTGGCGGGCTGAAGAGCTCTATATATATGCATTTCATTATGTACTTGTCTAGAGGTGCACCCTTCATGATGGATAGGCTTATGTATCCTTAAATAACTATTTGCTTCTGGTACCAGGAAACTGCAAGCCGTATGTGAGCCTTGCCTAGTATGGACCTCAGCACTGGGCTGCAACTTCGAGCCCAAGCAATGTAAACCGCAGGCAAGGACGGCAACTCGATGGTTCCAGTCCGTGCTTTGACATCTATATCCCAGTGTCACTTGGAGTACCGTTCCCTTTCCAAGTGGGAGGAGCAGTGTGGCGTCGGTACATAAGCGGTGTTGCACAGACCACAGATATCTTCTAACCCGGTAAACCCTTTGCATATGAATATAGAAACACGGAGTATTGAGCACCAGCAGGACAGCGAACAGTAGCATGTCTTCCTGGGTGAAGATAGTGACGGTTGTGGGGCATGGAAGTGCAATTTTTGGTAGTATAGCCGCGGCCCTGTACCCGGTTGTCGGTGGTACCTTGTGGCTGGCCGCGGAGATACAATGCTCGTTTATTATACATTTACGGGACTTTGTCAGAGTTTGCACATCTATATCTACATTATTCAGCGGACCTACTCATTATTCGTTTGCCCCAACTCTGTTTTATATCTCTTTTGTCGCTTGATCAGGCTTCTTGTGAGTAATTCTTTAGCTCCTTAATGCTCCACAGTAGGCAATAAGCGAACACCACCTATACCTACTAGGCACTTATCAAACTCGTACGCGTAGCCTTGTAGGGCAAATGTGGGAAAGAACCTTGAGCGGAGTACAGCTCCAACCAACCACAGAGCCCCCATATCTTGAATATCTAAAAATAATCTGCAGAACCCGGGTTCCTCTCGAGCTAGTGTCACTCTGAAATTTTTGATTCTAAACGGGTACAAAGCTAAGAGGAAAGCCTGCAAGCCCCTGAGCTTTCGCCAATTTTTACAAGGTAGGTAAAAAGAGTAGATTGGCAGCAGGCGTCAATGCTCGTAGGAAAGTAGCGCTCTAGCAGGTTGCGCGATGCTAGTGAGCACGTCCCCTTGAAAGGATTTCCCATTTCGCCGACTGTTTACGTACTTGCTTGTGACACTTGCTATAAGGTCCTCTGAGGACCCCTCGTCGCGGACGCGGAGGTCGCCGAACTATGGAGATTACACACCGTGAGCCCGTCTTGTCACACGTTCCACCGCGTCATTAAGCCAGCTACATCTCTATTAGCTGAAAAAGCATACAAAAAGGTGCGACTCCTAACACGCTATTCTCCAAGCTAGGCAGGAACCCTCCAAGCTCTCTCTCCTCCAGCCTCGCTGCGCTGGTCGACGTTCCCTTCTGTCGGACATCTCTGTTTACGTAGCTCCGAGGTTCTGACACAAGCGGTACGGGTGGACGAACAATTGACCGATGACAGGCCCATACATGTATGTATATGTGTGTAAGAAGGAGCCAATTTAATCTAGCTAGGAGCAATGATGAGAATATATGAAGTACCAGACCACGTGGGTGCCACCCGTAGTAGAACAAACGACAAAGTCCCGGCCTGGGGCCCAGTGACGTGACAGCCTCCGCCTTGGTTCGGGGTGACGGGTTCGACTTCGGGTCCGCCACGCGTTTGCGTTTCCCTCACGCATCCTTCGTGCGGCTCTACGTGGTGAGCCCTACTCTGGAGCTTCGCTTGCCTCGATGGCGCAATTGAATCTCTATTCTACCATGAGCCGCATACGTCTACGTCGGTTATTTGAGCAAGTGTGATTACTCGGACGTTTGAGACACTTGATATGATGTCGAGTGTCATTATAGTTTTCAAGTGCCTGATCAAGGTACTCTCGCCTGCCATATATATGCATATATATATCAGCTATGTCGTATCTAGACTTGATCATTGAAGTCGCCTGTTATCAATAGAGAACAGGATACCTCTTAGATACAGTATATTTATGCTTCTCGGTTCACCGCTACAGAGTCATTAACAGTTTTGCAAAATCTTCTGGTCATCGGTCTTACCCGGTGGTAGGGCACCAGGTCAACCGGCATACCCGGGTAGACTATTGAGGTTGGTAACAGACATGGTAACGTATTGGCAAGGCTTTGCTAGACACTTTTGCACGGCAGCTTTCTGATACGTTGCGTCTTTGCTCGTAATGAACTTTGGTGATGTTTCCGACCCAGGGTCGCCAACATGCCCAAGCCCTCCAGGGCTCGACGCAGACTCTGCATTATCAGTTTGAACAACGACCAAACGGTTTGTTTGCTTATCGAGGGCCAAAAATGAGAACAAACAACAAATGATGACATCAGGCAATACCAGCCGATCAACAATCCCCCAAAGCCTCCTCGGGATGTCCTGTCTCACTCCCCTCATCTTGGCGGCTCCATCCGGTTGGACACAACCGGTTTGATGGCCCGCCGAGGCGCATCCCCCCCAAAAGCAAATCCTGCCCTCGCTGCTTTCCAACCTCGATGATATCAGTTCCCCCTTCCTATTCGACGACTTAGCGGTTCATCGGAAAGGGCCCGGACTATCTGATATCACAGATCGGCCGACGTGGCACTTGGCATCCCCACCAGGGCTGCCCGGGCTGACTCGTTCGGTTGGCCGGTCACATCATTCATCGATGCATAATGATTAATCGGGGCAATCTCGGTTTCAAGTCGCGAGACAGCACTGAGATGGCGAGTCATGGAAGCGATTGCTTCGATCCTTCAGCCACGTTTTCTGGATCCTGACCATCCACGCGAGGCTATTTTGTCGATCGTCCGTTGGACGTACGAGTACTCCATAATAATGAGGGGAAAGCAAAAGTCTTGGGGAGAGAGCTCAGCTGTGCGATCGGAGTTCCAAGCGTAGGACGTATCTTAAGGAAGGGGGATCCCAATAATTTGTGCCCTGTCATATGCTATTGAGCCGCAAGGGAAAAAAAAAACCCCATCCCTGTACAGGTGCTATAAATTTCCCTCTGTTTGCATTATCTTTTTTTTTTTTTTTTGTTTTGACCGGACAATTCCTCGCCGCCAGTATCAACCTCCGTGTCCAGCAAGATGCACGCGATTTCTGGTCTTCTCTGCGCAGCCGCTCTGTTCTCCAGTGCCCTCGCGTCGCCTCTGGTGAGGAGAGTCCCGACAGGCCAGGTCATCACACACTGCACAGTCCCAAACACCATCGCCCTAACATTCGACGATGGCCCGTCCCAGTACACGCCGCAACTCCTCGACACATTAAGCAGATACGGCGCCCGCGCGACATTCTTCGTGCTCGGCGACGCCGCAGCAAACAACCCGGCTGTTCTACAGCGCATGAGGAATGAGGGACACCAGATCGCCTCGCATACGTACGTACATACCCCACCAACCGGCTACTACCTCGCTGCTCAATCCATGGCCCTCCAAATAACCACCCCTTTCCCCTTGCTCTAGATACACCCACGCCTCCCTCCCCTCGCTCGGCCACGACGGCATCGTCTCCGAAATGACCTCGCTCGACGCCGTGATCCGTCCCACCCTCGGCGTAACACCCTCGTACATGCGCCCTCCCTATCTCGAGGTCAACGACCTCGTGCTGCAGGTGATGCGCGACTACGACTACCGGGTTATCTCGGCGAGCGTCGACACCAAGGACTACGAGAACCAGGATGCCAATGCGATTGTCAACACGAGCTTCCAGCTCTTTCTCAACCAGCTTAATGCCGGGGGGAGTATTGTGCTCGCGCATGATATTCATTATTGGACGGTTGCGAGTCTGGCGGAGCGCATGTTGGAGGAGGTTCGCGCAAGGGGGTTGAGGGGTATGTTGTCCTCCATCCTGTGACTCAAGTGGGAGTATGAATAGGACGGTATGCTGACTTGAGGACTTGCAGCTACGACTGTTGGTGATTGTCTGGGTGAGGCGGAAAGTGCATGGTACCGTTGATGATAATGCATTGGATATGGGGCAGCTGCTTTGAGGAGTGTTGCAGACGATCATGCCAAACTCCAGGTAACAACTACTACTGCCTAGAGTATCAGACAAAGTGCTTCAAGGTCAGCTTGCTCTTCAGCATTGTTACGGTAGTACTACATTCCTTTACCCTTCACGAAAACTGGCGCACAACTAATCGGCCTGTATATAATAATACATAATCACCATAATAGACCTTTTGAAATACGTTGTACTGCTTACTTCGCCGAATGATTCTTTTGGCGCTTCAAGTTCCAATTCCACTCCTTGCTCGTGTGCGTAGAATGATGTACGTACCTCTGCCAAGTGGACTCTTGAGTATAAAACCAGGCCTCTGTAGTATATGACATAGCAGCCAACAGCAAGGTGTTCGTAAATGGCCGAAGATGGCGTCATGTCTCAGAATCGTGGGGTGGGCGCAGAATGGAGCAGTTTCGAGTAGGTAACTCCGAACCGATCCTGCTTCCCACAGGCTACTCCGTGGTGTATGGCTCGGATGCACGAGGGTCAACCAGGTAGTTACTTCGACCTGGGCTGATTCAGCTATTCCAGAAGCGAGAGGTGTTGTCTCCTGTGAACTGTATAAGCAGCGGCCGAGGAGCGAATGAATTCATCAAATATCCGAGCAAGCGACTGGGTTGATCACATACGGGTGGAAGAGAATAAGCAAGTTCGAATCAAAGTAGACGTTTCGTGGGCAGGGCAGGACATACAGATATCACTATACTACTACTGTGTGTCATCTTCAGAGAGCATGATCTAGATGGAATGCCCTCTACTTGAACAACCCGTATAGAGAATTGCCGACCGAGCACTCCATCCTTGCTCCTGGTAGCAGTTGTGCGAGGCATGCATGAGTAGATATTGGAAGGTCGTCTTAGTGGAGGAATATAAGGTCCGGGCCGGGCGCCGATATCTCCTCCGTCAGCACCCAGGCCAAGGTCGAAAAACCATCCACTGCACGGATGCTGATAGAAATTGTGGGATAAACAGACACTTCTATATTATACTCGCGCAGTGAGATCAGCCTTCGCACTCTGTTCATGTATTCACTGCTGGGAAGCTCGTTCCCGGGTCGCTATCGTCGAGCATAGCATCTTGCATCGCGTAATACCCTAGCTCTACCGTCTCGTCATCCATAAGTTCCCAAGCCTCATTTTAGCCTGCTAAGGATGCCACGCGTAGAGACCGAGCAGATCTGATTAGGATCCAGACCTTAAAAACTATCTGAATCTTTGTTTAATATACGTATGTAGCTGGACATTAGGCTGTTTGTTGGGGATCCGTTGCCGCATTATTAGTGCGTATGAGGCAGCAAAACAAGAAGTATTCAGTACTGGCGCAGCTGCACTTGGGTAGACAAGCAAAGTATTAATTCCTATTCCTTTCACCCGAATAGAGACCCGGTCGAGGTGGCCCAAGGGATAGAAGCATAGGTAAGATTGAGCTGTTCGCTTGAAGAATATGCCTTTGTGAGGTATCTTGTAAGAATTCAAGAGCTCCAAATCCTGATTTTAATGCCGGCCACATTTTAACTCACTTTTGCTGGATGATGGCATTTTTGCTGTGAATGCTATCATGGCCGACGGTAAGGGTGGCTCTAATCCTGGCACGAGGAAGCCTTTACTCTGTAATGTGGCTCAGTTTGAGAAAACAAGCCTTGGTTGTTCTACCTCAAGCCCATCTATAATGCGACATCCTTGTGCACTTGGAGATTAATAAACATTATTATGATAATTACAGGATAATCCTAGACTAATTTATCACGTGGGCAAACTCAAGTCTGCGTCTGCCGGTCTGGCTGTGGCAAGAGCAGCCCTTTTTTGAACACTACCCTCTCTCCTTTGGCACCGCCCACTACCAGAATCGGATGGGTTGGAGACCACAGAATCAGATTGATACGCCGTCGTGGTGGGCCCGCTATGCCAAGAGCTTACTCCAATCAAGGCCGCCATTGCAACCCCGTGGCTTTCCCGCAGGCGTTCCAAGCCTTCCATGGAGAAGTGAGATCCTTGCTTTTCTCGCCAAGGGACAGCCCAGGCCCGACATGCCACCCCCCATTGGCGGGGGTATAGCTTGGCGGCCTTGGTGCTGGGGCTGTCCCGTTGGCTTTTATAGAGAAAGCTCGGCTGGAGAGGGGCCGAAGAGCGCGTGCTCTGCTTTACAGGATGTCGTTCGTCTTCAGACTCTGTTGGAGTACTTCGATCTGACTGCTGGAGTGGAGGCACCAAGATGACGAGAACCAGCACCAGCGAAACACCTGCTAGAATGCTATATTACGTACAACTATATAAACCAGCAGATTCTCCGCGAATCTTCCTTGCTGCAGTCCCCAAGGTCCTCGCCCATATTTCTCCCCTCCTAACAGGCTGCCGCGCAATGAAGCTTTTCAGCCTCCTCACCCTGGCAGTGAGCGCAACCGCCTGCGCCGACCACGTGCAACGCTTCTGCACCGACCGCCGCGAGCGCGACTCCTTCAGCGGCCGGATCCATTCCGCCGACGTCTTCGAGTACAAGTACATCCCCTTTGAAGTTTCCCCAGGCGTCACCTCCATCCGTGTCGGATACGACTACACGAACCGGACCGAGAGCACCGTGTACGTCGGTGTCTTTGACGAGCGCGGATATGCCCTTGAAGATGGAAAGAACCTGACGGCGGGGTTCCGCGGGTGGTCGTTTGCGCTTCTGAGTAACTGGACGTTTACACCGACCGAGACGACGCCCATGTATGTGGGTGGTCCCGTCGCGCATGGGACGTGGTCGCTCGTTCTGGTTGGGAGTAAGATCGTGGGTGAGTATGTCGACTACAACATCACAATCGACTACGGGTACGAGCCTGTGCAAGGGCCGCGCTTCTCGCTGCAGCCCGCGGCCGCTGATCTCGGGATTGATGCTGCTCGCCGCGCACGCATGGACAACGCGACGGACGGCGCGATCTGGCTCAAGGGCGACTTCCACGTGCACACGACATACAGCGACGGGACCTGGACGCCGCAGGAGCAAGTTGCGAACGCGCAAGAGGTTGGACTCGACTTTTGGATCTCGACCGAGCACAACAGCGTCAGCGGGAATAACGTCATGGGGTCGTTCGCGCCCGAGGACATGCTCATCGGCCGCGGGATGGAGGTTACAACTCGCTTCGGACACTGGCAGGCCGTCGGCATCGATCACAGCCAGACGCCCGAGTGGCGGTACGAACCCAACAGCGCTGAGTTCGCGAATGCGGTCGCACAGGTCCGGCGCGTGGGCGGGTTCGTCTCGGTGAACCACCCCTACATGCCGTGCAAGGAGTGTATCTGGAACCTGGATACGGAGTACAAGTACGCGGATGCGATTGAGATCTGGAATGATGGGGTTACCGAGGAGATTAACCAGCAGGCCATTGACCTCTGGCATGGATTGCTTGTGCAGGGGCGGAGGATTACAGGGATCGGTGGGAGCGACACGCATCACCCGCCTAGCATGATTGGCTGGCCGACGACGAGGGTCAAGGCGCGCTCGCTGAGCACCGCGGCGGTTGTGGAGGGTGTTAAGCGGCGGCGTGTGTATATCTCCAAGAGGCCCGAGATGGAGATTGACTTTACGGTTGTTGGGGAGGGGATCCATGCGCAGGTTGGGGATGTCGTTGAGACGAATGGGGTTGCTCTTACTGCGAGGCTGGCGACGCAGGGCTTTGGTGGTCAGACTGCTTGCTTTGTTACGGAGAAGGGGTACCTCCGCAACCAGACTGTCCAGGATGAGGAGCCGATTACGCTGGATATCGAGGAGGGCACCAAGTTCCTTCGTGTCGAGCTTCGCAACTCGACCGGGAGCTTTACCGGGATTACGAACCCAATTTATCTGGAGTAGATCTTTGGCTGGAACGATAGGATGAAGCAGCATGACTAGTTGAGCATTGTGAACTTTTGGGGAAAGGCCAATGTACACTGTAATAGAAGGAATAGAGTATAGACTGTTATGCTGCTTCGAAGCCTGATTGATATATCCATTGTCTCAACAACTGCCAGCATACAATGTGTGCGTCGTTGTAATGAACAGGCTCCATAATCCATCAAAGCAAGAAATCACGGCTCTCGCTATCCAAGCCCCCTCTCGTAAGCTATTCACACAACGACAGCCCCGGACAAGGACAAAGGGCTTAGAATAGTCGTCCCGGTAGCGAACCGTCTTCCCGGGCCTTGTCACAAACTGCCCAAACCATAGTCAGCAAAGCAAACCTATATACATCCCAATCACACGAACCCTCTCGCGGCACACCAGGCAGTACACCTAAAAAGGGGTAGCTCACCAAGACTGACAAACCGGCTTCCCGGTTTCCGCATGCGTATAGATGTACATGTACACTGCGACACCACACTCTGAGCAGTATTTCGCCACTGTAGTCCCGTTGCTGATGCAGTCTGAGCAGTTGGTTGGCTGTTCGTGGCCAGCACGGCGGACGCGCTGGCGGCGGCCGCAGCAGGAGTAGTACATTGTTGATGGGTAGCTGTGGATTGGCAAGGAGATTATGGAGGGTAAACGTTTATTCGAGGGGATGGTCAAGTGGGTAGTGATTTTTAGATAGCTTTTGGGGGTCTTTCTTGTAGTCAATTTCCTTGCCTCGAAAGATGGATGGGTCCCTCTATTTATGCTGCGACCTTCACGGTTGATATAGCCGCTTCCTGCTCCTGGTGTGTGACTTTGAAATGTGACTCGCTCTAGGAATGACGCTATGCGAGCGAAAGGCTGGATATCCGATTTCTAGTCGAATAGCCAATGCGCTTCTCTCGTGCACGTCATATGCCCTTGCGCCACCTTGAACCAAGATGCGAGTGGTTGCCTCGAGTCGCCTCACTTTTATAGTCCCTTCTCAGCAAGCACTACAGCCTTGCGCCTGCATTAGGCCAGTGTTCAACCCCCGCACTTGATCTATTCTTCGTATCAAATCCTTGGAGCTACCCACTAAAGGCTGGCTCAATAACGGTAGTCTCAACGGCAATAAGCGATGACTGTTTTGCCGAAGACACTCGAAATCTCGTGCGTGTGGGCCATGTGGACGAGGGACAGACTGAAGCCCTGCCCACTGCGAAGAAGTGGCGGGACGACGATTCACCGTCAATGTCACTATGATCATACCCCCTACCTGGCTTTGCTCAGCCAGGCTTATTTCCGATCCAAGTAACCATCTCCTGGTTTACTCACGAGCTGGGTGGATATCTAAATACTTACAGTCACTAGCCCTGACTGAATGGGTTGATTAAGAACCAGATTACTATTTTACTCCCACCACTGGTAGATAGTGGTATTGGTATGGTCACTCCTTTGAACAAACTTTTGGTGACTATATGTCTGATCGAGTTTCGCTACTATATGACTGCTTGTTGATGACAAATAGAGATACTAGTACGAGGCAGCTTATCCAGCAATTCGCAATATAAACCTACGCAAAGCTCTATACCAGACTCCTCGATAAAAAAAAGGCTCTTATATCCATAACTCGTCAGATTATTTTGAGACCCGCCAAGTTCCCGCACCCCGGCATCTAACAAGAGTAAATATCAGCCATCCAGCACGACCAGACCAGGATCCAACCAAGAAAAAGACCACGTACTATCAGTGCGTGATTTCCCCATCTCCTCTGTACTGATTCTGCGCACTGGTCAACGGGTGAAGCTATCAAGCTGCTAACAAATATGCCAGTCGATATCACGTACGCAAAAACTGGATTTTTGACAACAGTCTCTGGTTGTATGGCCAGCGCCGCAAAGGGCGAGGACGCATTGGACGGCGATGGCAACCCACAAGGACACAAAGACGCCGAAGCGTTTGCCAATGCGATGGGTGAGTCAGAACCGACAGCCTTGGGTAGAACTTAACGGACATGACTAACCAGAGTGTTCTCCTTTAGCAATGTACAATAATGCGGTGCATTGGTACAAGTATCGGTCTTACAGTAGGAACACTTATCAAAACTGATCTCGAATCTATCATGTGCGCATATTGCCATAGCGTCACCAGCATGGGCGGCTTAACAGCAGCCTCTTTCGTTGTGTGACGGGAGAGAACGAGAATGGTTTCGAGCTTGAATGTCGTTAATTGAGTAGTATCTAAGATAAAGTGCAGCCTAAAGATCAGAATCCGATATGTCAGGCAGTGCGCCCGGGTCTGAGTAGTTCGGGTATGGTGAGTAGTCACCGTCGCCGAGCGTAGATTTCATGGCCGGCCAATGGTCGTAATCAAAGTCCACACCAGTGGAGGCGAAGGCAGTGCGTATATCAAGCTCGTGGTGCAGCTCCTCATTTTTCGACCATCTTACCTCCTTGAGTGTTGGAAATCTACCTTGCGAGGAAGCCTCCGCCAGGCCAATTAAGCTTTTTTCTAGGCGACGAAGCTCATCTCCAATATGGCCAGCAAGGTGTAGCGACTCGATGCCTGGAGGAAGAAGATTGACCAGGAGTTGAGCCTCGTCTGATCCACCCCAGAACCTAGTGTGGAATTCGTCCAAGTTGACAAACAAGTGCTTTAAGGCCCTAAATTGTTGGAAGCTGAACACGGCGCGCGGATCAGAACCATCTGGGCAGTTGCCGCGCCTCCGGAGATCGAGATGTAACGACTCGAGAGTCCCGCAGTGGCGCTTGAGATAGTTCATCGCATGAATCAGCCGAAAATGATCTCTGCCATCCCCAAGCTCGTGACGGCCGTCAAAAGGACGGCCGCCGGCTTCGTAGGTGAAGCTGCGTAGACTGTTGGACGAGTAAAGTAGTGCTTTGAGAGCCTGTTCACTAAGGCGGCTGAATGTGATATGAAGATGTTTTAGGCTTCTTAAGGAAGGGAATGGTGACCGATGCCATGTCTCACTGCACATGTGTATGTTAAGTGTTTCCACATTAGGGGAGGCTTCGAGAAGAGCACGCACCCGCCGCTCAAGGCTAAGGAGATTTATGCGATTCGCAGCAGCGTGGAGTGACAGGGTAATTGTCCTGAGAGGCAGCTGTGAGATTCCAGCTGCGGATAAAGGTGCAGCGCGAACGACTTCAAGCGGCCATTGCCAATGTCAATGCTGCAATGTTGTAGATTAGGCAGTTCCGCGATCAAGAGGGAGAACAAATCGGAAGCAGATAGTTGATTCAGCGTTTGTCTCTTGATTCGCAACGCCTTTCCTGCCTCTTGGATCACGTCTTTGATTTCCCTCACCTCAGTTTGGTGCCACTTAGGGAGCACTGGGACCTTAGGATAATCCATCACACAAGCCACGTGCCCTCCAAGGACCGCGCGCTCCCCATCCTCGCGATAGTCCTCCAACGGATTCAGGAGATATGGGTGGAGATAAACATGCTTCACACAGGCAGCCAGATCTCGTCGTTGCGCGACCGTGCGGATGAATGACACCAGTCGGCGGTCCCAGGAGTAAAGGCGGGACCGCCAGGAGCCGCCATAGCCTGGCATGAACTCATGGTATAAAATTGGCTGGATAGTGGCACACAATTGCTTGGAGACCAGGCACAGCGAGAGCAGCGGCTGAAGACGCAACGAGTACCAGGACGGCTGGTCGGGCTCTTGTTGCTCATGGTCGGCGCGCAAATAACTGACAAATAAGTGCAGAATCTCGAGCGGAAGCTGGTCCAGTGTAGCGAGCATGGTTTATCCGCAGCATTAACAAGCATTAATGGTCCGCCGGATGACAGTAAAAGGGCCAGATGAAGAAAATGGAGCTGGAAAGAAAGGAGTGGAACGTGGAAGGAAAAGAGGAGGATGATCGGTCCGCTATGGCTCATGAGTTAGGGGACAACTGGCAGCTTCCGATCCACCCGGGTCAGATATCCCACGCCTGCGGGCTTCACTCCTTACAGGACAAAAGTCTTCCACTTGTGTTTAAACCAGGTTTGAAATGATTTTAGTTTTGCACTGAATATTATTCTTGGTGTAGTGACCTTATACCTGATCAACTATTCGTATATCTCTTCCACTAACCTAGCTAAGCCTCTAATACTAAGGGGATATATTAGCTAGAGGGCCTTTATTAGAAGACCTTCCTAGTAGTAACCCTAAATAATTCGCCTTGGCCAAGCAGACCGCTCGCTGCTCCACTCACTAATATAGAGGGTTTAGTAATTAGAGTTATTTACTCCTAAAAAAGTCTGCTAGCCCTTCTTTCCTCTTTAGGTTTAGCTTTGTTTCCTATCTCCTATACTTAAATATCTTACTTTCTCACTACACATTTAGAATGAAAAGACCTTCAATTTTCTCCTCGATGACTTCCGTTTCTCTCCGGCTTACAATGTGACTACTAATTTCAGCCAATCTTCCTAAAGCTGGTCGGTAGCGGAATCTGGGGAATTCAGAATCCTCAACTGTGAAAGCAGACGGTATTTTCCAGGTACTGCACCCTCTGAATACTAGAACTTGCCATCAGAATGGCCTTTCCAGTATGTAGACCGCTAAACCCCCTCGTTTGGCATGACAAGTAGTAGGGGTGGATTTCCATGCCGAGCAATCCGATGACTGTGCTGGCCTCGGAACAGAAGTCCCCGATACTCAGTAGCCTTGAACTACATAACTTCGGATAAAGAGAAGTGTGGAGTAACCGAGTCTTATTCTGAATCAACGAGCCTGAGTCCTGCACATCGGGGTACATGCTAGAGCAAGGACATGTAGTACCCACAGAATAGACCAATAAGGAAGGCAGCCAGGCGATGAGGACAGATCAGGAGGCTAACCCCAAGCTCAGTATTATCTAGGCAAACGCTGCCATGCAACTTTGCACACAAAGACAAGTTGGTCCTGGTTCGAGACAAGAAGCCGCCTAGTGAAAAGCAGCAAGACCATGAGATTGATACGAAACCCCCATTCCGTTGGAAATGAATATCATTGACTAACATAACATACATGGCCCATCTATATCAACTGCGTACTCTTCAACGGTCGGCACCAATCTCCGCAATAAGCCCCTCCACCAGACGCCGAATCTCATCCCGAACAACCCGCACAGCATCGAGCTCCTGGCCTGCAGGATCATCAAGCTTCCAATCCAAATAGCGCTTCCCAGGGAAAAACGGACAGGCGTCACCACAGCCCATAGTGACAACAACATCGCTTTTCTGGACGGCATCGGCGGTAAGGATTTTCGGTATCTCATTTGCAAGGTCTATGCCTTCTTCACGCATTGCCTCAACGACTCTGGGGTTGATAGAGCTTGCTGGAGCGGAACCGGCTGATAGAACGTCAATTGTGTCACCTGCGAGGTGGGTGAGGTAGCCGGCAGCCATTTGGGAGCGGCCGGCGTTGTGGATGCAGACGAAGAGGACGGTTGATTTGGCGGACATTGCTGATGTGGTTGTCCTGGCTGATAGACTTGTTGTTGCGAGAGAATCTTCGTTCGATATCGATGGTGATGTTGATGTTGATGTTGGTAAAAATGATGGGAGAGAAATGCTCGTAGGTATAAGTGAGCAGCGCCTCGATAGAAAGACTGGAGTGAAGTTAGGTAAAAACTGGATAACTTGAAACGTAGGATATCAAGTAGACAAACACCCTAATTGGCTTACCAAGTCAGCAGTGACCTCGGGTGGCCTAGTATTTATGACTCCTGGGTTCCCTGCCTCGATAGTCTACTCCTATGTTGCTATGTCACTGCAACCCCATGATTGGGCAACTCTTGATGCATAATTCGTTAGGGGGTAAACTATAAATGACTTAAGTTGGGAACAATTACAGATGCTTAAGCTTTGTCTATGACTCTGTTAGAAATGTCCGATACTCGTTCGGGGGTCGGTAGGGGGCCCCGTGCGTAGGGCGATGGGTGTCATTGACTACAAAACAGAATACCTTGTAGTTTCCTGTGTCGGCTGCGCTCTAGCAAATCTGGTTAATACCGGTTCAATATTTCACTCAGGGCAAAAATACATTGCATTTAAGAGAAGAAGGACAGCTAGAGAATCTAGAGACGTGCCAGTTTCGTACATCAGATGTACTACTCCGTACAGATAGGGTAAAGAGGACTGGAATGTCACTGGCCTGATTCTATTGGTTGCAACAAGTGTGGCGTCGCGCCGAGGGCGATCTTCTCGAACCGCACTGAACGATCCTGGGATCACGACCGGGTACATAGTCAACGTTGGCCAATCACTGCTAGGGAGTGACCTCTCAAGTAGCCTTCAGTAAGCAGCAGAAGAAGGCAGAAAAGTGCCGGGAACCCTCAATATAACATCTTGTTGTCTAATGTTAAGAGCTATCTAATCAGTCCATACGCCGATCCCTCCATCGAGTTTACGAAAGTAACGAAACCGCCTTTTCCTGGCACCTCTTTTTCTCTTTTGCCCCTCTGGAATCCATTCTATCTTCACATATTTGTTTTGTGTGAAGCACGAAATGGAAACCACCGAGTCTCGGTCTGAAGGAGACAACCAGCCCACAAATCTCCAACATGGCCACGCGAGTGACATTGAAAAACAGGCTCGTCATCAGCCTGAGCAGAGCTCCTGCGCCAAGCAGTCTGCATTTAAAAGTCTCGGGATTTTAGATCGCTTCCTTGCATTATGGATCTTCCTCGCAATGGCCATTGGAATCATCCTCGGCAATTTCGTCCCTAATACAGGTCCTGCCCTGCAGCGAGGAACTTTCGTCGGTGTCTCAGTACCTATTGGTATGCGATTCTCTTCACTACTGTCCCGAGGGGCCTTGTTTAACATGATTTATAGCTGTCGGTCTGCTGGTCATGATGTACCCTATTCTCTGCAAAGTGAAATACGAGGCTCTCCATCACGTATTCTCGACTCGGGAGATATGGGTTCAAATTGGCTTCAGTATCGTTGTTAACTGGATCATTGCCCCTTTTATGATGGTACGCAACAGGTCTTCGCTTGGCTCCCTCTCGTAGCGTCTACTGATCCTCTTGCAGCTGGCGTTATCTTGGGCCTTCCTCCCCGACGAACCTGAACTGCGCCAGGGCCTCATTCTTGTAGGCCTCGCACGATGCATCGCAATGGTAAGCTAAGATTCATAGCCCAATCCGATACCCATAGATCATACTGACAAGCATAGGTCCTGATCTGGACTGGCTTAGCCGGCGGCGACAACGAGTACTGCGCAATCCTCGTGGCCGTGAATTCTCTGCTCCAGATGGTCCTCTTCGCACCCATGGCCATCTTCTTCATCGAGGTGATTAGCGGCGGAGAAACCATCGCCCTCTCCTACAGCACAGCAGCCAAAAGCGTCGCCGTCTTCCTCGGAATCCCGCTCGGCGCAGCAATCCTAACCCGCTTCAGCATCCGCACATTGACAAGTCCCGACTGGTACGACAGAGTCTTTATTAAATGGATCAGCCCCTGGTCCCTGATCGGCCTGCTCTTTACAATCCTCATCTTGTTCGCGTCGCAGGGCAGACAAGTCGTCCACCAGATCGTTTCGGTGGTTCGAGTGGCCGCGCCGCTTATTGTGTATTTCGTGCTGATCTTCTTCGTCACGCTGTTTATTACTTGGAAGTTGGGTTTTGGGTATAAATTGGCTGCGACGCAGAGTTTCACTGCGGCGAGCAATAACTTTGAGCTGGCTATTGCTGTCGCTGTTGCGACATTTGGCGCGAATAGTAACCAGGCACTCGCGTCGACTGTTGGGCCGTTGATCGAGGTTCCGGTCTTGCTTGGGCTTGTTTATGTTGTTAGGCCGATTGCGAGGCGCGTGGGGTGGGAGGATTGATTCTTGCTTGCTCTAGAGATGTACAATAGATACTAAATGTCCATTCCTGTACGAGACCCAACTCTGATCCGAGACTTCATCCATCCACGGCTGAGTAGGATAACAACGCACGGAATGCGATTATCGTTCAGAAGTGGAAGCTCCAGATACTCAGATACTGGACTTGAGCCAAGCGGTAGCTCACGGTTACCTTGGCCAGTCTGGCTGGACTATTTGGATGCACAGGTGGCCGTTTTCTTTGCGGCACCACGCTGTAGGCCGTGAGACGGACTATGAGGATCATGATGCATAAAACGTCTCGCCCAACATTTTACTTTCCTGTATTCCTTACCTGCTCAGTGAGCTTGACAACATCCCATCTTGTCCGGTTCCCTACCAAGCTATATGTACGACCAAGGAACATTCATCACCAACAAACATCCTACTGGGTATACTAGCTTCTGAGCAAAAGGGACAAAAGAGAACTAGCTGACGGCTTCGGATTGAAGCAATAGCCATAAAAAACAGACCCGGCCACCCAGGTATATATCCATGACGGACCAAGCGTACTTGTTCCACGATCTCGGCTTCTCTTGATCCGTCTTCATGGACTTCAATGCTCTAATATCTTGTCTAGAAGCCTTTCTTCCCCGAATTCTCTCCTGGGTCAAATATACCTCTATCCACTCCAAATGAGGAATCGCCCAAGGTTGCCGATACCACTAGGATTTCTACCTAGCATTTGCTAGACCGAGATAGGCAACTTAAGAAGGGTGCGATAACAAATGAATTTGGACCGCATAAAGTCCCAGGTAGGACGGGGAGTGAGCGTACTAGCGAGGTAGTTAAGAGACAGCCGAGTGTTCCCCGAGGGTATCCGAGTTTGACATCCAATTCGCCACCGTCCACATCTCCACCATCCGCATCAAAGTCAGCCCTCACCGTTCTCCCTCAAGCTACAGTACACAACCACTCCGTGCCCTGCCCTGCCCTGCCCTGCCAGCCAAAATACCAAGCCATGTCAGCCAGTAAGCTCACGAGGCGAGCAACGCCAACCAAGGAGGTCAGCGAATCGTGCCCAGACCCTTTCAAAACGTGACAGATCTAACTAACGTCCGAGCAGACTCTTCAAACTCAAACATCTTCCTCGTTGTCGTCGTCGTCTCTGCGTATCCGCGACAATCAGCGTCGCTCGCGCGCCCGACGGAAAGAATACATCCACGATCTCGAGCAGCGACTACGCGCGTTCGAGGCTGCGGGTGTCCAGGCGACGCAGGAAGTCCAAGCCGCGGGGCGAAGGGTTGCAGCGGAGAATGCTCTCCTCCGGTCACTGCTACGGCTGCGTGGTATTTCTGATCAGGAGGTTGAGGGGTATCTGGCAGGGCATAGGGCGGACTTTGACGCGCTGCCTGCTGCCGTTCCGCCGGGAGCTGGACCGATGCCGAAGGAGCGGTCGCACGTGGAGGGTCGCGAGTCCGAGTCTCTAGGTCCAACTGGCATCTCTGAAACCGAGACTCCCTGGCAACCAACACCAACACCAACCTCATCCGACGGCGAGCGCAGAGAGCGGATGGCCTCTCTCCCAGCCACGGATCCGCAGGTGGTCGATTCTGAGCGGCCTGTTCCAGTCAGCTCTCTCATTCATGACATTTCGAATCCACAGCCATCGCTCTGTGCCAATGGCAGCTCGGGGCAGTCTACTCCATGCGAAACGGCAGCCAGGATCATCACGTCTATGCGCAGCTGCACCGATGCGCGGGATGTGCGCTCGGAGCTGGGATGCGAGTCGGGTGCCGAGTGTATGGTTCGTAACATGGATATATTTCAGCTACTGGATGGATGATGGTTACAGTGATACTAGAGTTGCGATTGTTTCTGTCCCTTGAGAACATACTACTACTTTCAAGTAGACAACTACGATAAACAAGTGACTTCACACATTAGGAATCCAGGCTTTCAGAAGAACTTCCCGCCTCAGAATTTGTCCATTTACCACTTTTACCCCTTGACAGCATAGATCTGGAAAGAACCTGAATGAAATGTCAACAACATGATCGAACCAGGACAGGAAGAGCTACTCACCAACCCACTCATTGAAATCCAGATCAGCAAACTCATTTGTAGCATCCCGTGCTCCACAGCCACTACCACAGCATGAGTTCTGGCTCTGGGGGAGATACGAAGACCCCTTGTAGAGGTTAAGATCAGACTTTGCATCAACAATAAGCACATCTACAATCACATTAGCACACTACCCTCCTCAACAGACGACAGCTTACGGAACGTACCTTCAAACCCAGCCTCCTGCAAATACCTTTTATACTCCCCAATCTGACTCGCACCAGCCACACACCCGACATATAGCGCCATGTTCTTGGTGATAGTATCCGGAAGCGGCTTTCTGGCGAGAATATCGCTGATCGCCACTCTCCCGCCGGGTTTCAGTAGCCGGGCAATCTCCTTGAACACTCCGGCTTTATCGGAACTGGGGACGAGATTGATGACGCAGTTACTAATAATGCAATCGACGCTGGAATCTGGGAGCGGGATGGATGTGATGTTTGCTTCGATGATTCGTGCGTTGGACACGCCGGCCGCTTTGATGTTCTTCTCGGCGAGGTCGATCATACTCTTCACAGATATCAGCTATAGGCTTCTTGGTGAGGGTATGGTACGTTGATCTACTTGCCCTCGTCATATCAACCCCGATAGCCTGCCCGGTAGGCCCGACTTTCCGAGCCGCCAGGAGCACGTCAATACCGCTCCCACTTCCTAGGTCTAGGACCGTCTCGCCCTGCGTGGAAAGTTAGCACACTATCATCATGATACGGATGGGGCAGATCACTAGCCTCTCTCACATGCGCAAAAGCCACCGGGTTGCCGCAGCTTAGGCCGAGATTGGTCTTTTCCGGCAGCGAGCTAAGGTCATCGGCGCTGTAGCCGAAGGCGCGGGCGATACTCTCCTCTTTGTCGTGCTCCTCGGTGGTAGTGGTCTGCCTAGCGATGTCGCCGTAGCGGGATTTAACGAGGTTGTAGGTTTCGTTGGACATGTTGGAGACTCGGTAGATTAAGTTCTTGGTTCAGTTAGTATGATGGATCCTCTGGAGCCGGGCACTTAGTAACTTTTATACATGGTTGTTAGTAAAGACGGGGACGAATCTTGGTATTATTAATGTGCCATGTGATGACGGTCTGCTTGTCTGCGATTGGGTGAACTAATAACTGGTATGTCACCAACTCCCCTTAGACCCGATGCACCTGCCATGGTTATCCAAGCGCCTCGTCTATCTCCCTTGAGGGTGATATAGCACACCAGCTCCATAGTTAGTCGGGCCGGAGACTGATCTACTAAGCTGATTTACGAAGAATGCCACTAACTTGGTCAGATAGACAAGCATATAGCCTGTGCATAGGTAGTAGTCCAGTCATGCGTAATTAGCTTACCCTTTCGTTAGGATTAAGTAAAGACATGATATATACCTCTACTAGCGATTTTCTATGGTTTATTATACCTGATTTGTCGGGAGTAATGCTCAACGCATACTCGTACATAGTAGCGCATAGTCAACGGACCAAAGCAAAGGCGTAAAATAAGCAACCCCGCCTTCATGTCTGCGTTATTCCCTGACCAGCAAGATGCGCTTCGTGTTCCAAGACAAGGCCTAGTTGCTTGGAGTCAGGCCAAGTACTATAGCTTTTGCTCAGGATTTGACCTACCGGAAACATCATCACTGGCTTAAGCAAAAAGCCCAGACGACTGAACGTTCGCTCCCGACGCGATGGACCCCCTAACAGCGATCAGTCTGGCCTCGTCAGTCATTGCGATAGTCGAGTTCAGCTCCAAGATCCTCAATGGTGCACAGGAGATTTACGAATTCGGCAAGGGCTCCACGGCGGAGAAACAAAGCCTCGAGACCATCATATGAGATGCAAAGGCCCAACTCGAATCTGATCCTCAGAGCATAGCCGAGGAGATCTTGATGTTGCTTCGAAAGATCAATACCTCGGGCTCGAACTCTCGTCGTCAGAGCTTGATGGTCACATTACGCAGTCAGTAGTAGGAGAAGGATTAGACGCAGCTTTTGTCTAGATTAGACAGGTGTCGAAATGACCTCAATACTCAACTTAGCGAACTGGACAGATCCTTGACGAAAGAGAGACTGGAGTCGCTGATTGATGGCTCGCAAAGCCATTCGATGAGCTTGCAATCCATCGAGGAGGAAATCACCAAGATTCGACATGCAATCACTACGGTGGGTAACAATAGTGATGCACAAGAGAAGCTTCCGAGGCTTCTGAGTTCTTAGAAGTAGAAACGGATTTGATTGCTCATCATGCCTCCCTAAAAGCCAATGGAGCCCCGGGTGAAGGCTGTCGTAGTGCCTCATTCAGAAACATTCCAATGGATATTCAGTGATGATCCGGCACACCTGATACCATGGTTTTCTCTCCCCGGGAGAATCTTTCACAATTTGGTTGGCTTCTGAGCAAGGAATCTTTCATATATGAGGGAAGCTAGGCTCTCGACCCTGATAAAGTTTCTATGCCCCCATCCTCGGACGGAAGCTGCGCTGAAAACGTGGGCAGATGAGATCCTGAGAATCCCTACCCTGGATTCTTGTAATTAACTTCTCACAATAAAAGGAAATAGAAACTTGACCATCGCAAAGCATTTCTTCTCAAACCCTGGGCACGACCTCCAGAAATCTTTCTTAAACCTGAAACGAACCTTGCTATACGAGATACTGAATAGATGTCATGACCTCATTTCCCTGACATTCCCTAAGCAGTGGCAAGAGCTCAAACAATCTGCTTACCTGATGGCAACGGACATTCTACTTCGAAACAGTGATTACATTACCAAAGCATCATGGCGATCACTGTTTTTATATATTCATTCATGACTTAGATGAATACGAAGAAAACAGATAGGTCGGGCACAAGAATTTTATGAACTGATTGGGTTGGTATAAGCCATCAAGTGCTGAAAGTATTCGTCTCTAGCCGAGAGTAATTTGTCTTTTCTTCAATCGCTCCCGACAATCAGAGGCTCTGGCTCACAGGTCAATCTTGACTGTGGAGCGGGGACTCGACGGTCTGCCAAATGAGCTGGAGAAACTCTTCAGGCTTACCTCGAAAAGCAACGTGACGGGTATGGAAAATCATACAATTCTTGATAATATCAACCAGCAAACCAAACACATTAATGATTTTGCGGTTCATATTAGTTATCTTGCTGTCAAGATTTGTAAGCCTTGTCAAGCAAGAAGTTGGCGATTCGCAAAATATATCGTGGGTTAAAGAGTCAAGACTCAGAATTCTGCATCCATAGGTATCGACATCACTTCATATAAGTATATATTTCTGGATATGAAGCAGCATTCCATTTATGATCACACTCAAAACAAAAAGTGATATCTCCAGCCATGTGCTGATCTAGGTTTTATAGATCGCGAATCGCGATTGAACCCAACGGTCGGGAACCCAGGGGCCCCACCCAAGTGACCTCACCCAACGGCCAACACTCCAACCCCACCATTCCAGACCATTCCTCACCTCGTCATTTCAACCATACCACACCACCTCTACAATCTTCCATCCGCATCGTCCATCGCCGTTCAATCCAACCTCTTAACTCACCACAATATCAGAAATGGATCGATCCAAGAAACCCGCCGCCATCGGCGTCACCGCTACTCCCCCGCAACCCACCATCTCCCTTGCAAACAACGTCGTCCAGGCCACATTGCCCTCCGGCGAATCCGTCACCGTCCATCTCTACGGCGCAACAGTCACATCGTGGAAGACCGCTAGTGGTGCAGAGCAGCTCTGGCTCAGCGAGGCCGCTGCACTGGATGGATCAAAGCCAATCCGCGGTGGAATTCCGGTTGTTTTCCCGGTACGTTTGTCTCTAAACCTTCCCCTCGCCCCTGGGTTCCTGGATCCAGTGCTCAGTCCGGAAGCTAAATCGAAACATCAACAATTATTGACAGTCGTTGGAAAATAGGTCTTCGGCCCTCCCCCCGCTAACCACGCAACCTCCTCCCTCCCCCAACACGGCTTCGCGCGCAACAGTCTCTGGGAATTCCTCGGCAAGTCGTCCTCCGAGTCCACCGCCTCTTCCACCACCGCCGACAATGCTGTAAAGCTCGACTTCGGTCTTTCCTCATCTATGCTCTCCAACGACACCAAGTCAAAGTGGCCCTACGAGTTCGGCCTCGTCTACAGTGTTACCCTGTCGCGCGAGGGGCTGGGAACATCTCTGCAGGTGCGGAACCAGGGGAGTGAGAACTTTGAGTTCCAGGTGTTGTTGCATACCTATTTGGCTATTGAGGTACGTACACGCCACATCCCTCGCTTCTGCCGACTCACGTCTAGCGGGAGTAAATGAAGAGACGGGGCTCAGTAGCTGACAAGTAATGCGGATAGGACATCTCAACAATCCAAATCAAGTCACTGCAAGGGAAATCCTACATCGACAAAGTCCTCAATGCCACCGAACACACCGAGACCGCGACCACGCTGCAAATCGCCTCCGAAACGGACCGCGTCTACAAGGGCCTCGACCCCGCTGTCCCCATTGTCGTCTCCTCAGCGTCCAACGGAGATCTGTTCTCCATTACACGTGAAGGACTGACGGATGCCGTTATCTGGAACCCATGGATTGAGAAGGCCAAGGGCATGGGCGATTTCAGCCCCGATGATGGGTATAAGAAGATGGTTTGTGTAGAGGCCGGTGCTGTTTCTAGTTGGACAGCTTTGGAGGCGGGTGAGTCGTGGGAGGGTGGACAGTTTATTCGGCCTTCTGCTTGATTGGGAAGAAGTTTGCCTACAATGAGTTTACGGATTTTCTTAGCAGTGTTCGGAAAACAGCCTATCCGGCTAGAGATGCAGACAGGAAATATGAAAATCGATGCTTGATATCCTCATTACAGCCTTGTCTTCATTGAACTTGGAACTGGAGCTTACTTACCCAGGCCGCCTGACACAAATAACCTTCTCATATACGGTAATACTAAGTAAGTGATTGTACATGTTGGTTGATGTTGCACAGAGGTCAACCATTGATATTGCTCTGAAAGGTTTGCTGAAAGGCGTGAATGGCAGTTAGACAAACGCAGAAAATGTGAGACCTTGCCAGCCTAACTGAATCTAGCTCTCTCTGCTTGAACAGCACGGCAACTTGATCCACTGCATTACAACAATGGGTGCTACTTAGTCCTTTGATTGAATGTGATTATCCATTCTACGCTCCAAGCCCGTCCTTTAGTCCGGTCCTGCATCCTGGGTTCTATCAGGAAAGGCCTCTTGAGTTTTCTTGGAAGATCAAGGGTTCAAAAACGAGAGCAGCTATGGCCCCGTTAGGTGAGGAAACTGCCCAGCCGAGTTGCTTGTTAGATCGAGATACGCACTAATGAGAATCAGGCAATTCGAGTCTGACCTGATCCCCTGTCCCAACAAACTGCCGTATAGCTCGCATTGACAATCGTGAACTAGGTACTGGGGCCAAAGAGTCACTTTTGAAGTTCATCGGTTCCGCTTACAAAACAAGAACTTGGAGGTCGGGTTTGATTTACCACCCAGGCTCTCCCATGGACTGCGCTGACACTTGATCTGCAACGTACCTTGCTACCCGCTCTAGATCTTCGTTATCGATGGGGCCAGTCCGCTTACTGAGTATTCGCGTCTGGACTGCCCTTCGAGTGCTTGGATACAACTGATGTCTGAAGTCGACTCCGTGCGGGAGCCCGCCCGGCGGCGATTCATCCACCAAGCGAGCGGCCCAAACCATCCGCAGTCACGCTTGCGCCCTTGCCCGCGGCGCATCCTCCGCGGATCCTCTCTCTTGGCGGCCAAGACAGGGAAAAAGAAACAAGCCAAGAGCCTCTCTGCTCCCAGAGAACCTGACATAAGCGGCGGTGGCCAACAGCGAGTACTCCAGCTGGATGGTTGGACGGCATCCAGGGGGATATCTTTGTGGAGATAAAGTCAAGCACTGACATCCAGTGACCCTGGAGAGTTTGGAAATCCGAAAGAGGGCTTTGCCGTCAAGGTCCAACGGCGCTATCCGCTTGGAGGTATATGTGGTATACTTGAGTTTGGGGCCGCTTGTACCACGATGGTGATCTCTGATCCAACCGGACCAACACTGATTCCTGATCCTGAGCTCAAGGCCAGACTATATCTCGATTGTCTCGTGTCCAACACAGCTCAAGAAGCAAGTCCTCTAAGCATAAACTCCGGCCGCGAGACTCCTTTGTTTGACTATGCCGCAGCGAGTGGCGGCGGTCTGATGCAGAACTTGTAAAGTGTATAAGAAAGAGCTCCCCCGGGCTATGTTCCTTAGTTGTCCTTCCTGTTCTCATCCCTCGACAGGATTTGAAAGGTATGTTTCATGAGCGGACCTGCACCTATGCCCCTTCCGAAAGCTCACAAACCTTCAGCTCTTCTCGACACCAACGACGTTCCCTCTCTTCGAAAGCAACTCGTCGAGCCGCCCTCATCGTGAGACGCAGGGCCGGATCCAGAATGGTTAGCTTAACCCACCGCAGAAATCGCTAAACCCATACGCCTACCCTATCCCAGAGTAAAACTCCGCCATCCTCACCGGTACCCTCGCAATCACAACGCCAGGTCTATGCTGCGACTGCTCCGCGGCCGGTGGCGCCGGCCCACGAGGATCCACGGCAAAATCCAATGACCTATTCGGCGCGCCTTGCCTCCGGGCCGCTTCAGACCAGTGCTATGTGGCGATCTGCGAAGATCTCATCTTTTTTTTTTCCCCCTTCTGCAACCGCTCGGGGGTCACCCAGTGGGATGTCTCTGGTGATCGGGATAAAGGTGCGAGAGACGATCCTGGTCCTGGTGGTGCCTGTGTGTTGGTGCTATCATCAGTCAAGCACCCGTACCATGCGTATTATAATGGCAGGGCGAATAGGGTGGCCTGGCTGGGGAGACATGATACCATGCGGAGATGCTAGCGAAGGTTGGGTATAGGTATAGCCTGGCGGTGCGCTAGAGAGCAACAGGGAGCCAGATTCACAGGGAGCCAGATGACTGGCTGTACAGGGTCTTGGAGAGTTGTGTTTGGTCTCAGAAGATTGGATCAAGGACCATAGGGATTGACAACCTTGTTACTCGTGTATAATGATTACCCTTGCTCGAGCAGCATGTTGGGCAGCAGAAGCGGCTGACGCAATCTGGGTAACAAGAGTATCGCTAGCTGAAAGGTTGAAGGTAAGATGCGGCGAAGGGTAATGTAGCTTCAACATTGAACTTGGGATCTCAAAGTTAACTGCATACTTCAGTTCAAACATAGAACCGTACTAGAAGGAGAGGTCTGAAGTCATGACATTGGTGAACTATTGTCGTAGCGATACAGATGCAGGTAAGAAGGACATAAACTCAGTTACTCTGTGAGTATCTGAGCACATTTTACAGGCTGGTTCTTGAAATGGGATAGATATATAGAGTGAGAGTAAGGTGGGTCAAATGGCGAGGTGTGAGCTCCAGAAACATCGCCATGACTGGGGCGCTATAAGATAAATAACTCGGTACAACTACGGAGAAAAGATTATGCAAACCCATCCTATCCGCATTGGCTGGGCTCAAAAGGTCCAATGACCTGACGGGATAGCATCCATCTCGTAACGCAGTACCATGAATATTCTAAGCAAATAGCAAAGTGCTGAGTAGAAAGAAATAACCGCGAGGATTCGTTAAGTTCTCACCAACACCAACACGCAAGAAATTACTCATGTACTCGCCACGTGGAATACACATTGGCACTTCAAGTCTTCAACAGAATTGGGTCTCGCTTGGTTGAGTCATACCGAACTCCCGGGACTCCAATAAGTTCGACTTGAAAGGTGTGGTAGCACAGAGCGCAGGATACGGCTCCGACGATAATTGCTGCTTGGAGCAACATGACAGCCGCTAATAATTGAGAGTCAGAAATCCGGCCGGGCTGGCCAAAAGTTCGGGCATGCTCGCCAAGAGAAGAATGTGGTCCATGCGATACTTCACCCTCCCGGCTCCGCCTGACAGAAGGAGTGAAGAACGCTCCAGCCTGAGAACTGACAAAAGTGAAACTGAGTCGAAAAAGGCTCATGCTGTCATTGCCTGTCAAGGAATTTTCGGGCTTTTCAACAATTCAGGTGCGGTATCGGAAGACATATTGCTCGCAGGTGGGGAGACAATAGAAGGCAAGTCATGATTGAAGCTGCAACATTGAAGACGATTGGATGCGTCTCCGCGAAGACACTGTGTGCTAGTGTTACCAGGAATCAAACACTCGCCGAGGCTTCTTCTCGAGTCTGACCGCTACTTGCGCCGACAGGGTCGTGCAAGAAAAAGCAAATCTTTGACCCTGGCGAATCAGAGGTGAAACATCAGCTGCATGAGGCGACGCATTTATCACACGATCACCGACGGCACGACGTGTTTTAAGCTTCGCTGGTTCCGCCGATCTCCAAAGGAGACCCGAACCAGCTCAAGCCATCATAGATCGCAGGGTGGTAAATGTTTCAAGAGTCTGAAACCACACATGCATAGTTAAAGCAAGGTCTGGAAACCGCGGAAGTCACCAACATGAGCCTTAAGAGGAGGCAGCTAAAGAAGGATTGTTGTTTGCTAGGGTTACTCAAGGCATCCCCGAGCGTGCATAATCATGGATGCCAAGAATGTAATTGGGCGCATGCCTCTGAGAATTGGGGGCCCTCATATTTCTTTTGATTCCTTCACCGACCAGCGGGCGATCCCAAATGATGTAAGGAAATCCAGATCATCTTCTGTACTGGCCTTTAACAAGGTATGTCAAGCTCATCTTATCTGCTCGGCAATGGACACTGCCTGGCCAGACATTCCATCAAATCCAAAACAAATGCGCGTCGTGCGAAGCTGTGGCGGGTAAAGCCCCTTGCGCTGACTCCCTTATGACGCCGAGCCCTTGTCGCGCGGAGGGCCACGAACTGATCCCTTGACTTGCTCGATAAGCTTTGGGCGCCTTGCGAAGGAACGGCGTTAAATGAGCGTGCACCTTATCGATCCTCCGATCGACAAGAGGACTTTAAAGCCATCCGGCCGCCCTGTCTCTTGGGGCACGATGTCCTTTCACTAGCTTTGCAAGCGGTCCATTTACCACACGATTAAAGTGGCCGTTGCAACTTGCTCACAATGGGGAATGTCTCTCCTACCACGCGCCAGCTGCTTACAGAATCCATCATATTCTGGAGCGTTGGGATCGTGTTGTACATTGGCCGAATGTACGTTTCATGCAGTCCGACGCAAACGTTACGAGCTGACTGAGAAGGGTGTCTCGTGTGATTGCCACTGGGTCCCTCAAGCGGTTGTACTGTAGGTTGGCCGATTCTTCCAAGATTGTTCCAGTCAAGTGCTAACGTCAGCGTCGGTAGTCGAAGATTACGTGATGACCCTGACGTTTGTGGGTTTGCCTCGACCACAACAACCTCTAGCCCCTGCTGACTGAGCTCCACCATCCTAGCTCATATACACCAGTCTTCTGATATTGATCCAAATATCCTCCCACTATGCAACGAATCTTATGGACCCAGCGGACTATGACCAGGTGCTTCGCGACCCACAGCAGGTTCAAGACCGAATTTTTGGCAGCAAAATTGTGATTGGCTTGGAGCAATGTATGCTGTTCTCGACCTGGGGCGTCAAGATCTGCATGTTGACAATGTTCTGGCGGCTCACCAAGAATCTCCGCCTGCACCTGTACGTGAAGATCGTGGCAGTGTATGTGGCAGTTGGATTTGTGGTGATCATGGTGACCTATTATGCGGTCTACTGTCGACCATTCTCCCAATACTGGGCGATGCCAGTGGAGAATCTGCAGTGCGCTACCTACCAACGCTACTCCATCACACAAGCAGTTTTCAACCTCTCGTCTGACGCAGCAATGCTTGCTGTCCCGATTCCGTTGATCATCAAAACACAGATGAAAAGGACGAAGAAGGTGCTACTGATCTGTATCATGAGCCTAGGCGTTTTCACGATCGTAGCAGCGATTCTCAACAAAGTGTACAACTTTGCCTCGCCATACACGACCACATATCAGATATGGTATATCCGTGAAGCAAGTACGTCAATCTATGTGGCGAACCTGGTGTGTCTGTGGCCGCTGATGCGGAAAATATTTGGTTTTGTTGCAACGCAGCGAGGAAGCGACCCAGACCGTGCTCGACGAGGGCCGGCAAACAAAGGCCGTGCGAGGATATCGCCCTCCGAAACGGCAAGGGAATCGCGGTCCCGGCTGTCGACCGTTCTCGAGCGCGCGGGGCTTCTTCGTGTATTTAGAAATCGAACGGCATTTGAGGGCGTGGGCAGCTCAGGAAGCAGCGAGCTGGACAAGCGAACAGCGTGTGCTGGTGTTGCAGGAATGGGTTCAATAGAGTTCGGAGTCACGAGTGCTACCAGGGAGAAGTCCGACCTGGAAGCAGGCGCATCACATAATCCGTAGCACATGTTGACCAAGAAATAACAACACGTGCTCAAATCACTCGTGGAAAGATTTGATTCCTGAGCAAGACGGCTGGTGGTCGTGTTGGGACCGACGAGCCAGGATCTGGAGGATAGCATTTCTTGCACAACGGGCACCGAGCCTGCCGCTTGGTGAACCAGGGATCGATGCAAGTGGCATGGTAGATGTGGTTACAGGTCAGCGACCGGATGGAATCGTCGTCCTCAAATGATTCCATGCAAATGGCGCACTCCATATGCGAATCGCCATGGCTGGAGGCAATGTTGACGTCGTCGTCGTCGTCGTCGTCCCCAGTGTCCCCACCAACACAAGCTTCTTTGTCCGCAGGGTCAAACGAGTGACTGGAGTCGGAGGGGGAGGCGGGCGCTTTGCTCGGAAGGGGGTCGACGGCGGCCTCCTTTGCCTTGTCTGACCGGTGGGTCAGCCAGTCGCTATATTTGACCAGCGGAAAGCGAGAATCGAGATCGGTGGAGGTGAGCGTTGCATAGGGAATGCCGAGCGGCCAGCTCTCGGGATCGATGGGGCGACCGGCGGCTCTGAAGCGGGTTCGCGTGCCAAAGAGGATCCTGTACTCAATCCTGTTCAGAATGAGATTGTGGGTGAGATGCAAAAGGCAGAACTGAGAATGGAGATGGACTACCAGACAAAGATGAAGAAGACGGCGACGCAGATGGGCGCGAGGTAGCCCAGGGTGGCCCCAGAAGGTTCGTCCGAGCCCTGCGGCATGCTGCGCGATCGTAAGATCCTACCTTACTAGCGGGAGGAGGATGCGATTAGAGCATTGATGAAAAACGAGTATATTTGACTAATTAGACATTAAGATAGCAGCAAGTTAGATAGATGGAAATAAGTTCTGAGATGTCTGGTGATGGCGAAGATAGAGAAAGTATCCTCCAGGCTCGTGAACCGAGCTCGTCGAGTCTCCTGACCAGAGCTACCCCGCACACCAAGAAGTCCACAGTCTGGTGCGAGCACCGCACCTCGTCCATGTCCTCGATCGTCGAGAGATGCTACACGGGCGATTTGCGATCATCCCGTCTGCAGAGAACATTCTGTATTTCTTCCATCGAGGGGAAGCAGTGTCGCGAGAACTGCTCAGGGAAAACACTGTCAGCTGTCATCCTTATCTGCCTCGGTGGAGAACCCCAGATCGCGATGTTACATCCGCTATATTAGTGAGAGAGGTACCAAGACTTTATTCTGGTATCCTGGTGTACCTATCTTACCGAGCTCCGCTCATAACCGTGTGGTCGGCGAGTCCAATTCGTGGAGAAAGCTCCTATCGACCTTGGCGTAATATATGCCTGTTCTGTAATTACCCATCTCCACTGGTACCAAATCTTGCGGGACACATGGAAATTATTATTCACGACCTTATTTCCAGTTGATAGCAGATGAGTTTGATAGCGATAGCCCCCAACACTCGTAGATGTCTTCCAGCTTGGGTGGGGGGGATGTCGGACAGTAACACAACCGCACTTGCCACCCGTCAGACAGGCCGGAGATACCTCCTTGCTGGAGGGATCAAGCCATCGCAAGCATCCTTCCGCAGACTCAAAAGACGCCACAAAAGTCTGGTCGAACCCCGGACTGGCGCGCTTCTCCTGCCTGTCGCAGCAGCTGCCAATCCTGAGCCCCAATCGCGTGGTCAAACCGTTGCCCGATCCATGGTGAGATGCGACAATTGTAACCTCAGCCTCTCGGCCTGTCCGTCTAACGCTTGATTCGGCCAAGTTCACCCCATCTCTTATCTTGATTCGCCATCGCCTGTTTTCCAACGCGTCCGAAGAAGTCTTCCATGCGTTCCCTGCATTATTTTGCTGATACCGACTGCCTTCCCTATAAAGCAAGATCGCACGCTCATCCTTTTAAACCCGGTCGCTCACCCCGTCCTCTCTTCTTTTCTTTCCCATTCCTTCCATCCCCCCATCCTTTTTTTCTCGCTCTTCTTTGACAGTCTTTCGCTTCTGCTCGCGACACAATGGGCGCTGAGGAGCCCAAGAAAGGCCCTGCCGATGTCGAGACCGGCCCTGCGCCTCCGCCTGCCTATGTTCAGGATGGCCAGATTCACAGCTATGAGGACGAGGACTTTTTGACCCGAAATGGTCTCAACTTCAAGTCTTTCCAGCGTCGCCCGGCCGACTATGTTGAGCTGCCGCGCCGAATGAAAACCCGCCATATGCATATGATTGCCATTGGTGGTTCCATTGGTGCTGGTTTCTTCGTCGGTTCTGGTAGCGCTCTCAACACTGGAGTAAGCGCGCAATTCACCAAGCCAAGTCTCATGTCGTGCTGTTCTGACTTGTTGTTTAGGGCCCTGCTTCTCTGTTCCTGGATTTCACGATTATTGGTATTATGATCTTCAACGTCGGTGCGTATTGTCTCCTCCTTTTGCCCCAAAATGAGACATAATACTGACAATTTCATCATTTAGTCTACGCTCTTGGTGAACTGTCTATTATGTATCCTATCACTGGTGGTTTCTACACTTACTCCTCGCGCTTCATTGACCCTTCCTGGGGCTTTGCCATGGGCTGGAATTATGTCTTCCAATGGGCCATCATTGTCCCTCTAGAATTAACAGTCGCCGGTCTCACAATAGAGTATTGGGGAGTTGACATTAGTGTCGCGGTCTGGATTACTGTGTTCCTGGTCGCCATCATTGTCCTCAACATTTTTGGCTCTCTTGGGTACGCCGAAGAAGAGTTCTGGTCTTCGTGCCTAAAGCTCGGCGCCATTATCGTCTTCATGATCATCGCTTTGGTCCTTGTTCTCGGTGGTGGTCCTTCGGGTCACAAATACGACGAGTACTTTGGTGCCCGCTACTGGTACAACCCCGGTGCCTTCAAGAACGGATTCAAGGGTTTCTGCTCTGTTTTCGTGACTGCTGCCTTCTCCTTCAGCGGTACCGAACTGGTCGGCTTGGCCGCAGCCGAGTCCGAAAACCCTACCAAGTCCCTACCCGGAGCCATCAAGCAGGTCTTTTGGCGTATCACTCTGTATGTGATATCCTTATACTCCCTCTTCCCCACCTCTGCGCTCTTGCGGTAACTAATGGTGTGCATGTAGCTTCTACATCGTTGGTCTTACGTTCATTGGCCTTCTCGTCTCCTCAGAGGATGAGCGTCTCTTGGGTAGCGGCTACATTGACGTTTCCGCCTCGCCCTTCGTGATTGTCGGTAAAGATGCCGGTCTTAACGGCTACGACTCATTCATGAACGTCATCATCCTCGTCTCTGTGCTCTCCATTGGTGTCTCTGGCGTGTATGGTGCTTCCCGTACCCTCACCGCGCTTGCCGAGCAGGGATACGCCCCCAAGGTCTTCACATACGTCGACCGCTCCGGTCGCCCTCTCTGGTCTGTGCTGATTATCATCCTCTTTGGTGTCTTGGGATACGTCAACGTGGACTCATCTGGTGAGGAAGTGTTTGCCTGGCTCCAGGCCTTGTCCGGTCTGGCCGCGCTCTTCACCTGGGGCTCCATTTGCTTGGCCCACATTCGTTTCCGCAAGGCGTGGGCTTACCACGGTCACACACTTGACGAGATCCCCTTCCACGCCGTTGGTGGTGTCTACGGTTCTTACCTCGGTTTGTTCCTGATCTTCATCGTCCTGGCCGCTCAGGTATGTCTTCTGGTAACCTCTTTACATCACGCATCATAAACTAACATCAATGACAGTTCTTCGTGGCCATTGCACCCCCCGGTGGCGGTCTCAACGATGCCGAGGGCTTCTTCAAGTCCTACCTTGCCCTCCCGGTAGTGCTCTTCTTCTGGGCCTGCGGTTACCTCTGGAAGCGCCAGGGCTGGCTCCGAACCGCTCAGATTGACGTTGACAGCGGCCGCCGGGAGATTGACTGGGAGCTGATCAACGCTGAGCGTGCCAGAGTTGCTGCCCTGCCCAAGTGGCGTCGCATCATCAACCTTATCATCTAGTAGATTTATCCTGTCGATCGATATGCACGCCATTCTCTCTAAGGTGTCCTTTCTAGGACGATCTGGGGATAGATGGGTCTGTTTCATGTCTACTAGTTTAATAGCTCATCCTCATCTTAACTAAGGTTGACCATTGTCTTAGTCTAATCTACCCTCTACCTTTTTACAAAATGACAAATGGATTCGCCACCTCCACGTCCAGACCATACTCCGTAAACCCTGCCCCATTTCCTGCATATGTGTCTGAATCTGGTCACCCGCCCAAGGTGTGATTTCCACGATCCCTCATGCAAGAACTTCCCCTCCCCTCCCCTCCCACTAGCTTTTTTGTTCCTAGTGGCGACTCGACCCCGAGTCGTCTCATCCATAAAACTACCCTGGAATTCCCATTACCATTCACATTCAAGTAAGCTCACACTCCGGCCCCTTCCAAGCCCGCCTAGTCCGAAAGAGGTGATCTCCTCCGCTCCACCGACCACACCATTTCTCGGCGGCGCCTGGGGTCGACTCTGCAGGCCGCAGCGTGAGCGCGCTGGCCCGCCGCGTCTGGTCGGATCCGGTCTTGAGACATGGGGGCTGGGACGCCTGGAGACGCCTGGAGAAAACGCCACGACGCTAGTCTCTCAACCCCCGCTTGGCGGGCCCGTTCTCGACCCGTCGAACGGCCAGGACTTCGGGGATGGGCGAGTCTGCTGAGGATGGTGAATACTTGGCGGTCGCGAGCGCAAGTCATGCGCGTTTCTGATGTTGCGTTCGGCGCTGCGCCCGGGCTGGGGAACTGGGAGTGAGATTGCCAATACCGGCGATTTTGGTAGAGGAGATTGCGGTGTTCGCGCTCGCCGCTGAATCGCTCGCGGCTCGTTCGTCGAGATTCATCAATGGTCTCGGTAACTATCCACTACTAGTACGGGCTCTGCGTCGTTTGGCCCGAGGATCGGACGTTGAAACTCGGTTCGTAGCCTTGTGTGGCCAAGCCAAGGAAGGAAGGTCGAGCTCGGTTTATCGCATGTCTCACTTCTCTCCGCGTCTCCTCACCTCATCTTCTCATCTCCCCATGGCCCATTTCGCATCTCTCGCCGCTCGGGTTCTCTCCTCATTTCGTCTTATCAGTGCCAATACTCCGGAGGTCCATTCCATGCGTATTGGCGCCTACGCCTACGCCTACGGATGCAAGTGAGATGCAGCCGAAAGGTTCCAAGGCAACCGGCGCAAGCCGAGGCACCCTGGCCGTCGCGTCGTCCATCCCATCACGCATACGCATCCGCATCCTGGTCACGCCGTCACCCCGTCACGCAAGATGGCGCTGTGGTGTGCTGTTGGATTTTAGTGCTTACGTGCTCGGAAGGATGAGGTAGAAATTTGGATAGATGGAGCGCTTTATATCCTAAGTACGTATGAGCATCCATCTCTACGTATTATTCCCGCTGAGTCATGTGTACCGCACTGTGGTTATTACTGAATAAATTCCAATTCAAAGTTGTGGGTTAAAACTATATATTTCTGTGCTGGAACAGGCTTCTGGCCTTTCATCGTATGTACGACTGGGATCAACTTCAGTATTACCATCACTTTTAACCTGGCAGATGCCAAGCAACTTCCATACTCCGTAGTAGATAAACCCCAATACACTATAGAATTGGGCGGCCGACGACTATCTCGTAGTGGCTTATCCCAAGGATGTGCAAATCCAGGGTCTACTGTTTTAAACGTGCGGCGCCCTGTTCTCAATGAAAGGCCTAAGCAGTAAATTAAGGTGATAAATTCCCTTACTAATCACATAATTCCTCTTCAAAAAGTGCCCATTCATCCAAGACCAAAAGATATCAATCCGGCCTTTCCCGGTCTACGGCTCCTTCCTTTTCTGGTTGCAGTTTCAGGCGGTTTTCGAGGACTGTTCCATATACGATAGCATTAAAACGGTAACCCACAACGAGCACTTATGGCGTAGTGGTAGCGTGTCTCAGTCGTAAAAAAAAGTTTATGAGATTAATGAGAAGGTCCATATTTCACCTGTGTGAGGGCTTTTCTTGGCATCCTCTTCTCGCCAACACACACCTAACTAAACCTACACCACAAGACACACTTTGTGTCTGTCGGTCGGTCCTTTTATTCTGCAAGACGCCTGCTTACTTTTCATGTATATCTCCAAAACAATAACCGTCTTCCTGACAATGGTAGCATGTGCCAGTGTCAAACAGTGTCAAAGCAGAACGTCTTTTGCAGCGTGGTTTCCAAGCCCCTGGATCGTCGGATACGCTACACGGAATCAAGCCACCAAACACACCCGACACCGCGAAACCATAGACCTGAGGATAGACACCGCAAACCAGCCCAGATGCTATTATGTGCCAGGCAGGAACTCGCGGTGGAAATGAGGTTCCAGCACACCCATGGCAGGGATTACGAACGGGGTGAACGAGTAGTAGGGCTGACCGTTCGCTGCTACGACCAGGAAGAATCGATCTACCATTGATAAAGGACCTGAAATGCGGATTTCGGATATAAGATAACTGACGACAAGTCCGTCGGCATAGACGAAGAACGGTCTATATAGGGGATACAAGACAGGTAGCTAAGAACTCGACTCAAACACTCTTCTTCAGTAAGATCTGGAAGGTAAGATGAGATAAGAAGACGAGCAAACAGCAACAAAACAAAAAAAAAAAATGCCGATATTGGGAGAATACTAACACGAGGAGTGAGTGTCGCTCGCCCCGATCCTCCCGCTATCTACTCCTCCCTCGCCCTCTTCGTAGCATGTGTAATTTACCAAAGAAACCGTGTTGCATGGTTATGTAGGTGCAAAATCCGATTCCAAACGCCTTCGCTATGCAAAATCTTCCATTTCCTGCTTTATCCTTAGTTCTCTTTCTTTGTCTTTTGTGTGTTTTCAAGCGCTATTGGTGGCTTGCTGTAGTCTCGCCGTGTCGCCTCATAGCCTCGTGCATCTCGACACGCAAGTCGAAGAGGAGGTTGTCCATTTCCCTGACAGTATCGCGGTCCAAAGAGGCGAGTTTGACCTGGTCGAGGAGTGTGCGGAGAGAAGCGGTGATTGGGATACCGTGGGTGGGCCGAGGGCTCGGCTCCCGTTGTTCGGGTTCCTGAGCTGGCTCGGGCTCTGGTAGGGCTGATGATTCTTCCGCTGAAGAAGGATGTGCTTGGTCCACGGAGATGCTCGCCTCAGGCTCGGCAGGGGTGGTTGTAGGCTTTGGCCCGTGCGCTTCTGCCATGTCTACGTCTTCGGGTTCTTCATGCACCTCGGGCTCCTTGATGGACTGTAGGTCTGGTTGAGAACTCTGTGTCCCAGGGGGCTCCGCCGGAGAGTTGTCCGTAGCTGAAGGCTCAAGAGACTCTTCTGGGTCGCCGTCCGGTGTTCCTCTTGTCGGTGCATCTTCTTTCCCTGACGCTGCCGCAGCAAGCTGGGATTTGCGCCTTTCGGCCCTTCGCTCCCTTTCTTTCTGCTTTCTGCTCTTCCGCGCACTACTGGGTCTAGGCGATTTCTTCGGAAGAGGAGATTTCTTCGAGACGGGACTTTCTTCTGGGATATCAGGTGCGGGAACACCACTGATACGGCCTGATCGCCGTTTCTGCGAAGATTCCTGGGTTTCTGGCGCCTTGCCGTTTCCTTTCTCCTTCTTTGCCTTGCTTTCAGGCTTAGGCGACTTGCCTCCCCTAGCAGCGGGTTCGGCTTCGTGCGTGTCTTCTGCTGTGACAGCTGAAGAAGACTGTGCTTCTTGAGTGACAGTAACGACCTTTTGCTTCTTCGGCCGAGCAGGCTGGCTGTCCTCAACTTGGACTGCTGGGGCAGCGCTAGAGGAGAGTCTTGAGGAACGACGTCTCTCTTTGCTAGACTGCGTGGATGTCTCGGCTTCTTCGTCTCGCTTTCGTTTGCGGGTAACCGGGGCTGGATCCGCCGAGTCTGGCACTTCTGAGTGGGGTGCGTCGCTGCCCAGGTCCACAGCGGAGACTAGATCGTACTCTAGTTGCGAGGTAGCCTGTGTGTCTGTGTCATCGCTGGAGTCTGCGGCGGCATCGGGTTGCTCGGGTTGTTGTTTCTCCAGGTGCTCGTCGCGCCCGTCGGTGACCTTGTTCTCAGGTGCTGAGACAGGCTGATCGATAGGCTCATGGATGGGTTCAATAGACAGTGCCTTGGGCATTTCTTCAGCCTGTTGAGGAGCGGTCTCCTCATCCTTTGTGAAGCTCTTATCTGTAGAAGAGCGAAGACGGGTTCTCAATCCCCGCCCAGGTTTTGTCTCTACATTGACATCGCTTTGTTCACTTTGCTCATTTTGCGAAGTGCTGGTGTCGGCATTTTCCTTGTTAGCCACCTGCGACAGCTGAGATCGTCTGGACCGCCTCGCCCGATTTCTCTTCTTGCCCTTCCCACCACTATCTTTGACAGCAGAAGATTTCGTGGGCGACGGTTGTCGAGAATCTGGAGTCTGCCGGTCAAGCTCGGGAGGGGATGAGGGAGGATCGACCTCCATCGCGTCATTATTGACGGCAGAAAACGAAGGAGGTACCGCGGATGCTACCGATGAGGTCCGACCTCTAATAGCAGGTGTCGGTGATGAGCCGAGGAATGTGTCTTCGTTGTCTGCCGACACCGCTGGTATCGTAGGTGTCTTAGGAGTCTCTGTGCCGGAATCTTCGTTTCGCAGGTTGCGCAGGTGAGGCGGTGTCATAAACCCGAGCGCCCGTGGTGTATTTCCCATTGGAGATGATGAGCGAAGGTTGTCGATCATCGAAAACACTTGGCTATGCTGGGCGGCGTGTTCATTATCGGACACTGGTAGAGCGGGACTTTCATTGCCATTTGTGTTACTGGTGGGGGCAACCCCTGGGAGAGTTTGCTCAATCGGTCTTGTCTCCTGTGGAGCCGCGACCTTCGTTGCAGACGATGGATCTGTAGGTTCGGAGAAAGGGTTTCCTGGAGGAGCGTCTAAAATGAATGTAATGCGAGACTTTGCCGGTACATCCTTAGAAGTGATCGTCGTGTTCTGGCTGGGAATGGTATGCGGGATACCCTGTTCATCGTAGTCAGTTATCGAGTCACCCGACGGCCTATAAGCGCCACCTACATCTATATTTCCCATTGGCAAGCCGCCTCGCCTCACATAACTAACCCTGGTTTTGACGTCCTGTACCGCAATGTGTAAGTGGATAGGGCAGCCTGGGTTCAGCTGACACTCAAAAGCAGAATTCCAAAAAGCGAGAAATTGTTCAGCCCTGGTATACTCGGACGCGCGTAAACCCGAGCAGAAGGTGCGCTCGAATCGTTGCAATGTCGCATCATTGCGAGGTAGAGCACCCAGAATATTCAAGATAGCTGCCGATAGCTCCTGGCACTAATACAAGTTAGTATGAAACGTATCATTCTCTTCGTGCGTGCACTTACAGCAATCAACATCCTCTTTTCACAGCCTCCTTCAACCTTCAAGTGACCAGCAACATCCCTCAGGTAGTAGCCAAAGGGTTCTTGGAGCTTCTCGAGGAGCATGCAGCGGAAAATAATACTACCTGATCCAAGGAATGATACTACCGACTCCATAAATTCAGCAAGACCCGTACCTTGAGAATTTGTGAAGTTATCGTAAGACTCCTTGAGGATCCCGTGGACAAGTCCGACTATTTCGGTAGGGAATGGCGGCTCGCTGAACTCTCCTTTTTGCTGGTTCATCATGTTTCTGTCCCAGTAATGGAAAGGAACTGTTAGGCAATGCCTGATGATTGAGGATGCTGGGAAGTACGTCTCATGGACCGTGAGCGAGTTCATTGCAGCCGCCAGAGGTGCAAGTGCTATTGCTGACACAGCCGAGTCTCCTTTTTCGGTACGCAGGACGCTCATAAATGTACCCAAAAGTCGATCCCAAATTGAGGAGCTGTCGGCAAAGCTCAATCCTGCGGTGAGGATCTTGATGACATTGTCGTAATCGCGGAACAAAGGTCCATCCCGTTCTCGAGCTGACTCAGTGGGGAAGGAAGACAAACAATCCGCACACAGTTGGGCCGTTGATTTCCAGACGGTGTCCGCGAACCCAGCGACGCTGGAATCGAATCCATGGCCAGTTTCGACCAAATCTACGCATTGTCGGAGGATATCGAGTTGGGGTCCTCTCGAAACTTTGCCGTGGCACACGGCTCCAACAACCTCGCCGATCAGGCGAGAGTAAGCAATTTTCGGTGTCGGAAGGCCCGAAACATTGCTAATAAGACGGAGCAGGTGCAGAATAGGGCTGTCAGGATGGTTACTGGCGGTTGAATGGCGGTTTGTAGAGGTGTTAACATTTGGGTATGCCGCTTCTGCTGTCTTCAAAAGTAATTTCTCTGTAACTGGGATATTACCAAGCGCATTCACCATGGTAGTCGACAGAAAAGCGAAGCGGTCGAAGTAGGTATCCTCCGACTCTATCTCGAAAGCATTGAGTGACAATGGCCTTGCTTTCCAGATGCGCTGGAGAAAGGCCAGTACATGCGCCACCGCCTGCATTGACTCAGGAGAAGGCGTTATCTCCTTGCTTGCGGCAAATGCGAGAGCCTGGATGAGATTTGTCCACGCAGCGGCTATGTTGGACGTTCGCGGCTCGGTTTCCCAGACAGACGACTTCAGCAAGGACTCAAAGACCTTAAGAACAGTGGCGATTCTGGACCTAACCCACTTGCAATCCAAAGGAGGTAGTTCTTCGGCAACAATTCTTTTCAGCTCATTTACTCGATTCTCCGACCAAGCCTTAAGCGGTTGCGAGCTCCATAACATATGAGAAATGGCATGGGCAGCGCGATCGCTTAGACTCGACACCACCGAGAACGTCTTTTCCGACGGTAATGCGATGTATTCTTCCCAAACGATGTCTAGCTGGTGGAAAGACGCATCAGGACGGAAGGCGTAGTAGAGAAGATTGTGGTAACTGGAAACCACTAATCCGCTGGGCTGTGTGTTTTGCTTGTCTATCTTCTTCCTCTCAAATTGAGAGAGTATCGGCTTGCTCAGCATCCGCAGTAAGGACCGGGAGGTTGCCTCGCTGATATTGACCACTAGAACGAAGCGATTCCAGTTCGTGATAGCTCTGGACTTGATCTCAGGATCGCTGCAGTTGAAGCATTTCTGGAGCACAAGAACCCATTCCTTGAAATGCGGCCACTGGTCAATGTTGAATCGCTTGTTTCGCAAGAGCAATGTCAGGACACCCCATATTTGAGGAACGTGTTCTCCTGTCTCGGGGTTAGCCATCATGCGCGTCATACGCTCGCATATTTCTGACGCCAATTTCCTCTTATGTTGATCGAGAGGCTGGTCGAAAATATCGCGAAGAGTTTTTGACAAGGTCGAGTTGGCTCCCGCACTCATGTAGGCATTGAAACCAACATCTAGCGCCTTCAGTCTGACGTCTTTGACATGATGAAGCAATCCAGACAGGATGTGATTCATCCATAAGGCCGGCTGGGAAACAAACGCGGATTTGTTCAGCTCGAATATGCGCTCATAAATCATAAGACGTTGAGAGACTATCCCGTTCCCTTTCACTTTGTCGGTGAGGCTATTCAGCATTGTAAGTAGGCGAGAGATTCGAGCATTCGTTATTATCCGCGGTTGGTACTTTTGCTGAGATAGAACGGAGAGGTAATGGATCAAGACAGATTTCGGAAGTCTGCCATTTTCAAGGCAGCTGACTGCATGATCGACAAGGAAAAGTTTGAAGTCATCAGGAAGATGCGGAGAGATTTGAGGATGCCAGACAAACACCACGGAGAGCTTTAGGGCCTGAATTACGACATTTGTTTCCAATGGCCCTCCTTTCGTAAGGTCCCGGCTGACATCGCGTTGGATAAATTGTGTAATCAACCCCAGCTTGCGCACGATCTCCTCCTCGGTTGGAACTTTTTCGTATGCCCTCAATGCATTGAAAAACTGCATATAGGCATCACTCCTCGAACTTGTCTTGTCTCCAGCCAGTTGCTGGGTGACAGATTCCAACAGCATCGCGAATGTTTCGGGAGTATACGATGTAACTTCTGACAAAGAGAGGGGACCGGGCGAGTTTGTTGCCTTGAGTATAGACCGAGCGGGTTTACATTCGTTCGAAGGAAGAAGGACTTTCGATTTCGCATTGGTGAACGTCGGGGGCTTGATGTATTTCGGCCATGGTGAGAAATTGACACGCTTCGATTGACGACTTGAAGGGGCACCGGTAGAGCCGTTCGGAGGAAAGGGAGATTCGACGGGCGTCTGCACAATCACTGGCGACTGTTCTGTCCGGCCTTTCTCAGACAGCGTGCGTGATGCAGTCCTCGGTGGAGTCGGCGGACGAGCAGACAAAGGACTGAGAACGTCCACCATATTTCAAGAAAGAAAAAGCGAAGAAAGAATGGAGAAGGTGAAATAGAACATTGCGATGCGGCCAAACTCCAAAGACCGACTCAGACCACTCCGTCCCTAACTTGACCGAAGGAAGCATTCAAGATTGTCGGAGGCCCATATGGGATCGGCTGCAGAGACGCTGGGGAGACGCCAAGCAAGGCTCTGCGAAAAGCGAGACGCGCCTGTGGCTGAAGACGCGTAAAGTGGTCGCCCAGCGCGTTTGATGCCTGAGGCATTAAAGAGTCAGGCCACATTGGCAGCCTGACAGCCTTGGAGTTCAGGCTACTTTTGCGGAGAAAGCTGCTGACTCCTTTGCTGGAGTTTCCAAGTTTCGGTGGGGTTCTGCCGTCTCTGTGGCGCAAAAGTCCCTGAACAATGAAACATTCGGGACATAAATTACTTGGATTCCTTCTTTCCTTTGAATATATCATCTATCTAGCACATCTTGATTTTCTTCTCGGTTTGTTTCCTGTTCTTTTCTGCGCCAAACCCCAGTTCTCCCGCCGCTAGAGCTGCTTTTCGCCCGATCGACAAGCTGAGTGCTCGGCCAATTTCTTAGATACAATTCGATGCTGGCACCTGATCCTACAAAGATTCAACGTGAAAACTGACTCATCAGAAAATACGAGCGTTTATGAGACGATGGAATTTCGTGTTCTCCAGGGCCCAGGTATAGCGCGAACCATCCCACCAGTCTGCAGAAGCAGTGCGCTAACTACGGCGCGACCTCGATTTGACAGAGAAATTGCGGCAAGTCACTAAGCTCCTGGAAACGCTTGAAAATGATTTGAGTACCAAGTCCTTGAATTCTGCACGTAAGTGACTACTGGGCGCTAGATCAGAGCTTATGCTAAGCTAGTGACTCCTTTCAAGAGCGCACGCAGACCTTGCTTCAGCTGCGGCAGCATGGCACTAACCCAGACAATGCGGGACCTATATATTCAAAACGGGTACGAGGATATTTCAAATGTTGATGATGATGGAAGTCTCTGATGATTTTAGGGCATCGACATCTTATCAAAATATGGTGTCGATGGAGAGTCAACAGACGTGCGGCGCGCTGCGCTGCGATGTGTCGCGAACGCCCTTCTTCTAGATTCAAATATGCGCCAGCTGTTCGTGGACACTGGCCGAGGTGGCAAGCTGGCTGAGATGCTCAAGGTATGCGCGTGATTCGTCCACTCTACCGCATGCTAACATGGCACAGTGCGACTCGTCTGAGGATGAAATGGTTATCAGCCGGATACTCTTCCTTTCCACTTACGATACGAACATGGACTTTGATGCCCTGATCAACAAGCATTCTCTAGGAGATAACGTCAACTATGTGAGCAACTTTTATGCGACGGAGCTTTCCACCCACTGACGCGCAAATCCGCTGCTGTTAGCAAATCCTCCGACACTCTAAGCAATTTCCGAAGTCTGGCAGGAAGCCTCTGCCACAAATCGATGAATTGGCGCTTATTGACACGCTGAAGCTGGTCTTCAACGTTGCCAAGATCTATCCAGATTTAGCGCCTACGTTCTCGACGTCAATTCCCTATATATTCAAGATTATCAGTCGTATTGAGATTCCGCTCAAGCCTCTCGATGGCCTCCTTGGTACGCTTCTGAACTGCTTGTCGACCCTGGATCTTGAGAACAAGAATGGCAAGCCCTTTGATGGCAGTCCTCTTTTCCCCACCTTCAACCAAAACTGCAACGTCGATAAGCTTATCAACATCTTGGATCAGGCAACATCGGCATATGATCCTTTGGAGCTGGAAACGAAGAGCATTCCCCTCCTCCACACCCTAGTTGTCATTCATGAGCTAGCTCCGGATGGCCCTCGGAAATACATGCAATGGCTTCTCTTGCCTGATGACAACGACAGGAACCAGCCAATCGGGCAATCCGACACGCTTTCTTCAAAGCTACTCAAGCTGTCAACCATGCCATATGCGAACCTCAAGGTCGCAATTTCTGAGCTCATGTTTGTTCTTTCTGGCAGTAATGTCGAAAACTTAACGAGGAACATTGGCTACGGATTCGCCGCGGGTCTACTCGCATCGCGGGGCATAGACATCCCTCAGTCCGCAGGCGAGGCATTCTCAACAAATTCAGAAGGCCTCGACCCCGATGTCAACCCGATCACAGGTCAAAGATGGGACGCAGAGAAACCAGACACGGGGCCGCCGATGACGAAGGAAGAAAAAGAACGCGAGGCAGAAAGGCTCTTTGTTCTCTTTGAGAGGTACGTTTGACCCGTGCCCACGTAGTAACGCTAACATTGGAATAGGGCCAAGGCGAACGGTATCCTCGGCGTTGAAAACCCGGTCACCCAGGCACTGCGCGAGGGGAGATTTGAAGAACTATCCGATTCCGATAGTGAGTAGATATTGTTGGGAGCTATTTTGCTTGGAGATTTCCAACAAAGGGCATATAATCAACACAAGGGTCTATCAGACAAATGTTTCCACCCAATAATCAAAACCTTTAGCGCACAGTATATAAATACAGAAAGCATCTCAGATCCCAATGATATACTTCCATGGAACGTCGTAGAATGCAAAGACCAGTGCCAATGACGTATCCGTGCGGCGGGGTTTTGGGCGGCAGCAAAAATCCTCGGCAAAAAAAATGAGAGTATCGCGGGGCACTACCAGTCATCTCAAACAACCATCATCTGTCGCTATCCTTCAAATCTGACTCGTTCATTTAGCCTTTCATATAACCTTCTTTCTATATCTCAAACACCCCCCAAAACAGCCAAAATGTCGAAGCCTTTCGATCCCGAGCAGGCCCAGAACCTGGATGATGTAGGTCACCCGCTGCATTGAACACACGACCTCCTCCCACGGCGACGCCGAGATGCTGACAGCAGCCACAATAGATGGAGAAGCAGTTCGCCGTGAAGGGTACGTACCCCGCATTTAGCTGAACTTCCGAGTCCGACGACATCCGGTTTACTCACGCGCACGCGCATCAACTACAGCGGTCGAACACTTGATGACGTACTGGTCGATTCTCGAGAAGGTACCGGGCTCGCAGCTGCGGCTGACGAAAATCGACGACGAGATCTACGAACACTTCAAGGCCGAGTTCCCCGACTTCGACCCGGCCGCGACGATCGACGAGGACCAGATGAAGAGCAAGGAGGGCAAGGAGAAGTGGCGCAACTGGATCAACCAGTACGAGAAGAAGATTGACGATTTCAACTTTGGCACGATGCTCCGGGCGAACCCCAAGACCGAGTATGAGCAGGATAACACGATATTCGGTGAGTGGCGAATTGGAGATTCATCTGGTGTAGAGCGAGGGGGTGTGTGGTCTGGCTAATGCGGGGCAACAGCAATGCGCATGCAGTTCTACGCTGTGGAAATCGCCAGGTAAGCCCGTTCCTTATGTCCAGGCCGGATTCGGTATACTAACAGCATCCCCTTTGGGATTAGAAACCGAGCTGGTCTCAACGATTGGGTTTACGAGCAGGCCCAGGCGAAGAAAGCGAGCTCATAAGCGGTCGTTGCTATCTCCGAACAAATCCGACTCGCCGAAACCTAGAGACTAGACACAACCCAATTCAAGCGCATGCCAATGACACAATTCCTGTGACTGTAGATTCCAACGAAAGGCGCGGTCCGTCTGTCGCGTGGCCTGGAGAGCGCTCCCTTGGCGCTTATCGGCGAACACAGGTTGACCATTGTTCCCTGTTACCCATACCTGGAAATGGAAGATATTTTTGTTCTGTGCATAAAAGTGTATATATGAGTTCCTTTGTTCGTGGTGGTTGTGAATGCAACACAGTCAGCCTCAATGCAGAGAACAATACTAAGTAAATCCCTTTGATGCCCTTGCATGAAACACGCATCAATCTGGCCGTTTTGGGAAACGCAAAGCAAAACTAATTCGAGTCATGGTCCTCTTCGATTCTTGGTCGAGAATAATGGAACTATTACGCGATTCAGCTGTTGTCACTGCGTCTCTCATGTCACATTTTTGTCAACTATGCCTCACCTATATCCGACCTACTCAGCGATCTCTCCTTCATCACCAATTTCACCAATCCTGACCAAATGACATTGCAATCACATACACCTCTTAGCCGATGATGGCTACAGGTATCGGAGACCGTCTACACAATCTCGTCAGAACCCCTTTACTCAATTTCACGACGAGCAAGCATGTCCCGACTCTGGCAGCAGCCGTACTCTGTACCTTCGTCGCCAGCTTTACGGTACCGCTCTTCTCAATCATCCTTGGCGGGATATTCAATCAGTTTACGCTGTTCGGTGGAGGAGAAATCACCGGTCAGGTCTTGATCCAGCAAGTTTCGTCGTATGCCATCCTGCTTCTTGGGCTGGGGACTCTCGGGTGGTTCTGGAACGGAATCTACTTAATCCTCTTCGTGGCATTCGGTGAACTGCAAGCTGCCAATGCTCGAGATAAACTGTTCAACGGGCTGTTGAAGAAGAATCAGCGGTTCTTCGAAGAGCAGGAGGAGGGAACTCGGACATTCTTGGGATGTATTCCAATGTGAGTGCATTCCCAGCCATGGGTGTACAATTCAACTCAGCATTCGTACAGCCAGATACAGGAGCTGCAGACGGCTGCCTCACAGTCCCTCGGGTTGGCCCTACAATACTTCTTTCGTACACTGGTCTCCCTCGGCGTTGCGTTTTATACCTCCTGGAACCTCTCCCTCGTCATCCTAGCAGGGATCCCCATCGTCTCGATGCTAGTTCCAATCCTCGCGCCAAAGATCAATGCAAGCATCGAAGCCCAGCAAAATGAACTCAAAATTGCATCAAAAGTCGTCAACAATGCGGTACTCTCCATCGACACCGTGAAATGTCTCAATGGCCAGGACATCGAGCTCGGCAAGTTTAGCACCGATGTGGACAAGAGCGCATCGTTCTTCCTTAAACAGGCCCACTTGAACGCTCTTCAGATATCCGCCATGCGGTTCATGATGTTCGGCATGTTTGTGCAGGGGTTTTGGTACGGAAGCTCTCTTGTGCACTCTGGGAAGCTGTCCGCTGGTGACGTTCTGCGGACATTCTGGGCTTGTTCTTCTGCCGCTCAGTCTCTTGAGTCTCTGATGCCGCACCTGGTCATACTCGAGAAAGGCAAGGTTGCTGCGACCGCGCTGCAACGGATACTACGCGGCGGTGATAAGAACCTTCCTGAGGTGGAGATGCAGGGGGCTCAGTATCCAGGACTTTGTGACGGCGATGTCGAGGTGGCATCGGTAAGTTCAACCACGTCAACACTCAGCTGAGCACGAGACTTACTTCGCTAGTTGTCATTTGCATACCCATCTCAACCTGAGCGGCCAAGTCTGAAATCCTGTGATTTCACCTTTCCAGCTGGAAGTACCACATTCGTTATCGGCAAAAGCGGCTCGGGGAAGAGCACGCTCGCGCAACTACTCACTCGCTTCTACCGCCCTACGTCAGGAGAAATCTTTATAGACGGCAATCCGATCCAGACGCTGAGCACGACGTGGATCCGCAATAACATTACATGCGTCGAGCAACGTAGTATACTCTTCAACGAGTCGATTTTCAGAAACATTGCCTTTGGACGGCATGATCACGAGCAGGTTCAAAAGGAAGACGCGGCGGAATCCATCGATCTGGCGATGCTAGCAAGCACAGTTGAGAAACTGCCAAGCGGGATAGATACCCTCGTCGGCGAGGGAGGCAATGCCCTCAGCGGCGGTCAAAGGCAGCGAGTTGCAATCGCAAGAGCTCGATTGCGAGACTCCCCAATTCTCATCCTAGATGAGCCGACGAGTGCCCTCGATGGGTCGAACCGTGTTCATGTCATGAATGCTGTTCGAAAATGGCGTGAGGACAAGACCACGATTATCATCACTCATGACATGTCTCAGATAAGGGATAACGATTTTGCTTACGTTCTAGAGAATGGCTCGGTTATTCAAGCTGGGTATAAGGCAGAGCTCAAGCACGAACCGGAGCTTGCTGTATTCTTCAGTGAGAATGACAATGGTGACACCGACAAAGTCTATTACGGCGATGAGTCGACGGATACAGCTTCCATGTGCTCTGACGATACTTTTGCCGAACAACCGCTGAAGGATTTCTATGTCAACCCTTCTCGTGCCAACAGATATTTCAGTAACTCACCGTTGCATAGTGGCGGGGAAGAGCCGGATAACATGTCTCTTCCAAAAGATCCATTCGCTCTCGAGACCGAGATCCCCTTGGAAGCCCTTACCCCTACAACACCTCGAGAGGTGCCATTCAGTGCACCATCGTCCTCTAGAGGTCTCAAGCGCCGATTGAAGAAAATGCGCAAACGAGCCAAGCGCTCAAAGCGTGAACGACCAATTAGTCCACTCACCACCCTGCAAAACCCGATCCGAAAAGCAATGCAGTCAATCATCCCCAGTCTATCGCCCAAACACCGTCTGCTGCTGTTCGTTGGTGTTCTATGCACACTGGCACATGCCACCGCGACCCCAATCTTTTCATACCTCCTCTCCCGCCTGCTCCATACATTCTACTGTCAGACCAACGACAGCATGCGATGGGCACTCGCCGTCCTTGGCGTGGCAATTGGCGACGCATTCACCAACTACTTGATGTACTACCTCCTTGACGTCTGCGGCCAAGTCTGGATCGATCATCTACGGAAACAAGCATTCCAGCGCGTTCTCGACCAGGCCCGATCGTGGTTTGAAGACGAACGGAATACGGCCGGCGAGCTAAGTACTTGCCTGCATGAAAGCGGCGAAGAAGTCCGGAACCTGCTTACTCGTTTCAGCGGGTATATCCTCGTCGCTGCCTCAGTTACACTAATGGCAGTCGTCTGGAGCCTAGCGCTGAGCTGGAAATTGACTCTTGTTGCGTTGGCTTGTGGCCCAGTTATCTATGGCATTACGCGAGGGTTTGAAACGACGAGTGGAATATGGGATAGGCGATGCACTGCAGCTAGGACGAAGACGTCAGAGGTGTTTGTTGAGACCTTTGCGGAGATACGGACGGTGCGCGGCTTGACGTTGGAGCACTACTTTCACCAGAAGCATCTGAGAGCTGCGTCTACTTGCTTGACGTTGGGATTGAAGAAGGCCATATACACGGGGCTGATGTTTGGTCTTATTGAGTCGATTATTCTTTTCGTTAGTGGTGAGTTGCCCACTCCTACTTACCCAGGAGCGAGCCAAAGCCAACAATATGCAGCATTGATCTTCTACTACGGGGCAGCCCTAGTGCGCTACGGCGACTTTACAGCCGAAGACATCATGTCCGTCTTCTCTGTCCTGCTCTTCAGCATCGCCTATGCAAGCACGGTCATGACATGGAGTAAGCCCTCCTACCCCTCACCCCTTTCAGCCCTTCCAGCCCTAACTAAGGCGCACAGTTCCCCAAATAAGCACCTCTCGCGAAATGGCTCGCCGCCTCTTCCGCCTCGTCGACCTCCCAGCGCACACATCCCACGAACACATCGGCACCCAAAAACCAACATCCATAGCTCCCATCGAAATCAAAAGCCTAACCTTCCACTACCCGTCCCGCCCAGACGCGCCCGTCCTCCGAAATATCTCCCTCTCTATCCCCGCAGGCTCCTGCACCGCGCTCGTCGGTCGCTCGGGTTCAGGGAAGTCAACAATCGCCTCGCTCCTCCTCGCACTCTACGAAACACCTCCATCCCCTTCATTCACGGGGACATTGTCTGAGAACGCACCGAGTATTTCCCTAGCAGGAACCTCCATCCGCACGCTCCATACGCCCACCCTGCGCAACCAAATCGCCATCGTCTCGCAGACACCCACGCTCTTCCCGGGCACAATACAGGAAAACATCGCCTACGGCCTCCCCACCACCTCACCACTCCACACCCTCCTCAACGTCCGCGCCGCGGCAACCGCCGCCGGAATCGACGAGTTCATCTCCTCGCTACCACAGGGCTACCAGACCATAATCGGAGACGGCGGAGTCGGTCTTTCTGGCGGACAAGCGCAGCGGGTCGTCATTGCACGTGCGCTTGTTCGGGAACCGCAGGTCCTTGTCCTTGACGAGGCGACGTCGGCGCTTGATCCGGGGAGTGCGGAGACGGTCCGGAGGACGGTTAGGGGGCTTATGCAGGCGCGGCGCGGGTTGACGGTGCTGATTATCACGCATGCGAGGGAGATGATGGAGATTGCGGAGAATGTTGTTGTGCTTAATGAGGGGAGGGTTGTTGAAACTGGGAGCTTTAGGGGGTTGGTTCGGAGGAGAAGGGGGAGGTTGAGGGCGCTTATTGGGGGTGATGATACAGAGGCTCGCAGAAGCAGTGCGAACAGCACACCGGACAAGATATAGTCATTTAACTAAGCGCAACATACAGCATACAGTGTAGGGCAAACATAGCATAGCGTCGCATGAATACCACCCTGATATCCGGACCAAACCAAACCATTACTCAAGACCAGCCAGCCCGTAACATTAGGTGCGCCTCCCAAAAACTCTCTGAAAGAACGCAATAGCCTGCTCCTCCGCCTCCTCCGCCTGGCGGCTACTATCCGGCACGGCCGTATCAGCCCGAACACAGAACCCATGGCCCGCCCTCGGATAAACCCTCACCTCTCCACCGACCTCCTCTTTCTCCTCAACAACCCGCTTCACGACCCCAATACTCTCCCCCTTAAGCACACTATCCAACTCCGCCAAAGCAAAGCTCACGGGGACAACGAGCTTTTCGATATCGCCGGGGACAGACAGGAAGCTCGGGTGGCCTGTGAATCCCGCGTCGATGAGTCGTGTACTCACACCATTGACGTCTGTCGATGCGCCGTGTGCAAGGAGCACAGTGTGCTTCCCACCCCAACAGAAGCCTGCGGCGCCGATGGGGGTACTCAGGTCTGTGGAGCGGCGCAGGGCGCTGAAGAAGGACTCTACGACTGGGTAGGATTTTCCGGGGTAGTTGCGTGCTATGAAGGGGATGAAGCCGAATAGGGTGGAGAGGATGTGGTAGCTGCTTACATGTTACTCTTGGTACCGCTCTTTGGGTATATACTAAGATAGTTGAAATAAAGCAATGGCTAAGGGGGTTGGCATACGGCTTAACAACCCAATCCCAGAGGGACCCCGTCGCCATAACACCGCGGACGGCGTCGAGCATATAGACTGGTGCGGCGGTTCCTAGACGACATCGTCAGTTATATATTCAGCTCAAACCATATCATCCCCATTTTCATCTCCATCTCCCTCCACAGGATATGAACGAACACAACTCTAAAGATCAAAGCAGCATACCCTTCATAAAATCCGGCAACAAAACCCGAAACCCTCCCCGCTGCGCATAATGATCCGCGAGGATGCGATTATTAACAAACTCCCAGCCAAATGCATCAGGGATGATGACGATGATTCCTTTGGGCTCGGTGTTCTCTGGTGGCTCGGCGATGTAGACGTCCAGTCCGTGGAGAGTCGTGACGTGACCGGTTGGGGTGGAGGGGTTAATGTGGCCGGCGAAGCAGTTGGGGCAGGACATTTTGGAATATATTTTCTTTGAATTGTACGAGTGGCTATAAAGTTAGAGTGTAAAAGAGAAGCGTGTCTGCAAATGAGAGGAATGAGGAGGTTGGGAGAGATTTTGGCGTTGTGAGAGGGAGGATGGTGGTGGTCGGGGATAACTAGGGTTAACTCCGTGAGGCTTGAAGCCGCGGTTCATACGAGTCTCGTGATAGCTGTGCTCTTTTAGTACCTGTTTGGTGTATGTGGCTTGAAGTAGACTTTTTTGCGATTGAGATATGTCAGGTCTAGCATGGATATTCTAAGTATAGAGGTATGGTGCACAAGCCAATTATTGGCATGGGCCATGCAGATACGTCTATAGGGCTCGAAGATAATCGGTCCCACGGTCAATGCTTAGCTTTGTCCGTGCTTCCTGTTGCTGAGCTTGAGAGGGACTGATATGTTTCAGCCTTCATTTCATTGGGCTTGTGCAGTGGGTCAAGGAGACCTCATTTTCGCTAGGATTCATGAGGACAACTCATGTCATACTTGGTGCCAAGTAATAGTTCCCAAAAGATAGCCATCTGTCTCTTTAGGATCATAGCCAACTGATATCAATATTTACAGCAAAAACTCCCCCTTCGTCTTCGCAAGCTGCTCGTCATAATACGGCTGGAAAGCCAACCACCCCTTCTCAGGCCCCCCAACCTGAGTAGCCGTATACGCCGCCTCGTCATCATCAATAATAATCTTCTTATACCCACCGGCGGCCGCCGCATCCGCCAGCAGCTGCGCCTGACACGTCTTATCAAGACTGATAAACCAAAACGCCGCCTCATCCACACTCCCACCGACGGTCAACAGCCCATGATTCTGCAAAATCGCCGCCTTCCCATTCCCCAGCGCAGCGGCGATGCGTCGCCCCTCCTCGCCGTCCGTAATCACCCCGCGGAACTCGCGGTAGACGGCGTGGGATTTGTAGAAACGCAGCGAGTCCTGCGTGAGCATTTCGAGCTCACGACCGAAACATGCAAAGGCTTTGCCCGCGACGCTGTGTGCGTGACAGGCGGCGTTCACGTCTGGTCGGGCTTTGTGGATTTCGCTGTGGATTGCAAAGGCCGGGAGGTTGATGGGCTCGTTGCCTTCGACGACGGTGCCGGATTCGTCGACGAGGATTAGGTCCGAGACTTTTATTAGCGAGAAGTGGGCGGAGAGCGGGTTTATCCCTGGCAAGCGTACTGTTAGTCTTTCTATCTTGCTCGCTTGCACATGGAGAAAAGAAGGGCGACGTACAAAAATGATCCGTCAAAATCGGATCTCGCACCGAGATGTGCCCCGCAACACCTTCGTCGAATCCTCTATCGGCAAAGACGCGGAACGCAGCGGCGAGGTGCTGCTTGCGGTAGAGGCGCTCATCCTCGAGGTTGTCGAAGACCGGGTAGCTGCGGACCTTGAGGGTCTTGCCTGACTTTGTCTTGCCGAGGACTTGGACTTGCGAGGGGTTGTTTGGACGAGTGCGTGTGTTTGCGTCTGTGTCGGATGCGGTTGGGTTGAGCTGTTTTGTAGGTGTGGGAAGAGGTGTTTGTTGGATGTCGGATAGGGTTGTTGGGGCCATGGTGGATTAGTTTGGGGCCTATATCTGTAGCTAAGGATACTCGTACGCTGCGGGTATGAGTATAGCTTGAATGGAGAAGAAAAAGGACGCCTGTAAACGGCTTCTCCTGGTATGGAGGAGTGATATACCCCATACTACCCCGCATGCGCACTCGGGTGCATTTCCGTTCCTCTTGACGCAAGACTCACCGGAAAAGCATCGCTTTTTCCGGACCCGAGGTTATTCCTGACGTTTTCTTATATGTACTCGGTGTGTATTAGAGCGAGCTCTTTTTCTATATGGTCAATATCTCGCAGGTCAAAAAATGAGTGTAATTACCCCGAGCCACTCAAGTCTGCGAACTTTGACAGAAACTCAAGTAAGAGTCTTGAAGGTACTCTTCGCGTAGATGATATCTTCATAGAGGCCATTTCTGACTGCACTTCCCGGCTGTATAAAAGGATCAGATTAGAGCAACAAAAAGTCGATAGAAGTATTCTGCAAGGGGCAAAAAAGTACGCTTCGAAAGTACAGAATGGACAACGCTTTGCACGCTTGGGGATCGCCTATTTCTAGTTATTTCTTGTCCAGATAATGGGAGGAAAAGGGATACTTACAATATCGCCTGTCGGGCACCACATACGGTAGGAGTCATGGTTGGGACAATCACAAATTGTACGGGGGCTATTCATTACCAATAGTTAGTAGATCTTAACTGATATGCAGAATATTACTTACCCAGATCGAAGCTTAGCAAGCTGCTGGACTTTCTCTAAGTACATGACCCGCTCCTGGATTTCGGTTTCCTGCTCCTCGAGCAGTTTCGCTTTCGAACGGCGGCCCATATCTTGATAGGATTGACGATTGGTGATTAGAATCAAGTTAACTTTGAGTTTGGTGCTTCGAAGTTTCGGGGAAAGAAGAAGAGGCGATCTGAAGAAAGAGAGGTGTGGTACCTAAGCACTTTACAAGAGAAACAAAAAAACAAAAGTGAGAAATAAGGATGGCATTTGAAAATTTGTGTTGTATGATAAATATGCGCAAAATCCCATAACGAGGGGAGGTAAATACACCCCATCCACGTGAAAACCCCCTTCATCACAACGTAACACACACAGCATCTCCAGTTGTCTGACCCTCTCATATCTCTACCTCTCCATATGATAGTTCCAAAATATTAAAATTCAGCTTCCCGTTCTTGAGATGTTTACCTGGCAGAGCAGGTGGCAACACTCGCTAATGGAGACGGATTCACCATGCCCAGGCTTGTGCGAAAGCCATCATTGGAAGCCGACAACCTTTCCTTGGCCTCGTCATTTCTCTGAGCTTGAGCATTATTTGCCAGATACAGGTACAGTACTGGTTTCAATCCGTTAGTGACCTGCTGCGAGGCCAGCCATTCAAAATTCTGAGCTGCGCTCGGGCAAGATAACGGCGAGGTAGTTAAGACACCTCTGCTCTGGAAGACCTTTGAACCAGACCTGCTGACCTTTTTCTTCGAAAGCCAACGCAGATAATACCCATAACTTCTTTCCCAAATCTGAAATCAACTGAGCCACGAACCGATATCTCCACCAACGCCGCAACTCGCAGAATCAGCACCCATCTACCGCAAGAGGGAGCGCGAAGCGAAACGGCAGTCGGATATTTCATCCAGGCCTAAGCCACGGTAGACAAACTATACCTAACTCTACGTCTGCTTGAGAGCATTGCTCCCGTACTCCACGGTCTGCCACGATTCGGGTATAACCTGCGGACCGTTCGTGCGGTGTAAGGCTCCGACCTAGGATGCATCAACTTCTTCAGAAACATGAGACAGCACCGGATACACTCCAAGATGATTTTCAAGCATCGTGAGAGACAACCATCTTCGAATGCGCAGCACTACTCTGAAGCATGGAACGTGACTAGGTGAATCATTACTGAAGTACCGGGAATCAAATTGCACTAACAGACAAGCAAAGAAACAGTCACACTGGACGTCTGCGTCCTGTGCCAAAAACGAGCCCCGGTAAGGCTAATCACTCTTCTTTTCCATCCATTCTTCGTCCCCATCACCGAGCTCGCCCTCTTCTTCGAGGTCGTGCAAATCCCCCTCCTCAGCTGATTTTGCATCGGCGTCGAGCTTGTCCTTGGTGCTTTCCGGTATATACACTAATCACCTCTGAGACAGCGATTTCGGCTGTTTGGGCTGATGGATAGCATGTAAAGCAGGGGTAGTTGTCAACGTAAGCGAGGCCTGGTTAGACGACAACCAGGATATCGCGACCCTTGTATAGGTCCATTCGAGGTCGCCAGCAGTAGTGATAGAGCCTAACTTCGTCCACGCAGTCACGGTACACATCTCTAGCGCGGCGATTCCTCGAAGGACAGACTGACCGTTGAGCCATGTTTCACAGGACTTGAAGAATTTGACGGCCTTGCGAAAGATGTCAATTATCCCCTTACGCCTCTTCTCGGCTGGCTCGGAATGGCTTGGGTATGCGTCCTTCAGCAGCCAGCAAATGGATTGCTGGCCAGCATATCGTCGGCGAGGCCGCGAAGAGCCACCTCCTGACGCTAGGCGTGGCTCCTCCCGAAAGCCGGGTCTGGTGCGTGAAACGTCTCGACCGAGTTGGCCAACCGCTGGCTCAACATCCTCCAGAGGACGCCAAACAGTGGGTTCGCTATGCATGCAGTCAGTAAATAATGACAGCAAGGGCCAGGAGTCGGGAAAGTCTCGCCTTTATAGAAACGCTCAGAAAGGTACCCTAGGCGGCGAGCAAACTCCGGTCGCCTCGATTATCAGGCCCAGACTTTCCACCTTGATACCAGAAAGGATTCTGAAAGAGGCGCTCATGAACAGTAATGTCAGTGAGCAACTCTCCGAGGATTTCGCCAAAGTGGTCAGCCGCAGGTGGAGGAAGAACACCACGCAAGGTAGTCCACTCGAGCTGAGCACAGTAACCCTCCACGCTTGTGATCAGACGACGAACCTGGTATGCTGGCAGGGGATTGATATCGGCAATGAGATACTCTCTTATCCAAACATAGGGTAAGTTGTTTCATCGCCGTGGAACTGCTTCAAGCCTTTCGGGTCAAAGGCCCATTCCACGAGCCCGGTAGCGATAAGAGAGGTCACTCCACAGCTGAGGAGGTGCTGGTAATCTCGCGGCGTGACAAATGCTGTCGCATACTTGTTGAAAAACTCTTCCTCAATTTCCGTCGGTTGAAAGAACGTGTCTCGGCGAGGCTCTTGTAACGGGGGTAACAGCGCCGTGATGGCTTTTCTTTTCAAACTCGGCGCGCGTTTGAACCATTTTCATCACGAGCTTTCGGATTTAGCAAAGCGAGGATAGTCGAAGATATAAATCAAAACGCAGAAGTATACATAAACATAAGTTCGAAAAGGATACTGTTATATAGGGATCAGCACAGCCATACACTATTATTAGTACCTAGATACATTGCATCTTCCGCGTATTAAGCGCTTTGCAGCAGATGAGGCCAGCAAACATAGGCCTCGGCTGTCATCTAGCCCTCGCGTCCATTGCGGATTCTCCCACTACCGTCCATGACAAGCACTATCCTAAACCAGAGGACTCGCTATTGTGCTTGTTTAGGATATGGGTATCGAATCAGAAATTTATAAGAAGTTTAGTATCACAGTAACCAACGCCATGCGACATACCAGGTACCAAGAGCGCGTAAGTTCCCAATCCAGCTTCGCTTTTATCTGTCTCTTATTTCGCTGTTGCATTTGCTTTCGCATTCCCTAATTTCTCAGTACATCTTCTCTGATATTCGTGTTTAGTATTTCTTTGCATTGCTTCAGGGCCAAGCCTTCTTCACGACGACCTCTTCAGCCGCATTGCTGCCTGGCGTTAGACGGTGCAGCCTGATCACGCTCAGCCTCATCAGGTGCTCCCTGGACTCTTTGGATCATATATCATCGACTGCAATCAATTTCTTTCATCCAGAGAAGAACAGGCGCAATCTCAGATTTCCCAGGAACCATGGCACCGACCGTGAGACCCGACTTCCTCCCCGCACAACCCCCGGCCAACGCCCGCTGTCAAGTGATCGACTTCGCAGCAACCGATCCACCCCTCCCTGAATACAAAAGGTACCTAGCAGCCGTAATCGACAACGCCCTCACAGAGTCCGAATGCAACGAGCTCCTCCGCTTCGCTGAAGCCAGCTCGCCCGATGGTATTTGGGAGCGCGCGCTCATCAACGTCGGCAACGGCCGCCAGGCCCTCGCCACAGACACGCGCAACTGCGGCCGTATCATTCTCGACAACTACGAGATCGCGGACAAGCTCCTTGCCCGCCTTCGGCCGTTCCTCCAGGAACTCGATATTGAACGGTTGGAGAATCGACCGCTCGTGACGGGTCTCGCGGGCCGCAAGCGCACGTACCAGCTCACTCGGCTCAACGAGCGGCTGAGGTTCCTCAAGTATGTCGGCGGCGAGTACTTCCGACCGCACTGGGACGGGCACTACAAAGACCCTGAGACGAAAGAGAGGTCGTATTTCACCGTGCATTTATACCTCAATGGAGATGGGGAGCAGGATCTGAAGGAGTTGAAGCGGGCGGAGATGGAAGCAGAGGGGCGCGATGGGGCTCCGAATGAGGATCTTCATGGGGGCTTACTGGGCGGTGCGACGTCTTTTATACCCCGGTACGAGGAGCAGGAGAGGAATGTTCGAGTGTTCCCGAAGACTGGCTCGGTTCTGGTCTTTCAGCACAGTGAGCTGATGCATGGTGGGGATCCGGTGTTTCGTGGGACGAAGTATACTCTGCGGACGGATGTGATGTATGAACAGTTGGATTCGCCTGACGTCGTAAGGTAGATCGGCTTCAAAGCCCAAAGTTGGATATGGCCTTTTGAATGCTTGTGGATATCATGATCTGACAATTTCCCGTTTATTCGTACTCGTATATCGTATACCGTATCTCGCACTGGAAATGTTCATCTTTCTCTTGACGACAACACTGCTACAAATATTTTTAGTCGAAACAAGTATAGTCCGTTTCAACTCTTGAAATCAAGCTAGTATTATCGATTGTCACCGCTTGGTTTCAAGCGAAGTCGACGAAGCAAGGGTCACGAGCTACGACATGGAATCGAACCGAAATCCCAATTGCAGGCCCCTCACGTCCAGGACCAATGAGACTTGATCGAATCTCGGTCGCATCATCGTACTCAATCCGACAAAGCCTGGATTGCAAGCGTGCCTTGGCCGGAGATGACAAAGGTGATCCGGAGCCGGCCCAGGGAACAACACCCGTGTTGCACAGCCATGTCAGCTGGCCTCAGCCCTGCAATCCCGAGTCTCAAAGCTCAGCTCCGATTTTGTCGCACAATCTCGGTTTCGTGTCTGCCCATCCGACCGAGGTTGGAACTCAGGTATCGACTGTTGAAATCATCAAGGGAACAACGGAGTTACGGAGGGTGGATTCCGTGAGTTGTTGTGACAAGTAATGCAGTTGCTGAATCTGCATAACTCTCGATCTCTGCGTCTTGCTGTAGTCTCGTTTCCGATCCAAAATTCCAGCCGACCCACAAGCTCGCAGTTCTTCGTTCCACTCGTTTGAAAAGTTATTCTGCAGCCTGGCGTCCCATGGCTCACCGCAATGGACAATGCACCGTCAGCCCTGTTGCTTAGCCAGCGTGCAAGTCCAAGCCACGTTCTTCTCAATGTGATGAGCTATTCGGGGGATCGGCGGTGCAAACTCTCTCCGCTGATTCGTGAACGCGATCGACGCCAATGGACATCCAATGTCAATCCACTGTGTCCCGCCACAACGACCAGCAAGGGCTGCGGGAATGCCGGAACTCCCTGCTTCATGATATCATGGTGCTAACGGATCTTGGAAGCCAAGAGCGCCCAGCGTGCTTTGAGTTGACAGAGAGTGGGCCGACTTTGGGAACGACGGGTCGCCATTGGCGTCAATCGAAGATCCGTGGTCGACTTTGCTACTCCGTGAGATTGAAGCCCCTTTGCCTTAAATTTGGGCTGGGCTGCCCTTGTCAGACCTCGGTCTCTGTCCTGAGAACAAGACCGATTTCTCTCTTGAGCATTTAGCTCTCTCGCTCCAAGTGCGCGTGAGCAGCGTTTCGCGCAGCAAGATGAAGACCACAACAACGCTTGCTTTGGCAGGCTTGCTTTCCAGTATGCTCCGCTCCCGGCCCGTCGCGTGTTTCCCTGAGTTCTAACCTTCTTCGATCTCCTTTAGTTGCGGCATCAAACCCTACCGACGCCATCCGAGACGTAACTCCAGTGCAGCGATCGTTTCCGAATGCTCCGAACGGATACGTGCCCGCCAATGTTAGCTGCCCTGCCAATCGCCCCGAAATCCGTCTCGGTGCAACTCTTTCACAGAATGAGACCTCATGGCTCGAGACTCGTCGCGGGAAGACCGAATCTGCTTTGAGAGATTTCTTCGGCCATGTCTCGATCAACAACTTTGACGCCGTCGCGTATCTTGACCGGGTTTCCAGCAACTCTTCCGATCTGCCCAACATTGGTATTGCGGTCTCTGGTGGTGGATACCGTGCTTTGATGAACGGCGCTGGAGCGATCAAGGCTTTCGACAACCGCACGGAGAACTCGACCAGCCAAGGGCAGCTCGGAGGTTTGCTGCAGTCGGCGACCTACCTTGCCGGTCTTAGCGGTGGTGGCTGGCTTGTCGGCTCTATATATATCAACAACTTCTCCACCATTGACTCGCTGCAGACGTACGATGATGGAGAGGTGTGGCAGTTCCAAAACTCCATCTTTGAAGGCCCTGATGAGGGCGGTATCCAGCTCTTTGATTCGGTCGGCTATTACAGAGATATCTACAATGCGGTTCAGGACAAGGGAGATGCTGGGTATGAGACTTCAATCACAGATTATTGGTATGGACCCCTTTTCTCCTCTTGCTGCCACCTCGTACTGACCTTTCAGGGGCCGTGCTCTCTCTTATCAACTGATCAATGCCCCAAGCGGCGGCCCGAGCTTCACCTGGTCGTCCATCGCTCTGTCCGATGACTTCCAAGATGCAAACATGCCCCTGCCCATTCTGGTTGCAGATGGCCGTTTCCCTGACGAGCTTGTGGTCAGCAGCAATGCCACAGTCTATGAGTTTAACCCGTGGGAGTTTGGCAGCTTCGATCCTACCATTTTTGGATTCGTACCATTGGAGTACATTGGCTCGCGCTTTGTCAATGGATCGCTCCCAAGAAACGAAAGCTGTGTTCGTGGCTTCGACAACGCCGGCTTTGTCATGGGAACTTCGTCCAGTTTGTTCAACCAATTCCTCCTTCAAGTCAACAACACCGGCTTGCCAGACTTCATCAGAGAAGCCTTCTCGGGCATTCTTGAGTCCATTGGCGAGGACAACAACGACATTGCCGTGTACTCACCCAATCCGTTTTACGGCTGGCTGCCAGAGCTCTCCCCGTACGCCGACGAGCCGATACTCGACGTCGTGGATGGTGGTGAGGATCTCCAGAACATTCCTCTGCACCCGTTGATCCAGCCCTCTCGTCATGTCGACGTGATCTTTGCCGTCGACTCCTCGGCTGATACCAACCACAACTGGCCCAACGGCACCGCCATGGTCGCCACGTACGAGCGTTCCCTAAACTCCACCGGAATCGGTAACGGCACCGAATTTCCCGCGGTCCCCGACGTCAACTCCTTCATCAACCTGAACCTCACCCGCCGCCCTACTTTCTTCGGCTGCGACAGCTCCAACACCACCGCTCCCTTGGTCGTCTACCTCCCCAACAACCCGTACAGCTACAACTCCAACTTCTCAACCTTCGACCCCACCTACTCGGAAGAGCAGCGTGACGGAGCTATCCAGAACGGCTACGACGTCGTGACCATGGGCAACAGCACCGGAGACAGCAACTGGTCCGCGTGCGTTGGATGCGCGATCCTCTCGCGCTCCTTCGACCGGACTGGCGAGCAGGTTCCTGAGATCTGCACTCAGTGCTTCGATCGGTACTGCTGGGATGGAACGACAAACAGCACCGACCCTGGAGATGTCCAGCCAGCTTTGATTTTGGATACGCAGGAGAACGCGGCTGCTGGTGTTTTCCCGACGGTTTTGTCCACCGTTGTTGTTGCGAGTGTGGCTATCTTCACGATGGTTTAGGGCTTTTGATGTTGGATTACTCGACGTGATATACTTTTTCATGTATATATGGACTCCTATTTCGGGGTCGACATTTTGATACTTATATTGGCATCTTTTTATATGCTTACTGGTCAGATACTTTCTTTGGTCACTTGACTCATTCAATTTTCCTTCCTTTACTTCTGCTCTCTTGATGTGAAGGTCAAATAGTGCAGCTTATATAAACCTCCAAAATATACCCAACCATTGAATAGTGCTCCTCAACAGGTCTTGCTACGCTAGATAACCAGGCAAATCTTAAACTATAACAATCTGGGCTATAAAAGCTGACACCAGATAAGTCATGGTACCCAAATATAAATTCGATGGCACAGATTACAAGGGAGTAGGGCTGGTCTCGATACGTGGGGACAACATGAGAGAAGTGGATTGGACTGACATGACAGTACTATCTTCACTTCAAGAAGCTCCAGACTCATAGAAACGAATATGGCCAGTAATGAGCAAAATCAACCATAGCACGTTTCGAAACGGGATTTTGGCGGATATTCTGTGCATATTTTATGCTCCGAGGCCACACCACTTATGCAAATAATGCCCCGCCTGCCCGTTGCCATAGACAACCATACACGTGACTGTCCGTATCAGGCAACCCGCACGACAAACAGCACGACATCGGGCCGAACCAACCACCCTGCAGCCAAGGTCGTCATCTTTAACGACAACAGACGAGAGACGACAATAATACTGACATTTGTGACGGCCTTTAGGAATTATAATCAACCGCGCCGGAATCGCTTATCGGACTACGAACCGGCGACAGGGATCTCGCAGCCAGGACACGCGCCGCACGATGAGAGACTGGACTGCGGACTTTGTTATTTGCGACTAAACACGGATATACGGACACACATTCACGCCCATCTGGACTAAGACGAGACGAGAATCATACATCGCGCGCGTCCTTGACAGATCCCGCTCTGCACAATGGCCCGAGCAGCGGTCATCCCCGCCTCCCCGCCGAAGCGCGCGACGCGTGGCCGTGCAAAGGGTAGCACCAGCACGAAGACGTCAACAGCGAAGCAGACAGGTAAAGTCATAAGGGCGACATCGGCAGCAGCGGCTACGGATGCACGGAGGAAGAATGCGCGGACATTAACAACAATGGCGCACGATTCCGGGGAATCAGAAGAAGACACGGATGATGAGATTGGGGTTATTGATAATAAGAGTCGCGGCAAGGCGACGACGAGTGCAACGAAAGGGAAGGCTGCGGCTTCTGCTGGGACGGGAAGGGGGAGGCCAAAGGCTACTGCTACAGCTGGGGAGGTAGAGAGCGAGAGCGAGGGTGATGATGATGAGCTTGCTCAGTCGGATGCGCCGAAGAAGAGGGCGGGAAGGAAGCCGAAGGCGGCGGCGAAGGAGAGCTCTGGGAAGACCGCGACTGCGACTACGTCTAGGCCACGAGGCCGGCCGAAGGGGACGACGGTGAAGCAAACATCCACGACTGAAGAGGATATCCTCAAGGAGAACACGCGACGGAATGCGCAGACGGGAGATAGCGACGATTTTTCGTCATCTCAGGGACCTGCGGAGATCTTCATCAAAACTGGCTCGACTATGATTCGAGGTCCGCCGAAGAAGAAGAAGACCGTCACGTTCCAGGAACTTTCGGAGTCGGACTTTTCAGAGTCCGATGAGGAGACTAACGAGCCTACTCTTCCGACTCGGCGACGGAGGGGGACAATTGTTGCGAAAGACCAGGATGGGCTTGGAGCGAAACCAGTTCGCAAGGCTCCCGCGGCATCAACGAGGGGTCGGAAACCTGCCGCAGTCAAAAAGGACGGCGCTAAGCCTCTGTCGCCGAAGAAAGCTACACAGGTTGCTAAGGCGATCTCGGCGTACGCAAGTTCTGACGGGGAGGATGAACTGAGTGGAGCGAAAGATGCTATCAAGCTGGTGGTTCATTCGCCAGAGAAACACGCAGTGAACACGGCTCTCAACTCACCAGTGCGAAGGATAAATTTCACTCCGAGTAAACCGTCCAAGGCACTTGATGAAAATGGAGAACCGAATCTGCCACCCCCAAAGTTATTTGATTTTGGCGACTCGCAGTTCATGTCAAGTCCTGCTCGTCGGCCTCCCCCGTCGCCTTTCCATTTCACACTAAAGGAGACCCCCAAGCGCGCTGGTTTATCATTCCATGAAAGCACAAACCATTTGACTCGTCCAGAATCTCCTCAGGCACAGAATTCCCCGCTCAGATTGTCTCCGAAGAAGGCTAAACTAGGAACACCAGCGCGAGGAAGCCTCTTTCTTCCTGATGGGGCTCGAGTTCAGTCGCAGCCGAATTTCACTCCTGCACGCGATTCCCCTCTCAAAACGTCCCCTAAGAAAGGTATCTTCGGCGCCTCTTTTTCTTCATCTCAACAACCGCAACAACAAGCCTCGACACCTTTCAAGACCAGTCTGCTTATGAGCCCCGCGCGGAAGGTCGTTACCCCATTCAAGAGCTCTATGACGCGTATGCCGTCTTCATTAGCCAAAGAGACTCGGATACAAGATGATAGCGACGATGAGACAGTATCGATGTATGACCAGTCGCCGCTTCGAGCTCAGAATATGGGTGAGCCGATCAATTTTGATGAGGAGGAACAGGAAGAGGAGCGGGCAGCTTCTGAAGAGTATGATGTGGACACCCTACATCAAGAAAGCCCTGTCCATGCACAGAATGAGTATTCACAGGATGAAGATGCTCAGTCTTATTCTGCAGGATCTGGTGAAGACGAGGATCAAGAGAATGTTCTTGATGACGACGTCGCGCCTCTCCAGGTGGAGGATCTTACTCAGGATGAAGCCGATATGGAGGACTATGCCGAAGCCGCTGATGAGCCCGGGGTGGATGATTTGCACATGGCCTCCGTTGAGGACGATGTTACGGAAGAGGAATATGGGCCGGCGCCGGAAAATACCTACGTAGAGGAATTCGATCAGGAAGAAGGCTCTGAAGAGAACGAACACACAACGAATCTGCCGGAGCCAATCCCTGAAGCATGCAGCGTGCGAACCTCGACCTTCACATTTACCCCCTTTGATGTGCTAGAGGATGTCTTCACTGAGAGCCCGACGAAAGAAACTCTCGACAAAGGAGCTCCAATGGTGGAAGAGGAAGCGGCTGATGATCCCACGCCATCTGAGGACGAAGAGCTCGCTGAGCTTGAGATGTCCACTTATCGCGAAAACATTGAGACCGAGACCACACCTCATGAAGCTGGCGAAGGAGATCTGATGAGTTCTGGCCCAGTACAGCCCTACGAGGTTGAGGAAGTCGCAGACACTCCATTTGTCAACTTTCTCTTGACTCATTGGGCCCCAACTCTACCAGTTGCTAATGTACTTGAAATTCCCACGTCTCCTGTGGTAGAGACAGAAATCACCTCTCCAGATGAACCATCGGAGACTCGAGATCCCTCCCCGGCCAAGTCTGTTCAGGAGCCATTCTCAGAACACAGTGCTCGGATCCCTCGGAAGGAAGTACCTCAATCAGCACCCAACCGAGGACCACGCTTCACATTGCTAGCTGAGCAACTGAGCCAATGGAAAGCGAGTAGCCCTGCGAAGAACGAGGAAAGACGTCCTCGCCGTCGAGGCGTTTTCTCCCTTGCTGGAAGGCGCAGTGACGTTTCTCTTGTTTCTAGTGTTACTCCTCGGGCCCGCGCCACAGATATCTTCGCCAACGCCCCAACACTCCCACGGATGACTCCTTCACGGAATCGAGTTTTCTCCGCTCCAGTTCCTGTCGCAAGCCCTGAGATTCACGAAGACGAGGAAGAGCCGGTGATGGATGCGGATGTCCAATCAGAGACACCTGTGAGGGAGCCAATGGGGGAAATAGCACCCGAAACTCTGTCTAGCCCAAAGGTCTTCGAAGAAACCAGGGACGAGCCAGAAGAAGATGCAGCTGCAGTCTATCCTACACTTGAGGACCCAGAAGACGAAAAGGAGAATGAGGTCATCCAATCTCCAGCTCCCGCAACCCCACTTGGGAATCCCCCGCTCAGCATGCAGACTTTCCACACCGTGTCCAAGGTGCCCTTGAAGCCTGAGGGCGAGATCTCACCGTTGAAGATCTGCCGGAAACGTGGACGCTCTCTTTCAATCGCTTCTCCTGTTCGATCTTCTCCCAGACTGCGGAACTTCGTGCTGCCTCCGCCAGGACAAATTGTTCCCGACTCACCTCCACGCAAATCACCCAGGCTTCAAGAAGGGTCTGTTCGGAAACAAGCTCGAGAGTCTTTGAGCAAACCTGCTGAGCCTCAGCGGCCGCGATCTAGAACACCCTCTCGCTCGGCCAGCCCCTCGAAAACGCCTCGCAAACAAGTTGCCGCCTACAACTACTGCCTTCGTGGGGCTGTCGTATACGTAGATGTTCATACCACGGAAGGTGAAGACGCTAGCGGCCTCTTCATCGAAGCGTTGCAGGAGATGGGAGCCAGATGTGTTAAGAACTGGTCATGGAACCCGCGTGCCAGTCTATCCCCGGAGGAGACTGCGGAGCCGAAAGAAGGCAGAGTCGGGATCACTCATGTGGTCTTCAAGGATGGTGGCGTCCGTACGCTGGAAAAGGTTAGGGCGGCGGCTGGGTTGGTGAAGTGTGTGGGAGTCGGCTGGGTTCTTGAGTAAGCAGCCCTTACTATTCCAAACAGAACGTAGTAGCTAACATAACACAGCTGTGAACGCGAAAACAAATGGCTTGACGAGACCCCGTACGCGGTCGACAGCTCCATCATTCCCCGCGGCGGCGCCAAGCGACGCAAGAGCATGGAACCCCGAGCACTCGCCAATGTCAACGGCACCCTCGTCAAGAACACTGTGCCCAGCACCTCATCTTCAAACCGCCGCCAATCCGAAGCCGCTCGCAACGTCGTTCGAAGCACAACGCCCGCCTCCCGCAACAACGACCCATCCGCCCCCTCCACTCCGCAAACCACCATCCGGAAACGCGAACCGGACTACAAATTCTGGCAGACTCCCAAAACACCCAGTGCTGCCTCATTGGGCTACAATATGGATAGCATTGGCATGTCTCCCGCAACACCGTTCTACCTCTCGCAGCACTCGAAGCTCGTCCAGCAGACGTGCCCGCCGAAGCAGACGCAACAAGGTCTGTTTTCGAAATCCGGGCCTGCGGACGAGGAGACGTCGCAGCGGTTGAAAGCCAAGTTGGAGGCTGCGCGACGCAAGAGTTTGGCGTTTAAGCCCGCTGTGGGGAGCCCGCTTGTCGACTGAGAGAGATTATTTCGGACCAAACTGGACTTTTGAACTCTGAAGGTTAGAGTACTGGACCTTTGGACTACTGGACGCCATGACTGCTGGAAGTTTGGAAGCATTTTGTTTTTCTGTACACTGGGCGGGTGCGCTTCATAGCTGTATCATATCATACCCTTTTTGCTGGAGTTGAGGATTTGGTTTGTTTTGTAGTATACAGTGCTTATTGGAGAAGAATACCCAATCGTTCTCTAGTGTTTTTATCGAATATTGGCATGGAGAGGTGACGATCCTAACGTAATAAATATGACCAAGAGTCAGAATTTGTAACCAAAACGGAGAGCCCGAAATACCCTATTTAATCATGCCCTATGTCTGTCATTATAATAATCCGAAAAGAAGAACAGAACTTTTTTCCCCTCCAAGAAGACACCACTGAACCATCATCTCCCATCATCTCCCATCCCATCATATCAACTGCCACATATACTGAATCTTTCAAATCATATCGAATTAACCTCCTCTTCCCCCTCCATCTCGCGATAAAACCCCGCAACCAAAAACGCCAGCTCAAGAGCCTGCTTCTCGTTCAGCCTCGGATCACAAAACGTCGTATACCTCTCGCCCAGCCCCTCCTCCGTCAACCCGCCCGCACCACCCACACACTCCGTCACAGCCTCACCCGTCAGCTCCAAATGCATGCCTCCCAGGAACGATCCCGCAGCACGATGAATCTCAAGCGCCTGCTTGAGTTCAGAAAGGATATCCGCGAAATGCCGCGTCTTGACGCCCGTCGGCGTCGTCTGCGTGTTCCCGTGCATGGGGTCGCATTGCCAGACGGGGATGTGGCGGGTGGATTGGACGGCGGCGATGTGTGCTGGTAAGTGGGCGGAGATCTTGGAGGCGCCGTAGCGCGAGATGAGCGTGACTTTTCCGATCTCGTGTGTTGGATTTACGGTGTCGAGGAGGGTGATTAGGTCTTCGGGGGTCATGGAGGGCCCGATTTTTATCCCGATGGGGTTTGTGATTCCGCGGAAGAATTCGACGTGGGCGCCTGTTAGTTGTCGCGTGCGGTCGCCGATCCAGAGGAAGTGGCTGGAGGTTGCGTAGTAGGATTTTGGGGGGGAAGACGTCGTGGTGGTGGTAGTGTGGGAGAGTTTGAGGGGGTGCGTGGGTGTGAGGGTTTCGCCTGGGACTGTGGGGTCTCGCAGGAGGCGGGTGAGGCTCGTTTCATACTCGAGAAGCAATCCCTCATGACTCGTATACACGTCAACGGTCTCAACGCCGCGGTCTGTATCAATGCCAACGGTCTGCATGAAGCGCAGCGCATCCTTGACGCGGGTGACGATGCGCTCGTACTTCTCCTTGATAGATGGGGTGATGACATGGCCCAGTCCCCAGTCTAGAGGGGAATGCAAGTCCGCAAGACCCGAGGAGAGCGAGGCGCGCAGGTAGTTGAGGGTTGCGGCGGAGTGGAAGTAGGCCGAGACGAGGCGGGATGGGTCAGGGCGGCGCGAGTCGGGCGTCGCGTCGAAGCCGTTGATGTTGTCGCCACGGAAGGAGGGCATTTCGATCCCGTTGATCACTTCCATGGGGCTTGAGCGGGGTCTATGGTTGTTAGCTTTGTGGGGATGCAAGTAAGTAGAATTGGTGTACGTACTTCGCGAATTGGCCTGCGATTCGGGCGATGCGGACGACGGGCATGTTTGCGCCTGATAACGTTAGTACAGTACAAACCTTCCAGAAAGGTAGATGCCATACCCCAAATCAAGACTAAACTCATCTGAAGAAGAAGCTTGACCTTTGCCTCGATCATATCCTGATTACAGTAGTCGAACAGCTCCGCGCAGTCACCTATACATATCAGTCACAATTCAGCAAAACCCAGGATTAGAGCGCTCATACCTCCTTGTAAAACAAAAGCCTTTCCAAGAGCAACATTTCTCAAGCTCTTTTTCAGATTTGCAATCTACGACGAATGAGTCAAGCCGCCTGTCGAACGACAAAGAAACAACTACACACCTCCTGTGTTGTGACAAGTGGGGGCAGCTTCTGGAGCTTCTCCAGCGCCGACTGCACGCCCTCAGGATCGTCATAGACAACCTCTTGCTTGATGGGCTTAGAGGCCCACGCTGAGGTAGAATTAGCGATGTGTCATAGCACAGGCAACAAAGGTGAGGTCAAAGCTTACACCGTGGGCTCCAATCGTCCAGAGTCAATGTCATTGTGGTGGGCTTGGAGTAACTGAGGCAGTCAAAGTTCGAGATCAGCAAAAATCAGCTCCCAACACACCGGCGCAGTCGAGATGAGAGACAAGAGACGAAGAAAGGGAGGTTTTTTTAATACGAACTTGAGGATCATAACAAGGGTCAATAAGAAATGCAAAAGAAACTCAATCGCGGTTATTGGCGGCGTGACTCATCGTCACGTGTGGTGTATTAGTCACGTGATCCCCCCCAGAAGTATATGGCAGATATCCTATCCTGTTTGGTGTATATTGGCATTCCTAGGGAGCTTGAGGATTAAATTATGTCATTGGAGCTATATGTGCTGTAGAGGTACATCATATATTGTGTAGTAGTGACTTCCCTACCCAACAGCACTTCAAAACTGCCCCATCGTGGCATATGTGTGTACACCACAGAGAGTATCTTTAGGTATATATAACCAGAAGGGCATATATGTTAAGGTTAAGATAGAATAATGCCATTGTCTTGTTCCGTTGATTTACGTAGAGCTATGCTATAGCTTCGCCTTGAGCAACATCCCTATCCCTATGCTAGGATGCCACGCCACATACGACAACCAAGAGATCTAACTAGGTGAAAACACGTAATAATGAATACTTTTTTCTTTCTCATTAACCAATTGACAAATGGAATATACACAAGAGGCCGAGAGCCTAGAATCTCGACCTTCCCCCACCCCTCACATCAACCCTCACCGAATCCCCCTGGCCGTAAATCATCCCCTCCGCATTAAGGGGCACGCCTCCATGTCCATGCCCAAACCCATGACTATGACCATTGACATGCGCCCCAACCCCAATTCCCATTCCTGGCGACACAATCCTCTCCTGACTCTCTGGCCTCCCACTCCCTCCACTCCCCCCAGCAGCACCAGGCGACCCGGACCCCGACCCGCCACTCCGCCTCCCCTCACTATAATCCGGATTATACTCATCAATGGTCGTTGTGACCTCCGAGATCTTAAGTATTCCCTCGCCCCTCTTCCAAGAGCGCTTGTTCCGTGCAGAAGCTGATGCGGAAGCGGACCCGTGACCGCCTGTCCCCGCGTGCAGCTCGTATCCGCGAGACGAGGATCCGTACTTCTCCTTGCTGCTGAAGATGGATTTGATCTTGAAGAGCTGCCGGATCGAGCTGAGGGAGCCTGCGAGTAGGCCCAAGTTGAATTCGATTTCCATCCAGATTAGAGACATTGCGGCGGAGTCTGTAAATTTATGTTGTTAGTAAGTGGTAGCGAAAGCGGCGCGTGCGTAGTTATTAGGTAGGGTGGGATAGGGTAGGATGCAAGGGATTAGGGGGACGTACAAGTCATATCAGTCGAATCCTTAGTATACGCCAATGTTGAGAACCGCACAAGGGCCGCAATACACGCGATGAACCCGAAACTAAACATAAACAGCACAAGCAACCTCTTTCTGAGCGCCATCTGCAGTCCCCAAATTGCCGGCATCGGCAGGACAATAATCACGACGTCACAGATGAACATGAGAACCCCCTGATACATCGTGATTGCAAACATGGTATCGTTGGAGAAGCACTTCCCCGTAAGGATAGTCTTGTCCCAAAAGGCGCGAACGGGCTTGCATTGCAAGGCGAGGGTGAGTTCGCCAGAGATGGTAAAGGCGAGGATGAAGAGGATGATGCCGTAGCCAATGCGTTGGACGTAGGGTTGCGGGAAGACGCGCATGATGAAGGTTGTTAGGCTGAGCTTTACGGAGGCGGCAACGACGAGGTAGCTGCAGAGGGCGGCGTAGTAGATCTGGGATTGTTAGTATTAAGGCGGAGTTGGGAGAAGGGGAGATGAAAGAGGTACCTTGAGCCAGACGCCGAGGTGGTTGCGCGCGATGACATCTTCTTGGTGTACGCCCAGGCCGTAGTAGGTGATTGTGTATGCGAGGGCAGAAAAGCCATTGACGAGGAGCTGTGCTGTTAGCTAGAGTCGTACTCAAGGGCGTTGAGGCTTACCAGTGCGACGATCACCAGATAGTCGTCGAGACCAAATGATTTGACGACAAACCGGCGCATATACAACTGCGTCTGTCAGCGGATAAAGTTCTCACTAAAGAGTCAAAGAGAAATACTCACCCGGAGAGAGCAAACCAATGTGCACAAAATAGCTACTGATAGAGTGACGCCGCGAACGGCATCAACCATGGGAGTCTCGCCCATCTCTTTGTCGAATTGTACCTGTCTCGGATTCTACCCCAGGTCGAAGGACAGAAAGAGCGAGGGCCAAATTAAAAGAAAGAATCTGCAGCCACAGTCGCATGAAGTCGCTAACTCGAACGACCAACGAGAGCAAGAAAGAGGGCCCTCAAGGATCCGAGCAAAGCGGGCCATAGACTTCTTCATCTCCAACTTGCAGTGTTTGACTCGTGCCGTGTTGGCTAAAGTTGGGGTCGACTGCCGCCAAAACAAGCAGAAGAAACAGAAGCTATGCCGGGAACAGAATATGAAGGAATCCCACGAGGGAAACAAGGGCATTCTTCTGCAGACTGCAATCTCTGCAAGGCACCACAAGTGTGAGAACTATTTGCTTCTTCTCGGTGACAGACCGTTGGGTCTCCACATCAACTGCTTGATGTCCGTTAGCTTGCCAAAAGTAGCAAGCAGGATTCAGGCTACGCCGCACCATCGCCTGCAGTGGACCCTGTGGGCCGTGTTGAGGCCCAGTCACGGCTCACTTTACGGGGACAACCTTTGCCGGCCCGGGGAAGCTGGACTGCAACCGGTCGTAGTCTCGCGTGGAGAGCAGGGAAGTGGAAAATCGTGCCACTTTTCGTGCAGTAGACAGGGACGCTAAAGCTGTCGTTGGTGTCTCGATTCTCCAACAGACTCGAAAGAGCAACAGCTACTACTCCAGTGAACTTCCGAGTCCCGACAGCCGGCATAAGGGGGCACTTAAGAAGCGTCGCGCGGCCCAGTCATGATGCCGCATTGTGCCCCCAAGTTTGTAATACTTCTGTTGCTGAAACGCGCTCGACAGTTGATCCTTTCTGTTTGCGATCTGATCTCAGTTACAAAGCTCAATCGCAGCAAGAATAATGAGCCATCTCGCCAGCGTCCCGTCCCTTCTGGACGTTCTCCCCGTGGAGCCCGCCACCCGAACCGAGGCCGAGGCCCTTCTGTCTGATTACGTTGTTCTACCCGCGAAGCAAAAGGGCCCGGCTCGAGCTTCTCTCCTGGCAAAGATCTTCCCTCTCGTATTTGGCGAAATTGCCCTTGTTGAGGGCTCTGCTTCGTATGAGGAGAATCGGACGCAGCCATGGTAGCCCTCCCTCCTTTCCCCTCTCGCTTTCCTGTTCAACCCCGGACTCTTTGCCCCCGACCCTGCAGATCGCTGATGGTGATAGGTCCACAAACTGCTGGCTTAGCCCAAGCGTAATCCTTACCCCGAGAAGCACAACTGAAGTCTCCCAAATCCTAGCCCTAACCCGCTTCATCGGCGCAACATTCTCCGTGCGCGGCGGTGGGCGCCTGCACAACCCGACCTTCACAAGCAACGACGGCGGCGTCGTCATCTTCCTTAGCAAGCTCACGCAGCTCAACCTGGCCGTTGACAAGAAGACCGTCGACATCGGGCCCGGCCATCGCTGGCTGGATGTGTACAAGGGTCTTGATGCGCACGGGCTGACTGTTGCCGGTGGACGCATCCCGCATGTTGGTGTACCGGGGTTGCTTCTGGGCGGTGGGCTGTCGTTTCAGAATAGTGAACACTCTTTGGGGTGTATGAATGTTGTTGATTATGAGGTTCGTTCTCTTTCTCGCTTTGGTCCTGGTCGGACTGCTTGCCGTTGGTCGTTTTGCGGTGTTAAATGGAGTGTAGGTCGTCCTCGCAGACTCATCAATCGTCCACGCAAACGCATCCGAGAACAGCGACCTCTTCTGGGCTCTCAAGGGCGGCGGCACGAACTATGGTACCTCTCCCTCCCAGCCCCTGCACTCACATCAACCACGCAAACACAGACTGACAACCATCCAGGAATCGTAACAAACTTTCGCATGTCCACAATCCCCAACGCCATCTGGGCCGAAGGCCGCGTCTACCCCGCAACCCCCGAAACAAGCAGCCAGCTTTTCCACGCCCTAATGGACTACCACAAGCTCATCGAGTCGGACAACAAGGCGACCCTGATCTGGCACACGCTCAACCAGACGACGCTGCTGATTTTCTTTTACTGCGCGCCCGTCGAGAAGCCAGATGTCTTTGCGCCGTTTTATGATATCCCCTTCCTCATGAACGTCGTTCCGCCGGCGAAGAGGACGGTGTATGAGATGGTTGATGCCGTTAGCAACATATTGGCCGCGGAGCAGTTGAGGTGTGTACTTACTACTCTTTCCCGTCTTTCTTTGGTCTTTTCTTTTCTTCTTGGTCAAGCGGGTATACGGTCGATGGTTGCTGACAGAGGGTGCGGGAAATAGCCACGACATGCGCACAACAACAACACTCCCCAGTCTAACTGTCTACGAAGCCGCCGAGAAAGCTCGCTTCCAAGAGATGGCCAGTCTATCCGACCTACCCCGCGCAGACCTCACAATGGTAATCCAACCCATGTCCTCTCTCGCCCTAAAAGTCGCCGAGGCGAAGGGCGGGAACCCGCTCGGGCTCGGCGGAGTCGGAGGGCACCAGTGGTTCCTCGTGATGGCGGACTACGCGGATACACTCTCGGAAGCCGACGAGGCGCGCGTGCGCGGGTCCGTGAAGCGGATTGTGGATATTGTTGAGGAGACGGCGAAGAGGGAGGGTGTGTATGTGCCGTACAAGTATTCGAATTATTCTTCGCGGGATCAGGATCCGTTGGCGAGTTATGGGGAGGCGAATTTGGTGAAGTTGAAGGAGATTGCGGCGAGGTATGATCCTGAGGGCGTTTTCCAGGTTTTGCAGAATGGGGGGTGGTTGGTTTCGAAGGCTGGGAAGCAGTAGCTTTCGACGGTCGATGTCTAGATGAAGGGAGGTGAGTAAGCGGGACGGAGACATGGACGAGTGCCAGGTATGAGATAGCGAAATCATGATTTTTTTATAGGAGCGTCGAACTGAAATCTCCACGCCAGTGATAGTACAGGTGATTGATATATGGCCCAAAAAAATCCGTATCAAAATGGAAACCCAAAGCTGGTATCGCCAGGCCATGAAGCGTATGTTTTGAGATGAAGCATAACGCGACCAGAAGAAAAAAAAGAGATAAAAAATGGAAATATTCTAGAAATCATTGAGGAGAGTCATCAGTCGTATCACGATTACCGTCGAATAACGCCCTTAGATAGGCCCGCCCTCATGCGGCCGTCCGCCAGGAGCGATTGTGAGAGACTCCGGGTGTATCGGACCCGGCTCCGGGGTCGTCGCCTGGGTTCGCGATTGATACGCCATTCCCGGCTCATACGTAGGAAGGTGGCCGCTTACTCCTGGGTTGTTCGTTCGTGCGTAGCCCTCCTGCATCTCGTACCCATTCGCTACATCCTCTTCACTCGACGACGAGTACGTATCGCCATGTGCTCGTCGGGGATACACATTCGTGACGTAGGGATGCGGCGGCGGGTAAGTTGACGTGAATCCCGCTTCCGTGTTGTCGGACGGGTCCGGTCGGTGCAAGCGCTCCTGCGCCGGGTTCCGGAGTGCATCGGTGCTTTCACCGGCTCCTTCGTAGCGCACTGCGTCTGGGTATGTGGGCGTTGTTCCCCATGATCGGATTGGGTGGGCGCGGCCCTTCTTCCAGGGTTCGGCGAGCGATGGGAAGTACTGGCGGTAGGAGAGGGAGGCGCAGATTATGCCTAGAAGGGAGCCGGTGATCACGTCGAAGGGGTGGTGGCGGGCGTCCATGATGCGAGAGACGGCAATGAGTGTTGCGCCCAGGCATGGAAGCATAACGAGGAACAGCTTCCAGACCTCGCCCTTGTTGTCCATGATATGTAGCTTGCCTCCAACCCAGAGCGATAGGTAGAATAGACCCGCAAAGGAGGCTAAATAGTTAGTAACTGATTATCAGTGGAGGAAAACCGAGCTTACAGCTGCTATGACCTGCGACTAGTTAGTAACCACATCACAATTATCCGAACTAGAGACATACCAGAAGGCCACGACCGAAACCCATCCTTCAACAAATGCGGATCTCCCGTACAGATGCTCGAATTCGACAACCCATACGGCGACCCATCCATACTCCCCTCTCGCGGTTGGCACCGATCGATAATATCCGGCCTTGGCTTGCCGCACGCATTCTTCAGCGCCTGCGTAATCACAAAGCAAATAGCCTGCGACAGCACAAGCCCGAGAAATCCACAGTTGAACTCCCATAGCCTATCCTTCCACCGGTATGGGCCAGTAAACTTCCTCTTTCCCGTCGACTGGTGGATCGGCTTGTTGTGCGAGAATAGTCCGTCAATGAAGAGGGTGTAAATGGCGATTATGACGAGCGGGCCGCCGCCCGAGCAGGCGACTGCGGCGAAGATAGATATGCGTTCGTGTACGGCATAGGGATATTGGAGGGAGATATTGTTTAGCGAGAAGTGTTGATGGTACGGTTCGATTCGGTCGAGGATGTAGAAGCCCACGACGCAGGCGCTGGATCATTGTTAGGTTGAGGAAGCTCCGTGGAAGCCAGCGGACGGGACGTACACGAGAATAACATAATCGAAGATGTATCTGGTGAGATTGAGGATCAGTAAGCTTTCCTCAGGCGACTCGTTTCGCATTGGACAGACTCACGAGATCACCACGCGCGGCCTCAATGTGCGCTTGGAGAAAGGCAGTTTTGACGGAAGACGGTCCATCTGACGAGGCACCACTGATGCTGTTGGAGCTCTAATTCAAGGAGAGTATATCGGCCAATGCAGCGTTTGAGCAAACCATTCGAATCGAAAAGGCGGACGATGCGGTTCCGGAAATTGTGCACGTGGATGAAAGACGTCGCAGCGACAAAGGACGGGCAACTTAATAAAGAAGCGTAAGCTGACAAGTTCAGGAGAAAAGCAGAGTTGAAAACTTAAAAAACAAAGCAATTTGGCTGGAACTCACGGCGCCCAATCTACACTCCGCAATGGCGGCGAGTGGCTCCTCTTTGCCTATAAATATGCACGATTGTCGAGCGCTGATCCCCGCAAAGCCTGCGGTTGACCAGCGCCCAGACCGCCCAGCGCGGCCCAGCGCCAAATTGATCAGAGCATGGGTCAGCATTAGGGACTCAGCCACGCGATCGCTGTGATTTTCCCGTCGCAATATCCCCTAATTGGACACCATCGTCAATTCAGGTACCTATGCAACTCAAGCTTCGTAAGAGTGGTTTTTACGAAACTTGCCTACTTTCGGAAATTTTATTGCGAGGTGAACCGATATGTTTGAGAGACGATTGGGAGAAGCGCTCCTGCATGCCGTGGAACCATGCTGCCTAGAATACCAGGCAGCGCAGTTTGAAAACGCCGACGGGCCCTTATTGGGCGCGAAGGAGGCTTAGACAAGACTGGGATAATTCTTACGAGTGAAGTTGATCAGAATGTTGATTCTTCAAGTTCAAGCAGTCAAGAAAAAGGCACACGAAATCTTCCATTAAATTAATACGAGAGAAATACCCAATGAAACTAAAAGCATTAAAGCAGCATACTAACTAACGAATCTGAAATGAGTGAAGGGTACTGAAGTTTACAAACTGGTTGTGCATCACTTTTCACAACCCCGCCCAATCTTGGGATATGCCCTTGAGCAGCTCGACGAATCGGACAACTCATCACCTTAGCACTTAGTGATGTACAGACCAAGACTGTGTCAGGTTAGCTACTGTTCACGAAACGATGGAGATGGAAACTCACGGTGAGGGGTTGTAGTCTTCGAAGAACTCGAAGCTGGTGCTGCCAGCGTTGGTGATTTCATATCCGACGGTCTGGCCAGCCGGGCACTCAAAGGTGCTGATAGCGTAAGAGTTTCCGGGGGCGATGGTGAAGTCACCAAGGTTCTGGCTGATCGTGGGAGCGTTGTTGAAAGTAGTAGACTGGGTAGCAGGTTCAGAGACAGCTCCGAATGAAACCTTGCCGTCACCGCTGAAGGAGAATGCAGAGGTCTCGAGGTCCTCCTGCTTGGGGAAGAGGAAGACAAGGCTACAGGTCCTTCCGGCGTCCGAGGCGGGGATATCAAAGTTGAAGATCGTGGAAACGGTGGAAGAGACGGTTCCATTGAAAGAAGTACCCACGGCCTCATCGGGAGAGGATGAGTCGACAGGAACAATCAGGTGAGGGAACTCGTAGTCTCCAGAGAGATCCGTCTGGCAGCACTCGCCGGATGGCTGAGGCTGAGGAGGCTGCGATGTCTGGGGAGGGGAAGTCTCAGAGGGGGGCTGAGAAGGACCGGGGGACTCGGATCCAGCGCCCCCGGGGGTGTTGGACTCTCCAGGAACGCCAGGTGTCACAGTAGACGGGGGCTGGGTCTCACCAGGGCCAGAAGGAGTTGGGGACTCGCCTCCAGGGACACCAGGGGTAGTGGACTCGCCTGGGATGGGCACGCCAGGGGTCTCAGAAGAGGAGCAGGGGACAATGACGGTAGTCAGGACAGTAGTTGTCTCGCACAATGAGCAATCGGTGCCTTCGCCGGGGCTAGTACCCGAGGGAGTAGTGGTTGAGCCCTCACCACCACCGCCGCCACCAGGGATTTCTCCTGGGCTAGTCGATGATGGGGAGACGACAGGGGGGGTAGCCGAGCCTCCGCCTGGGCCCTCAGATCCTGGAGCACTAGGCGACGGCGACACAATTGGCACACTTGAGCTGGGCTGAGGAGCAGAGGACGACTGGCCACCACCTCCACCAGGAACAGAGCTAGAGCCGGTGCCAGTTCCAGATCCGGAGCAGGAATCCGCAATGAGCTGCACGGTGCGGCAGTTTGTAACGTCGTCACTCTCGGTAGTGTAAATGTTCAATTCACCGTTTTGGCCCGTCTCGCAGGCGACAAAGTCTGTGCTCCCATCGTACTCTAGTTGGCCGTTCGAGTTGACGGAGAATCCGGGAGATGGGCTGGCACCCTCATCGCATTGGAATTGTGTGGTGGGAGCTGTTGGTGACAGAAAAGTTAGTATCAAACGGGAGTTTCGGGAGAGCAAAAGTGAGTGGACATACGAGTCAGTATACAGCCACGTCCGTTGCCATCAGTGATAGAGCCGTCAGTGTCGACGCAGTACTGGCCGGCCGGCAGGTCGCCGCCAATGCGGTTCTGTCCGTCATCGAGCTGACCGACGGGGCCAGAGGCTTCACCAGAGGCCGTGAGGCTGAAGCAGCAGCTCGTATCGCGGGGAACAAGTGCGTTGGCACTGGCGGCCAAGACCGCAAAGGCAGCGAAGTTCCTCATTTTAAGCTAGTGTGAAGGAGGCGAGCGGGAGGGAGGAGTCTTGAGTGATCACTGGCCTTTACTCGAGATGATTTGGGTTAACCTGCGGATTGAAAAGCTCTTTATAACACCGGGTGGGTTCTCCGGTTACCTGTTGCCTGGAGGCAGATCAGGACAAACTTGGAAGCAACAATTGCAAGTTGGGAGATGCCCATAAGAAACCAGTGTGAAATCATCTGTACCCGCGAGGAACCCTAGGCAGGCGGCAGGAGGATGATCCATTGATCTTGGTCATGACAACATAAACAAGGCCATTGTGAGCAGCCCGGGATTACCGGGCCTGGAACTCCAAAGCATGAGGAAAGCTTAGACGTCATGAGTGATGTGGAGTTTGGCAGCGAAAGAAGCATCGCGACGATGTATCTCCCTACCACTGATGAGGCCGATCCAGGCAATCAACCAACAGTGGGCCTTCAGGGCAGGGGCCTGCCCTGATTAGTGTTTCTCAATACATGGTCCAGAAGAGATTCTGCGAAGATGGTGGCGGGATGGAAACTTGTCTACCGGGCCCAGTATGACTTCAATGCGGTGGGTTGACCTGGTGCCCACATTTTAATTGCGCCGCTGACCCGTCCATCCCTGCACACTGGTTGGTTGATAATGTTGTGTTCTTCCATGTAGGTTAGCGGGGTGCAATGGGCCACGCTGCTATTGAGAAATGTTAGTCCTGCAACGCTAGAATTTGCGGCTCAGAGTATAGCTAAAGAGGGTACATCTCGAGGGACAGGAGCCTTGCATCACACTCTCACAATCCTGCGCCCCATAAGACATTCAAATATGTGTGGAGCGAGAATTAATCATTGTTGCTTGTAATTCGATCTGTTTCACGATTGGTGCGATCATAGCCTGGCCAAGTAGTCGTAATGAAGAGGACCTGCGTACTCGTGAGATGGAGAAGAGATGGTGGGGATTCTGGAGGCCGAAACTTGAAAGGAACGCTTTCTGATGGGCTGTCGGAGCCGGAAAACCCGTTCTTCCAGGGACAAGTGGACCAAAGCATTGTCTGGCGTCCAACGGCTTTGCTTGTTTGTTAGTTATGCGGATCAATGCCATTATTCATAGCCCCAGAGAGATCCAGTCTTGAGTTATCAGACCCGATTCTTCGGGCAACTACCCACGTTGATCCTATTCGTAACGTCACTGCTTGATTCTGACAGGCAACCGAGGTCACCATAATGAAGTGATATTGGTCTGTCCATTGTCCAGCTTCCCGAGACTGACAACCGTGTCACCACTGAGCAGACCGAAGTAGCTTGTAAGGAACACGATAAACATAGAACTGCGAGCCGGTGCACAGCAGCTTCGCTTGAGAATCCAGCCCTTCGCGGTTCAGGGATCTGAATTAGACCAATGCCATACTTTTGACTGTTCGATCTATCTGAAAGCAGTGCCATTGGACAATCTCCTCGCTCAGTCTGGTGAGCATGGGGAGCCTCGATGATGGGCTCAATGGCTACTTTTTCCCATTGGACCAGCAAAATGAGTTCAAGGTTCAGGCTTCCAGCGAATAGTTTTCAATGTCATCCCAAAAAAAGCCCTGTTGTTCCGCAGGCCATGATACAATTTCCTGTTCTAAGTATAGACAATTTCCTGTTCTAAGTATAGTTGTCAAATGTGAAGCTAGGCATGTCCCTCCTATGATGTAGGTTGCCATGCGCGTCAGCAGCGGCTCAGCGCTCCATAGGGAAGGGATTCACCTAGACATTGATTTTGATCGACAAGGTAAGCGAAGTATGATGTCGAGGGTGAAACGTAACCGCATCCACATGGATTCTAGACCGTAAGTACTCTTGCAAGCACAGTACAGCAGAGAAAGGTGACCGGTCAGAGAGCCCTATAGCCTTCAATCTTGGAATTCTTGTTAATGAGCATGCCAACGGGACTGGTATGCTCACTTGAAAGAGGGTTGAATTCCGGCTTCTATACCTGACTGATGTGTAGATGGTAGTTGCAATGGTGTGTTTGATTTTTATCCGTTGTATATACTTGGAGTCTATCCCATCCGGGAGGCCCGGAATTTGCTGATTCGTCTCGGCGCTTCCTCGGGCTCAACCGGGACCATCTCTGGTTCCTCTTCGAGTGCGTTCTCGCTTTGTTTGGCCATTCTGTTCCTCATCCTGTAGAACTCGGTGGCGATTTCTTTTCGGTGGAGTTCCTCGTCAAGTTCATCCGGCTCTGGTGCCCTGGCAGTCCCTTCAGAGGTGTCCCGCTCTACAAGGGTATCGGCGAGGATCTTTCGTTCAGATTTGGTGGGAGCAGGCGCCTTCTCTATGATATCAGAGATAGGTTGTGAGAAAGGTTTCGGTTCAGAAGGCCTCGCCGGGAAAAGAGGTAGTGACGGCGTCGGGGTCACAACGGCTTTACGTGAAGGCTTAGCTGGTTGTGAGCTGCCAACTGAGGACGTAGCCTGCCCATCAGTGTTCGCTGCTACCAGGCCGCGGGCAGACCTGAACCGGGAAGTTTTCTTTGGAGCATCATTTGTTGCAGAAGGAGTTTCGACCGGTTTTGTGCGTTCCACAATAGACTCCGATAGAACAGCAACCTCAATCTCTCTAGGAGTGGCCTTTTTGCTTTCAGGAGCCAGAGGTTTGGGGGCGGGCGCAATATCAAGATCATCAGCGAACGCAACCTTCTTCTTTGACTTGGCCTTGGGAGCCGGTTCAGTGCCTGAATCGGGCGCTCGATCAATCTTGACCTTATGCGCATGTTGGAGATCTTCCTGAATGTTTTCGGGGAGAGATGCGGTGTCTTTGCCTACATTCCACATACCACGAGCGTTCAATTTCGCCTCCAACTCACGCATCTGTTGGTGATAGTCCTCGTCTAGGACTGACCGGGTACTGCGCCCATATTCGTCTTCCTCCTCCTCTTCATCGTCACCATAATCATCAAATTCGTATGTATCATCCACTGAAACTTCGCTCCCATCCTCGTCTAACTCAAGTTCGGCGACAACTGCACCAACCTCATCGAGACTGTATCGTAGCATTTCACGGCGGAGCTGCGCATCCTCTGGAGACTCGTCAACGTCCACAATTGGGATCTCCTTCTCTTCGACTGACTGCTTCCCAATATCCGACTCATCCGCAGGCGTTCCAGACACTTCCTTGTTTTCAAGCGACGTGGATTCCAGAGCTCTAGCCAACTCATCTGCCTGTTTATCCGTCTCCTGCGCATTTGCATCGATGCTTTCAGCGGTAGAATCGGGTAACATTTCTTGGGAATCAGCCGTGGCCGTCGGAACATCCGGTATGTTGTCGACACCGGCCTTCTCCAAAATATCCAAGAGATCCGCGGCTTGCTCCCCAGGGTTCGTAGTCTTGCTAGAAATAATTTCCCCATCTTCATCAAGTTCTTCAATAATCTCCTTCATGGGAAAATCCGCCGTGGCTTCCCCGGGTATCTGCTCAACGGAGTCGAGTTCGTTGAGCTTGTTCTCCGCAGCACGCAACCGCTTTTCCATGGACGACACATTATCTCTCACGTAGTCTATGCGCCTCGATATGATGTCGGCAACTTGTTGTCTGGTCCGTTTGAGGCCCTGCTTCTCACCGATCATAACTCGGACTTCGTCTTCGTTGACCAGGGCCCCGTCAAACTCGCGGCTGACGCGCAGGAAGTCGGCAGTTGTGGCATCGTCGTCCAAGGCGCAGATCTCTTCCTTCAAACCATCATATTCCGCCTCCCAGGTCCGCCAGTGGTAGAGAGATTGCTGCAGTTGAAGGATATTGCTCTCTAGTTCGAGCCGTTGGCGTTCGAGACCGTCGAAGTTACCGCTTGGGACGCCCATTTTCGGTAGCTTGCAAGACTCGCTGTGCCTTTATGGGCCGGAGGGAACAAGGCTAAGGTTCGCGAGTGAGTCTCAAGTGAAAAAAAAGTGGAAGAGGGGTCGAAGGTACTGGCAACTGTTCGGAGCGGCAAAAAGAAAACCAGTGCCTGAGGCGCAAATTCCGTCGCGCGGAACAAAGACGCGCGACGTTGATTGGCTCGTGAGATCACTGGTCAGCGTCAAATTGCTGGGAGGTCGACGTGAGGCTCTCGCTCTCGTATCTCCCCGTCACTTCTATTGCGAGTCTCTTGTCTGCCCTGTCTGCTCAAGGAAAGGGTGCTTGAATCATGCCTCCCTCTCGCGAGGCCATGGTTCACCGTGGGGATGAAGACGGTAAGCTGCACCTTTGCTATTTATGGACTCAGATCCCCAGCTCTTGCTAACTACGTCCTTGTTAGAGGTGTGCCCCGTCTGCAAATCCTCGCGGTACTTGAACCCGGACATGCGATTCCTCATCAACCCAGAATGTTACCATAAAATGTGCGAGTCCTGCGTGGACAGGATATTCTCGTCAGGACCTGCCAACTGCCCGGTGGCGGGGTGTCACAAGACACTGCGAAAGAACCGATTTCGCAAGCAGACTTTTGAAGATATTCATGTAGAAAGAGAGGTGGATATCCGGCGGCGGGTTATGACAATGTGAGTGGTCTTGTTGTGATCTTTGAAGTGTGGGACTAACTGTTCTACTCTCCCAGACTCAACCGCCGAGAAGAGGAGTTCGATTCGAAGCTAGACTGGGACAACTTCTTGGAGCAGAGAGAGGAGATCATATTCAACCTCGTCAACGGAATCGACGTCGCAAAAACCGAGGCCGACCTCCAGAAATATGCGTCCAATAACATGCGCTCCATCCGCGCGAACCAAGCGCTCGAGGCCAAGGAAGTCACCTCGTTCCAGGAGCGGCAGAACCAAGAGCAGGAGCTGGCACGACTGCGACGAGAGGCGGCTAGAGAAGAATACGAGAACGAGCGCAAGGAAATACTGGCCGGCAGAGAGGACGTGCTCACACGACTTGCAAGCGGACGTCCAGCGGATGCTGCTACGATTGCACGTGAAGGCCAGAGAGTCCTGCTCAAGAAGTCTTCGGCTCGACGCAGCGAGGAGGAACGTATCAGACTGAAGCAGGCTGCTCTACGTGGAACAGAGGCCAAGAAGCCTGGTCAACCTGCGGCGGCAGCTGAGGAGGGTAGCTCTGGTTTGATCAAGGGTTTGAGAAAGATCAAGACACCCGAGCCCGAGAAGCCGTACGATCCTTTTGGCGGCATGGTTCCCAACAAGAGAGATTATTATACCTTGCTAGACCATTACCCGTCTACGTATCTTGACCCGATCCGGCAGGATACTCGGATGCTGGCGGGCGGGTACGACTTGCAAGAGTATTATTCCCGAACCCTGCTTGAGGCCTTTGCGGGATTGGGATGTTTTATTGATGAGGAGGTCTCGAAACGAGAGGGCAACGCTTTCAATGCCATGAAGCCTGTGGGTACACGGGGCGCAGCTGTGGCCACAACCTCAGGCCCGCAAGCGAACAAGTGATGCTCTCCAAAGGATATCTCGATATGAAGCCGGGGGAGCATGATAAAAATTGCATCACGCGGTGTGCATAGCGACGGCGTTCACGGATTTGATTTGACGGATGGCGATCCTTGGTTTAGAACTCCTTATAGCAGAATTTCAGGTATATAGCGAATAAGTGTACAAATATGATAGGCGCAATTGAGATTGACAAGTTACAAGGCGAAGAACAGTATTATACAAGAAAGCAGTCCGTCTTTATAGCTTTCCACCAGTGATCTCCTCTCCCAGCTTCTTGACCCTAGTCTGCATCTTATCCCAGCGGTCAGTGTCTCCCCTCGTACCTTGTAAGAGAGCCTCTTGCACTGTCGGAGGGAAGCCGAGGTTCCAGACGTTCTCGCCATTAGCTTGGTCGTTGCGCCAAGCTTCATTGACTCCTGAGGGGAAGGCCTTGTCGATCGCCGCAGCGAGCTGCTGCTCGTTGACGATGAAGTCGCGAGCATTCATATAAAGGGTGTGTAGCGCGTCCCGTCGGCCCTGCTCCTTCAGCAACGCCTTCTCCTCAAGGCGTGCTTTGGAAAGGGCGAGCCGCTCCTCTCGGTTGGGATCTGGCAAAACAGGATTGTGTTGGGGGAGCATCTCCTTGATGACCGAAGGCCGGGTAAGCAACACATCCTCCCGTTCTCCCTGCTTGAGAACCTGTGCACGTCGTCGTTGTTTTTCGCGACTTTGCTGCGCCATGATCTTATCTGTCATTTGCTTTCGCTTGTGCAATGCCTTCAATCCCTGTCTGAAGTTCGTCCTTCGCATTTCGGCCATTGTCTTCTTCCATTGTCGGTACTCGGCATTGGGCTCGTTGGGGTTGATGTCTTTGCTGTCCACGGGGAGAGGGATCGCAGCTCGGATGTACGCCTCCGTAGGCTTGTCCGCGCGTCGGCGGGAAAAGATTTCACGGGGCACAGGAAGGGTACCCTTGACAGTGCGTTTGGCGGGCTGGTACGGCTGAACCGATTGGGGAATCTCGATGAAGTTGGGTGAGTCAGGTCCGACTCGGAGGCTGGAGGAGGTTGAGAAACCGCGGAGCTGCACGGCGGCAGTCCGGCCGCTACGGAAGAGCGACATTATTGCTTTGCAGGATTTTGGTGACCGCTATGACCGGAGTGAATTGGGTACGCAGGAAAGAAAGCGCCACCCCGTCCAACTTGGCTGCGGTTGACAAGGCCGGTCTGTCAAGAGCCGGAAAAAGATCGAAGCGATTTTGTCGCCGTTGGTCCGTGCACCAACTCCGCTTGGCGCCTCAAGAAAAAAAAAATAGTAATTCTCCCTCCTCCGTCTTTCTTCTCTTCTTGCGTTCCGCCAACCTCTTTTCTCAACTCCTACCTTTAGATATCTTGTTTTAGATTTCTTCAGGTTACAGGTGTCAAGATGGGTACTGGAAAAAAAGAAGCCACGCGCCGAGTCCGCCAGGGCAAGGTCGGCGATGGCATGGCCAATGTGAGGGTCAAAGGTGAAAATTTCTACAGGTAAGACGATCGCTTTGGTTGTGTTTTCGATCGCAGCTAATTCGATAAAAGAGATGCGAAGAAGGTGAAGAGGTTAAATATGCTCAAGGATGGCAAGCCTCAACGTGACGCAGCTGGAAACATCACCGTCGCCGCCTCCTACCAGTCTCGCGATGCCCCGGTCGCTCGGATCGAGCCCAACCGGAAGTGGTTCGGGAACACTCGTGTTATCTCACAGGAGGCTCTCTCGTCCTTTCGCGAGGCTGTCGCTGAGCGTGCAGCCGATCCTTATCAGGTTCTTCTCAAGACGAACAAGCTTCCCATGAGTTTGATCCGAGACAATCAGACTCTCAATGGACTTAAGCAGCATGAGGCCAAGATGGCTATCGAGACCTCCCCATTCAGCGATACCTTCGGACCCAAAGCTCAAAGGAAACGAGTCAAGATCGGCGTCTCGTCGATTGAAGACTTGGCCGGTGAGACGGTCAAGATGCACGATAGCTACATCGAAAAGACTGACCAGGCTACGCATGCGGACGGCACGGCTGTCGTGTCCGGTGATGATGTTGCCGCCGACCTCAACGTTGGCACTCTTCCAACCTCGCGCGAGTCGGTCTTTTTGAAGGGCCAAAGCAAGCGTATCTGGAACGAACTGTACAAGGTCATCGATTCCTCGGATGTTGTTATCCACGTTATCGATGCGCGTGATCCCGAGGGCACACGGTGCAGAGGAATCGAAAAGTACATTCGCGAGGAAGCTCCTCACAAGCATCTCATCTTCGTTCTCAACAAGTGTGATCTTGTACCAACAGGCGTGGCGGTAAGTCGGCTCGGTTTTTCAATCCAGTATCCCATCTTCCCTTTTCCTCCATAGGCTTTCCGCCTTGCCATCGCTAAGTCAAGTCTACTTCCGGTGACTCTTTTGTCACCGTTCTCCTCAATGGAAGTATTGTCTGTTACAGCTTTGGCAGATTGACGCTGGTTCGCGCCGAATTTCATTCTGAAGCTAGGCTGATTGGTTTTCGTCTTGAAAGCCGATCGTTAAGAACTAAGCAGTGTTCTGTTTTTGAGTTGAGAACTGCTCGCCTTTTCTTGGCCCCTCAGTAGCCTTTCTCTTAGTAACATTTCACACATCGCCGTTATCACTCCTGATTTTATCTTCTGGTCGGATGCTAATGTGTTGACCAGGCTGCTTGGGTCCGTCACCTATCAAAAGATTATCCTACTCTGGCGTTCCATGCCTCGATCACCAACTCGTTCGGTAAAGGATCTTTGATCCAGCTGCTCCGGCAATTCTCGTCTCTCCACTCCGACCGTAAGCAGATCTCGGTTGGCTTCATCGGGTACCCCAATACAGGAAAGTCGTCCATCATCAACACTCTGCGCAAGAAGAAGGTCTGCACAGTCGCTCCCATTCCTGGTGAGACCAAGGTCTGGCAGTACATCACTTTGATGAAGAGGATCTACCTCATTGATTGTCCCGGAGTTGTCCCGCCCAATCAGAACGATACCCCGGAGGATATCCTCCTTCGTGGCGTTGTGCGAGTGGAGAACGTCGAGAACCCCGAGCAGTACATTCCCGCTGTTCTCAAGCGTGTCCAGCCCAAACATCTCGAACGCACCTATGGTATCAAGGATCCTGGCGGTCCGATCGAGTTCCTCAGCATTCTTGCCAGAAAGGGTGGTAGACTTCTGCGTGGAGGCGAGCCTGACCTTGATGGTGTTGCCAAAATGGTCATCAACGATTTCCTCCGTGGAAAGATTCCGTGGTTCACTCCCCCTCCCTATACACCCGGCGAGGAGAGTGAGAAGATCGAAGGCCGTGAAGGCAGACTTGGTGAAATGGGCCGCAAGCGCAAGCTTGACGACACTACACAGACTGCGGGTGACAAGAAGGAAGCCTCGGCTGAGTCGGGCTCTGATGAGGAGGAAGAGTTCGAGGGCTTCAGCGGAGAGGAAAGTGATAACGATTCGATCGCGAACCTCGAAGTCAGCGATGAGGAAAGCGGGGAGGAATGAGCGCTCGCCAGTTGTCCCTCACCAACAAACCATAGTTACAGCAAGCACATTGTTTGCTTAGACACCTGCCTCGACTAGCATGTCTGCGCCCCGAGTTGTGATCATCTGCTCGGACGATCGGTGCATATTGACAGCTGTCCGGCCCACCAGACAGCGTCGTGGCACGCTCTATTAGGCTCCAGTGCACCTGAAACCACGGTGTCGATGCAGTCGCAGGCCCACAACGTCGATTAGACACGCATGTGCCCAGTCCTACATGGTGCAGCTCCTAAGATGTCTCCGGTGGAAGGATTCATTGAGCCGATGTCGTGACATCAACCATCAATACATCATATTTAGATACCCATGATATACTTGATATGCCCCATTCTATCTGTCGGGATTATTTGTACTCCGTTGTAGTCTCGTAGCAAACAGTATAGGCGAGGCGCTCACCGCCGGTGCTCACGTGGGGCAGGATCGATGATGCGGATCTCAATCGCCTCATTCCGCTGGGACGGACCACCGACTCCTCTTCTTCAAGTTCATGCTCCCCTTCTCATGACCATGGCCTTTGCCGTCTCAGGAGATGCGCCCTTCATTGACTGATAATGGCAAACGAGGGCATGTCCATTGTTCCATATAGCTCCTCCAAAGATGTCGTCCTGCGACACAATGATTCCATTGTCGTTCTCGACCGAGACTCCCAGCAGCTCGTCCTCCAAAATGCCGCCGAACACGATGACGAACCTCAGTGCCCGTACTGCCGCCGGCCGCTACAAGAGGAAGACACTCAAGACAACCACCATGCGCCGCCGGAATTCATCAGCCCGAATTACTTTCGGATGCTCCACGACAGTCTGCCCGGCTCGGTAGAACCGACCACGCCGGCCCCTACTCGGCGTTTTGCCCAGCCTGTCCTCTCAGATGGTTCTTCGACCGGATCTAGTTACAATCAGAGGACGCAAACTGGACACGGAATTTCATCTGCGGCATTTACCCAGGATTACTTCAAAAAGTTCTTTGTGGAAGAAACCGTATTGGGGAAGGGTGGAAAAGGCGTGGTGCTGCTCGTGAAGCATGTGCTGGACGGCGTGTCTCTCGGACACTACGCCTGTAAACGTGTGCCGGTCGGCGACGACCACGAGTGGTTGGAAAAGGTGTTGATCGAGGTACAACTGTTGCAGCACCTGTCTCATCAAAATCTGGTGTCGTATCGGCACGTTTGGCTTGAAAATGCCAAAATCACTACCTTTGGGCCCAATGTCCCGTGTGCCTTTATACTGCAACAATACTGCAATGCTGGCGACCTACACAACTACATTTGCGGTGCTATGCAGACATCGACGACGCCGCAGGAATTGAAAGAGCGTATCAGACGGCGTTCTAAAGGCGGACCTGAAGCTCCTCCTGATGTGAAGGAACCACGAAAGCTTCATTTCGATGAGATCTACTCGTTCTTTAAGGACATCACATCGGGTCTTCGGTATCTTCACGCTAATGGCTACATTCACCGCGATCTCAAGCCCAACAACTGTCTACTGCACAAGACCAGCGATGGAATTCGAGTCTTGGTCAGCGACTTCGGTGAGGTTCAGGCGCAGAATGCCACACGAATGTCCACCGGAGCCACAGGAACTTTGTCGTATTGCGCACCTGAAGTGGTGCGGCGGGAATATCCCGACGGACCTTTTGGCAACTTTACCTTCAAGTCGGACATTTTCTCTCTCGGGATGATTTTGTACTTCCTGTGCTTTGCCCAGCTTCCATACCGAAACGCCGACCTCATCCACGAGGAACGGGAGGACATTGAGAAGCTTCGCGAAGAAATCATTGACTGGTCTGGGTTTGACGAGGGACGAATGCGGCCGGACCTACCAGAGCAACTATACACCTTCTTGTGGCGTTTACTGTCTGTCAATCCAGACGGCCGTCCATCTGCCGATGAGGTCCTCGGCGGTCTTGAGGTCGGTGCCAGTGAGAACTTTCGCACGAAGAGGGCCAGCAGCAGTTCGTCGGCTCCTGAGGTTCATACAAGTTCTCGTATCCGGCCTCTCGACGATCCTACAGAATCGTTCGACGAGCCCCCTGTATCCCCAAAGAGATTCTCTCGAAGCCCGGTGGCTATCCGCCGCAATTCGATGTTTGACTCTAATGGACCAGTGGCGGATCGAACTCCTGTTTATGAAGATACCAATCAGGCGTCGGTCTCAGAAAGAAGGCCATCGCTTGGTTCAGAGCAAGAACTCATCGTACGGCCGCGCTATTCCAGTTCACCTGGAGTCTCTCCCGGGATTTCCCCTCCAATGTCTTCTGGCCTCCCCGGAATATCTTCTGGACCTAACGAACCTCCCATCCGGCACTTACTCCCGCCGCCACCCAGCCGATTTTCTTCCCTGTGGCGTTATACATCAACTTCACAGCAACCCCTGTTCTCGATAAAACTGGCTTTATTCATCGTCAAAGTTGCCATGGTGCTCCAGCCATGCACTCCGCTAACCGTCAACCCCTGGATCCTTTATCTTCTGCTCTTGGCGGCAGGTATCAACCTCCGCACGAGAAGTGTCAAGCTGCAAGTTGCGTCTCTAGTGTTGCATGTCATGGTCGTTGTCTTGAGTATGCAGTTGGGAATGCTCTGCATATGGCATGATTCGACCCCTTATTCTGTTTTCGGAAAATAAGTCTCGAATGAGTAACGATGTATATGTGTATGCCTATCCTTATTGCCATGATACCATGTGATATCTATAAAGTGTTCAAGTACTGGCCATTCAGAACCCAGAGCTCATGAACCGTGTACTATACGTCAACTCAGAGAAGCATATCATCCCATCTGACGCCGGCGCAATCGTAGCTCCGCCCTTCTCAATGGACGGAAAGTCAACAAGGCCGCTAAAGTAGGTCTGCCTGCCTTTCATTTCCTGTCTATCTATCTCGGTTTACCTCCAGACAGCCCGAATGGAGTAGATACTCACCCACCGCACCTCGGATCAATGGGGCAAAGAAAATTGCTGATACTCGTCAAGAGCCCAACCAGCTAGCCAAGCAATGGGCCATGAGACTACCAGCAGAATGCCACCAATCAAGTCCAAGCCGGCCCAGGTTCGATGTTCTAAATTGGATCCGGAACGCTACGTCCGGCTCTAGCCCCATCGCATCAATATAAAGATCACAGCTTATTCTATACCCGAATAAGTCCGTCCGGTGGGTTATGCACCCAAGCCAGGCATGGTGATAGGACTGGTTCTGCGGGTTAGGGCAACTGGTAGTCGATTAAAGTTGTAGATGGCTGAGTTGACGGTGAGTGAAGTTAGGGTTAGGGAACAGGGCCCCATGGACCCGAGGCAAGCATATACAGCTAGGTGGCTTTCAACTTCATTTTCTTATGTGATTTAGGGCAGTCTCGCGCTATCTAGCCATTGTCCTGATCTATACCTTAATGAACGTATCATGGGCTGCGGTCTGGCGGAGATTTCGCAACGCAACGTTCATTTCATGTCCTGAGAAGCTGGTATTCGTGATAGCTGGCCTCCTGTCAGGGTGCTTCCACTTTCTAGATGTCGAGAAAGCAAATGTACTTTCTTGCAATTCATGGGTAAATACAGTCTTATCAAGCCCGGGAAAGCAAAGTGTCGGCCTTCCATTCGCCAAGTCACCGAGGCTAATCTCCTGCAGCGCCGGATACTCAATCTCTAAGATCTTGCGAGTATCCGACCCCTTCAGATCAGACGCCAATGACTGGAGCGTCAGCTTCCACAAGCTGTTCTATGCCGCTCCAGAAGCGGACAAATCCATCCTCCCCGGGAACGCGTACGCGACCATTCACTATCCACACCGTCTGCAGCCGAAAGACGCACTGTGGCATGGATAGCTCCCACAGGAGCGCCTTGGAATTCCCCCCGCGCCCTATGTCAACGTCCAGTGTCGCCAATTTCGGCGCTACGCGGGCTATTTTTGCGATTTTCAATGCAGGCAACAAAGCTCAGGCGACTCAGATTACGCGGCTTGGAACTCTGAATTGTGGGACATGTAGTAGTCCACATACTAAGTTCTGTACTGGACACCACGGGTGAGGCTCATATCGGCGCAGTCGTACTCGAAGGAGTCCGGGTGAATTCCTGCCTTCGCTATAGCTTTCATGGTCAGCATGAATGCGTCGATGAAGGTTAGGACCCTGTTTAGATTACTCTAAGTCATCCAGGTTGGCTCTTCATATGCCCTGTCCCAGGTGCTGCGGCGAACCTGGAAGGATCTGCAATTGATCAACTTTCTCAGTATGTCGTCCCAAAGCGCGACGAGATGCGCCTCAGAGGGTGACCACCAGATCTTGTCGGTCTCTTTCTTTGACCAATCGAGTCCTTCTCCAAAGGTTCGGTCCCGGACTTGCTAACGACGAGTCGCTGGATGAATTGCGCTTTCAGGGGTTCTTCTGATATTCTCCGTAGTTTGTGCAGCTGGTACCTGGAGAAATCAGTGTACGCAGTTTCCAGGTCGAATTATGAGCGCCTGCAGTGGTGAGCCATACACTGGTGAATGTAGCTGCAGGTTAGTCTGAGCGAACAGAAATGCTGGGGATTCTAGGTACCTGGCGATGTATTTAATGAGTTCATAGGGTAGCTTTTTAAAGGAACCAGCTATAAGCTGGCCATGGATATGGTTGTGCTGCTATCAAATGAATAAGTTTCTTAGGTATATTATGTACTCCATTTTAGTGAAAAGGGCTTCAAATGTTTGGACAGGGGTTGCAGGTTTAATAATGGTTAGGGGCGGCTGTTCCTTCTATAAATCATAAAGGATGGGTTCCTGGAGATTACTAAGAAGTATAAAGATACTATAAAGCCTGTTACTATGAAAGTCGCTATAAAGCAAATAATGCCTAATAACACTATAGAATATTAAATAATACTTATTTATCTACAGGGAGCCTAAGCATGCATTTAAGAATAACCCTACTAAGTAACTTAATAAAGATAGTAATATTATTACCTCAAAATACTACTATATAAGTGAATGAAATGCAGCACAATACTAAACAGGAACTTTGTACCTAGGAAACCATCTATAGAGCCATATTTAACGCATTTTGTTGATCAATAGAGTCTTTCCATCAGAATTTCCCTCAGAAAAAATTTTCGGCTATGGAGTGGCTGGAAGACATTAAATAGAGTAAGCCAGGCCAGATTTATCAGTTCTGCACACTCTTTTGTGGCATGTTGTAGTCTGACAACCATATCTAGGTTAGTAGGAGTGACTCTTCGTGTTTTCCACCACTTCAACAGAATTACCCAACCTCCCACTTCCGATGACTTCCAACCCTGCCACATGACGAGTGTATCGCAAAATTAAATAGCAAGGTCAACCCCCTTTCCTTCAGGAAAGCTTGCACGATATCTCATATAGTTGTCTACATCATGATTAGGAGAAGTATAACAAAAGCGGCATCTACACCCGACAAATATATCGGAGCTTCTGGGACATCTTACTGGTTCAAAGAACTACTCCAAGAGAGACCTCATCTAGGTCGGGTCTGGTTGGCAACGTCCGAGATCCTCCAGCATTCATGTTATTCGGTCACTAATTGAGAGTTTTTAGGTCAGGACAGGACAAAGTTGTCTTGAAAGATATACCTAAAGATATTTTTGATAACTTCAATCAAAAAATCCGGCCCCGGTTACCCAAAAGCCCGTACATACGAATGCCGTGGGATACAGTACCAGGACAGAGAATATTGGTTTACAACCACCTGTCGAACAACTTCCTCTCTCTGGTCAAGGAAAATATCTCACTCCAAGCGCGGAAGCAGATCCTGAAGGCTACCTTGTCAGATATCGCTGGATTACACGATCAGCATATCGTTCACCTTGGTAAATCAATTATTTTGTGGTCAGCCAATTAATGCCTTAACTTACTATGATTAGATATTAAGCCAGACCATATCATGGTTGACAGAGACGACAACGCTCAAGATACCATGGTTGAAAGGGTTCAGCTCATTGACCTTGAGAATGCCGCCTATCTTCCCGATGGTAGGTGTATTAAAGGGATGCTTGCGGGCAATGCCAACTGGACAAGTCCAGAGGCACACTTGAAGGGAGAGCTTAGCAAGCCTGCAGACATTTTCTCTTTTGGAATTGTTGTAAGTATTTTTATTTCTTTTATAAATCTATAACTAGAGACCATTAGTGCATCTATGCTATGCTGGGACAAGTTATTCTTGGTCCAGATGAGGATTTTAGAAAACATGAATCCCAGGGTGCATTGCCGCATTAATTCGCCTGCAGCGTCAAGTCTCATATTTTGGAGATCCTGATGGTATTAGAGGTCTTTTAAACCACGTTGCCGATGATGAGATTAGTTGTCAGTTACTACAGATGCTATGGGAGGAAAGGGCTGACAAGAATATAGGATACAAAGCTTTTTCCAAGTGGCCAAATGTCCTTGACTCAGAGTTCAAGGATCTAATTCGGGGCCTTACAAATCTTGACCCTGCTAAACGACTTTCTGCGCGTCAGGCTTTGGAACATCCATGGTTTGTCCAACTTTAAGGCTCTGCGTGTCTCAGATGTATAGGTGCAGATAGAATCCACCGGCAGTTCGCCTTTTGTTTCGCGTGATGTAGGGTCGATAAGTCTACCTAACTCAAAGATATCAATGTCAAGTATGAATGCCGAGTAGTTATGATCCACATACCGAACAACCTCTCGGTCCGTCCGCAAACTCTTCCCGAGTTGGAACAAAAAACATCCTCCTTATTGTCGAATGTATCACCACGAATGGCACCAGATCAAGGTTGGTATTTGTTTCTTCATTTCTTCCCAGATGGCCGGCAGAAACATCATGGGTGAAGAAAGCTGACCAATCACATCGTGGTTCCTGTCTGAGCTGGCTGCCAAGATTTTCTGTTTTGCTTGATTGCTGAGCGTCGTTCCCCGCTCCATGTCAAAGTTGCACAACGCTGCTTGTCTTACAGCAATAGATGCAGGCTCTGCTTTTCAGGTTTTGATCTCCGCTCGACATCCAGCCAGGAGATTGAGAAGTGGTAAACGTCCAATGTCGGGACGGGGATCGGGGTTGCGCTTCATCATCGTTGATCCGGCCTCAGATCCGAGCCACTCAGGTGTTATTCGGGAAGTGAGGTCGCATGCTGGAAGATGGACTTGGCAACAGGGTAGAAGGAGTCAGCCGGAAACTGCAGATGGTATTGGTTCAGATGGCGACGACACTGCACATAGAGACCTTGACAACCTGGGTCAATTGGTGTTAACTCACCAAACCCCTCCAGCCCCCACGCCAGCCAATCGTCCTTGCCCTAGCACCTTGGACCCCTTCCAAACCTATGTGTCTGCGCCGATATCTATAGAGACTGTCAGTGTCAGCAACAAGTATTGTACGCCGACTGCCCTTGCTCGGCCCACTTCTCGTTCTAACCGTCATCAGCTCTCTCAGTCCTCTGGCCTGGACTCATGCCCAGTCAACCAGGAAGTATCCATCCTGGTGTCCAAGCCTGGTTCTCTAATTCTCGCTCTCATCCTGCCCTGCACAGCTCCATGCTATTTGGATCTCTTTCCCATCGAAGAACTCGTGTTTCAAAGAGCCAGCGACAGCTCAGTGCTACAGACTCAAAGACCATGGTCTTGTCACAGATCGATTCCATCTCCAAAATCAACACGGCCCTCCAGGACCCTTCTCTAGCGGTGACAGATGAGATCATTCTGTCAGTACTTTGTTTAGCCACAAACGACAGCCCTGATTTGCGAGACATCAAACATTCGCCGTTTCAGCCTACTTTGCGTAGCCTGCAGTGGCTTGACATTTATGCACGGCTGTCTCCGAACCCAATACATCAGGCGGGACTACTCAGGCTCGTGGAGCTGAGAGGCGGGCTGTATAAGTTAAAGCTGCCTGGTCTGGCAGCCGTAATATCATTGTACGTACCAAATTCGCCGCAGCACAATCCATCACACCACTAACCGTTGACCTGTGGACAGCTCGGGAATCTTATCCGCAAGCCGAAGCTTATCGCGCCCGATCTTTCCTTTTGTTCCTTTACAAAGTGTAGCACCGCCGACGCTACAGGACACGATCAACATTCAGGAACATATCATCGACTCCGGACGCGACATTCTGCTTAGCCTGCAGGTAACGGAGGAGATGCACAGCGTCTTCTGCGCTGCACGCGTATACGTATCCATTGTCGATGCTTACCAGCAAGGCTCTGCCCTGGCGATGCATAGCGCGGCCATCTGCGACCATCGCAACCTCCTTCAATGGCAGATCATGTCGCTGCCTCCTGTGAATGAGCTTGGTTCTGTCATTGATGTTCTCGGCCCAATGTACGAACCTTGCCGCCTCGCATTGATTATTCTTGGTGTCGGTGTTGTATTCCCACTTCCAGCCGAGACTTCCCCGCTGGTTGAAGCCTCAAGGATGCTGCAGATTGCGCTGCAAGCATACAGCTACAGTACCCCAAGTTTAGGTTCCCAGTCAACTGTGGCAAGTTTGGAAGTCCTCAGGGTATACTGTTGGTGTGTGGTCCTCGGCGGAATTGCATCAACCGGATCCCATGAAAGAGTCTGGTTCGTCCATGAGCTGAGACAGGTTGCTGCCGCTATCCCAGTCTCCAGTTGGAGCGAACTTCACTTCGTTCTGAGGTCAATTCTGTGGTTTGACGAGGCCTGTTCGTCGGCGGGGAAGGAGCTTTTCATGGAAGCGACGCACTATTTGAATAACAGCGAATCCTGAAATCCCTCGCTTGCTCAGCCCTGCCGAAACGCACGAGACCAATACTCTCTCGATCCTTCATTAGTCACATCCAAATCAGGGACACCAGCTCAGATTCGGAAAGTGCATTTAATTGCGCTAACCCACTCTCTGGCTTGTGGCGTCAAACTAACCCTAGACTGGAAAGTGTATTGCGCCACCACGTCTCCGGCTTTCTCACTCATTGTTTACTATGCTCACTGTGGGTACTTTGTGAGTCCATCCGGAGGCCTTTTCCGCTCTGAGGCTGGGATTTGAATCATGAAAAGCTCAGGTCAAGCTCTGCAAGAGTACAAGCGTCGCCCTTGGCATCTTGCGTTCTCGGGGATTCGCGCATCGGGGTCTAAGCCTCGATTTATTTCCCCGAACAAGCCTTCCTTATTTACCTCGGATACCCATGGAAGACACCGAAACCCAAATCCCGCAGGGATGCAGTCGCTTGATGGGTAACAAATCTAGCAATGGCAAGTCCTGGGATAGCAGTCCCACGCGCACTGAGCGCTTGTATAAGCTGTGCGACTGGTCGGCGGAAATGCGATCGGCTTCTTCCAGCCTGTTCACGATGTAGTAGGTAGGGTCAATACCAGAACTTCCTTGATGATTTGTCGCTGACTGCCAAGGCCTGGGTCCTCTCGACAGTGCTCGTACATGGAATGTTCGCTTCCCTCTGTGTCTGGCCGCCAAGTAACAAGCGAACCGACACCACAATCCTCGGGGCGAGGAACCAGTGCCTGCGATAGATGTAGGACGGTAAAGCGGCGGTGTGATCGGGGCTTACCAAGTTGCTCACGGTGTGAGAAGTAGGCATCTCATTAAACTTTCGCTTGCAGAGACCCTGTGGCTAAACCAACGTCTCTGGATTTTAGATCCGGCGTTTTATGCGCTTACCCTGCGCCTGTGGGTGCGGGAGCTCCTCTGGCTCTTCAGTCCTGGGCATCCGCTCAAATGAATATTGAAGGATATCTGGATATCGCGTCAGACGAATCGGGTATCCACGAGACGTATTACGGTCTGCTTGGCTGTGCAAGGTACGTGGAGCCCTTGGTTTTGTTTGATTTCGGATCACTAATCGGATAAGCACTAGGACTCTTGCGGTTCCCCAGTCCAACATTTCTCCAAGGGTCTTATTAGGGCCAGCAATAACTTTCGATTTCCCGGTTCCAGACTCGGACAATGTTCCAGAGCTACTTTTCAACTGTAAGCTATTAGTCCATTTTCCTGCGGCTGACCAGCTGCTCGATCGAACCGTTCAAACATGATCATAGCATGGATAAAATCTTACTCCCTCCAGTTTGCTCCATTCTCCCCACTGCTGCCGCATTACCAAACAGTCTCTCTATATACGTTCACACCGAATGGGTCCGCCGGGCCATATCGAATCCATGTCTATTACACAGCACTCTATTTTGCGCTTCGGCGTACCTAGATTCCCGCCAAAATTCCTCCAACAGTCTTAGTCGCAGAACCACGTTCCATCATCTACAGGCTGTCAAGATAATCCGTGAGCAACTTGCGCAGCCAGACTTCCAGCCGACCTATGAGTTGGTAGCTGCCATACTAGCATTGAGTTACTTTACCGTGAGATGACCGGAATTTGTTTTGGGAGGCAAACGTCTACTGACTCAATCCATTATACTAGATGGCTTCGAATGAAATAGACAGCGCGTTAGTACACATCCAGGGACTAGCACGGATCCTACACCTTTCGCAAAACGAAGGGCCGGACTTCAAGTACCTGACCGCATTTTTCAACGAGTGAGCGAGCACCCCTCATGCTAACCAATACCAAAGTGCCAGTGCTAACAACCTAAACTTTAGAACACTCATATGTTTCTCTGTCTTTCTGGACAGAGATATTACCTCGATAGTGTCGTCAAGCCTTCCAGACGAGGCCGCCCTTCCTCTGCTTCTGTTTCACGAAATCACGCCATCAAGATTGTTGAAGAGGATACTCGCACGATCAGCGAACGACGCCGCCAGCACCAGTAGCAACCCTCGGACGGGTTATAAAAAGCACTGGCCGCCCACGAGCTACGTCATGCTAGAAATTCAGAAGCTCTACGATTTTATCGTCCAAGAAGAACTGCCATCAAGAGCGCCTCCCGAAGAACCAGCTTACACACAGCAACACCAACAACAACACCAACACCGAGTGAACACCGTAGGCAGTCTCCTGCCGGAAATCCCATGGATTTCCGCCTACGAAGATACGACGATGGAAAAAGCCACCACGTGCTGCTATCTATCCGTGCATGTCTTCTGGGGCATTGTTAACAGCAACTCCACAGAATTCAGCACCCGAGGACGCAAATCAGTATATGCAGTCAGCCCGTATTATGCCGCTCTTGAGACATTAAAGGAAACGCTATTGAAAATCGATCCGATTCCCTGGGTGCAATGCGCGCCTGAGCTCTACGCGTGGGTATATTTCACTGCTGCGGCAGCGTGTAATCTAGATCGGGACCGGATGGAGATTATGCTTGCTGCGATGCGGTATCTCACGGGGCTCAACGGAATTGATCTTAGCTTGATGAGGGAAGGGTGGCAGTATTTCAGGTGGCTGAGACAGGCACGGACTCGGGCTCTAGGGGTCTGAGTTGCATCATGATCAGAACCTATCTTTGCGAAGAATAATAGAATCAATATATAGAGGGGACAGTCGGGGTGTTGATATAGCGAGTCTGATATAGCGAGTCTTTAGGAAGTAAAGAACGTGGTGCGTGTGAACTATCTAATAAGCCTCCCCATCTTCTCAGTGCTTTCAGCAATGTCTCTGAGATGCTGGCTATCCATCTCGACTGCCTATTAGTATGGCGATTAGCTATCAAGCTTGAGTACATCGTCGAATAAATCGTAAAGCAGAAGCTCTACTGGTAGTCCATTACTGTACACGATACCGGCGCTTCGGTTGAGTAAAAGAGCCCTGTTTCTTTTCAAGTACTGCATTAAGCCAGGCAGGCAGCGCAGTTGCTCTTATGGCATTTGCCTTTGAAGGCTGCTAGTTGCTTGATTGAGTCCGCGCTTTCTTTGCTAGTGTGGATAATTACTGTAGTCTGCCCTGAAATATATTTGAAATATTCCAAGGCACCATGGGCGTACGTACAAACAGCACATCTTACCACAAAACGACCCCTACAGGAGGTTAAAATGACATTTCAGTGATTTCTATGAAAAATAAAGTATCACAATCACGGCATAAAAACCTCATCAACCTTCCCACGACTCCCCCTCTCAAGATCAATCAACTCCCTCACTCCCAACGTCAGGTTTTAACCTAATGCAGTACTTGGAAAGAAACAGCACTCTTTTACTCAACCGGAGCGCCGTTAGTCTAGTGGTTTAGGATCCCACCTTCCCAAAAGAGTAATGATCTGCAAGGATTTATTCACCATTATCCATTGGAACAGGTGGGGACCCGGGTTCGAACCCCGGACGGCGCAGCTTTGGATTACATAACAGTTATCTTCTTACCAAAAGATAGCTAGCTTATCATTTTTGCTATCTAGAAATCTAAATACTACTTTCAAGTAGAAGATACCTAATTTTTTTTTTGTGGTTTCTCGATTTACTTGAGGGGTGTAGAGGGAGTGGGGAAGCTATAACATAGTAGATAAACACAGAGTCACATACTTATAGATGTCCAGACGGAGGGAGGTTTATAGCAGGGGCGCGCGGTGCCTTCCTATCCGAGGTGTTAGTAGGGCTTTGCGGCCTCAGCTACATATATAAATACATATCTGTGCATACTGACTAGCCGGTCTACCCGCGGGTCAGCTCTGGCATACACATTTTATTCCGTTGATTGTATACACTACCATGATACTGGGACTGTAATGTAGCATTCCAATTTAGTCTATGCCATGTCGCTTAGAAGCTGCTATACATACACACTGTTGCTACCTCACTACTCTGCTTTCTAACCAGTTGCGCTTCATTCCTGATCTTTAGAAGATACTTATACTAAAAGTCGCTACAAAGTTATTTAAATAATAAGATAATAATAGTTGATACTCACCTAGGATTTGTGTTGGTTCAAGCCGAACTCATTGAATACATCGCCAGGTACTTAGTCGCCCAGGATTTCTGTTCGCTCAGACTGACCTGCAGCTACATTCACTAGTGTATGTCCCGCCACTTCAGACGTTTGTAGGAGCGCTGCATCTTGGAACAGATGATCGCGAGACCTTGATCGAACAACAGCCGCCTCTCGTGCTTGTCTGACGCGAACGGTAATGCGGCGTAGATATCTTCAAGGGACGGGGCAACCGAAAGAGTGCCGTGGAGGCTTAAAATGTATTGTTCCTCATCGTCTAACCCCTGGAGGAATGATTCCATCCACTTGATATTCGCCTCAAGCATGGAGAGTATCCCCGTGTTGGATGGTTGCACTTTAAGACTCTTGGGTACTTTTTTAACCACGATGGCCTCGGCGCGCGGTACGCCAGATGCACAACCTCTAAGGGATCCTTGTCTGGACAAGCCTCAAAAATTGTTGCCACAAGTGAGGTGAGATCCAGTGCAATGACAGAGATGTCAATGCGAAGCTTATTTTGAACTAAGCCTTCTCGAATGCCTTCAAGGGTCTTAATTGAGAGTCCAATCACTTCGGTATAGTGGCTGGAGAGGGCCTGAAGAATGACTGTAAATCCTCCCTCAGTGTTGCCCTCCCAGATCGAGACACTATCAAGGAAAGAACTCACGGACGAAGACAACCCACTCACTATCGTCAACAACCTCGGCCAAGACATAGAGTCTAGTGCCCTTTTTAGGGTCGTTCTTAGCTCTGCACCGGGACGGCAAGGCAAACTACCATCAGTGTTGGGTCTGAGGATGGTAAGAGGGAGTGAAGCGCCTATTGCAGTGCCCTTTCTGTGGAGACCAGAGAACTTTTTTGGTCATGTCCTTTGCTGGAAAAATTCCCCACTACTGCATATTGAGCTTGCCCCTTTATTGGTTTCTCACTCTCTCCCTCGGGGTAATCGAACTGGGGGGCGATATCATCCATTTTCTTCTTTTTCTCAAATTCATCGATAGTCTTGCCGCTGGGTTCCAGGACCGTGACCTTCCAAGGTTGTGGTCGTCCAATCGAGCTCTCCTCCAGTGTATATGCAGCGTTTTGCAACGTCAAGGCGTAACCTTTCCAAGGGGATGCGGGCTCTTCGGGTGCGCGCTCATTGTTCCGGTCGTGACTATTCAGTCAGCGATTAGCCGCGGTGATAGAACCGCAACAGAGATATCGAAGCGGCTTACCTTCGGCTCATTTGAAAAGTGAAGATAATGAGAAGGGCGACCTGCGACAGGTGCCTTCGAAATGCTCCAGTCGAACTGTCGACGGAATGTAGAGATTAGTTGAGTAGAACGTGGTGCAAGCCCAACAGGAAACCTGAGATTTTGATCTTTATATGCGCAGGTGACGAAAGATCGAAAGTCCGGCCTAATCGAACGCTTTGTTGTTCAAAGTGCCGAGATATCGAGTTGTCAAGAAGGTAAGAGTAACACAACCGAATGTCCCCAGTTGATGCTGAAATCCGAATTTTGCAGTCCAATTAACTACCTCAATCCGCACAACGCAATGGTGGGGTCCAATGGACAACAAGAAAAGTCTTACCTTACTCTGGGCAGTAAAGAGAGACTCCTCTGTTGTACTCTGGATACCTAGATTTTGAGTCAATCAACATTTCAGCCCCATTGCTGGAGACTGCCCCCTGAATCTGTACATGTTGATCCCCCTCCACCCAACTCAAAAATTCACCAAGCTTTCCACTGAGCTTGTATCTTTTCAACAACTCCTTCTTCTGAAAACTCCTGTGGCTTAGTGCTTTCACTGAGAAACTGTGACAACAAGTAATGATGACTACGTGAGCTCTTCTTATCCATAGACAGGTCCTTGATATTTTTCACATTGTCTCCTCTGACTTGAAGCTTCTAAGCTGCACTACATTTCTTGCCTCTCGAGGGCGTCTGCACCAGATGACCTTCTACCTCGATTTCCAACCTTTTATAGTCTCATCATCCAGCGCTGCCTTGCATTGCTACTCTCTCTTGAAGGCGTCTGCACCAGACAACCTTCTTTTTTTTTCTTTCAGCCAATTCAAGTGAGTTTCTTTATGTGGCTCTCATTAAGGATTCAACTGACGCAGTTCACTCCTAGGATGACGAATGAGGTTGAGGCAATTATCGCTGAGGCTATTGCCGGCCTGTCGCCCCCTCGCCAGCCCACTCAATCAGTCAAATATATTGTCAAGGTAATCCCATTTCTGGTGGATGGGACATATACAATCTCCGAGCAAGAATGATAGGTGTGTTATTAGATGTCATTGTGTAGAATCTCTATACGCCACATGGTTACTTGTCTGTTTGTGTCAAAAGACGTTAGTGCAGGGAGACCTACCACCCCAGCCTAGGTGCAACATGCCATGGCTCAATCCTGCCGATCCTGTACGCTGATGGGGGTTTTATCTTTTTCTTTGTCTTCAAAAGATCGTAAAATTCGAGCTCGAGTTATAGATATATGTCACTCGAAAGAAAACCGAAAGATGGGCCATAATATTACAGGTACCATTAACTCAAGCCGAAAAGCATCACAGGCCATACTCATTCTGCGTAGCGATGTATAGAGATGTCGAAAAGCACCAGAGATAAACTCAACCAACGCAGAAGCCATAGCACAAGTCTGGAGCGTATCGCATATCATATATATGCCGTTAATGTAGAATATAAAAACACAAGGCACACTTGCAATGAACCCTAAGGAAGAAAACGATGACAACAACAGGCTTCCATGAACAATTCTCCCCACGCGTCATCACTAAATATAAGAGAGAAATAGCTATATGCCTATTCACAGTCCGTTGCTAGAAATTTGGCCATCTATGGTTGGTTGTCGAGGATCAATCTCGGCAACAGGCGGCTTAAGAGGACTCGGTATAAAACCTCGACATATTCAAGCCTGGGGACTTTGGCCGTGTGAGCTCCTCGATAATGGAAGTCGATGGTCCTCTTAGTATATCACCAAGTGAAGTCGCGAAGGGCGTGCTAACAGTGGAAGGTTCCGATGGAGTGGAGATGGAGCTCTCCGCTGTGGACCAGGTCGAAAAAATGCCCGACGATAGAGGAGCTGCTGTCGTGGCGGCAGGGGACGAGGCGGTGGTATTCCTGCCCTGATTGTGAAAACCCGCGAAGCTCCCTGCGGCCTTGACGGCCTCCACGCTCCAGTTGATGGAGTGGACACGCAACAAGTATTCAACAATGTTGGCAATGATTGGTCTTTGTTTGGTCGATCGCCACTTAGCGTATGTGTGCTCCCCAGCCTTCCGCAGCTGGTTACGGCGGTCTCTGGATCTCCAATTCTTTGCACTTACCCCCTTTGCTGCCTGGTAGCGATTGCACATTAGGACCCTCTCGTGGGTAGCGTCAGTGCCATCAAACACCCACTTTCTGCTATACTGACTCTGGCAGATTTCGCAGCGGATGTCGATATCCTCTAGGTGTTGGGGAGCAAGGCGCAACTGACCTGGCTGCCAGGCGAGAAATCAGAAGTCGCACGTATACTCTTCTAACTCGGACAACTGCCGCCTCTTTCGGCTGCCCTTTCCCAGCAAGCTTTCACAATGAGGACATTCATCAGGGCGTGTTTGGGTGGCTCGGGCCATTCGGTCCCTTTCGTGACAATCCCCACACATTCTCAACTGCTGGTGTCAAATATATCAGGGCATGATGAAAAAGCGCATCAAGGGATGAGTTACGGAAATAGAGAAGAAAGGATGGGGCTATCGATGAGAGGCGGGTGCCAGATTGAGCTCTATCAAATATGTATTGAACGACGGCACGCAGCCTTGTGTCGAATGTCCTCGTGGGTTCTGTGGTACCGGCCTCTACCGAAGACACCTCAGGGACGCAATGGCCAAAGGATGGATCCTGCAGGTATTGGGCTACTCCGGTCTCAACTTCGTCATCCACTAGTATGATTTCAGGATTGTGATCCTCATGCGCTGGTATAATGTCATCGTCTTCCGGAACTAGGTCCGGACAGTCGTCGATTGACCTGTCTTCAACTTCGGATCCTGAGTTCATCGGCTAGATATCCTGATGGAAGGACGAAGAGACGATGCATTGGTCTAACTACCTGCTGAGGGAGAGAAAAGAAAGAAGAAACCGCTGGAAGTCTCTTTCCTATAAAGGAAATGGCCACACGTGAGGAGCTAAATCACTTTTGGAAGTGAAAGGGAGACCGGGCTTCCAACATATCCAGCAGAGGCCAGTTTTTGAGCGATATGCTTGCTGACCGTGCGCAAGTAGCCTTCCTCTTCAACCCAGACATCCTTTTGTTTTGCAACTGAGTCGAGACGCTGGCCAAATAAGGCGGGCCAGAGCCCCTAAATGCAATTGCATAGTTAGATATAATTGGCTCACTTTGAGAAGTATACACATGGGTATATTATTTTAAACCTTGAAGGCTGGTTGCTGTGGCTTGTCAGCTAACATGATATATACTAAATTACTATGTACTAGATATTGGCGATGCGGCCCTCCGAAGCCGGTGACAGTTTCAATTAGCTGTCTCATAGAAATCAAAGACTGCCAGAAAGGGTCATTGCAGCATAAGTATACTACATAAGAGCAGAGGCCATTATTTCCTGAGTAGCTCGGATAATATCTTCTGTTGAAACCCATGGTTGAGGCCCGAAATGGTAGACAGACACACAGTCACACATACAGATGTCCGGCAGGAGGGAGGGTTTGTGGCAGGGGGCGCGCGGCGCCTTCCTATCTGAGGCCTTAGGGCTTTGTGGCTTCAACTACATATATACACCCTGTTGCTGCCTGACTACTTCACCTTCTAACCACTTTGCGCCTTATTTCTAATCATTAGAAGGTACTTATGCTAAGAGTGGCTAAAAAGTCATTTAAATAATAAGGGAAAGATGGTTGATACTTATCTAGGATTTATGTTGGTCCAAGCCCCGGGCATGAAGTTTCCCTTTCTTGACCGGAAAGAACAGTCGGGACAATTGCAGCTTGTTCCTGGAAGTATACCCAGCTCGCCAAAGGCGATGGGGAAAGTCAAAGCCGAGCCAAGATAAGGGCCGGCCTTTGTAGATACTCGAAGTGCCAATTTGCGATCTTGGCGAGTAAAGAATCTGAAGCGTGATCAGTCTCTGTGGGATGGTGCCGTGCAATCACCTAGGGATTAAAAAGAAAAACAGCACATGAATCAAAAATCTCTTCAACCTTGTCACATGCCTGGGGACCTGCAGCCAAATATCGCGCAAAACTTCGAAGATTATTCATACTTAGTTATCGCCAGGTACAGATCTGACACATTCGGCTTGGTGAGAGAGCACTGAGAGAGGTGAATCAGCAGCCTATCGTACCTGAGATCTGATATCCAGGAATGCAGCTGAAAGAATTCCCGAAGAGTTTGAGATGATTAGCCGTTGATCTGCACTTAGATCGTTGGAGCGACCAAGGAGGTACTTTTGTGCATTCCTCCGAGCCTGAAGATGCCATACATGCACATGAGTCGGACATTATACAGCATAAAAGCCGAAAGCGGCATGCCGGGCCCATGCGCGCTGCATAAGGTGCGACAGTGGTCAGATCTGAGCTGCAGAATCTAAGCATTGACGCGCCATTGATGGGTTCGTCTAGGCCGGGTGCTTATTTCCAAGCATAGGATTCGGCACAATCTTGCGGGTTTCATGATTCATCGCGTATAGCGGCAAAGACATGGGTGTAGTATCACCTATTATTTTCAATGCCGGTCGGTGTTGCAGATCCGAAGACGATGGTCAATAGAATAATAGCGGATCAGTGCGCTCACAGGGCCTCGTGACGAGGACAAGGTGCATAGGAGGTGAAACGTGGATCTTGCAAGGGAAACAGTGCCCAACCATCTAATAAACGATTGACTTTAGGATCGACAGGAGAACGACTCTTAACTTGCCCAAAGGAGTATCCCACGGGTGTGGACTCTGCGGAGAGGATTCATAAGCCTCGACAGTTCATCAGTCTGGAGCACTCAAACGGGGATCCTTCAGACTCTGGAGGTCACACGGCGCTCTCACGGCAAGTCGCCCTGTCCCACGGATCTGTGTCGGATAGCCGATCTGATAAACTAATCCCATTACCTTTGACCCTTGATTAAGGTATGCGCCTTGCCGGACAGTTACCGTCAATCGTTGGACGGTGGCTGTGGCACTCGGGCGCCTGCCGCTCTGAGGATGCTCAGTTAGAAGTGATTGCGGATGGAGTGGCCTAAACACGCCTCGTAAGGTTGATCCCTCCCTGTGAAGGGGTCGGCCATGCAGTCTCAGGACCAAGCTTGAATTGAGTTGTGGTTTGAGGATGGAATCCATGCCGGGGAGATGCATGGTCAGCTCGCTGGTAGGGGTCTCAAAAATAAAAATAAAAATAAAAATAAAAATAAAAATAAAAATAAAAATAAATTCCGCAGAGCCATTGGCCAATAGGGGAAAAGCCAGCTCGATAAGCTTGTCGGGTGACCAGAGGTTCTGGATTGTTGGATATTCCTGGGGCTGGGCACGGACTACCCGAACGGGTGCGACTCCAGACTGACTGACTCGGAGCATCGCCGTCTCCATATTGCTTCTATATTCCAGGCTGTAAAACGACGATTTTTCTGACGAAGGTCGATATGCAACTGCAGAGATTTCCGACTATCAATGGCGAATGATGAATTCTTGCCGCAATTTTGATGAAAACATCTTGGAAAACCAAGCGGCGATGATCTCCGACACTGCCAGCTTCGATTCGCCATAGAACATTCGAAGCGTGCGAGTGTTGCTTCCAGAATCGTCCAGGCTGGCCCTGTGACCAGTTGCGACAGACTAGCAGCAATTCTCGACCGCCACCTTGGATTTTCTCCCCCAATGTCGCTGAGCTCATTTTGCCCCCAGGAGCGGATTTCCCAAAGCAGGAAACCGAGGTCCCTGCCACTAAACCTCCCACCAAACCTCCCACCTGACTTCACGATAGTTGCGACTCGCGGCTTCCAAGTTTACGGAACTCGGACTTGTTATGGCAGATGAAATAATGATGATGCTTTCATTACTAGGTCCAATTCTAAGCGATCATAAACTAATTCTTACTGCTCTTTTTTGGGACACAACGTGAATTGGTGTTGGTAGAGACACAGAATCCCCCATTCACGTAGCTAATCTAATCAATGAAATTTGGCATTCAAGAACAATTCATGGACTGTGATTGTCTCACAGGAATTGCTTGTGTTTGATCTACGGGGTAGCAAGGTACAATGTACATACAATCTGGTCGAGTGACCTGTAGTGGAGACGGCTCTGTCATTCCCCGGGCCTGGAGTCTGGACCCGAACCCTCACAGCCTTTGTCCAGATTCTGTCTGTTCACATGAGCTCCCATGATTTCCCCAAACCAGGTCACCCCTCAAGGGTGATTCCTGCATTGAGACATCGCGAGTCGGCTATAAAGTTCGACCTCCAGTCGCTCCAGAAATGTTCTTGCCATCATCAACCAAATTCCTCGCTCTCGTCGACTCCTCCACATTGACCTGTCGCATACTCTCTTAAAACTTATACCCGAGACCTCTTCTCTTCGGTTCTCCCAATCAACCAACAACCTCTCGCATACACCTCACATCACAGCCATGTCTGTCTCCATTGAAACCACTACTCCCGTCGTCCCTGTCAAGCAGGAGGCTGCCGCCGTCGGTACCAAGGGCCGCATGCCCGAGTTCAGCCTGGCCGGAAAGGTCGTCCTTGTCTCTGGCGCTGCCCGTGGACTCGGCTTGACCCAGGCTGAGGCTCTGCTCGAAGCCGGTGCCCGTGTCTATGCTTTGGACCGCCTTGAGGAGCCCGTAAGTTTCACTCCGATTTGGTGTTACCAGGGTTCGTGCTAACACATGGCCGCAACAGTCTCCCGAATTCTTCAACATCCAGAAGCGCGCCAAAGAAGAGCTAGGTACCGACTTCCAGTACCGTCGCATCGACGTCCGCGACACCGAGCTCCTGCACAGCACTGTTGAGGCGATCGCCAACGCCGAAGGTCGCATGGACGGTCTGGTTGCCGCCGCTGGTATCCAGCAGGAGACCCCCGCCTTGGAATACACCTCGCAGGATGCCAACAGAATGTTCGAAGTCAACGTCACTGGTGTCATGATGACCGCCCAGGCCGTCGCAAAGCAGATGATCCGGTTCGGAAACGGAGGAAGTATCGCACTAATTGCCAGCATGAGCGGTACCATTGCCAATCGGGTATGTTCTTATCTTTCTGTCGGTGTCGCACTTCTCGTTTCCCCGCATGGAAACTCTCCCCCGCTTTGCCCTATCACTGGTTATTATCCGAGTCGCAGCCACGCTAACATCTTTCTCCGATCATAGGGCCTTATCTGCTCTGCCTACAACGCTAGCAAAGCCGCCGTCATCCAACTCGCCCGCAACCTCGCTGCCGAGTGGGGTCAGTACAACATCCGTGTCAACACCATCTCCCCCGGCTACATCGTCACTGCCATGGTTGAGCAGCTCTTCATCCAGTTCCCCGAGCGCCGCGATGAGTGGCCCAAGCACAACATGCTTGGCCGCCTGTCCTCCCCCGAGGAGTACCGTGGTGCCGCCGTCTTCCTTCTCAGTGACGCCAGCAGCTTCATGACTGGAAGCGATCTCCGCATGGACGGTGGCCACGCCGCATGGTAATCTGTTCTATACGATGACCACCTCTTGCATCATTGCTTTCACACAATTCGCGGCTTTAATTTTTCAGCATGATCACCATTTACGACTGATTTGTCTTGCGGAATTTTCTCATTGCATGGCGTTTCCGGAAGCGATTGCCGCATCCTGAGTTTCTTCCTATCTTAATCATCATCTGACATCTGATGGGCAAAAGAGTTTCATTTAGCGTCGTTGTCGCCAGCAAAAGGTTACTTAGCGAAGGGCTTAGACTTGTCTTTTTTCTGTCTTTTCTCATTTTATGTACCAATCCATTTCGAGCAGAAATCCAATGGAACTAATACTGCCAACCTTTAACTTTTCGAGTCATTCGCAGTCCCAGTACTTGATTTCAACAGCGACTAACGGATAAAGTTACCTAAGTGTTGCAGCAGCGTGCCAGCGTCACCCACTTAGTCTCTGATCTGGCAGCACACATGACCCCACCTGCACAATCACACATCATCCATCCAGTCTCCCAAGCCTCCTATTAGCCGGCGGCGGGGATCCTGGGAATTTTGTCCGGAAAATTGGAAACACATCCCCGGCACTTGGATTCCGAAACCTGGTTGGACGAGCCTAGATTCTAGATTCTCGATTTCTCGTGAGTCGTGAGTCGTGACACCCCCGCGAATCTCATTCCGCTTTTCTGGACTTGCCAAGTACCACTAATTCGTTGGATCCGGGGCAGTCGCCCTTCGGTTCCGAGTTATCCACGGATGAGACGGAGTGGCATTTTTCAACTTTCGTTTCGTTACTCCAGACTTGGACCAGATTCGTTCAACGGAAATCATGACATCAACCACTGAATTCATCTACAAGATCGAAAGGAAAAAAACTTCCAAGAGCGTCCCCGTGGGTTACTTTCTATGGAAATACCGATCTTCGTCTTTGACGTCGTGGTTTGAATTCCGCGAAAGGTCATGCGCGATCTGTACAGGATCCTGGGGGTGAACTCTCTCGCCTCTTGCCTGATCTTACCAACAACTGATTCAAAACCTCCGCGCCGGCCATGGTCCGATTTGTCTAGACTTGCCATTTCAGGCTCTCTGCATTGTTGCCCGTGCGTCGCGCGGTACAGGAGGTTACGAACTCACCCACAACCTGGATCACCCAAGTCGTGGACAAGGAAGAGCCACGACCCGGCTGAATTCAAAATCCAGCCATGGCGACACGGCAAGACGGCTGGGGCGTTGGCCTCCCGTCAGCCACGTCGCCCTTTTTTCTCCTCTCCAGAACTTTATCCGGGAGGTAGGTAGGTGGTCAAGTCGTGGAACAGGGCGCTCGAGGCTGGCTTCGATTTCGAAACTTTTTCTCTTGGGTGGTTGTGCGGTGATTGGGTGATTCTTATTGGTTGGAGTTGCGATATGTTTGCGTGTGCTGATGTTCAGCAGGGTGTTGATACCACCTGCTGGAGACTGGGGTCGGCTCGGTTTGCGTCGGCATACTATGTACCGAATCGCGAGGGGCGTCTGATGTCCCAACGCCGCGGTCACGGGGAGCCCTAATGATGCCTCAGGTGACTGTTCAGATCATCGGAGTCCCTCTACGATGCTTGTGAGCTCTGAGGTTATTATTTATTGATGGAATGTATAAGAGTTAGTGCGGTGAAGCTTCGACACCTGACATAGAACTCTCTTGCATACGCCATTTGTATCTATTGCCATTGACATGTGGTGGCACGACATTACCAGCTGCTTGAAATCGCCTCTCCATATCCAGGTTTCGTCGACAGGGTTGTTTGCGATGCAGTAATCGATTGATGTTGGGACCTCTTATCTTCCACTGAGCGGGGAATCGTCTATCCAATCCACGTACACAGGTGATAACTCTGCAGTATCCCCTCTGTCACCTGTGTATGACAACCCGCAGTGGCCACTCCGCAAAAACAATTTTAGCCAGGATTCTGCTAGGAGATATTAGCTAGACCCTAGTCAATGCTAATATCAATGCTAATATCAATGCTAATATCAATGCCAATATTAATGCCAATATCAATGCCAATATCAATGCCAATATCAATGCCAATACAGAGTATTGATGTTATTATTATAGGATTAGCGCCTTAACTATTAGGCTACTCTGGCACGTGATATACCTACTATATATCTCTATTTTAATAAATTTAACGGCGTAACGCTAAAGCAGGCTTAGCAGCCCACCCACTATACACAAGGCAGGCTGTTAAGCTGAGCGGTAGCTTCAAATTGTTTTTGCGGAGTGGCCGCTGCAGGTTGCCATACCTGTGCTCCGAAATCTTCGTGGCCTTCCAAGGGCTTGATGGGTGGTAGGGTAAGCTTGTGTGCAGGGCGCTCTCTAAGGTTAGCTGGACGATGGGAGCCAGCGAAAATTGATCCTGCTAGCAATGGCTGCTCCGAGCTTTCAATGACCTCTATATTATCTGGTCTTTGGTAGCAGATTTGAGTGAGTCTTTGGAACTCTCCGGCGTAGGCAATAACACACCTCTGGGCACTTCTTGCAGCGTTATACCACCACCACGCTACTGCAACAGCAGCGTGAGTAGCAAGAGAGTAACAATAGACCTGAAGCTTTACATGCCTCTCTGACCAAGTCCTGCCACGAAGTTCTTTTGCTCGAGTCTTCTCCAGTGTTCGTAGCTCATCACGTGTTGGTATATACGGCACTAAGCCGCATTTGGCTTTCATGCTCTACTTTGCTCATGGAAGTTTGCTGGATTGTTGACAAAAATCCTGCAGAGATGTTTTGCTGACCTCAGAGACCTTCATGATATTCCAACGCCTGTCCACGCTTACCGAGCGAACTCCCTCGCCTCCACATTTCGCCTCGGGTCAGGAAGGAACCCGCCTGCTAGCGTTGGAAAAGTCACCCGCGCCTCCCCCGCAAAATATCGAACGGCATCCTGCTTTCGACCAGAAAAGTCCCGAGAGAGCTGAGAACCAGACTGGCAGGATAACTCGATAAGGTCGATGTCCAATGGCCCCAGATACAAGACCTTCTTTTGCCTCTGACGGGGCCTTGACCTCTCACGAGAGTCCTCCGCGCCGTCGCCCCGTTTCTGGTCAACGATTGCGGAAATTGCGAAAGATAACCCGAGCCTGCGATGCTTGCAAGGCGAAAAAGAAAGCCTGCACAGGAACCATTCCATGTGGGCCTTGTGTCCGTCGCAAGGCCGACTGCACTTACAACACTACCTACAATCGCGGTGCTGCTGTCACTCCTCCCCCATCCGGTTCACACATGGAACACGACGTGCCCACTCCAACCTCGCGACAGATTACGCAAGAAACTGAGAGTGACGCCGCTACAACATTTGAGCCACCGGGAAGACGGCATTCGACTGACGTCGGCGATCAATATTGGGGACCGACTTCGGCGCACTCATTCCTGGGCTGGGCAGTTCGCGATCTTCCACCGAGTCCGTCGAACGCGGTAACCGCCGCGCAAGAATCGGCACGAGCTTCAAAGACGTCCATCTTTCATTTTGGCGACCGCGTGCCCCCTGATGTTCAGCTGGCGGATTTCCAATGGCCAGACCGGATGACGGCAGAGAGCTTGACTCGTCGATATTTCGAATTCGCTTGCCCGACATATCGAACCCTACACCAGCCGACGATCGAGGGGATGATACATGAGATATATGGGGAGGATACGTATTATAATGGCCATGATTCGTCAAAGGGAGAGTCGGCTGCCTCTTATGCGATACTCCTGATGGTCTTTAGTACGGCCACCATGTTTCAGTCAGGCGCTGGTGGCCGCATGAGGGACGCGGATGAGAATGGGTGGGTAACGAGTGAGCAGTACTTTGCGAAAGCAGAACAGCTTCTTTCTCAGGAAACCGGCGTGCCAACCCTGGAGTCAGTCCAGGCGCGCTTTTTGATGGTTCTTTATTTGATCAGCTCTTCGCGTGCGAACAAAGCCTGGTTCACGCTCGGCACTTCAATACAGCTAATGATGGTGCTTGGTCTACATAGCCGACGTTCGAATCGAGATAACACTGGAGAGAACTTGATACAGCGGGAATGTCGGCGGCGGACTGTTTGGTGTTCTTATACTCTCGACAAGTACCTGAGCGTCATTCTCGGAAGGCCCCGACTGTGGCACGATGGAGACGTTGATGAGGAGCTTCCCGCTAGGGTCAATGATATTGATCTCACGCCCACACAAATTGAACCTCCAAAATGGGACTGTGTCATGGACGCTCCCGTGCTTCACGCCATCTTATCTCGAACCCTGTCACAAGCCGCGAAAGAACCGTATGTCGTCGCTGGTATATCCAACAGAGACCAGCTCAACACAATCAGAAATCTATGCAAGAGCGTTACCGAGTGGCAAGCTGGATTACCCCCTCTCCTGTCCGGCGCGATTCATCCCAGCAGTCTCGTTCCAGTATTCCAGCGTCAGCTTACTGTTTTGCAGCTGGCACGTTACCACCTACTCATGTTCATTACTCGGCCATTGCTGCTCCGGAATTATGGCCAAATATGGCCTGATTGCGAAGCTAGCTATTTTCATTATCTTGGAGTCTGCCTAACAGCTGCTCGAGACGCGATTGAACTAGTTCTCAGCTTCGTGCGTGAAAACCAGTTATTTCACGCATTTTGGTACTCCCAGTATATTACCTTCAATGCGCTGTCTATCATCTACATCTACCTCATACAAGTTCAACGCGGGAGGCTTGTCCCGATCAGTGCCACTCTCGGTCGCTCCCCGAACGGATCAAACTTTCCCCCTCTCGACGAGGCTAAGCTATACCGATTGTCCGAAACTGCCCAGTATCACCTTGCCGATGCTACGGTTCGCAACGCACCCTCATGGAAATACAGCGCTATCCTGCAAGGCCTCCGACGAGAGCTTGAGCGCCTTGGCTTGAGAACGCCCCTGGGTCCTCCTCCTAACAACAGGGGAGAGCCAACCGCTAGAGAGGCGCCTCCAGCCCCGATCGACAACACTTTGACCCCGACTGCCCATCCAATCTATCATCAAGTACGAGAGGCAGAACCGATACCTGCTGTTCCACCTCTTGGGGAGCCGAGTGGAAGCGCCTTGCCCGCCTTGGGATTACCTCGACTAGGCGACCCTTACTTTCCGGACTCACGGACGGAGTATTTGTTCGATAGCTTTGCGACCGATAAGGATTTGATGCTTGATTTCTGGCCACAGCTGGATAGCTTGCCTATTAGTAAGTTTTCACGCATAGAGGACGGAAGGGCTTTGATTGCTGACTTTTACCAGGCTATCTTGGAAACTGACTATCGTCAAAAAAGAGGTCAACGACTGGAATCTGAATAGTGAATTTATTGTTGTGCTCGACGTGTGTGGACTTTGTTGGGGTCATGTCATTGGTCTACCGATGTACACACAAAGATCGAGCATGGGAGACACGGTCCAGTTACTTTTCCATTTTTAAATTCCGAACGAGCAACATGGCGCAATGCATGACTCTGATTTTCCGTCAAGACCCATATCCAAGTGTCTTCGCAGCATCCGGGGAGATCGCGGATTTGACTGCGATGGCACGGTTCTCCGACATGCGTTTTCCGCTCGGCCCTCACACGCGAGCTTTAAGTCGTACACCTCGTCTTCGACAACACCCAGGAATTTCGAAAACCACTTGAAGTCAATACCATCCCTCACAATGTCTCTCCCTACTCATTTCACCCTCAACACCGGAGCGAAAATTCCAACCGTTGGATTCGGAACATGGCAAGCTAAGCCCCTCGAAGTGGAGAATGCCGTCGAAGTCGCATTGAAGCAAGGATACCGGCACATTGACTGCGCAGCTATCTACCGCAATGAAACAGAGGTTGGAAATGGAATTCGGAAGTCTGGAGTCCCCCGCGAGGAAATCTTCATCACTGGAAAGCTGTGGAACACAAAGCACGCACCTGAGGATGTTGAACCGGCGCTCAACAAGACGCTGAAAGACTTGGGTGTCGAATACCTTGATCTTTATTTGATGCACTGGCCTTGGTAGGCATTTTTTGAGTTTATCATTCTTTTTTCCAAAGCTGATTGCGGACTCAGCGCTTTCAAACCTAGTGAAAAATGGTTCCCTCTCGATGACAACGGCGTGTTCCAGCTCTCCGACATCGACTACATTACCACATACAAAGCGATGGAGAAACTACTAGAAACTGGCAAGGTCCGCGCAATCGGCGTGTCTAACTTCAACGTTCGTCGTCTCGAAGAACTCCTCTCCCAAGTTTCCGTCGTCCCCGCCGCGAACCAAATTGAAGCCCACCCCTACCTCCAACAGCCAGACCTCCTCCGCTTCTGCCAGGACAAGGGTATAATTGTCGAGGCATACTCACCACTCGGTAACAATCAGACTGGTGCACCGCGTACAGTTGATGACCCTGTTGTACACGAAGTTGCGGGACAGCTGAGCATGGATCCTGGGCCTCTGCTCGCGAGCTGGGGCGTGCAGCGTGGAACCGTTGTGTTGTCGAAAAGTGTCACCCCTTCCAGAATTGTGGCTAACTTGCAAGTCAAGCATTTACCTATGGATGCCCACAATACTCTCACGGCTCTTGAGCGGCATAAGCGGTTCAACTTCCCGGGCAACTGGGGGTATGATATCTTTGAAGAGGTTGGAGAGGAGGCTGTTCGCAAGATCGCATTGGAAGCTGGGCCTGCGAATAAGATCAAATTTACGGTTTAGATTGGACTTGAAATAGTTTGAAAATTGAAATTTATAGAGGTCTGCCTTATAAAATACTCGCATTTTTTTTTTTCAGGCCTATCCATTGTTGTGCCATATATACGTGGTTAAAGAGGAGTACACAAGATTTGATGAGCTTGAGCCTACTACATTAAATCTCAAAGAAGATATTCAAAGACAAGAGAATCTGTTCAGGCCACAAGAGGGCCTTGGCAAAAATCAGAATTCACTGCCCCTCGTTTGGCGATTCTTTCAGTGGGAGAAATGTTGGAAATCCGTACGGCCCACAGTAACCGGAAAAGCACCCCCACACTTCCCCTCCGCACTTTCTATCCGCCATCTGTCATCCGCACAGGAATCTTCTGTTTTCCGTGTCACTTTTCCATCATTGTTGACATAGCCTGGAAAAGCCATGGCAGTCTATAACCCATTCATTATTGCTCGGTCTTATGTCTCCGAGATGGAGATCCTGAACGGATTCTATCTCTTATACCAACCAGCTCTCGCGGTTCAAGCTCCCTCTCAGTTACCCGTCTCGCTTTCGATTCGACACATGCAAATAGAATCAGGATCGCAACCATGGCGCCACCAGCTGTTCTTGTGAGACCGGTAACACCGGATTCTGTTCCTTCGAATGATATTTCGACTCCGGCTAGCGATGCTGCATCGCCCGCAACGTCCGTGAACGAGGTCGAGGAGAGGCCTATCTACACCATTGATGATTTGTTACGGGCGAGAGCCGAGGGTGATAAAGCTGATGAGGCTATTGTTGCGTACCCGTTTAAGGGCACGGAGTACACGTACTTTACTCCCCGGGAGGTGAGTTTTGCTTCTTGACTAGTATGGCGTTCGAGATAGACTAATGAGTGGTTGAACAGTTACACAATCTCGTCGAAGCCGCAGCAGTCAATTATGCACAAGTCATCCCACAACGACGAACATCCGATGATCCCGTACAAGTTGTTGGTTTGCTCGGTCCGTCGGACTTTGAGTACTTGATCACACTCCTTGCCGTCTCGCGGTTGGGTCATACCGTGCTCCTGCTTTCGACTCGCATCGCGGAAGATGCGTATGTTAGTCTTGTCGAGAGTACAAAGGCTGCATTCTTGATCGCGTATCCTGCTTTTCAAAATGTTGCGGCGAAGGTCTCAGCGCGCACGGGGATTGTGCTACAACCTGTATTGACAAGGGAGAATTTCAACTATTCTACGGCACGATTACCGCAAGCGCAGCTTGATGGCCCTGTTGAAAATAAGAATATTACGTGGATCATCCATTCCAGCGGGTCAACAGGGCATCCGAAGCCCATATTTCAGACACATTCGGGCGCGCTGAAGAATTATGCGAACAACTTCGGTCTAAGGGGGTTCATTACGCTGCCTCTTTACCATGCGCATGGAATTAGCTGTCTGTTCCGAGCTATTCACTCTCAGAAGCCAATCTACATGTATAATGCGGAACTTCCGTTGACTGGCCCGCACCTGCTCACTACGCTCCAGGAGCATCCGGACATCGAAGTCCTCTACACCGTACCGTACGGCTTGAAGCTCCTGTCTGAATCTGAGGAAAGCATGAAGGTTCTTGCGCGGTTGGAACTCGTCATGTTTGGAGGATCCTCCTGCCCCAAACCCATTGGCGATAAGCTTGCACAGAATGGCGTGCGACTTGTTTCCCACTACGGGACTACCGAGACTGGCCAGCTCATGACATCCTTCCGAGAACGGTCCGATATAGATTGGGATTATGTTCGGCCTGGACCCTCTCTGCTGCCATATATCCGATGGGATGAGCAGATGCCGGGTTTGTATGAGCTGTGTGTCCTAGAGGGATGGCCGTCAAAGGTGGTCAGCAACCGGCCTGACGGGGCATATGCGACGAAGGATCTTTTCGAGAAGCACCCTACCAAGAAGAATGCGTGGCGGTATTATGCCCGACTAGACGATACACTTGTTCTGGAGAACGGAGAAAAGGCAAATCCTCTGGTCATCGAAGGCGTCGCTCGCAATCACCCGAATGTCGCCGAGGCTATCGCTTTTGGCGCGAATAGATCTCGGCTAGGTCTATTCTTGATTCGTGTGGAGGGACGTACCGATGAGACGGACGAGCAAGTTATTGATTCTGTGCTTCCGGCGATTGAAAAGTGCAACGCAGAGAGCCCTGCTTATGCTTATATTTCGCGCGATATGATCCGTGTGTTGCCTGCAGATACCGTTTACCGCAAGACGGACAAGGGAACGGTCATTCGGTCTGCATTTTACCGTGACTTTGCAGAACAGATTAGCCAGGTTTATGACCAAGAAGATGCTAGTGGAAGTCAGATCCTTGAGGGCGATGGATTGGCTTCTTTCCTTCGCGACAGCCTGCTCGATATCACCTCTATCGAACCTTCTGCGTTGCAGGACACAACCGATGTGTTTAGCCTAGGCGTCGACAGCTTGCAATCTATCCGTCTGCGGAGTATTATCCTGAAGACGTTGAGCCTCGGTGGCCAGAAGCTTTCTCAGAACTTTGTGTTCGAAAATCCATCTATCCAGGCCATGGCTGAAGAGCTTACCCGGTTAAGAACCGGACACGAAAGCCAGGAACAGGCCCCGGTTGAAGAGCGGATGGCAGCTCTCGTTGAGAAGTACAGCCAAAATTTCCAGACGCATGTCCCCATTCCCAGAGAAGACGACGGTGAGTATGTCGTCGTTACTGGCGCGACTGGTTCCCTAGGCGCACATGTTGTCGCCCAGCTTGTCCAGTCAGAACGAGTTCGTAAAGTGTATTGTCTCGTTCGCGCCCCAACTCCTCTATCGGCCTTCCACCGAGTTCGCCAGAGTCTTCACGCCCGTTTCCTCTCGACGGACATTACGCCCGACGCAGAATGCAAGATTGCCGCCTTACCAGCTGACCTCTCCAACAGTACCCGGCTAGGGCTTGATCAAGCTGTCTACGAAAACATCATCGACTCTGTCACAGCAGTAATCCACTGTGCCTGGTCGGTCAACTTCAATTGGTCTCTTGAGAGCTTTGAACAGCCTTGCATAGCTGCTACTCGGAACCTGATTGATCTGTGTCTCGAGACCCGCGGACCAGCTCCCGCGAACTTTTCCTTTTGCTCGTCTGTCAGCACAGTCGCTCGTACACCAGGCAACTGGGTCAGCGAAACACTTCCAGAGTCACTAAGTCACGCCCAGTCCATGGGCTACGCGCAGTCGAAGCTCGTGACCGAGCACATCGTGAGCCGTGCTGCCCAGGCCACGAATATCACTTCTCGCGTACTTAGAGTAGGTCAGATTATTGCGGACACAACACATGGAATCTGGAACGCTACCGAGGCGATACCTATGATTTTCCAATCAGCCGAGACAATCAAGGCCCTTCCCCTGCTCGACGACATTCTCTCCTGGACGCCCGTCGACACAATCGCCTCCGCTGTCATCGAAGCCACCCGCTCACCAACCGGCTCCGAAGTCCTGAATATAACAAACCCAACCCTCAACCACTGGAGCCGGGACCTCCTCCCACTTCTTGCCTCAGCAGGCCTGGAATTTGATCCTCTCCCGAAAAGGGAATGGCTAGATCGTCTCCGTAAATCCAACCCTGACCCATCAGCCAATCCTCCCATCAAACTCCTGGACTTCTTCGCAAAGAAGTACGACAACGACAACCCAACACGCGTCCTCTTATACGACACGAAGAAGAGCCAAGTCGCCGCGCCGTCTCTCCGAAACGCAGCAGGCCTCACCCCATACTTCGTGTCAAAATTCATATCCTACTTCCGTCGACAAGCTTGGCCCTCCACAAACCAACCGACTATACTTCCACAGGTAGGGAACGTTATCTTCTTAACAGGTCCCTGCGGCTCCGGCAAAACAACTGCTTCGCACTTTCTCTCATCCGCATTCGACGTAACTACGATTGAAGGCGACGACCTGCACTCCCGCACATCAAGAGCAAAAATGGCCTCAGGGATCCCTCTCACAGACTCAGATAGATGGGAATGGCTTTCGCACATCAAGGGAGCCGTAATGGACCGCCTCCTACAGCCGTCCACATCGCAATCTGCAGTCGTCGTCACCTGCTCCGCCCTGAGAAAGGTGTACCGTGATCAACTGCGCAGCTTGGCATACCTTCTTGAGTTTCCCGTGAAAGTGACATTTATCCATCTGTCTGTTGGGAAGGAAGCGAAGAGCGAGTTGAAGGGGAGGTTGTTGGCGCGTTCGAGAGAAGAGGGCCACTACATGCAGCAGGGGATGGTTGATTCGCAGCTGGAGGTTCTGGAGAGCCATGAGGGAGAGGGAGATGTTGTTATTGTTGATGCGGTCCGAGGAAAGGATGAGGTTCTGGCAGAGGTGGAGGGGATTGTTCGGGGGATCCTTGGTGTTTAGGATGTTGTTCGATAAAACTGATGAATTCCATGTTGACTAAATCCATTTGGAATTCCTATCTCCATCAACCGTACAGAAACGTTGAAGAGTTTGAGAATGACAGGCGCCTCGACGAAGATAAAGATCAAGAAGAAGGAAAGCGAAAATGCGAGAGGAGGGGTAGAGGAGAAAATAACAAGGTCCATATGAGACAGGTGGCTCCGGAAGAAAAATCAGAAGAGGGTAAGAATGGAAAATAAAGATATGTTGTTACCAGGTTGGTGTGGTATTGCTGAATGTATTTCCTGGGGAAATCCATGATTGTGCACATTATCTATTTCTTTTCAATTTTATCCATTTATGCATCGTCTATCGCCACGTAACCACTACCCGATTGTGGGATCACTTGCTTATATGGGCTATTGTCGTAAAGTGTTGCCCAGGTGCAGGCTATACCATGCGTAGATAGGGATCATATACTCTGCTACGGTTACCAGGTTTCGCGATGAGAAACATGGTACAAAGGGCCGCGAGACGTTCCTTCCACTTCGGATTTAGGAATGCGCAGTTGCCGGTCGCTCCTCACTCGCGGCTCTCCTTTTGACGGAGGGAAGGAGCGACCGGGGCCAGGACTGCCTGGCTCCTTCCTGTTACAGGATAGGAAGGCACACACGTGTTTGGGTCGCGCCTTCCTCCACAGCCGGCTGACAACTGACGGAAGGAGCGACCAGCGCCTACGCTCCGTTCCCTCTTATCCTGTAATAGGAAGGCACGTCTCTGGTTGCGCCTTCCACGCTCATAACGATGCAATAAGGATGAAAAGGTCACGGGTGTGCAGTTTATAAGGCTCCGGCACCATGAATTTGGAATGAGAGTGGCTATCGGCAATGCGATTCTGCATCCAGTTGTGGTGTTGATCGAAGCTAGGTTCCTGTGGTCTACGACCAGACGGTCAGAGATGCGGCTGCGTGCTGCACAAGCGCAGATGATGCTGGGGTTGCAGCAGATGCAGTTGGTGAATGCGGCGGCGCATAGAGCTGTAAGTAGGGTTGTGGCGTCCGCATGGGATAGTTTGTATACTGTCCCTGGCGGGAGTGGCATTCCGCATACTTTCAGATCGAAGGCGGAGAAAGAGACAGAGGAGTTGGCGATGCGTTCGGTTTATGGAGAGGAGCTGATTGGGTATGAGGCGCGGATGCCAGAGTCGGAGGCGAGGTGGAGGGAGGTTGAGTAGAAGGGGTCTGCTTGGTTCAGTGGTGGGTGTGATTCAGCTAAGGGGTCATCGTTCGTGGAGTAGATAATATTCACTAGATACTATCATGAAATAGGAGCTGTGAACTTGCTAATGAGCGAACTTTAACATTGAGAGTTTACCAAGCCCTAATGGATATTTACCATTCACCTTGTAGCCCTAGGCCACCAGCCTTCACCTAGACTCCTTGTAGGGAACGAACTAAAGTCTCCAGCGGAATCTAAAAAATAGCCTCCTAACCCACTCAGCTAGATCAGGACCATCTTCTTTATTCTCTTCATGCTCTTGTTTCTAGTCCCATGCAGTCAATTCCAGCCGTCTTACCCTGCACGAAGTGCTGCTCGAACGCTCATTGCTCCCAAAGATCTTGCGATGAACGTCTAAATCGTCTCAAACTTCCAAGAAAGAGACACCCTTGCGTCAGAATCCGCTAAAGGAACGGCATCTATGGCCCTAGACGATTGGTCCATTCATTGCCTGCGTCAGCGCCTTCTCCTCGACGGACTACTATGTGCCTTCCACGGATAGTCCGCCGGCGCCTTCCTCACAATGCAGGTTCTCTTCCACCTCCTCGGCACGTACCCAGACCTCAACACCATCAAGGCCCTCGTCCTCGCCTACGGCCTGTACAGCTGGTCCTTTCTCCCTGGCGTGTACACGAAGCCGGACTCCGTCTGCTCGAACTCCGGCAAGCTAGATATCTTCCGCAACCTCGCTCTAACGAGTAACCCAACACTGACTTCGACTCTACGCGAGTTCGATACCGAATACGGTAGCCTCCGGACAGCGGACGCGGACATTTACGACTCCCCCCTAAAACACCCCGTCTTCTCCCCGGTAAACCGGCGCTTTGACGCACTGAGCCCGCGGCTCCCACCCGCGCTGTTTGTGGTCGGGACAGCGGATCCGCTTGTTGATGATACGATACTGATGGCGGCAAGGTGGCAGATGGCGCAGGGGCAGACTGTTACGAGGTTTGTTCCCGGGGCGCCACATGCGTTTGCAGAGGTGCCTATTGAGGCCGGAGATTGTTGTGTGGTTTATAATGAGGTTGTGGAGGAGTTTCTAGGTGAAGTTTTGGAGTAGTAGGGTAGGTGTGATCCAAGTCCATCATTATCCAAAAGTCCGAAGAATATGTATGGTTCTATATCATCTCAATTAGACTACCATCGCCAGCAGCCACAAAGCAAGATATTCTAGAGATATATATACTGCTTACGATCACAAATAAGTCTTATCATTAGGAGTCGCAGGATACAAATCCTCCCCGTACGTCGCATTTAACTCGACAGTCCCAACGACACCCCCATCCTCCAACCGAATCCACGTATCCAGCTCGCCCCTCTTCAGAGCCTCCTCGCTAACAAGCACCTGTCTCGCCCCACGGATCCAATTCCCATACCCTCCATACCCCGAATGCTGCCCGAAGCACAGATTCACTCCGTTCCCCTTGATGCTCATCCCCGGAATCTGCGTGTCCCACTTGTAGCACCATGTATCGCCGTGATCGTGGCCCGAGAAGACGCCTAGAATCCCAGGGATCTCAACGAGCGCTTCCATGAATGCTGTATCTTGTCCGCCATACGGACAGTCCTCATTATTATTCGTCCCATCCTCGCACCACCCCTCCCCCTGCTGCGCAAGCGCATAATCATCATTAATGCCAGGCTCAGTAAACCGATCAATCCCATCCTCCGTCTGCGCAGCCTTCGACGCGCTCGTGGGGATATGCACAAAGACCAGCGACGGGATCGTGCGTCGCCACCGAGCCGTCAGAGCATTATTCGTTCGCCGGAACCAACGGACAACGCTCTCGTCCACCCAGTTCGGACGGGCAACTTCGTTGCCTTCACCGTCTCGCTCCTGGAAATAGCTCCCGCCCCGACTATCGAAGAACCACAAAAGTAACTTCGGCGCGCTCCACGGCCACCGGATCCCGGAATCGTACACGGGGAGATAGTAATTCGTGACTCCGGCTTCGCGACCGGGGACCATAGAGCGTGTCAGCGAGTTCCTGTACCGATTCTCGCGAGCAAGGAGGGCGGTGCTCGAGAGGTTGAATTGGCTATCGTGGTTCCCGTACGTCGAGGCCCAGGGGAGGCCGCGGGCGACGAGGGGTGCGACGATTTTGTCGAGGTAAGCGGTGGCGTTTTCGAGGAAGGTGTTTTCGCCGGTGATCAGGTCACCGTTTAGCACGACGAGATTGGGCCGGGACTCGGCGTCCAGCACGCTGTTTAGGACGGTCACGGATTTGGCGTCTTGCGCTGGGCCCCAGGATTCCCATGAGTCTGTAGCGAAAGTTAGCTTGAGTGGCCTTCCCCTGGCGGTCTATGTGTGTAGAGTTTAAGTTGTTTACTTTCTCCGAAATGCAAGTCCTCGAATATCGAGATCTGGAAGGTGCCATCCTTGGAGAACTTTAGGGGCGTTGGGAATATGGCATGAGCGCTGTGAGCGAGGAGCGCTACTCCCACGGCGACAATCGTGTGCCGCATCGTCCTCTTTTGCAATTTTCCCAAGAAATGATGAGCCGACACAGACAGCTGAATAAAATAGCAGGGCATCGTGTTGTTTATAAAGTGGTGTTGGAGAAGGAACGCTAAGGCCCACGTGCATGACCGGGGGGTCTTGAATGGCGATAGCCGTTCGGACTCTGGGGACTAGATAGATTGCAGTCGACCAAAATAGGTATTTAGTGGAACTGGCCGAGGTGTATACAGTTAAGTGGAATCAAGTGAATTGCACGTTTAGCTAGTAGGACATTGTTGGTATGCTCTAGAGCAACCCTTTCATGATTAAAATAGCATTTCAAGACCTCGTCTTGCACTGACAGAACCATCCTCCAGACACAATTTAACCTCACTAATATTCTTCCATATCCGAAATATATTCCATATCCATGATATCGGCCGGCGGAAGGAGGGCCGCCGCCAGAGAATATCCGCTGAGCGCCGCTGTGCTGCCTGTCGTGGCTGGTGGGGAGGGATCGTCGTTGTTTCCATCATGTTCATCTCCAACTGCATCTCTTTCCGCCTCATCAAAGTCACTAATATCAGTACAAAAGCGAATACAAAAGCGAATGAAAGGAGGCTTGAAAAAAGCCCGACTTTGGTTCCAAGACTCGAATTCACTCTCTTGTTCAAGCTTCAAGTACGTAAAGGCACAGTCGAGCTGGTCTGGGGAAATTGCCAGCTCGTCCCTTGCCTCTTCACAGCAAGATATCTGTGTTCTGCTTTGAACTCGTACACATTTTGCCAAAACGGAGGACAAGGTGCGGCCTGGCGCTCACCGATTATGCGGACGTTGCTGAGTTTCTGCGGAGCATGTGTAAGGAGCCACGAGCCAGTGCTTCCTTGAGTGGGCGCGATATCTCGAGGAAGAGGTCGTCGAAGGGTCGCGAGTACCACATGTGGGCTTCGAGGAAGGTGACATTTGGGAAGGATGAGAGGAGCTCCGGTAGCTCTCGGTATATCCTGCTATTTGGGTGGTCCACCTCCTTGATCTCCATCTTCGGTATATCACTCTCTGGCTCTTCCAGGGCGTCCATCTCCATACTATCCGCCCCTTCAATCATGCAACAAGGGCTCTCATACGGACTTTCGTCACGCAGGCGAATCTCCTTGACGAAGAAGCGGCGGTTGCTCAGTGCCAGACTCTTAATGCCCTCGGATATCCATGGGAGGATGTTCGAGTCGTGACCATTGAATCTGATAGTTATCGACTTGAAAAGTTCCGGGGTGGCACAGATGCAAAAGGCTCTGTCAACGAGGCGGAGAGCCTTGAGGGTGCGTTGGCAGCTGTTATAGGAGGCGGCATCCTTGACGACGTAGGATATTATTTTTGCGGTGTTAATATGTCGTGCTTTTTGTGTTGTTCCTTCGTGAAGTTGTGCTGGGGATAGTATACTTACCTCAAGGCATAGCTCGAGGGGGAGATTAATCCCTGACTGGGCGGGTGGGCTTGTCATTTCGATACATCCTGAGCAACTTGTTTGTTCTGTTGAGTTGAAGGCTTGGGCGTCAAGGTATCCTGGATGATGTGGGAAATAGAAGTTGATATTGTTGAGTGATGAGCGGGAAGGGGATTATTGACGAGAAAACTTCAAAGATCAAGGCAGCAGCTCGTCTGCTCGCCACAGTACTGTGACTCAGAAACCCTAATTCAAAGTATATCATGGAGGCAAGCGTCGTGGATTAAGCTTAAACTTTTCACAAGCACACCCGTGCGCAGCATGATGAAATATCATAGAGGTGAGAAGCCCCTACCCTCGATAGAGGCTCTCTACCATGTTGTGAGGTGACTGCCAAATGTCCCTCCATATGCTGAAGGAAGCCCCCCAGGTGGATGAAGACATAGATTCAGCCTAATGCCCCTTGTCGGAGGAGGAAATAGGTTCTGGATTATGTGGCAGTGTTGATATGAGATCTCGGGACTTCGGAGGATTTGTTTATCCTAACGACATGCCAGATATAATCCTTTTCTAGGCAAAGAGATAGAGAGATAGCTCTCACTAAGCTCGGTCTGTTAGAGCTCACTTCAACTTGTCTGTGTCGCCACAGAGCAAACCATTAGGCTTCAAAACGATTTCTGCTATCCAGCTAAACATCCTGTCCAAGAAACAGGAGCTATAGAACCGGACTGGTGATAAATGCGCCCGTTGCTCCTTTGACATAGGAGGTCAAGGTAACCAGCAACCTTGAGGAGTATCATCTTGGGCTACAAGGAGCTGAACTCATTCTATCATCTGCATATGGCGCATCCTGCGCAAGTTCCTTTGCGTTGATTCATCGAATGTGCAATATATCTAGCACTTTCTTCTGATTGACGAATACATCCTGAGATATTCATCACCTCTAGATCTCATCACAGAAATAACGTCTAGCAAGAAACAAAGTTATTCCCACTAGCCCCCGTATGCGTAATAACGCCCGCAAGCTGGTTGTTCTGGTTGAAAACGACACGGTCCGCACCAGGCGAGCCGCCACTGTAGATTCTGCCGGAGCTCAAGATCGGGAACTCATAGTAGGTGGGCGAGACGCTAAAATCAAAGCCCTCGTAGTTGTTGTAGACGTGCGGGTAGTTGTTGACGTCGTCGCCGGACGAATGCAGCGAGTAGCCCTCGCGCTGGGCGGCAGACACGGCCGATGAGGTGTAACAGACGCTGCCGCAAGTGTAGGCGCAGGACTGGCGGGATTCAACCTCGATCGGGGAGGCGAGGGCCAGCGTGCTGGTGAGGAGGAGGGTGACGAGGGCCTGGATAAATGAGTATGGGTGTGGTGAGGAAAGGGAAAAGCTGGCAGGGAAGATGTACCTTGACTTGGAGCATCGTGACTGCGACTGCGTGTATGCCTGTTTGTAGAAAAGTATTTGAGTTCGAGTCCTGCTGTTCTGTTGTCTGCTCCCTGCACTTGATCACTAAGTTAACCACGGGAAAGATAGCTATTTATCCCTTTCCCTATCCCCTCACTCGCCATACGCGCCTGAGTCCCGTCGGCAATCTCCTATCGTGAAACTCAGCGAGGTTACATCGCATCAGGAGCGAACAGATGCTAAGGCAAAGGTTGGGGTACTGAGGTCTTGGCACGTTGTGGTTCTGCAGCCGGTTATAGGCTGGCCCCGTGCAGATCATCAGGGGATAAGATTGTGTCGGCCAATTAGCGCGGATCCCTGGTCCATGCAGAACACGGCATCAGACAAGGGGCGGGGGTGCGAGGGGCAGATCGTGGTTGAAATGAGATCTCCCCACTGTTGTTTTCTCTTGGAAGAGGCACTCGGGAGATGCGGTTGATTGCACGTGTCAGGTTGGATAGGGCTGTAGGGGGCGGTTGGTGGTTCGGATTAGGGCACGAGGTGCCGCAAGGTGCCGGGCCAAGGATTCTGGCGTGAGGACTGCAGATACGGTCTGCTTATTCTTGCGCCCCGTAGATATTGACTGCCGATCGTAAATGAGCCTGTATATCGAGGGTTTGATAACTAGCCCTAATGGAGCAAATACTCCGGGAGCCGGCGATGCCGGCCACCTGCCAGTCGTGAGATACTCCGATGCGAATGGGGGCTAAACAAGAACCGATACCGGTCTTGAGGCTCACTCTGAATATCAGGATTCTGAAGGAGATATCTGCCTTCCTTGATGGTTCAAACTCCTGTCGCCCCGCGAACCACGCAATGAATCGTGCCCTATGTCATGTGACTTATACCTCCAAAATACCTCCGACATTCTCCAGCCACACTTTGTTTTTGTATGAAACTTCATTGGCCAAGTTCCGGGCTGCTCCAATTCGTAAAGCTCATCGGACAATTCCGAGAAAATTGCGTAGGGAGATTGGGTTCCAAAAATGGACGGGTTGCCGAAGGGGGCGGGAATTCCAGGAGTTGATATGGAAGGGCCTTGAAAGAGAGCCAAATCCGCTAATTTGGTAGTTAGCACTGTAAATTGATGAAATATATCCACTCTGTTGTTGCACAGGGTCACATAAACCCAGACTGAAGGGTATTTTGGTGCCTGAGGCTGCCCGATGCATGAGCGGCGAAGCCAGGCGTCGTCAGAGACCAAAATTCTGTAGAGATAATGGTAAAATCATATTCGTAAAGACTGAAGCGAAGATTGAATCGTAAAGTATGCTCTCGTAGTTAGAAACGTGCAGAAGGGATGTTCATGAGAAGAACTGTCAACACGAAAGGCACCCGCAATCACGTGCAATCTCTACCGTCTATTCTGCTTACTCCATACAGCGGATACGATATCCGCACGTGACCTTATCAGTCTCTGACCCGCTGATTAATCGATGGGGAGAACTTTTTTTTATCTGAAAATTGCTCCCCCTCATCGAGGATTCATCTCACCATAATTTTCGACGACGACATATTTCAAGATGGATATTGATACCCCGGTGCCTCTGGCGCCTCAGGATGAGTCTGCCAGCGAGATTCCCACGTGAGCTCCCTCCCCCTTATCCCACAAGACGAAAAATCTCAACTGACACCGCTCTCAGCGTGCTTTGCTATAACTGCGGGGCACCTCTAGTTGGAACGACGATATGTAACGACTGCATGCGACTCCAGGTCGACATCTCCCAAGGCATTCAACGAGAAGCGGTCTTGAATTTCTGCCGTGACTGCGAGCGCTGGCTCCTCCCCCCGAACTCCTGGAACGTCGCGGCCCTCGAGTCCCGCGAGCTGCTCGCGCTGTGCTTGAAGAAACTGAAAGGGTTGAATAAGATTCGTGTGATCGATGCAGGGTTCATCTGGACGGAGCCGCACTCGCGGAGAGTCAAGGTCAAGCTCACGATCCAGGACTCAGTCAACGACGGCGTCATCCTGCAGCAGACATTCGAGGTCGTATATATCGTCATGTACCAGCAGTGCCCGGAGTGCGCCAAGTCATACACACCCAACACGTGGCGGGCGTCCGTCCAGGTCCGACAGCAGGTCCTGCACAAGCGAACATTCCTTTACCTCGAACAGCTCATCCTCAAGCACAGGGCGCATCAGAACACGATCAACATCAAGGAGGCGAAGAACGGAATCGATTTCTTCTTCGCGCAGCGGAATCACGCCGAAGGGTTCCTCGATTTCCTTCACTCTGCTGTCCCCGTCGAGGTGACAAAGTCGCAACAGATCATCTCCGAGGATATCCACACATCGACCAAGTCATACAAGTTCACGTACTCGGCCAAGATCGTGCCCGTGTGCAAGGACGACCTCGTCGCTCTCCCCATCAAGCTCGCCAAGCAGCTCGGTAACATCTCGCCACTCCTCCTGTGCACAAGGATCGGCACCTCGATCAGCTTCCTCGACCCCAACACCCTGCAGACCGCTGACCTGAACTCACGGATATACTGGCGCGCCCCTTTCACATCCCTCGCGGACGCAAAGGAGCTCATCGAATTCATCGTCCTCGACGTCGAACCCACCGGCCACTCGCGCGGCAAATACTTCCTGTCCGAAGTCACCGTCGCGCGGGCCTCGGACTTCAGCGGCGACAAGCAATATTTCACACGAACGCACCTCGGAAGCATCATCCACCCGGGTGACTCGGTCCTCGGCTACATGATAACAGGCGCCAACTTCAACAACGCACAATTCGACGAGATGGAATCATCCAACGCATACAGCTCGACAATTCCCGACGTCGTCCTTGTCAAGAAATTCTACCCCCGTCGCACAAAGCACACGAAGCGCAACTGGAAGCTCAAGCGCATGGCTACAGAGCACGATCCGTACCTGCTGCCCAACGACAAGGAGCGCGTCGAGCAAGACTTTGAGATGTTCTTGCGGGATGTCGAGGAGGACCAGGAGCTGCGGCAGACGCTGGCGCTGTATAAGAATAAGAAGAAGGATGATGCGATGAGCGTGGCGGAATCGGATATGATGAACGAGGATGACGAGGAAATACCCAAGATCAGCATGGATGAACTTCTGGATGACTTTGATGACCTTGATATTGATGATAAAATGGATGGGTGAGGGAAAGGCTACATAGCTTGATGAGGATGAATAAAAAGACGCCACGCAAGATTTACGCTCTCATAGATTTGTTCACGTATCCTGTAAGCGTACTTTCAGCTTGAGGGACCCGGACTCTGCACATATGGAATCGCTCCGGAATATCACTATATAATTGGTAGGGGTCCCTAATTGTTGACTACCGGGTACCTGTCGAGAATCACCATGGAACGTCGGTTTTGTATCTAGTATATACAAATTATCGCTGAGCTTAACTCACTTTAGGAGTACTACTGCCTGCTAGTATACGCTCTCACTCACAATACCCACAAAGGAAAGGTGCTCCTAGAAAACAAACGCTCTCTAATCTCATGGCAGCGCGCCCTGCTTTATATCAGAAGCATGCATAAATGCACATTACGCCCCATGCCCCTCTCAAGTAATAGTACAAAACAGCCCGAACAACGCTCCTCCATCGCGAGTCCGTATAGTAACCATTCCCTGCGCAGTTCCACCCTCAAAGCCGGAATCTCAACCCACAGCACGACCACTCGGACTCAGTTCTAAAACAAATTCGTCTAGAGCACGACCACCATAATGGAGCTTGTCGAGATTCAGCCACAATACGCACGTCGGAGTCCCTTTATCTGCGAGCTGGAAGACGGCTCGGAAGGCCTGTCTAGAGTCAGAAGCAGGGCCATAAGAGCTTGAGCCGGGGCATCCGTCGATCAGCTGCGAAGGGGTACAGTCGAATACTCAAGTCCGCGGGGTCTGCGATGCCCAGGAGTTCAGCGAGCGTTTCGCAAAAGTCGGTGCCGTTGCTGTTGAATCCATCGATGTATAACCCCGGAAGGGTATCGTAGAGAAACCGTGATGGACGAATTGATCGCCGCCAACTTGTAGACGCCACCAAAGTTCTCTGCTGCCTGCTCAATAGCAGTCACCATCAACGCCTCTAGAACGACGTCACCGATACTATCGGCCTGCGCATTGAGATCAGTCGGAGCCTCGGTGTCGGCGGAGAGAATGGCAAAGCCGACGCCAAAATCGGGGACTAAGCCAAGATATGAGCTGTAGAGGCTCTCGGTGTATCTTTCATTGCTGAGAACAGTGTAGACGTCAACCATTGAGCTGCTAGGGTATGAGGCGCCGCCGTAGATAACCCAGGGGAGTCCGATGGAGTTGGCCGGGTTGGAGGTGTGGGAAACGGGGTTCAGCCAGCGGTTTGTCCCGGATTTTCTGAAAGGTTGAGTTTAGGATTACCTGGCCCGCTGGTGCGATATCTTTGAGAAGAGAGAGGTAGGCCTGTGATGGTGGGATCGAGCTGTCAGCTGAATGACCCAATAGCAATGCGTGAGGATGGAGAAGCATGGGCTCACGCTTCATCTGCTTCGTGGTGTGCTAGCCAACCGCTGACCTCCTTACTCACGGGGATAATTCCAGCACTTGAGCTGGCTGGCACGAAGATTGAGTTTTCAGTCATGCCCAGGACGTCAAAGATGTCGTTCCTGAAGGACTTTGCTGAACGGTTTGCCTGTACGTCTCTTTACAATGTAGCCAAGAAGCTGAAATGCCATGTTGGAGTAGCTAGCGTCACCCCAGCTGCAGCAACTGGGGTTTCGTCGGCCAGAAGCCGGATGAAGTCTGCGAAATGATAAGCATACACTTCTAGCTCCCATAGAACTGGGTTGCATACCGCTACTGCTACACTTGGGACCATTGCCACAGCAAGGCTTCAGAATAGTCCGGAGTGTAGGCAACCCCGCTTGAGAAGAACGTGTTTCAAACGTCACATCTTTCGAGCAATCTGTTTATCACGAATTAGCTCATATCAAGAAGCATACTGTGTTCTGTTCCACTCTCAGTCCCTTCCAACCCTGACATATGACTGGCGAGTTGACCAACAGTAACTTCATCCCACGCTACATACTCAACAGCACCTTGGCCTCTTGTATCATCACCCAGTTCAGGCAGGTACTTGGTGACAGGGTCATCCAAGATCTGGTCACTGTCTTCCGTAAGGAGAAGGCTCCACACAGTAAAGACTTCAGTCAAGCCGCCAGCCCGATTAATACTATCCTTGTTCGCGGTGTGAGAGCCTGCTAAAAGCTGATTTAATGCAGGAGCAGTGTGGTGGTATTGCCAGCAGAAGGGCTCGTCCTCCAAATTTCCAGGGTCAGACGAGAACAAGGCAATCCTAAATGCGGTGCTTGGCGACACGTCCCCATGGTCACTGCTACTTGTTGCTACTAGCGTATCGAAAGCCTTAGTGAGGCTTCACAGGGCGCTACTAACCGTCTTGTCGTTTGTGTCGAAGGTGAAAGGAGGGAATGCTGGGCCAAGGAGTGGACATGGGGTGCAGGAGAAGACTGAAGAGAAGAGCAGGAAGAGTGTCGACGCGTGGGAGCTTGAGACCATCATCCTGAATGAATGACAATTAAGTGTATTTTTGGTCTCTATCTTCTCATGCTCGGTCTCTTCTTATAAGCAAGATCGGGTCAGGTGATGCTGAAGGTCCTGACCGGTCATCTATATTAGAAGTAGACGAAGCCTCAAATCTCGATTGCAATTTCGCCAAGGTATGAAGAAAGCTAGCCACTTGGTTCGGCTTATCGACTGCTGTAGTATGTCGGCATGCAACTAGCGTGGCAAATCCCATCTGAACCCACTGCATATTGTGGACCCCGACTTCTTCGTTGGGTGGAAGTTGGAGGTACAGATTCAGGATCGAGTTGGCGGAGACAAATGCAAAGACCGCCATTTCGTCTATCCAGGAGGTGCATCCGACGCGTACCTCTGATTGTTGTCTGGTGATGTTGAGCGCTATTTGATATAGGCAAAAACCTGTTGCATGATACTGTATAGCAAGGAGAGCTTTTATTTCCGTCTTCGGTCAGTCTCAAATTCCGCTGCGGTGAACTTCGCACTCCGGTGAGACCTACTGCTTTCGTGAAAATCAAAGGGTAGTTCACGCTAAAACGCCTCCAAATCTGACTTCAGATTTGTGATATATAGCTCTGACCCTGATCCAGGCTTTTCCAAGTCAAGCCCATGCCTCGTAGACACCTGGTCAATTTTTTCTGCGGTAAACTGTAGCTGTATCACGTAACTGATGTATTTGTCGTTGGGATATCCGTTAATCTCGGTAAGAGACTTGCAACAGTCATCTTGGTAGGCGGAGCGCAGAGTAGTAGATTTCTTTTGCACAAGCATCGCGATCCTAACTCGAACCAAATATCAGACAGAATCCAAGAGCCTCAGATGGTCAAACGTACGACGATGATAGATAGTAACTGCCCAGGACGGCCCTCTGCTTGCCACTTCCCTATGAAGGCCGATTGAGGGTCCGTTCCTGCGGATTAGTTTGAGAGTCCCCTGTTTACGGCGGACGGTCAAGACGTAGATCTATCACGAGGCTTGCACCCAGTTGGAGAAATGAGTATAACCACGTGGTTGTGTACGATAATGTGACCTGTAGTATACTGTCAAATAAAGGGCCCGAAAGTATCAAAATGATGAAAGGCAGGTGGGATCTACCATGCGAGAAATGCCATCAGCCCTTGAAGCAACTCAAAGGGATATTTTCCCCGCCGATAATCATGCGTGAAGCAACAACTTTCTTGAATTCGTCCTCCGATACACGTTGCAATGCCAAGTTTTCATATGGAGCTGACGCAAGGATAGCTAAGCAAAGGAATGGCTTCTTCTGGCGGAACTGCTTGACAGATATGCCTGGGGGTACAACCACAAAAAAAGTGCGGAATCAGTTTGGTCTTGAATATTATCAAGTACCTTTCGGCGGTGTCTTCGTCAAGGATGCCCTGGCTGATGACGTTCTCAGACGCAGTATCACCTTCAGCTAAGGAATTGCCGCGCGTGCCCATGGAAATGCCATTTCCATCTGCTCGGTCAGCGCAGTTGACCATAAGTTCGTTGATGTCTGACTCAAGAGCTGCGGTCTTACTGCGTGATACATTAGATTCAGAGCCCAGAACACCGCCAATCATTATAGAGAAGCTGCTCACCGGTCCTTTTGAAAGCCCTTGAATCGACGACCAGTTTGCCGATATAGACATTCTCCTCCTAACCGGCGGTATCTGTGTGGCATTGATGATCTCCAGTTGTAATTCACACAGAAGCAGAAGTTCCTCTGCCGAGATCCTTACCGGTCACACGCGCCAGCAGGATTGACATTGCGAACACAGCACACCTTTGAATCTGCGACAACTCTGACACATTTTCGACACAGAGAACATGATGCTATACGCAGTTTCATCCCACAGAAACAAGAGTGACGCTGGCTATAGTAAAAATCCCGTAAGATCTATGCTTTGTGTGAGTACCTGAGTCAATAGATGTATTTATTCTGAGACATTGGAAGGCAAAGCGATCGAGTATTGGACTGTCATAAGGAGTAAACAGAGCTCACGTGGACGCTAAACCCAAAACGGAGGGTGGCAATGAGGCTTTCGAAAAATAAGTGATCAAGATGATGTTGATATTGCCAAGCTAATGAAATACCTGTGACGTTCGATGCTGCCTGGTATCTCTCCCCTATGCAGGATCGAGTAGAGTTATTAGTGGAATAGTCCTACGACGCGGTTGGCGGCCATATAAGCCACCACATGGTGTGGACTTGAAGCACCCAGTATTTCCAGAGGGTTTGGACTTCGTCTTTAAGGAAATTTTAGAAAAGAAAACTGCATCATTTCCGAAACGACGTTGAAGATCCTTGTCTGTAAGCGAACTGTTGGAATATCTATCTACGCGTTCAGTTTAACTTCAAAGATGCTCCGGCGAGCTTGTGGCCGATTATATATATCTGCAGAGGAACTTTAGCGAAAGAAATACATAATAGGTGATCTAAAAAATGCTCTCAAACAGACATCAATATAGTGCTTGATATACAACCCAATATTTCTTTTATACAAACTCGTAGTTCAGCAGGCTATGCTATGCGCTCTCTGTCCGCTGGGCAGGCTTGGGAGCGCCCCACCAACACCACAACACTCATGCTCACACCAACTACCATCTACACCCATCTAAAAGGAGGAACAAAGCGCCATCAAAACCTGGCTAGATACTGTTTCTCAGACTTTCTGCTCACAGATTCTGTCAAGAAACATCATCCTCGCGTCATCATTTCTCATCTAAGCACTACAACAAATCTCAAGGCCACTAGAATGCCCAAGTATCTTCCCTCTCCCACTCATACATTTACCATTTCTTCGATTTACGACGGCATCAAGCTCGCCTGCCGACTGTACCTCCCACAGCATCTCTCAGACCCGCGCACTTCATCGCAATGGCACGTGCAAGGAGCCATTGTCGCACATCCCTACGCTTCTCTTGGAGGCTGCTACGATGACCCGGTTGTGAGCTTCATCGGCGGAGAGCTTCTCGATGCCGGCTATGTGGTTGGGACGTTCAACTTTCGGTATCTTGTACCCCAACTGTGTGCCCTAAATCCACGAATAGTGCTGACTTGTTCTTCAGTGGTGCTGGTGATTCGGAAGGCCGAACTAGCTGGACGGCGAAGCCAGAGTTGGCGGACTATGTCTCTTTCTATGGGTTCATGATGTTGTATCTATGGTTTTTGAGGCTGAGCCTTGCTTCGCGACCGGATGGTGAGAGTGTAGAGGCGGGTGTTCACCTTTTACTAGGTGGCTACTCGTACGGCTCCCTGGTCGCCTCGCATTTGCCATCAAGCGAGGCTGTGTCGCACCTATTCGGTGATGCGATCCAAGGAACTCCGGCTCACGAGATCTTCCTTATCGCGAGGACCATCTGCGGGCAAACCGAAGATATCCAGAAAATAGAACAGCCAAGTTCAACTGCATCGATCCAGCTTGCAAGAGACGTACTACAGCCGGCAACCACAACAATCTCATACCTCCTCATCTCACCACTTCTTCCCCCGATCAACCTCCTCCTGACATTATTCCTGGACCTATCACTAGAGATCGACACCCAGGCTTCTGGCCAGCGGCGCCAAATCCCCTGCCCCAAACCTTCAGAGCAGCTCTGCGCACACCGGACATTAGCCATCTACGGCGACGAAGACACCTTTACCTCTGTCAGCAAGTTACGCAAATGGTCAGATGAGCAGAAGAGAACACCGCAAAGCCGGTTTGTGTCGACGGAGATTGGAGGCGCGGGTCATTTCTGGCGCGAAGATGGTGTTGAAACGGAAGCACGGCATGCTTTGAGGGAGTGGCTGCATGAGCAGCCTTGACTTTGGCGTAGGCTCAGCTCTGACTCTTTGTCAGTGTTTAGTGTTGGTTCCTCAGTGAACTGAGCGGTTCACATGAGACTGTGGGAGGAAAAGCATGTGAAAAGCGTGTTTGGTGGCCTTCAAGTTTTGGTCGGCTGACGTTATAGCATTGTAATAATTGACTTAATTCATGAGAAGTGTGTGCTTTGTCACTAAGAGGCCGGGGAGGAAGGTGCGGTTGGCACTTCAGTGTGAGGCAACTGCTTGAACGCCTTAGCGAAACAATCGCGATGATGGCGAGGAATTAGAGGAAATTGTGGGGTACAAGTCAACAATTGAGGAATGAAGGGTTGATCCAAGGAGCAGAGATCCGGTTACCACTAAAATCTAGGGGACTCCTCTTCCCGGAACCACGGCGAAAACTCGTGGCCCTCTTTGACCTCTAAAATAAAAGGGAGGTTGAAGACGACTGGGACCTCCGGGATCGCTCGTGACGGCTTTATTCTCCAACGAAGACTGACGTTGAGAGTGCCGCCTGACCTCCCCGGATTTTCTGCTCCCCAACTTCTCTCACCGCGCCCCATTTTCCCTCGGCACAATTTATTTCCATGGATTGACTCGTCCTTCTTTTACGTTTTTCATTCGGGGATAAATTCCTCACCATCTCACTCACCCTCCTTCTCCCACCGCATGGATCTCCGTCTGTCGCAGTCCAAATTGCCATGTCGCCTCTTTCCGAACCTCCGATAATCTCGACATGGCACAACAAGCGCAAGCATTCCGTGAACCATCCCTCCTGTCGAGACCTCCTTCTTCAAGAACCCCGCCGCTTGGTCTCCGTCCCTTCGCTCGCATCCGTCGTGAAAGGCTCCATATCGTGGGCTGGCAGTGTGTGGAATCCGACCGGTGCTGTCACCAAACAGCAAAGATTTGAGCACGAGTTACAAGCAGAGACGGAAGATCGAAAGCAAGTTCTGTACCTGCGGTTGCGAAACGTATGTCTTCTCCGGTTCATCTGCGATGGTGTTACACTGCGTCTGGGACAGTTACTAACCACCTGTCTACTTAGGCCGTATCCTACGAAGAATGGAAGGACTGCGCAACCGAGCTGGACAAATTGGAAAACAACAACGCGTGGAAGAAAACGGTCGAGTGCGACGAATACAATTCCCGACTCGTTCAGGAGCGTCTTGAGCAGCTAGATGCGGCTCGCGGGAGTTGCGATGTTAGTCGGATGCTGTATCTCATCCGCACGTCGCTAAGTCGTGACCTGGGGGGCATGAGCAACGCTTCCCTGTACAAACATACCCACTTCGGAACGAAAGATTTGATCGACCGATATATAACAGCCGCCGTTGGGACGATATCATCGTTGGTGGAGGTATCGGGCGGCAACCGGTGCGATGCGGCCGAATCGAGGTACATACTGGACCAGCTGCTGGCGGCGAGACAGGCCTTTGGACGCAGCGCGCTTCTCTTCTCAGGCGGAGCCACTTTCGGCATGAACCATATTGGTGTCCTAAAATCGCTCTGGATGAACAAACTCCTCCCTCGCATCATCTCGGGCGCGTCTGCTGGCAGTATTGTCTGCGCCGTCTTTTGCACCCGTACTGAAGATGAACTTCCCGCTCTTCTGGCCTCCTTTCCATACGGCGACTTTTCCGTTTTTGATGAGGAGAGCCATGAAGAGAATATCTTGCAGAAAACTGCGCGCTTTCTCAAACACGGAGCATTTCTGGATATCACACACCTAGCCAAGGTTATGAGGAGCTGGCTTGGAGACATCACTTTTCAAGAAGCGTATAACCGAACGCGGAGGATACTGAACATCTGTGTCTCGAGTGCTGGCGTTTACGAGCTGCCGAAGCTGTTAAATTATATCACTGCCCCTAATGTTTTGATCTGGTCTGCTGTGTAAGTTTCCACAGTCGCATTCCGCCCTTACGCCGAACTAACAGTTACCAGTGCGGTTTCATGTTCAGTTCCTGTCGTTTTCTCACCATTTACCTTGATGGCCAAGGATCCATTGACGGGAGAGCCTGTGCCGTGGAACGACCTTCACAAACAGTATATAGACGGCTCTGTCGATGGCGACTTACCTATGAACCGACTGTCAGAGATGTTCAACGTCAACCACTTTATTGTATCTCAAGTCAACCCACATATTGTACCATTTCTCCCGAAAGATGACGAACCGAAAAGCGTGGCCGTACCGACATCGGGCCTCTCCCGATTCCTATATGGTGTCTCACAACTCGCAAAGGACGAAATGTTGCATCGGATGGCGGTTTTGACGGAACTCGGCATTTTTCCAAATTCGTTCACCAAAACCATTTCGATCATGAACCAGAAATACTCGGGGGATATTAACATTTATCCTGAAATTTTGTACACCCACTTTCCTCGGATCCTAAAGAACCCGACTTCCGACTTTATGCTCAAAGCATGTCTCTGTGGAGAACGAGCGACATGGCCAAAGCTGGCCCGGGTTCGGAATCATTGCTCTATTGAGCTGGCTTTGGACGCGGCTATCCAGAAAATGCGCGCACGAGTAGCCCTGAGCCACACTCACGCGACTCTCGTGACCAATACTCTCACGCACCATTCAGCAGCGCCCGCCAGCAGCTCGGATCGCGGACGCCGACGGCGGAGCTCGTGCAGTCATGAATATGAGAAAAGAAAGCACGCCGAAAGCCGGTCGAGCCGGCCGAGTCTTGCGAAGATTGGAAGATCTATGTCCCATAGCTTCGAGTCGTATCACCCCCAGGCGGATCAGGAAGCGGAATGGTTGTGGATTCGTCGGCCAGGTTTCGAGCCCTTGAATCCAGAGTCCAATTCCAGCAACGACTACGGGACAGAAACGCCAGCATTTGGCTCGTACCACCATGAACAGAGTTACTTCTCCCCTGACCCGGAGTTCAGCATGGAGTGTTCGAAAGCTGCGTCCTCGTCATCATCAGCATCCTTGTCTCCTGTCCGCATGGCCAAAACTGCGAACTACCGACCTCCTACCCCTGCTGCGGTCTCCACGTCTCCTAGGAGGCAATCGCATCCGATGAGATCGACATCTCCGCCCCGCCTATCGTTGAGAATGACACCCGCTTCGCCGGGGACCTCCCGCTTAGCTAATTAACATAAGGCACGAACTGCGTGGGGGGGAAATGGTGTTACATGGACGGCGCTTGCAACGGGACTGAACGTTATATCTTCTTTTTTTCGACAAGACATGGCCCATGTTACGGGATTTAGATTTTGCTACCCGCAAGGAGCAGCGGGCGCTTCGGTTGGACCCTGGACAGTTTTGCTTTTGCGTTGCATCACGATTTGGCCCTGTTTTCAACAGGAGATATGCATGACGGCGTTGTTGGATAGAAAAGATCCTCGGTGGATTACGCGTTCAGGCTCGAGCGTGAGCAATCCGCTTGCTTGTGTTTGTGCTGGCCGCATCAACTAGACTACAGCTACAGCTAGATGAGATGTGGCTAGAGTGGTTCTAACTGAAGAGGTAAAATTAGCAATCCGCTAAGAGCCTAATAGACTCAAATAGACTGTTTGTCAACATTAAGGAGACTAATTATAGCGCTCTGCGACTGAAAAGGTGGTGCAACTGGAGCACCTGCAGTGTGATAATGTATGTGACGAGTTTAGCTGTTCTAAAATTGCAAATTAGCCTGCATTATGCAGGGTTAATTAGCCCATACTTGAGGGCAATTTACTCTGCTTAAATTAGACCAAATCTCGACCAACAGAGTCCAGCACTGACCAGGATCTTCAGCCACTAATGCAGCTCCCCGGCCGCGAGGCCTGAGCACGGCGGCTATTCCTCGCCTTTCTGGGTGATAACACGACAAGACAAGCCTGCGGAGTTCGGACCTTCCCCTCACTCCCTACAAGGATCAGCAGTAGCGTAGCTCACGCTAGCAGTGTCTGTCAGCCATGAAACAACCCCTGTATGTTTCTAATTTTGATACTCGCGCTTCATGGTCGCTTGGACTCCGTCAGCGGAACACAGGCTATATCTTTACCTTCTCCCACCCCGTTCTGGCTGGTCGATCAAACAGCTTGGCTTGAACTGACATCTCTGGGCATTCCTCATAATTGTTCTGCAAGACTCTTATTTACTCCTATTAATACTTGCCATCCTCCCGCACCTTACTATACATAATGTCTTTCACCCGCTTCCGCAAACCCACTACATCCTCATCATCATCCACCACAAAACCCCTCCAAGAACGCCAGGGAAATATCACATCCCTGACCCCTACGCAACCTCGTCCTTACAAATCCTCACACCTCATTAATGACGAGGAAGCCATCCCCCTTACGGACCTCATCCCCACGCGCCAAAAGTCCTTCACCATGAAGACTCTCAACCCGCGTCGTCTCTCACTGCGCCTGAAGAACCGTCCTCAACCCCACAGCGCTCCATCCTCCTCCTCTACTTCTCCCTCCTACACATCCACCGAGCACAAACAAAGACACATCGAGCCAACCGCGCCGGGAAGCATCGGCGGTCGCACGGAGTTCGTCTACAAGCCCGTCCGCCGGACAGATTACTCAATAGTCGTCGCGGAGACACAACAAGCACATAGCCAGAGCTACAGTCAGAGTCAACGACCCGTTTCACGGTATCAATATAACTACATCCCGACCGGACGAAGCCGAGGCCCTGCTATGGGTGATCACCCGGCCCCGCAGTCCCGCTCCCGCTCCCGAGCTAGGGCTCGCTACGACGAGGAGAGTGAGCGATGCACTCGCGACCTATACGATGACCTCGACGAGCAACCCGTCTACTCGCGGGACGCCGAGCGAGCTCGAGCTCTAGCGTCGTTGCAGGCGCGACCGGGGAGGGAGCTTGCTACTGCTACTCTTGGTGCGGAGACGTATACATCTGCTGCGGAGAAGCGGCGCAGTCGGGCGGCGAAGCGGTTGACGACTGTAATGGTTCCTGATGCTGACGCGATCTATGATTGGTGATGATGATGATGATGATGATGATGATGATAAATAAAGCCTTTTAATGTTTATGTTTGGCTGGGTCGGTTGAGCATTTTTGGCATGGATACATGGAGTATAGCGGGCGTTTCGTGGGGTACATTTGCTCTTTTCACATTTAGTGCAGAGAAATCGAAGATCATGAAAACATCCGATATCCATGAAATGCCGTTGATTATTTAATCCTCTAAGCCGCCTAATGCTCGTTGAAGATTGTTACTCCGAGGTATACTTGATCCAAACCCAACTGACTCGTGTCCCAATGTCTGACGTCAATCTGACGCGCACAACAGCTGTGGCAGAAGCAACGCCCAAGCAAAAGTGCAGGAAAAACGTACACTGATGTATGTTTTGGACAAATCCCTGTCGGTAAACCATGGAAGTGGATCGGCCGGATCGATTACTTGTTCTCGACCTTCCTGCCGTAGCATCATGACGACAGGAGTCTCGAATTCCTTTTACTTGTCTATACTTAAGGGCCGAGCTCGGTTTTCGCGGTTCGATTGGGATTCGATCCACTTAGTTTCAGATTCAATCTCCATTGTCAATCATATCCTACGCTGTACCATATGATCTTATAGAAATGTTGCTAGATCGGGTCGTTCAGCTCAAGTGCGGAGTCAAGGTGGGTTTACCCCGAGCTTATCATATTTCTTGATCTTCAGAGGTTATGCCGGCGAGGACCTTGGTCGATGCGTACCTTGCAAGTTAATCGAGTTGAGCTTGTACTAATCAAGGGCTCTTCTACAGCACGATCCGTGGGGGAAGAAGGGGAAGGCATCTCTCGCTGGGCATCTATGGGCCCAGACGGAGTCGACTGGGGTTAAGGAAGATGAGACGTACTCGGAGGTATGAGCTGGACTCGATCCACTCTGCCCATGCTATACGGGGCTCTTGATCATTGACGACATGTGCAGATGTGGATGGGCACATATCCCACCGTCCCGGCGCGCCTCCTCGCAACGGGCGAAACACTCGAGCACTTTCTGAAACGGAAACCGGAGGTCGTCGGCGACTCGGTGAGGAGGCGGTTCCAAACTGGGTTGCCCTTCTTGCCTAAGGTCAGTATCCCTGCTCCATCTGCGACGCGGTGTGCAGTATGCTGCATCCTGCGTGCCGGGTGTCCGTTAACGCAACCGAATCATGCAGGTCCTCTCCTTCGACAAGGCCCTACCCCTCCAAGTCCATCCGGACAAGCGTCTCTCCGAGCAACTAAACCTCAAAGACCCCGACCAATTCGGGGACCCAAACCACAAGCCCGAAATTGCAGTCGCACTCTCCGAGTTTGAGCTCTTCGCGGGATTCAAGCCCCTTGCTGACATCGAGGCTTTAATGGCAATTAAGCCACTGGACCAATTCGTGCCCGCACACTCCACATTTGATGACGACCTCCTGCGCAGAATCTGCCGGATCCTGTTAGAGTTACCCCCTGAGACGGTGTCTGAGACCGTTTCAGCTGTCCTGTCTCTGCCCGCGGAATCGTTCCCCCCAGAGCACAGATATGTGCCCGGTTTGATAGAGCGCCTGAGCAAGCAGTATACCGAGTCCGACAACGGGGCTCTCGTCGCCGTGCTGCTGATGAACTACATGACGCTTCAACCCGGTGGAGCCGTCTGCGTCCCCGCTGATAGCATCCACGCGTACCTACGCGGAGATATCCTCGAGTGCATGGCTCGCTCGGACAACGTGCTCGCGACGGGGTTCTGCCCGCGGCCGACGCGGAACAACGTCGAGCTGTTTACGCGCGCGCTCTCGTTTAAGCCGCATGGTCCCGATGAAGCGAAGCTGGGGCAGAAGAAGAGCGAGAGGGGTGAGTTGGGCCGCACGATCGAGTACGCGCCGCCGTTTTCCGAGTTTAATGTGCTTGCGACGGTGCTAAAGGGAGGAGAAGAGGAGCGGCAGAAGCCGATTGCGGGACCGAGTATTGTGGTTGTGACGAGGGGCAACGGGGAGATGATTGTGAACGGGCAGAATAAGTTGGGTATGCATGAGGGGTCGGTGTTCTTTGTTGGGGAGGGGGTGCCGATTGAGTTGGTCTCGAGGGACGGGATGCAGGTTTTTCGGCCGTATGCTGAGTGAAGGACTCGAAGCACCAACATCAAGACTGACACCAACATGATCAAAATACGACGATGTATCTAATGTGTCAATGATAGTGCACGAAGATTGACTCCAATTCCAACACCCAAACCCAAACCTGAAGAAGAGAAATCCGCCTAACCAACAGCGCTTGCAGACTTAACCCAACTTCCCAACCAAACCCCTCGCAGTTACCACCAGGTCTAAAAATGTAGCTAATTAGCCACCTATTTTTACGTGCTCTCTTCGGCCGGCAGTCGGCACAGACTCTTGGGAGTCTCTGGCATTGATCCTTCAGCTGCACAATCGCATCCTTTAGCGCCGTAGCTAACTGAGCTCAGTTTAGTTGCCCATGCATCTTCTCGAAGCGCCAAACTAGCCTGCCAATCCCTCGTTAGCGCCTCAGTTCAACAAGCATCGACACCCAATGGATCCCTCCCCCACAGACTCTCCCAAGGCCAAAAAAAGCACCGTTAGGGCGAATTAGCTCTCAATCCACCCTATTTTTGTCCCTTCTAGGGGTCCTTGGCGTCGTTTCAGATTTTTAAACTCAATCGCTCGGCGATTAAAATAGCTGTGTGGGCTTTAGCTTGGCTTTTGGCTTTTGGGCGATGGCGGGTAAGGGTCCATGTTGAGGTTCTTCATAAGGCGGGGATCCGGCCTGCATCCCAGTCTGTTTTTATGCTGCTTACTTCTGCCGACCAGGTCAGAACTGAAACTTGAGGCTTTGAGGCTTCGATGCTGGGGGCTGTTCGGCTGGTCTGGTGGTTGACCTGATTTCTTCTTGTCATTGCTCACCTATCCTGCCCTACTTTACCCAACCGATTCTACGGGCGTTTACTTTGACGGATTATCAAAATGTTGATGCTCTTCTTCCCCCGTGACGACTATGCCACGCCCCAAACGGCAGACCAAGCGCCAGACAACCAGGGTTCTAGCAGCAAGACCACATCCATTATCATCGGCGTTGTGGTCGGTGGTGTTGCCGCCATTGCTAGTACGTCCTTTCTCTCCTTTCCTAGCTTCGACCACTCTACCAACTACACGCATCATTCCATAAGCGCCGCCAACTAACACCCGTTCCACTCAACAGTAACAGCAGGAATCATGTTCTTCTTCATCAAGAAGCGCAAATGGGACAAGATCCGCCAGTGCGAGGAGCGCCTAATCGACTATCAACTCGCAACAGGACACTCGTCGAAGCTTCACTCGCGCTCTGTCACGCCGGAAGACCACCAGCAGTACTTGAACATGTTGGCTGCACAGCAACAACAACAGTCGTCGACGACAACAACTGCGTATCCGTATTCACCCGCAAACGTCTTGTCGGATCCCATGAACGCCACAGCGGGACAGCAAGGGACAGGAACCGTGACGGGACACAGAGCAAGAGGAATGTCGGCACCTGCATCGACGACACTAGGTCAAGCTCTCAGCCAAGGTCAAGGTCCCAGCCCCGAAGCACCGCCGCCCACGTACCAGTCCCTTCACTCTCGCTACGATCCATCGCGCTACTCACAGATGAGCACGCGGTTTTCCTCGTCGTTTGACTTTCCAAGATCGAGTACGAGTACGAATGGGAAATCGATACCAGGCGTCTTGCCAGGCCACGGGCATGGTCAGAGCTCGAGCTTGAGCTTTAGTCCTCCGGAGAGTTCGACGTGGTATCAGCAACAGCAGCAACAGCAAGGGTATGCACAGTATCCGCAGTATCAACCAGCGCCGGCTGGATCGGAGGGTCAATGGCCGTTAGCTTCGACGGGGATGACGACGACGACAACCACGGCGGCATCAGGGACAGCGTCGGGGTCGCGATCGGGGTCAAGCTCGGGGTCGAGGTCAAATGCTCGGTCGAATACACGCTTTGGAAGGAGGTCGGCTTCGGAGTCTGGTATAGATGGTGGCGAAACGACACGCGGCCCTCGACGCCCACGGCCGGTTTTGTCACGACTGGTCACGAACTTTGGATAGCCTGGTCGACAGCGCCTCGTCTTACCTCCGTCGGCACGAGTCAAGCGGAAGCATGGCATGGCATAATTGTCGGTTTCTTTTCCTTATTTCCTTACTTCAGCGTTGCGTTCTCTTGGTGTTGGAGTTGGTCGGACAACGAGTCGGCGTTATTTGGATACATTTCTGGCTGCTATACCCGCTATGTTGGTAGTGATTATTGTTAGCCTTTCTTCCTCCTTGCTTAGTCGAGAACCAAGTCGCCTATCTGGATAGGGTAGGGTAGGGGTAGAGTAGGGTTTGGTCGGCAATAATGATAATGGTTTCTGAGGAAGACGTGACAAGTATTGGCGAACAGTCTGTGGGCGGCGGTGACACAGTCTTGAAGATATGAGGAAGGAGCCCTTCGCTCCTTCTTTGATTGATCCAGAGGCCTAACAGATATTCAACGTAGCCCTCATTGCCGTTTTGTTCACCAAATTGCCCTACCCAAGTCTAATTCTCAGGTCTATGAAGCAGTACAGTAAAAGAACTTTGCTTTGAATAGAGTCACGGAAATGAAATTCAAATGAGAAGCGAGCACTCATGAACAATGCTATTCTCCTTTGATAGGTCTTGAGGAGAGGGAGAAGAAGCTTTGGAGCTTTCTTGAGTCATTCCTTGGGCGGGGCGGCGGGGCGGCGTCGCGGCTTGATATCTTTAGGCCATGAGCTATAGAACTCCCGTATACTTGGTCTCAGTGTGGTCTTCAACCCAGGGGCAGCAGACGGTACAAGAATAAGTGCCATCAGTAAGCAAGGCAAGCCAGTAAGCGTGGTCCATAAGATCTTTAGCAAGGGAACAAGAAAAGGGAAGAAGTGAGGAAACATACCATGGACTGGAGCAGCCGCTCCTCCCGCTCCTCAAGGCATATGTCTTAACGTACTTCTGTGTGCTTAGAAACATCGTGCTGACAGTGTGATCTCGCGAAGGTGACAAGGTAGGCGTATGCCATGCGTGGCGTACGACAGGCACTCATAGCCTTATGACCTTATGAGGTCTTCAACGTTTCTGTAGAGCGTACTTCCCTCTTGTCTCGTCTATCGTGTCCTTCCGAGCATGACCCCGTTCCGGTGGGTCGAAATAGACTTGTTCAGGAGCGGCCCCGAAATTGACCAGCGCTGCGGCAACTTCGATAAGCCCACTTTCCAGCGCGCACTCCAGAGCCCGCAAGCCAATGGGTGCACCCCTCTGTAAGAGCACCTGGATAGTTGGTACAAATCTCATGGATATCGCTGCCACCAATGCTGTGGAGTCGGGCACTGCAATAGTGTTTAGTAGGCTGTGTACGACTTGAACGGCGCCAGACCCAGCGGCAATAGCAAGTAGAAGCGGAGGTGACTGGTAATCGGACTTGCTGAGTCTTTTCAGAATGCACTTAGCCAAGGTCTCGTTGTGGTTCAGCAAAGTTGAGACAATAATGTCGGGGCGCACACGACACTCTCTAAAAAGTGATGTAATAACCTCTGGATGGTGCTGGAAGCAGGCCAATGTGACAGCTTCTGTAGTCTCATCAACCAGTAACCTGACAACGTCCAATTGCCCGAGCCGCACCGCTTGGAGGATCAACCTGTACTCCATAGTTGCCCCTCGTCTTCTCAGAGTCTCGATGATATCATGATGCCCAAGGTGGTAAGCTAGTGATAGCGGTGTATGGTTGAGCGCGTCATTATAAGTGTCTATTGCGCCCCCTGCCTTGGTGAGAAGGTCCACGGCGTCGCAATTCCCGATTTGCACCGCCCCTATGATGGGAACCTCGTGTGTGTATTTGTCCCCATCGGGATTCGCACCGACCTGTAGAAGACATTTCAGCGCTGAGTTATTGACATCCTTGATTGACTTGATCAAAGCAGCCGTCGTCCTCCCACGACCAATCTCGTGACTGCCGAGCTGTAGACAGGATGACACAGCGAAGTGCATCGGCTGGTATCCGTCTTTATCTAAGGCGTGCACATCAGCCCCCTGCTCGACTAGTAGCTCCAAAGCTCGGTCGTTTAGTTTTGCAGCTGCAACAAATACTGGAGTCCGCCCAGCGGCGTCCCTTGAGTTCACATGTGCTTCCCTATAGAGCAAGGCCTCCACCACGGCGGTACCTGAATTTTCAAGAGCGTAAAACAACGGTGTTCTTCGATGGATGTCCAGTGGATTTATGCGTATCTCACTGCAATTCAAAAGCGCGTCAACTATGGCGTAGCAATTGCTGCAGGCGGCAAGGTGCAGCGGAGAATGACCGTCATTGTCTTGGACGTTGATGTAAGGCTCCATACTTTGTAGCAATACGTTCATTGCCATGACAGAGCCTGCCTCAGCTGCATGGTGGATGGCGAGCCTTTTTTTGTGATCCAACAAACGAGGCTTTGAGAGACGAACCAATTCTTCAACCGCTGTAATAAAATCCGTTCTTGCCGCGAGGTGTAGCAATGGCACGTTGTTGTAATGATACAGGGGGATGTTGAATACATCCCTTCGCAACTTTGGGCTAGCAGGGTCGCGCATAAGTTCAAAGAGAGGGGAATGTTTGTGTGCAATAGCCCAGCCGGGCAAACCAACCATGTGAGAACCGAAGGAATCACCAATTGACTCCCACGGATGAACCCTCCAAGTGAAGCTGTTTTCAAGCGCAATTGCTCTGAACTTGTCGTAAAACTTTGATGTGTTGTCTATCCAATCCATCAATGGCGCCCAGTTGTCCCTTGCGAAAGAAAAGAACTTTGGAGGCTTCATCACAGTTGTGGTAGACTGGACATTTGGTGGCCAAGGGATTTTCAATAGCTTGGACCTTGATGAACTCGGCCTTAGTAGCCAAGCATATGATACGTGCTTCTGTATAGTACCCAGGACACCTCGTCCATCAGTTAGGTCGTCAGCCTTTTGGTAACGCTGCACAGCCCGCTGGTATATTGGCGAAAGAAGATGAACAACACAGAGCTGTCCAAGTTCTACCTTGGCTGTGGCCAAAGTTCGATCAGCCCAGGAAGTAGTGTTTGTTGTTCCTGAGGCTTCTTCCAAAAATTGATTAACCGAGTAATGGGTGGGTCGGAGTTTGCCATCTGTATCTTGGATGACTAGATGTGAGCACAGTTTGAGGACCTCTCTGGCCGGCATTGAGTTCTCTGGTTCAGACAGCCCAGTTTTGTGGTCCATGGCAAGTGCCTCCTGCATCTGGGGCATGGTAAACGGCTTCGTAGCAACACAGACCCAAAACAGCATCTTGTAAGCCAATCCGCTATGTCTCTGGTTGATTCGATCGATGCAACGTCTGTAGGTCTCGCTTAGGTCCTTTGGTAGGTTCTCAAGGCTTCTCCTGATATCAAAGTCGGTATAGCACTCCTCCCACATCATATCCAGCTGCAAGCTGACCCATAGAAACCTTGTCTGTCGTTAGCAATAAGAGCGCTAGTCTGAACGAACATGACTTACATTTCATCTGCCCTCTTGGCAAGTCTTTGCCGAATTTCTCGGAGTAAATTTGGATCATCACTTAAGGTCAGATGTCGCATGTTCTCCTCCATTCTCCAATCTATGAATCTGAGGATATCGCTCCCATTGCCGTGATTGGCGATTATTATGGTGCTCGTTGCTGAGACTAGCTGGGCGACCTCTAGCCCCTCGCGGCCTGAAATCAAAATTCTCGTCTCCATTTCAGATGTCATGACTCGAAATATGTCGAGAACTTGTATTGCATCGTGCCGTTCGCATTCATCGAGGGCGTCCACAATGAAAATTGCATTTGGAGCCAACCGGCAAACAGGAAAGAATACATCTTGTACCATTTCTGCTAGTGATAAAGGCCATTTACTGGGGCCATAGAGTCGCTTGAGGCTGGTGACTATTTGTTCAGGGCATCGATCTTTCGAGCGAGCCAAATATCCGAGTATTTGCTTCGTGTAGCTCTCAAATACGTCGATTGCTTTCAAGCGCGTGCGATCAGTGTGACTATAGAAGAAATGAGCAACCAATGTGGTGGATTGTTGTTGAGAAGTTTCAAGTTTTTGAATGATCGACCTTCTGTTTGGGCTCAATTAGTTTGACGGCATAACTTTCACACGGGCGAGCGTACGTGACAAATGTCTTCCCACAGCCAACTGATAGATGTTAGGATTAGATCTCAAAGTGTGGAGCTGATAGAACGTACTCTTCCCTGTAAGCCACAGGCAGGGGTGTCCGTCCTGCGATAACCACTCCTTGAAGGTGACGTTGTTTGAGATCCAGCTAGCAGTATTTGGACACTTGCGGTCCACAAAATTGCGGCAAACCCGAACAGGGTCGTAGCTAGATAGCTTGTCGAATATATTATAGAGGGTACTGCCATCTGAGTCGAATTATCGAGTCATTAGCCTTAGCTATTATGAGCAGCGAGGTGAAAGGGTGATTCTAACAAACCTGGTGAAAGAGCATGCCGTAGAGCTTGGCATAGGAGGAGAAGGAGAGATTCTGGTCGACTTCATGGCTAGGACATGATATAGCGGACCTGAGCCTGGAGACCGTTCTGTATACGTCAATGGGTGGCATCTTGACTCGTAACATAGTACAGATTGCTTGACCTGGTTTGATTGCCACAATTAGGAAGGTGGAGGAGCCTTTGAGTTTATCGTGGTTCTAACTTGGACAAGGTATGTTTATTTAGTCCCATTTTGCGGCACTGGTTAGGGCTAACCAACCAGGGTAGATATCCGCGGGAGCGGTCATGTACAGCGCTGACAATCTCCGAAGCATGAGCATGGAGTTCAGCCGCAGCTATAATATCCTCAGGGACGAAGCTGAGGAAACCCCCGCGTAGCTGAGCCTTGAGCAACGTATCATCAAAGGGCTGAGCCCATAGTTCGTTGTGCTCTTTGTTTAGACGTCCTCATAAATAATCAAAGGGAAAAACTGGCTAGTAAACACATCAAACATCGTTGGTAGCGGCCACAATAGAGCAACCAGCCACCCCAACAGCTTGGCTAGGCGGCGATTACACACGGTGGCGTGTACACCACCAACATAACGACGATTACCGACCAGGTTGCGGATATGATGGCGAGCTACTCCGCATGTACTACGTATCCCATGTGACTTGCATACACTCTGGGTAATGCATTAGCTGTGCGGTGGCACAGCGAGTGGACAAAGAAAGGAAGACTCGGTCTTCGCAATGCGCGAGCGCCACTTTGACTTCGAGATTCTGGCAATTGCGGAGAAAAAGGAGAGTATAGGCCAGACCTTGTGAATGGGAGCCAAGTTCCCAGCAAGCTTCGTTGGGAACGGACAACGCTGGTATCGTGCTTGCATCGTATTTGAGTCTGCGAAGAGACGAAGTGGTTCAGCGCCAAATCCTTGGGAAAATAATTGAGTTTCTGCGGAGGGTCAAAGAGGTGTCTGAGAACGAATAATGCTTACCTGTGGAACAGAGTCGAACTAAGCTTCTAGGCGTCCGACAGTGTTGGAATGGGACAAGATTGTCTGGTACTTTTTGAGCCTCGTCCAACACAAAGAAAACAGCAGGATCAATAAGATGGCGAGTCACCGTCATGACAAATTCGGGGACGATCATCCGGTGCTTATTCTGCGCATTGTCCAACGGGAGGCCGGCACAAGTGTTGGTTTTTCGGCGGCTCTCACTGGCGAGCGACCCTGGTCGAGAACCTCACTCTCTCCAGTCACAGCCCGGTCTTTCCCCTCGCCATGGCCTGGTCAACAGGTTGCATCGCAGCATCCTCTCTCCAACCCCTGGCCAGAATGCGACGAAGCGCCGTGCCAAGATGACGGTCAGCCTACGTGCAGCTCCTTCTCGGTGATGATTGACTTCTTCTCACGCAAGTTGACTGTGCCGCAGCGATCGCAACCCCTCTTTCATTCGCAACACCCATCAAGCCATCCAGGGTCAATTCGGACCGGACACGGAAACGCATTCATTCTCTCAATCTGGCAAGCTGATCAGTCCCTCAAAGGGGCCACTCATCGAAGCGCCTGCATACCGCTCCAATGCCCAAACCGAGGATATTCCTCCGGGTGATCCCCCAGTGGCGTTGTTGTCGCGCAAATTCCAAATTGTTGCCGGCGAGAAGACACAAGGAGGGTGGTGAACCAGACTGTCGGGTTCAGTCCACGTCTCCCTCGTCCCGTTGCCGTCCCTAGAAGGTCCATCCCTCTGCCTGTTCGAGCTGTCATCCTGGAGATCTCGATGCGCAGCTGTCATTCCACCCAGAAGTTTGGCAGTTTCTTGCTGTCGCCGCGGCTACCTTCGTATTATGCTTCGATAGAAGCTCTACCTCATGCAGGAAGTCGGTTTCGCGGCACTTCTCTCCCTGCCCTTTCAAGCCGCTTTTGGCCCTTTTGGCCTTTGACTTGAAAGCCCGGGTTCCGCACGCGGGGGCCGTCAACAGTGGCAGACTGGCCTGTACATATCTGCCTGGTGAAAGTTGCATGTCGCCCCATTTCGACCCCTGTCCATAACCTGGCATGTTCCGCACCCCTTTTCACCTCTACATAGTGACGACGTATTCTCCAAGTGTTCCACAATTCGAGTTGCGCACTCATGTTGACCGGATCACCACGCTATTCAGAATTTCACCTCATGAAGAACCCTCTAAAGGTCATGACGGCTATCATTCAACGGCTTCGGAGGAAGCGCAAGCTCGCGTCGGATTTTGACTCGCGATGGGGGGATATGGCCATTTCCAGTCCGAACGACGGGTCTTGGAGCCAGTATGACGCCGCCTCCACGAGAGCCAGTCCTGTCTCCGCAAGGTCGTCTGAGCACGGCAACGGCAACGCATGGAAATTGAGCCCTGGGGAGTCCTCTGAGCCATACACACTTGCCAACGGACGACATACAGAGAGCCGAAAGACATCGCTCGATTCTTCTTCAGCCATGCCTACAGGCTACTACGATGCACGAGTCCGCCGACGATCCAGAACAAAAACCAGTTCTCCAGAGCCGCAAACCGCGCAACACGCACCGATAAGCCTCCCAAAGGCCTGGGAGGAGAAGCAATTCGGAGACAGCTCAGCAGACGAAGCGGTGGACGACGTCTCATCCCTCGGCTCTCCACGCGGGAAACTGGGGACAGCAGACGACGCGAAATCCGGAGGCTCGAAATCGCCTCCATTATCTGTGACCTCGCGAATGAGACGTTTCAGCGGCCAGAGCACATTCACTGACGCGATATTCTCTGCACCGGCCACGGCCAGTTCGCAACGGACCAGTTTCAGCCTTGAAGATTCTCGCCTCGCACGACATCCACCGACACCGCATTCCCTTTCGCAGCACGAAAAGAACCCTCCTCTACGAGCAAAGGCTCGGGACGCGGGGCCGGCCCCTGGACAACAGCAGCAGCAGCAGCCTCAGCAACTGGTCCCTTCGTACGATGAACTTTACGGCTAATCGATTATTATTTGGGACGCTAAGGATGGTCGAAATGGGCTTTCTTTTTCTTTGTTCGCTGAGATTTGCTTATCAAACCAAACCAGACTTATACCTGTATCACGGATGATCTGAGACATGACTGAACTGAGTCAATGTGTGGATGACTGCTTCTTTGTGTTGGAGTTTTGTTTCCTTTTTTCTACTGTTGCTTTTGCTTTGGGCCTCCTAGCGACGATACAACCTGCATAGTGGCGTTATACTTATTGGGTGGCTGTTGTTGCTTCACTTGTGCTGTGGTGATACAATCTTGCTCTGGAAGATGGGCACCTAAGACATGGCCAAGCCAGATTCATCATACAAGATCGATCCCTGTCCGATGAACCCGCTTAATTAATACTTGGCCAAGTAAAGTAGTGGCCTCCTTCAAAACGAAGCGACGAGAGCATTCCGTGACGAGGATTTTCCTTCACTGCTTCCTCAAAGTGACATCTCAGCCACGGAACGTTCTCTTCCAATGAATCCCACCGTCTAAGCGGCAGCTCTCCGTTCTTCCCATCTAGTCCGAATCCTTCGAGCATTTACAAATTCCGAGTTGCTGCCCCCATCACAAACTACTGCGAGGGCCCTAGCCAATGAGATTCAGCGACCGTGCAGGGCATCAACGCTTTCGAAAAGAGGGGTCAATTTGGGCGAAGCCTTCGGCGAATAACGTGCGGCAAACACGCTGCAGTCGAGCTGCAGTCTTGGTCACATCACAATCCCCGCCAACGCCCAATCCCCCGTCACGCTTGTCACACTTGAGTTCTCGCTACGACTGTGACTTGCTCTCTCATCCCCTCGTCGGCGCTCCCCTATCGATGTTCTTGATTCGCTGGAAGCAGCGAGCTCGATGGCTGGATGTCCGGCCCGGTGAGGAGGGGGCCCTTTTCTGGCTGCAGTAGCGCCCCCAGAGCAACTCAAGCACGTCTTGTTTATTTCTTCGCCCAGTCAGTATGTTCGTGCTGCTGATCGCACTGCGACGTTAGGACGGTCCGGTTCCGTTGAGTTCGAACACTCTCTCTTCTTGGGTTAATGGGCCTGGGTTGGAATCTGACCCCGGGCTTTTTATCAATCTCGCTTCCCCTCTCCTCTGGCCGGGGCTATCCTGGATCTTCCTGGGAAGTTGCGAGTTCGAGTTCGAGTTCGGGATGCCTGTCGGGCGCTGATCGTGCGACTCGAGTCTCACCTGCACACGCACTTGTTACTTAAATCGAAAAGAATAAGCACTCTTGTCTTGCGGGTCTTGGGTTTCTACGCTACGGTGTGCACTTTCTTCTCGACCGCTTAATTACCTTCTAGGTACTGGACCTCTCGCTCTCGATTAGGAGGGGTATGGTTTCAATGCTAGAGAAGCCAACTTTCGCTTGCCGTTGGGCTTCTCTGGGACCTTCGTTATTCTGAACTTGAAGCGATTTCCCTTGATTCATTCGTTAGTTTTGTGAAGTGTATTGCGATGGTTTCGCCGGGCTTTGGCCGAGGGTCTGCCTCAAGATGGGCGGTCCTCTTGCTTCTCGGTCAGCTTTCTCTCGGGCTGCGCACAACACCAGGTTCGCCCTGTGAAACCCGGTGCAGTCCGTCGAAGGCTACGACGCCCGAGGAGATCGTGTGTGCCGATCATGAGTATGAGGATAGCGAAGTGGGAAGGAAGTTTGAGGACTGCATTGAGTGCCAGCTGCAGAGTACCTACTCCGATGGCACGACTGGACAGTCGGATATGGAATGGGGTCTCTGTACGTTTCTAACGGGTGGCAATGGAGTCGCGGGAAATTTACTGACCTGCTTTGTTGTTAGATAACCTTCGGTATGCCTTTACCTCGTGTGTTTATGGGTACCCGGAAAAGGTGACTGAGATCTCCAATTCGTGTCCTGTCGCATGCAAGGACCTGGAGAGTGCACTCGAGTTTGAGCTCAAGGATCCTTCTCCTCTCAGTCTAGACACCTGGTGCGGTACCACATCATTCGCCGACAACGAGATCACCGACTGTGGCATCTGTTATAACCTCACATCCAACGAGGTCACCAGCCAGGTGTACTTGGCGAACTGTATGTCCTCACCCTCCACACATATTTCCCTGCATACTCACACAGAAGTGCATACAGTCCTCGAGTCCCTCCGCTACAACTGCCACTTCGAAACTCCCACAGATGAAGAATTCCCCATCTCTCCTAGCCGAATATTCTCCGAATCCCTCCTACCCTCCTCAACCGCAAACCTAATTTCAGGCTCCGGCTCCTCGGGGCCCGACAACCTCGCCCTCATAATCGCAATGCCAATCCTCGGCTTCGTCATCCTCCTCTGCATCCTCGCGCTAGGCTGCTTCTTCTTCATCCGCTCGCGCCGCAAGAAAGTCCGTCGCCTCCACCAGTCGGGACACCTGCACGCGCGCTGGAACGACACGGGCATCAGCACCCCACAGTGGGCTATGGAGTACCCCGCGCAGGCGCAGGGTCCGTATAGTCCTGCGATATATTCGCCTCAGACGATGTACTCGTCGCCACAGCCTGGGTTCGGGTTCGGGCTGGGGTTTGTGGATAATGATGGGCGCGGGCAAGATGTTGGGTATTCAAAGTTTGTTGAGCCGGTAATTGCGTCGCCATCCACGGCATACTCGCCCGAGGAGAAGGTGCCGCAGGCGCAGCAGATGTATTTCCCGCCGCCGCCGTCCATGTCGAATAATGGGAAGATGAGAGTGGCTGAATGAAACATCCGCCATTCCCAAACTTGTTGCGACCAGTAAACTTGGTCTCCGTATCATTGTTGACACTCGAGTCGAGTTGCTCGAGATCAGCGCATGTGATTGTGGAATCGCCATCCTGATCTTGCCAATCGTTTTTGCTTCCGCATTCCATCCTCATCCCCCTCTTCCCATCCGCCTGTTTGCTCTCTTGGTGTCCTGCCACACCATGTTATCCATGAACCACTGTTGAATAGATACCCACAACCCTCGAAGACTAATCCGTTAATACATCACCTCTTTGCATGCATATTTCAATAGTCCAGGAGTTCAAGGAACCTCAGTTCAAACATAGGCGCGAGTTGAGCAGAATGAGAGCGAGACCCCAGCAGGTAAGACGAGTTGGCACGCTCTCTTATATCCCCTTGAGTGGAGGGGGGGAGAGGACTTAGGCGCCGGCACGTTTCAGGCTACTGCACCCGCAATTGAGGGGAGAGTTATTAATAGCAAAGGATCTTGCCAGCGATGGAGTCCCTAAAAATATCAACATGATTTATTCTTAGATAGTAGGTCGTGATGTGGTGTAATTGTACCTGGTGAGAGGTGTTTGTTATTGTTCAGTTCAAGGTTACTTGTGCGGAGTTGGAGCGATAGATCTTCTCCGCCTCGGCCTCGCCTTTCTGCACAGAAGCTGCCCAAAGCTTCATCTTCAATTCAACTCTCCACTCCTCGCTTTCAGCTCTCCACCAACACAACGAGCCTTCTACCCCTCAAACGCTCAACGACAACTCAGACAACCAGAGGAAGCGACAGGCTAAACAGAAATGACAACCCCAACCCAAGATCAGATAAAAACCCTCGAACAATCTCGCCAACGCCTCGTACAACTCACCCACTCCTTGGGTTCTCTAATCACAAGTCTAAACCAATCTGATCCACTGCCATCATGGTGCGCTCGATTCCCTCAACTCATTTTGCCTTATGTTTTGTTTCGTTTGGGCGAACACGAGGACTAACAAAATCCACACAACACAGGCCCTCCCTGCAATCCCAAGCAAGCATCATCTCCTCAAACCTGCTCACGCTCTCAACACACCTCTCCGAAAACCACGAGCTACTCCGGAGCATCTCCGCATACCCCGCCCCCGAATTCCCAACGAAGACCCACGCAAACACACTCGAGCAATTGCTACGGACGAAGCTCGACCCAAGAGTCGATGACTGGGTTTCGCGCGGACGAAAGGGGGATGCGAATGCGCTTGCGAGATCGGGTAGTACCCCGTCTGGTGGCGGGGCTTCGTCGGCTATTGTTGGTGGCTTCGGGAATGGAGGTGCGGCGGGGTTGAGCGAGGGGGATCTCGCGGCCTTGTGGGAGTGGGCGCCTGTTGAGGCGAATATGGAGGCGCGGAGAAGGGATTGGGGAGGAGATTTTACGTTGGAGGAGAGGGAGAGGGGAGTTCAGGGGCTTGCAGCGGAGCTGGGGCTTAGGAGGACGTTGGAGGATGATGAGGGGAGTAGTGAGGAGGAAGAGGAAGAGGAGCCGGATGAGATGGAGGTTGTTGGTGTGCGGAAGTCGATCACTGGGAGTGGGATTGAGTTTGATATTGCGCCTTCGGGGGCAGGCGCTGAAGCTGCCGCACAAGAGAATGCCGGACCCTTGGTGCCGCTCGATGATATCTTACGGTATATGACTACGGGAGTTCTCCCGGGTCAGCGGTGATATTGGTGATTCAGAACGGAGATTTTCCCTGAAAATTAAACCGGCATTCTTTTGAAGAGTCAATGGATTAAACTAATATATAGAGAGAATAGCGGCAAGACCTTTTAACCGCGGCGGCGAGTGGTGGGCGTTCTTCCGGACGGCTTCGGGGACGGAGAAGCGCCTGTGCTCCTGGTGACGGCCGGGGTTGCTTTCGGCTCGCGCACCTGCTTCGCCTTAAATTGCTGCAGCGGCTGCTGCTTCTTCTGTTTCTTGGGCTGCACCGGACTGTTCCAGTAGTACAACATCTGGGCCGCGAGGACGAGGTTGAGTGAGAAACCGGCGAGGAACCCGTATAGGATAAGCTTATCGTCGACTTCTTGGAGGGTGGTATAAATACGGGACAAGGAGCCTGCAAGGTAGTTGAAAACCTTCAATGATAGTTAGCATACGCCCACAAGTTGAAGATCAAGTTGGCATACCGCGAAAGCACTGAGCTGTCCAGTTCCTCCTTCTTGCCAGATGGTGAGGATCTGCGGTACCTTGCTGGCCACACCTAAAGCTCCGGCGCCAGCTTGCAGGTACGCCATTGTCTGTCCGTCGACAAGAGAAGTGTCAACCAGCAGTGCGTAGATACTGGCGGCAACGACTGCAACAAAGGCAGCTGCGGCGGCCGTTCGACCAGCGTATGTCAAGACCAATACTCCAACCATAACATCTTGCGCGGCGATAAATGCAGATTCACCATAGGTGCTAAAAGGGAACTGATTGCGAACTCCGTAGGAAAGGGTGATCAAAAGGCTGGCGGTTTCCAAAGCGTAAGACACAAAGGACACACCAGCAGAGGATCGCGAACGGATCAACTTCAGAATCTGGGGAACCTTCACAATGCCACTGGCACCAACAATGCCAATACCAAGGGCTTTGGAGATCGCAAGAGACGTGCATTCAGGGTCTTGAGCAAGATCAAGGTTGACGAGAAGCGTGTTGTGGCAGCTGGAGCCAACTAGCGAAATGATGGCATCGTGGACAGGTTTCGGGAGAGCAGAGACGACAGGGCGCAGATAGGGCTGAAGGGGATCGACGAGGGTCTTTTGAATTGCGTCCATGGCAGTAGTTTTCTTATATGCACTTGCGCACGAGTTGATATATCGAGAAAGCAGGCTGATGGAGAGACTAGACGAGAGGAGGTGGTATGATTGCAGCCAGCTTGATTGGCTCGTTCCAAAAAGTTGCTGCGGTTATGGTCTCTGCCGCCCAGCCCGACGATTTTCTCCCGACGCAGTCTTGCAGGTGAACTTTCAAGATTGTCTCTGATCGACCAGGGCAGCGACCAATTCTTCGGTCTTGTGCCATCTGCTGTTATGATCATTGCCCGGTTCCCCCTGCGGAGGCTAGGGACGGCGCGAGATGCATCTCAATTGTGTTCCCAATGCCTCCGCCGCAGTCCTTCGCTTGTCCCCGCAGTCAACCGGCTCGCTTCATTCTCGCGATTGCAGTCAAGCGTTGCAGGACAATCGCCCTCGTCGCCGTTGAACAAGACATATTTTTCGACAGATAAAGGCGTCGCTAGCACGACGTCCAAGCCTGCGCTGTTCACGTCACTTTCACCCTCCAATCCTTCCAGCCCTCCGACCGTCGAACCGTCGAACCTCAGCACATCAACCACAGAAGCCGAGTCCGAGCTACCGCACCGTCGAAGGAAACGTTTAAAGGAGGCTGCAGGTCAAAATGATGGCGCCCAGCAGCTCCCGCCAGATGCCTCTGCGCAATTGTCAAAGCTCTCTGCAGCACTTCCCAAGACATCGCTACGCCGCAAGCTGGCGGCCTACTTCGCTCTCACAAAACCACGTCTATCATTCCTGATCTTACTCTCGACAACTGCTACATATGGGATGTACCCGATATCGACTTTGCTCACCCTCGACCCATCTATCTCTGACCTTCCTACCCTCTCAACGTCCACCCTCACTTTTCTCTACCTGACAACTGGCACATTCCTATCCTGCTGCAGCGCCAATACTCTGAACATGGTTTTCGAGCCGAAATATGACGCTCTGATGTCGCGAACCCGCAATAGGCCCTTAGTACGGGGGCTCGTCACTCGTCGAGCAGCTGTTGTCTTTGCCTTCGCAACGGCCGCGATAGGGCTTGGCCTACTATACCTTGGAACGAACCCCACGGTAGCGGGGCTGTCCGCCGCGAATATTGCTCTATATGCATTTGTTTACACTCCCTTGAAACGGATCCATGTGATCAACACGTGGGTGGGTGCTGTGGTCGGTGGTATTCCCCCGTTGATGGGGTGGGTTGCGGCAGCAGGTCAGACAGCAACGACGGGGCACGACACATGGCGCGACATGCTTTTCAGCGAAGATAGTATTGGAGGGTGGCTTTTAGCTGGGATTCTGTTTGCATGGCAGTTCCCCCACTTTAACGCTCTATCACACACCATCCGTGAGGAGTATAAGGGAGCTGGATACAAGATGCTATGCTGGACAAACCCCGCTCGCAATGCTCGCGTCGCCCTCCGCTATTCAGTCCTCATGTTTCCGCTCTCAATCGGTCTCTGGTGGGTAGGCGTTGTGGGTCATGGCTATCTAGTTAGCAGCACTCTCGCCAACGGTTGGCTAGTGAAAGAGGCCTACCAGTTCTGGAAGCACCAGGGTGCTAATGGGAGTGCGCGCGGCCTCTTTTGGGCTAGCATTTGGCAACTTCCCATTCTTCTTATTGGTGGCCTCGTCACAAAGAAGGGCCTCTGGGACGGTGTCTGGAGAAGCGCCTTCGGCCAACCGATTGAAGACGACGATGACGACGATTATGTATACTACGATGTGGCTTCTGGAAAGGCAGTTGAGCCCACCAGTAACCCCCGCCCGAGCGTTGTTTCATAAGGCTAGGCCGCTCGCTGGGTGTGGAAGGCTGAGCCTGGGCCATAATACTCTTCTCAGCCATGTATTAGTTTCTCTTTGGTATGGGGTGGCGTTATGCATGAGGTATATGGTGCCTTCTCGTTTTCTGATTTATACTCAATGTACATATACATGGCGAATACAAGAAATGCTAGCATCATCCATCTATTTTCCCCGGTCTCCCACCTCTTTCCGCTGTAATCTTAGCGGGTTAGATGTTATGTTAGGGCCACACTCCGTTGTATATATATGTTACCTACGCGATAGGTACGTATTGCGGATGCAAAAGTCAGAAGGGAGAAAAGGTGATTTTCTTTGAATGAGAGATATGGCATAAAGGCCGTTGTTTTAAACGAGCCTGAGGGCGAGGTAGGGCCCAGCTGTCCGTATAATGTACAGGTCGCGCTTTATAGTACAAGGGTTATTTATACAGCCGTAGTTTATTGCTCGTCAAGCAGACGAAGATGATACGTCTCCAGTGCCTCCTGACTCACCGGCCCAGGAGCCTTGACCATGGGATCTTCACCGAGCTTTCCGATCTTAGGGAACGCAATGACATCCCGCACAGACTCCTTGCCTAGCATAACAGCCACAAGTCGATCAAAGCCTAGGGCCAGACCAGCATGCGGAGGACATCCAGCGCGAAGAGCCTCAAGCAGATGCGAGAAGTCAGCGAGTCGCTCCTGCGGCATCTTGAGGACGTCGCGGAGGATGAACTCCTGCACGGCCGAATCGTGGATACGGCGACTCCCGCCGCCTAGTTCAACGCCGTTCACGACTAAGTCGTAGTGGTCAGCGACAACCTTTGTGGGGTCGGTAAGGAGGAGGTCCACGTCAGCGGCGGTCTTGGGTGCTGTGAAAGGGTGGTGTGTCGAGGATATTCCGGCTGCTCCGCCTTGACCCGGTTCTGACTCGGTGGAGGGGGAGAAGAGAGGGAAGTCAACGACCCAGAGGAACTCGAAGCCTGTTGGTGGTTCTTTGAACCCGATTTTCACCGCGGCAGAGTGGAGAGCGCGACGAAGGTCGCCTATCGGGGTCGAGCCACCTGCGAAAGGGGCGTCTTCACGGGCTTGGATTACGAGCAAGTCGCCCTGCTCAGGGTCAAGAAGGTCTTCCACGTATTCTGCAGCCTGGAAGCCAAATGGTTGGAGGCCACACAGGGGCTTCTTCGTGTCGTAAACGAAGATGCCCGGTGCACCTTGTGTATTCTCGTTGAATGGGGTGCCGGCGGGCGAGTCGAGAAAATGGGTGATGAATTCTGATGTTGCAGCTGCATCATTATCCTCGCCCTTCATCTTGAATATTTCGACAATAGGCTTTGTTAGTGGTGTGATCTTCTGGACAAGATCCACGGGGAGCAAATGCTCAATCCTATAGATCTCCATTCCATATCTGGTATCGGGTTTGTCAGAGCCATAACGCTGCATCGCTTCCTGGTATGGTAGTCTCCAAAACGGCCCCTGGGGAACATTGGTATCCATCAATTCCGCCCAGAGTTGGCGAACGAGGTTTTCAACAGTACGCATCACGTCTTCGCTTGTGGCAAACGACATCTCGAGATCGAGCTGTCAAGGATGTCAATCAGCGTGTCGTCCAAATCGGGAGAATGAAGGGCATACCTGAGTGAACTCTGGTTGTCTATCGGCACGGAGATCTTCGTCGCGGAAGCAGCGCGCAAACTGGTAATACCTAGGCATTCCGCTGGCCATGAGTATTTGCTTGTATTGTTGCGGGCTCTGCGGGAGTGCATATGCTAGTCCACGCTTCCGGGTGGGCACTAGGAATTCTCTAGCCCCCTCAGGTGTGGACTTGAATAGTAGGGGAGTTTCGATCTCTATAAAACCTGGCTGGCTCTGGTCTAGTACCGATCTGCAGATTGTGCGAGCTTCTGCTCGGAATCGGAGAGCCTCACGGAGTTCGCTGCTTGTCCGTAACTGCAGGTGCCTGTGTTTAGGGGGATGTGCCATGTCTGGCGCCATCCAAATATCACTCGGGAAGTCATTGAGAAGTTGAATATCGTCGAGGACAATCTCCCAGGGGTCTCGACGCGCCATTTCCGCACTCTTTGACTGCTTAGATTTAACTTTTCCCTTCACTACTACGGGACTGTTCGGCCGGATTGTTTTGAGGATTTCAGACGGCCCTTTACCAGCAATCGATACGAGCTGTATGCTGTGGTTCATGGTCGGGTCTTGTAACCGGACGAAGGATAGCTTCTTCGATATGTCATTTCGGACACCGAGGTAGCCATGAAGAACGATTTCTTGATCAGGCGAAGTTTCTGCTATGAGTTTACTAAAGTCGCATGTAGCAGGAGGAAATTCAACTGTTGCAACATGGCTATCAGCGGGCTGGTTTGAAGATGACGAATTGTAGAGGGGACCCATTCGGGATGCTCAGACATACCCGTCTTCTTATAATTATCTAGCAGCTGCGCAATGTCTGATGATTGTTCAGAGCCTTTAACTTGTTGGCGAAGACATGAAGCTCCGTGGAGAGCTCTAGGCGACGATGCGATGCGAACGTATGATGCTGAACTAGGAGTCAATTGACTGCGGCGAACATAGTTGAAGATCTCGAGATAGCTCGCGCGCAGGCGAGCGCCATTATGCGCAGCTCGACCCACGAACATTGTCCAAAGATCCAGCAAATGGAGAGGAGAAAAGCTGCTCAAGCTTGATGTTGTTTCGTGAAGATGCGCCTGGTCCTTGCATTGTCGATGAATATACGCGGCAGAATAGCTCCGCCCGCCCAAAGCAGACTAGCGCGGAATACACCACCATTTAAAACTGTTAAAATCCGCGGAGCTTCATTTTTCTTCATCCTTCCAAGTTTTGAACAAGTGAGTGCAACATTTTCACAACACCTTACTCTACCACGAAATCTGACAATCATACAGATGATGAAAGCCTAGTGTGTATTATTTGATCCATCTCCCCTCTTGGGGCCTGGCTGGCTCTCCTTTCGAGGCTTAAGGGCTGCTTGGTTCCGGATGGGGGGAGGATGATATCGGCGTTCGGCACACCAACCTTGTTACTTCGCGGACGCGATGAAGGCATCTCTGATACATTACATAACTTGGGGGTGTTCTCTGGTTCTTCGGCGATCATGACCCTTGAGATGCTTGGCCCAGACGGCAGCAACCATCATTCAAATGATAGGGCTCAGGATTTTTTTTGGCGTGGATCTTATATTGGCTAGTCTTTGATTATAATCTTTTATATGCTTCCATATCTTTTTCATGTCCCTTTTGTTGTCCCTATTTTTTGCGATGCTTGAGCGTGGCCTGTAAATGCCTTCGCTGGCTGCTTGGGAACAGCGTAGTGAGAATGAATCGTAGAATACAATACTTGAGCAGATTACGGCCCTGTTCCAATTAGACTTACGTTAATTCTACAATCAATCGTCCTGGGAATAAATCGAAGCTCAACTCGATGCGCTTTACGAACTTTCGGGAATGAGCTCCGCATTAAAGATTCTCCGCAAAAAAAAGTGACGGACCAGCTTCTTATCACCTGCAACATTCTTCGAGAAAACTCTCTTCCGCCGTGAAAAGGAATTGACGGGACGTTACAACCATCTCCTCGCAACTGAATCCCATACGGAGGTTCGGTCCGATGCGGCCACACCTCGTCATCCTGCCCTATGCGGCACGTCTTCGCGTTCCGGCTACCGTTCGACTCCCGCGGTCATTATGCGGCGCTCGTGGATATGTACGGACCGCAGAAAGTGTGAATTCCAATACCGTTCTTCTCAATAGCTCTCGACCTACTCTTGCGCGCAATGCCCTCGGGGCCCACCAAGAGCAGAAACGATGCGTCACGCAAGCATACTTGAAGCGAATGGCCGATGCGAAGAAAGAATGGGCAGGGTTCGCCGAAGAAATCAAGGCAGGAAAAAGGAAAAGCTTTGCACAGCACTTGGAAGAGCGTGAATTACTTCATGATGTGGTTGGGTAAGTCCATATTCTAGCTCCAGATGGGTACCCTAAAAGCGCCACTGCATTTATTGACTGTTGGTCTGGATTCGCAGGGAGCGAGACCTACTGCACCGTGTCTTTACCGAGAAAAGAGTTGGGCTCTACGCAGGCGTAGATCCCACAGCGCCGTCTTTACATGTTGGACATATGCTTCCATTTATGGTCCTCGCTTGGGGCTATGTCTGGGGTTTGCCGGTTACCTTCCTGGTTAGTCTCCTGGAGTGTGTCTTGAGTAAGGCCTGTGGCTTACACATAACAGCTCGGCGGTGCGACGTCGCGAATCGGTGACCCTACGGGACGGCTAAAGGGAAGGGAGCAAGTTCATTCCTCGGTTCGGAAAGCCAACATGGCCAGCATGCACATGCAGCTGAAAAAGCTCGGCGCAAGCATTGAAAAATATGGTGAAAGGCACGGGTACAAGTGCACTCCAGTCTGGAGACGAGCCTTAACGAATAATAATACGTGGTGGAACAAGCAACCTTTTCTAGAGGTTATGAGGGATCTAGGGGCCTATATGCGTCTTGGTCCCATGTTAGGAAGAGATACGTGAGTCGACTACGCCCTCGGAACTGTGAGGAACATATGCTCATCTCCATTAGAGTCAAGACTCGTTTAACGAAAGGGGATGGTATGTCATTCGCTGAGTTCTGCTACCCTCTCTTGCAAGCATGGGACTGGTGGGTGCTCTTTCGCAAAGGCGTTCAGGTCCAGGTTGGAGGTAGCGACCAGTATGGGAACATTCTCTTTGGGATGGACGCTGTTAAATCCATTAGCCGAAACACTGTTATGCAAGAGGAACAAAATGATTTGGAGAATGAGTTGGACAGGCCCATCGGTCTTACTACTCCGTTGCTCACAACGCCGTCCGGCGAAAAGTTCGGAAAGTCGGCTGGTAACGCTATCTGGCTGGACAAGGATATGACATCGACTTTCGAACTATATCAGGTAAGTCTAAGCATTCCGATAAAGGAACCTTGTCACTGACTCTCGTAGTTCTTCGTTCGCACTCCCGACGATGTTGTGGAGAAGTATCTCAAGATGTTTACCTTCTTGCCTCTGCCGGAAATCTCAAGAATCATGGAAGAACAAAACCAGGATCCATCAAAGCGAGTGGCCCAACACGCTCTCGCCTCGGAATTTGTTGAACTTATCCACGGCAAAGCTGAAGCCGATGCTGTGGCTATTCAGCACCGGCAGTTGTTTAGGCCACGGTCCTCGACAGCAGAGCCCACGCCCCTTCCCCGAACTCCTGGATCTGGTTCCAACCAGCCCAAAAATTACATGTCTGGCTTCGTTAACCCTCAGTCTGGAAATCCTTACGCGCCTCAAACAAACTTCTCCAACATGCCGTCAGCACGAGTGACTCTCCCGCAGTCACTTGTCTTCAACCAGCAATTCCACAAGATCATGTGGTCTGCCGGTCTCGTGTCCACCAAGAGCGAGGGCCACCGTATCATCGCCAACAAAGGTGCCTCCGTGGGAAGCCGTCCTGGTATCAGCGGATCAATGGAGGGTGGTGGGATGCCAGACGCACTGACCTTCACGCCCATCAAAACCTGGACGGCCGATAAAACACAAGAATTCATCATCAACAACGACCTCTTGATCCTAAAGCTGGGCAAGTGGAAAATGAAGATAGTGAACATTGTCACGGACGAGGAGTTCAAAAAGCTCGGTCTCACAGCCCCCGGGTGGGAGCCTGAGGCTGAGTCCACAAACTCCGGGACAACAGAACCAAAAGCTTCTAATTAAGGTATCAGGACGCTGAACGCCTCCATTGGCGTCGTTTTGCATACTTCTGATCTGTACTTGTACACTACGATAATTTTGTAAATATAGACCACATGTATCATTACCCATAAAGTTAGACCACTCTTCAAAATAACCACGATTTGGTATTATTCGCCAAATGCTTTAACTTTACAAGCCAGTGCTTTTGCAGCTGAAGAATGTTGTTTGCGATCAGGATGACTGATCATTCAGGGCGGCGGCGAGAAACCACTAAACGCGTCGACGCGTGACGCTGAGCCCTGCGGAGTCGATCTATCAATCACTCCATTGCATCTTTTCCCCCAACTCCCTCATACTCCTCCTTCGACGGCTTAAGCACCTGTTTACGCCTCTAACATCGCGCAATCGACTGTCCCTTCACTTGGAATGACGCAGTTCTGAATCGATCTGCCGATAGAACGCGATAGAGCGCGTTGTTTGAGATGGCCAGAGGACAGCCCGCCTCCTCACCACCAGCGGCGACTCCGCTCAGAAAGTCAACGTCCAGCACGCAGAATATGAAGAACCAAAAGTCAATCCTGGGATTCTTCCAGAAGTCCTCGCCGTCTACACCTTCGACACGAATTGCTGAACCCATATCTTCGCCCGCCCAGGGAGCATCTGAATCCCTCCCATCCACCGTCAAGCACGAGGCGAGGTCCGCGAAGGCCGCCTCAAAGTTCACGCAAGACCTTACACCCGTGCCAAGTAGCGACTTGGGATTGATTGATGAGGAAGATGATAAGAAGCAGGTATGGTTTCTTCCCCGACTGCGTACCCATGGGCTACAGTGACAATGGCTTCTATGCAGATTAGCCCCATTGCTCCCAAGACAACCGATTCTCCTTCACGGCGGGTATATTCCATAACCCTTATACCATTTCATCGGTTAGCCAAATACCTAATTCTTCAATCTAGGGCCTGAAGAAAGTGAACTACATGGAATCCGGCTCCGAGGGCGAAGACGACGATGAAGAGATATTCCGTCCGACTCGGAAGAACAACAGGGCTTCAAAAAGAAGGAAGGTATCACCCGATAGTGATGAAGCCTTTGAGCAGGATGCACAAGAGGCCGAATACTCTGACGACGGTGAGTGTACTCTCGCAGTTCGTTCTTCCAGCATGGTTACTGATTCCTCCAGAAATGGACGACTTTGTTGTTCCCGACGAGTCAGAGGACGAGGCGAAACCTACCAAGAAACGAAAGAAGCCAGCCAGCCAACCGAAGGGCAAGTCATCACCTTCACTCCTGCCAGCTGTCAGTGATGAGGACCGCGACTTGGAACTTCCTGACGCCTCATCGGGCTCAGCAATGAAGTGGACCTTTGATCCTGAGAACACAGAAGCTCGTCCGGCTCGAGCTAGGCCCTCTGTTTCCAAGACACCATCCAGCACATCTAAACCCAAAGCACATACCACAGAACCGGAGCAACGTTATGCGTGGCTTGCCAACATCCGGGATATTGACGGTAATCCCATTGGCCACCCTGATTACGATCCTCGCACGCTTTATATCCCTCCTCTAGCATGGTCCAAGTTTTCTCCCTTCGAGAAGCAGTACTGGGAAATCAAGCAGAAGTTCTGGGACACTATTGTATTTTTCAAGAAGGGCAAATTTTATGAGCTTTATGAAAATGACGCAACCATCGGACACCAGTTATTCGACTTGAAGCTCACTGATCGTGTGAACATGCGCATGGTGGGTGTTCCCGAGTCGAGCTTGGACCAGTGGGCAAATCAATTCGTGGCAAAAGGGTTTAAAATTGCCAGGGTTGATCAGTCTGAATCGGCTCTAGGAAAAGAGATGCGTGAAAGGGGAGGCAAGATAGCTGGAGGAAAACAGGACAAAGTCATTAAGAGAGAACTAGCATGTGTTCTCACTGCAGGTACCCTTGTTGAAGGCTCTATGCTGCAGGACGATATGTCCACCTTCTGTGTGGCTATCAAAGAGGCAATTATTGAAGATCGTCCGGCATTTGGACTCGCCTTCGTCGACACTGCAACAGGACAATTCTTCCTGTCGGAATTCGTCGACGATGCAGATATGACCAAATTTGAGACATTCGTTGCGCAAACACGGCCACAAGAACTTCTTCTCGAGAAATCGACCGTGTCTCAGAAAGCCCTACGCATATTGAAGAACAATACAGGCCCGACAACGATCTGGAACCATCTCAAGCCGGGCAAGGAGTTCTGGGAGGCTGACATCACCGTGAAAGAGCTCGATGCGAGCGAGTATTTTACTTCCAGAGACAGCGATAACCTCGACTCCTGGCCAGAGGCTCTTCGACAGGCTCGTGACAAGGAACTTGTGATGTCGGCTTTTGGCGCCATGGTACAATACCTCCGGCTTCTAAAGATCGAGCGTGATCTGATCACGATTGGCAATTTCTCGTGGTACGATCCCATCAAGAAGGCTTCTAGTCTTGTTCTGGATGGCCAAACTCTGATCAACATGGAAATCTTTGCAAACTCTTTCGATGGTAGCATCGATGGTACACTCTTCCAGCTTCTTAACCGTTGTATCACTCCGTTTGGAAAGCGGATGTTCAAGCAATGGGTATGCCACCCATTGGTCGATGCAAAGAAGATCAACGCCCGGTTGGACGCCGTGGATGCTTTGAACGCTGATCCCAGTGTCCGGGATCAGTTCTCTTCTCAGCTCACAAAGATGCCGGATCTTGAGCGCTTAATATCCCGCATCCATGCTGCAAGCTGCAGGGCTCAAGATTTCGTACGGGTGCTAGAAGGCTTTGAACAGATCGAATACACTATGAGCATTCTCAAGGATAGCGGTTCGGGTGAAGGCGTCATTGGACAGTTGATCAACTCAATGCCCGATTTGACGGAGCTCCTAGAGTACTGGAAAACTGCCTTCGACCACTCCCAAGCAAGGGAGAGCGGCCTCTTAGTACCCAAACCCGGTGTTGAGGAAGATTTCGATAAATCTCAGAACACTATCAAACAGTTGCACCAAGACCTAGAGGATCTACTGAAACGGGTCCGTAGTGAGCTAGGCTCTACTGCCATCGTCTACAGGGACAATGGCAAAGAGATCTACCAGATGGAAGTGCCGATTAAGGTGAAGAATGTCCCCAGGAGCTGGGATCAAATGTCAGCAACGAAGCAGGTCAAACGGTACTACTTCCCTGAGTTGCGCACTGCCATCCGCAGATTGCAAGAAGCCCAGGAGACCCATAGTCAAATTGTCAAGGAAGTCTCGAAACGATTCTTCGCCCGCTTCGACGAGCATTACTCCACTTGGCTTTCTGCTGTTCGGGTTGTCTCGCAGCTGGACTGCTTGATCAGCCTGGCGAAGGCGTCGTCAAATCTAGGCGAACCGAGCTGTCGCCCTGTGTTCGTTGACGATGAACGAAGTGTGCTGGAGTTCGAGGAGCTTCGACACCCTTGTCTCCTCTCCTCTGTTGACGATTTTATTCCCAATGACGTTCGACTGGGTGGTAGCGCTCCAAGCATCGATTTGCTTACTGGCGCCAACGCGGCCGGAAAGTCTACTCTCCTTCGCATGGTTCGTCCCCTAGTAACCCTACATGACCCCCTGCAGGACTAATTTAACATTTCATAGACCTGTGTTGCTGTTATCATGGCCCAAATCGGCTGCTACATGCCTTGCAGGTCCGCCCGCCTAACCCCGGTCGACCGCATTATGTCGCGCCTAGGCGCGAACGATAACATCTTTGCTGCCCAATCTACATTCTTCGTCGAGCTCTCTGAAACCAAGAAGATTCTCTCCGAAGCAACACCACGCTCCCTCGTTATCCTTGACGAACTCGGCCGCGGGACCAGTTCATACGACGGCGTCGCTGTTGCCCAGGCGGTTCTTCACCACGTCGCAACCCACATCGGCGCCCTCGGTTTCTTCGCAACGCACTATCACTCCCTCGCCGCCGAATTTGAGGGTCACCCGGAGATCGCACCTAAACGCATGAAAATCCACGTCGACGAAGCAGAGCGCCGTGTCACGTTCTTGTACAAGCTCGAGCCCGGTGTTGCCGAAGGCAGCTTTGGTATGCATTGCGCTGCTATGTGCGGAATCTCCAATACCGTCATCGAGAGGGCCGAAGTCGCTGCTAAGCAGTGGGAGCACACCAGTCGACTTACCGAGAATCTTGAGCGCCGCAAGGGCGGAGGGCTCGTTGGGCTCGGTTGGTGGAGTGATATCGCCTGGGCTCTCCGAGAGACAACCAGCAAGGAAACAGACGATGATTACGGTGCGGAACTCACAGATAGGGGCTTGGAGGTCCTTCGGAGAGCAATCGAGGCTCTGTGATGTACTCGCTATGTTTTTATTTTCCATGGTTTGTTTGGGATCTGCGTTGTGGTTCTTCTATCAAGTGTTTAATACCTTCTCTGCCATTTTCGTTTGTGTCAACTGTCAGCCTTGTCAAAGTGCTTGTGGAACAGGCTTGTGTTCGGCGTCCATGAATCGCGATTCCTGCAAAAGGTCAACCATAGAACTAGAATATACAAATTCCCCTTTCGATCCTGCATTTACTGCACCTGAGATTCGAGTGTTTACAGGACTACGATTGAGAAGAATGAGTCAAGCAAGAATAACCATTTACTAAATCCCTTTTGTTAGATCCCAATCGCCTTGAAGAGTATCCATGCTACCACCAAGATTCATCTTCACTTAAATCGTTCCAAACCCATAGAAAAAAGAAGAAAACAAAGCCTTAGACGCCACTCAAATTCCCAGAACCTCCAAAGTAACTCGAGCTTCACAATCACGCCCGCGCGAGTGGGATCAAGGAGAAGAACATGCGCATCAACCTCAACACACGAGAAGAAACCTTGCCGTGTGACTAACACGCCAACTGACCTGAGGAGAATCAGGAATTGCTCTCTTCGCTTCCCTTATCATCGTCCTCCTGCTCCTCTTGCTTCTGTTTTCCCTTTCCCTTCCCCTTTCCCTTGACGTCGACTTCCGCATCGGCTTCGTCCATGATCTCGTCCTCTCCAGCTTCGCCGTCAGCCTTGTCCTCAGTGTCCATCTTCATCAAAGTGTCTTCGTCCTCGACTTCGAGAGCAGTGCTGGCCTCCGCCTCCTTGGACCCCTTCTTAGACGGAGTGGTGTCCATATTCCTAGTACATCCATATGTTAGTCTTCTGTCAGATAGCGTTACACATGCACAATGGGTCGGGTATTAGTAAAGGGAAAGAAGACGGTAGACTCACTTGTCACCGTCTTCGTCGACGTCATCTTCCTTCTTCTTCGCAGCAGTCTTCTTCTTTGCCGGGGACTTTCGCGCGCGCTTCTTGGGAGGCGCAGAGGACGCCTCACCATCGGCGTTGATGTTTGAGCCGTCCTCACCGGCTGCTCCAGCGGCGGCAGCCTTCTTGCGTTTGGTAGGTGCTTTCTTGGGCGTCACCTCGAGTGCGGTTCCGCTTGCAGAAGGCGTATCAGTGGAGTCATCAGATCCCTGAGTTGCAACTGTAGTGGATGCGTCTGCGGCGGGTGTGGCGTTGGCCTTCATTAACTTCCTCTTCGCCTGGCCGTAGGCGCTGGTGGCAGTGGAGACATTTTTGTACGGGAACTTCTCGTAATCGATCTGTCATTTCGCAGGTCAGTATGTTCGTGATAAGGATTAGAGAAGGGACAGGCTATGCAGGAGCTAGCAAGCAAGTGATTCAACATACCTTGCCCTCGCTATTGGTGTGGATAACACCGAGGAGGATCAGCCTGGCATCATTAAGGGTGATACCCAAGATGGAGTCCTGCTTGCTCTTTTCTGCGTTTGGCATAGTTGATACTGTAGGCTGGTTGCGTGTAGAAAGTGTTGATATTCGCGAGTGAAGACTGAAGGGTGGAGGCTGAGTGTGGATGAGAAGGTTGAGTGTGAAGGACTTTAGAAGAGGTGGTTGAAAGAGAGGGAGGGAGAGAGGAAGAGAGAAGAAGGAAAGGGAGAGAGTAAAAGATGAGGGGGAGACAGGAGTTCCAAGACACGAGAGGCCGGGGGAAGTGAGGTGAAATGAAGTTGAGGGTTCACAGCAGGCGCGGGTATGCACCATTGAGCAGAATACCAGGGAATCCAGCGCTGCTCTGTCTGCATTTTCCATAAGATCTCACTTTCCCACAATGAGCCCGGGTTGACTACAGTCATCAGCATATAACAGCTACTGTAAAGTCCGCATTTTCTTCTCCGGGCGAACGCGTTCCAAGTTATCTTACATATAATGGTTTCATTATTTTCTCTTCGGGGAACGATTGCAGATCTGTTTGTAGACGTGTTCCCAAAGCTCTGGATAGAAAGTGGTTGACTCCCTCCCCGGCTTGCTTTTCTCCGTTGTGTAGAACTGGCGTAGGGTTTTCCCTCGCCACCATGGCAGGGGAGCCGGATTCTGATTCCGAAAGCTCACAGGGCGGACCTTGGACTTGTCAGGCACAAGATCCCCCAACCTGACCTGTGTCTGCCGCGGAATTGTTGTAAACTTCATAGTATTGATATACAAAGTGGCGGTTGGAGGAAGTTGCTTGGCGTATTGTAGGGCTTGCTCCCGCGATCGTCGAACGGAGACGGGGAGAGCGAGGTGAACAAAGTTGACGAAAGGAGCGGAAGTATAAGATACGAATAGCATCGGTAGCGCGCCGCCAATGATGACTTTGAGGGTTCCGTTAGTGCTGGTGCGAACCTATTTTGCGCAAGAAGAGATCCCTTACTAGCTGGCCCTACATATGATGGGAAGTCGGCCGACATGAAAGCAGGAGCGACAACCAGACAACTGACGCCAAAAAGGAAGATGGTCGTTATCCGCAGCATTCCCAAGAATATTGTGCGGCCGGTTCCTCCATGGTATATCAATATCTTCTCCGGGGGTCCTGCAAGCTATTTTAGCATGAATCCAGCATAGATTGGGCCTCGTGTGTGGAATACCTTTTCGAATGGCGGTTTTTGTGTGCGGGAAAGAGGGTAGGGAGCTTCGCGTGGCATTGATTGTGTTCTCTTTAGATTTTGGATTCGAGCTTTCTGTTTTAGCAAGTCGAGGGGCATTATGAGTCGTCTTGGTTCGGAGAAAAGCCAAGCTGTTGCAGAGCTCTCTCCGCACGGGTCGGGGAAGCGCAGACCGCAATTGCGCATGGAACAGGATTGGGACTCTCATTTCGACTGTAGTAATAGCCTGGAGCCGCCGGTATCAAGCACTGGAGGTCTCAGCAGATGCAGCAATTGCTGTTGTCGATGGCGAAGCAAGCTCAAGGCATGTCGAGTTGGAAAGTTTCCTATGATTGTCCAAACCTCCGCAGATCCCGAGTCTTGGCTGCTGACGCCCAATTGGGGTTAGCCTGTCACAGAAGACATCTTGCAGTTGCGAGAACCCGGAAGGTCCTCTTGGTCTCTCTATTTATCTATCATTCCAGTCTATCTTGTGGAGTCCTCCCTCTGTCCATACCGAAGCTGCCTGGAGCTTTTGCTAGCCACCGGGCTAGCTCATTACAGCTTTGTTTTGACGCTCTATCTGCACTCTCCAGTCGCTATGCAGTCCGCTCACCTCGGTGTATTTCGCTGGCTGCTTTCAATATGCCTCGCGATCCTCCTCGCCCTACCCCCTAGCGAAGCATATCAGGATATTTCGGAGAAAACTCTTAAGTCGCTACCGCGGGCCGGGAAAGACTTTGATATTCACGACGGCGCTATCCTCTCGCCCATTCTCATCCCCCGTGTCGCCGGTACTCCAGGGTCCACCGCCGTGCTGAACCACTTTGTCGACTTCTTCCGAACATCGCTTTCTACATGGAATATCGAATTTCAGAACTCTACATCTGTAACACCCGTGTCGAATGGGAAGGAGGTTCCATTTGTAAATTTCATCGCATCTCGGGACCCTCCGTGGGCATCCAAGGGTGATGTCGGAAGGCTTACGCTCGTGGCGCATTACGATAGTAAATATGAACCGAAAGATTTCATTGGCGCCATTGATAGTGCAGCGCCTTGCGCCATGATTATGCATGCAATGCGGAGTATTGATGACGCTTTGACAGAAAAGTGGAAGTCAATGAAAGCCAACGACCACCATTCCTCGCTAGACGACCACGTCGGAATTCAAGTCCTTTTCTTGGACGGAGAGGAAGCCTTCAAGTACTGGACTGATACTGATTCCTTGTACGGATCTCGCTCTTTGGCTCAACACTGGGATTCTGAAGTAAACCCAGCCATGTCGATCTATAAGACGCCGCTTTCTTCCATATCTTTATTTGTTCTATTGGACTTGTTGGGAGCCAAGAGTCCAACCATCATATCTTACTACCCGACTACTCATTGGGCCTACCAAAAACTGGCGAACATTGAACGTCGCCTCAGGGACCTCGGTCTGTTTAAGTCCGGGGGCCGATCTTGGTTTCCTGATAGCTCTAAAAACGAGCATCAGATTTCGACCTATCACCGGGTTGAGGATGATCACCTTCCATTCCTAAGGCGCGGTGTGGAAGTTATGCATCTTATCGACTACTCACCCATGCATGGATTCCCCAAAGTCTGGCATAAAATTGAAGACGATGGGGAGCATTTGGATATGGCCACTGTCGAAGACTGGAGTCTTCTCATTACCGGATTTGCTGCTGAATGGATGGAACTGGAAGGTTTCATCAAAGACGCAAGGGCCACAGAGGATGAATCTGCAGCTAAGAAGAAGCGCTCCGACAAAACTGAACTGTAAGCTTTACCTGATTCTATTCTACGATACCCCGTTCTCGTTCCTCGAATGTATCTACACGGCAGATTTCCCGCCCTACCTAATACACATGCTGTTCATGCTTTTGATGTGAGTCGCGCTGATTCTTTCCGGATCATAGATTATGAGGTTCGGTGCAGAGCCTTTGAAATGTAATTCTTGAGAAGTCTAAGTCTATAACATATGGCTGTGTCGTTTGCCTTCCACCAAGTCAGCTACTATCTGGAAACGCCCGTCTATCCCGGATTTCCGTGCTTATATTGAGCTGCCAATCATATAGCCACTCATTTCTGCAAATCCCCACACTGGCTGCAGCACTGAACGCAGGACTGCGGGACCTGGGCATACTCCTCGTAACCCCCAGACCGCACCAAAGACCATTGCGCCAAGCACAAATTGCCAGTCAATGTCAGCCACTGTGGTAGTGGGAAGCCTCCAAGATTCCGCGAGAGTGGGTTTCGCCGGCTTTCCTTCCTTGCGGTCTGTGCCTTGGCCGGGTTTCAAGAACAAGTATGTGATAAGTGACGGAACTACCCCAAAGAGGATGACGAGCGCTAGGGAAGGGTCGAATCGAACCGGATCGGTGAGGAACCCGAAGAACTGGAGAACTTTGGCTGAATCCGCCATGCCAGAAACAATTAGCCCGACACCGAATTCAAGACCCGCCAGGTAGGAGAAGATGGTCCTCGACTCTTCTGAACGGTTCATCACCCTAGGTATGACCAGTGTGTTTGCCAAGAACGTGATGACTGTTGCCCCCAACATGAATGCCAGTTCCGACTTCGAGGGATAGACAGGCGTATAGCAAGGAGTGCCGGCCGGGCAGGGCGGAATCTCGGATACAAAGTTGGCCGTCAGCAGAGCGGTTGTGAAGAAGATCGCCGTTGCGATCAATGAGCGCGGCGACAGACGTGAGATACCACAAAGCATATGGCCCGATGTACAGCCTCGACCGCTCTGTTACACCCGCAGCCTGTTAGATTACCAGCCTCTTTCGCGCGGGCCGATGTCTTACCTTTGTTCCCCAACCAAGCAAAAAGCCGGTGCCAACCGTCGCTAACAGCGATGTCACCGAGTTCGGCGCTGCTGGGTAGCTGGGTAACAGCGTCGGTGCGAGAAGATAAACCGGAACGACACTCGAAATTAGCCCTGCGATGATTGGGATATTGTCTCGGCTCGGGTTTAACACCGCGCCTGATAGAAGTGAGGAAATGCCAAAGACTGCGCCATTGTGAAGCAGAAGGCCGGAGGAGCTTTGCCAGAGCAGCAAAGCACCCAGCGACGTATGTACCGGAGTCAGCATTATGGACGCGGTCTATGCGACAGCAAGGGTGCAGAGGCCAAGAGCCTCCATCCGCGAAAGTCCCAACCGAAGCAGTAGGCACAGTGCTAGGAAGACATTTTCAAAGGTTTACGCTCGGGGACCAGAAATGAATCACGACTTGGTCAATATGGCGTCAACAGGATGGTCCCCGGGCCCGAACCAAAAAAACAATAGAGTTTAGCGATGGGCCCGCATGGACGTTCCCCGGGTCCTCGAAGGAAAAAGGCGTTGTCCTCGAAGCCTCTACACTACTTTGGCCGGGCGGAATCGAAACAAAGAGAAATATCAGAGATGTGCGCTCATGCTCGTAGAGAGGACAGTGCTCACTGCTTAGGGTCAGTCGTACAGCATATGCACTACTTGAGCGTTCGCGTGGTCGGGATCTGCGGTACTGGGAATAATCACCGATACAGAATCGGGTCCACATTCTTCGCTTGGGTAGAGAGAAAATCTGGGAAAGTTCATCCAAAGCTGGTTGAAGAAGCCAAATTGTTAGTTCCTGTGCTTACCTTACTTTGTATGGCTTGCCACTTAGAGGAACGAGCAACACTGCCAAGTACATATCATGAGGTAAGGTATGAGTCGTTACCTTTTAATTACGGTACTTAGTCCCAGTTTTCCCGCACTGTGTCGGGAAAGTTAGGCATGAAAAATAACAATACTGTATTGGGCCGAACATGATGCTGACCTTTCTTCAAAGTTGTCAGCTCAACTGTGAAGATGACCTGCGCGTTTTTCGAGCACATGAGCAAGTGAATCATGGGATCGAGGCTCAGTGTGTCAGTGTATCTCATTAGTTTGCTAGAGCTATTTATGGTCTGGTGGGTTCATTGGTCTGGGGTACAGTGTTTCCAGATAAACACTGGCAGCCTGAGCAAGTAACACCAGGGGTTGACCAGGGGTTGTATCCATAATCGTACCTCTTTTCAACCCAAGGTTATCATCTCCGATCGTCATGGCTCAAATAGAGCTCCCTGCAGAGCTGATCTTGCATGTCGTCGAGTGTCTAATACCCTCAACTCTTCCTGTGGTGTTCGGCCCCCAACACATCGTGACTCGCACGCTTCGCAGCTTGACCCTGGTCTGCAGGCTGGTATCCCGAACCGCCAAACACCTCTTGATTAAGCACTGTCTTTATATCGATACCAGTCAGCGACTGGACAGGTTACTGGACGTCTCTCCGTACGCCTTTGTAAGTCAGAATGGACACTGTCCGTTCCCGGCTGGGCTTTTTCTCTCCCCTTTTCCTCCTGAGAACCTCAACAAGCCCTCCATAGCACGGCAACTAGATCACCTGTCATTGGCAGTCTGCAGTGGCCTTGCACGGCTCGTTATCGATATGCCCCTCCGATATCTCTACCCCGAGGACGATCACTTACGAGTTCGCCCAATCCTCCGAGAGGCATTCAGGCGCATGGCAATGCTCGAGGAGTTTTGCTCCGTCCGAGACGAGCTCTATTTGAGCACCAAGGAAGGGATGCAGGAGCCAGCGATTTGGTCTTTCTGGCCGCGCCTGCAGCGTCTCGCGCTGTACAACGTGGCCATCGAGTCTAGCCAGTTCATCGAGGGTCTGCGCCAGTGTCTTAACCTGACTCACCTAGTCCTTGTTCGACCCGACGGCCTGGCTGATGGGGTCCCTGGGGAAGAGATTGGCTCGGAATTTCTGCCTTCGCTTCAGCGCCTTATGATCGTGAATACCGCGGAGGGATTCCTGCATAGCACACACGTCGACCAAAGGACGTGGGAGGAATCCTTTGTTGGACGACTGCATGCTTTACGGAGCAGCTCTGGCTCTGGCGATGCGGATGCTGGCGACAGCGATTCGGAATCAGGGTCGGTTGCTAGTTATCTCTCGCTACGAGTCCCGTTTGGCAGGGATGAGGAGGATATTGAAATATGTCAGGAGTGGCTGTCTGTGCAGGCCGTCAATGGTACACTGTGGGATATTTCTGATGATCAGCGAACTCTTATTTGAATGTGCGTCGGCGGCCCAGGGAATTGTTCGTTCCAGGAATTTCGGGTTGAGCGAAGCACTCTCCTCTTCGGGAAGGGGGAGACGAGATTGGCCCCTGCGACTCTGCGTGATGCGGGGGAATCCCGCCGGTCCTTCTATCCCGCCGCTAGAGACTACTCACTGCCAGCGACCACTCCGCTAGCACCCTTTGACGATTTGTGAATAGCTCTGGCTTACTCGTTGACTCATCTAGCATGTTCTCTACGGGAATCCCTCCGTGGCTATCTATTAGGCAGCATAGCTTCTCGCCATGACCGACGACTTCCGCTGATCCATCATTATGCCTGCCATCGCCCATCATTGACATTGTTCTCCAACGTGAAACTTTGCTTTTCACGAAGCGAGATCCAAGTAATCATCTCGAAAATGCCCGTCGAGTCGCTTATGGACCTAGCCTACGGGCAGCCGGACACCATCCGGTTTAAAACCAACCCGTCGAGCTTAAACGCGTCGTGGAAATGTGACATTTGCTCCTCCGGTTTCCAGCGATTGGATCACTTCAAGCGCCACACTGCAACGCGTATGTGAAATAACCTTGAAGTAGAAATTCTGCAGTCTATTCAGTATTCAAAGACCCGCTAAACTCCACCAGACAAGACGGACAGGCCCTTTATGTGCGACTTTTGCGGTTCTCTATATAAACGAGGGTCAGTACTTACCCCTGCAGATGGCTCCGCTCTGCCGATACACTAACAGCTGGTCGCATTGTAGGGACGTACTACGACGACATTGGAAATCGTGCTCCGCACGTATTCAAACCGGCCAGACCGTCCCCGAACCACGACTAGGCGGCAAAGAGAAACATGCCTGCGACGGTTGCGCGAGACTGAAGAGATCATGCTCGGGAGGACAGCCCTGCTCGGAGTGTCAGTCGCGAGGAAGAAACTGCTCATATGAACGTCTGGGAGGCACGAAGAACAATACTATAGAGTCCCCACCGCGGGAGTGGGGGTTATCCGCTGCGGGGTATGACACAGTTCCCGCTCATACTCCAGATATTGGGGCCGCTGGCGTCCAGCAATTCGGCGAGCCATCACGGTCCACTTGGGACATGGGTCCGCAAAACTTTTACGCATCTGCGGATATCATATATAGAGCGTACAGTCGACTGCCTTAGCACGTTGGGGTATATTTGGGTATGTTTGTTTGATATGCAATCTTAGCGAAATGAGCATTTAGGAGCACATTGCGAGGAGCCTCTTGGTTTGTACATGATAGATCAGCTACAGCTTGAATTTCGAACACAGGTCCACCAACTCACCCCTAAACAGGCATTTGTCCCGCTCATATCAATAGCTAGCGACTCAGCCAGCACTTTAAGCGAGAGATAGAACAATCGTCAAGGTGATTCGCAAGTCGCTTCTGCGCCAATGCGCCCAGAGAAGTGCAGCTTACCTTCCAAGTTTCCAGACCAACCGCGGCCGTGGAGTCCTCCCCCATGAGAAACGATCTGTCAAGGGCAAATCGTCTATAAATACCCGATCAGTCCCAGGCAGATCCATCTCCGAAATATCAACTACACCACCCGCCAAACTCTCGAGATCTCATAAAAATGCCTGGCATCCAGACAATTGACACCTCGCGCCACTACAACAATTGGCCCAACGACCGAGGTGTAAGTAAAACCTTACTTCCATGGGAAAACAGAACTAACCAGAACTGCCAGTTTGAGGGAAACCATGAACAAAAGGCCCCCGTGGAGCTCGCTGTGACTGGCCACATCCCGTCCTACGCCGCAGGAGTCCTATACAGGACAGGCCCAGGTCGGTACAAAGTTGACACCGAGCATGGAAACACATTCCAGGTCTCGCATTGGTTCGATGGGTTCAGCCAGACGCACCGGTTTCAGCTCGTCGCGGAGGAGCAACCTGGCGGGGGCTCGGTCATGCGTGTGTTCTACAATTCCCGCTTCTCAACTGATGATTTGATTGAAGAGGCGCGTAAGACAGGGTCCCTGGAGCGGTTTACTTTTGGTGTACAGCGGGATCCGTGTAAGGTTATGTATCAGAAGGTGCAGAGCACGTTTGAGAAGGAGAAGGAAGGGGATACGAAGAGAGAGGAAAAAGAGCAGGAGGGCGACGAAGATAAAGCCACTTTTCACAACATCGGGGTGACACTCTCAGTCAACATGCCCGGTCTGACTCCAAGTACCTCGACATCTACCTTGACGAATGGAGAGAAGAAAGGCTCTCGATACAAAGAAATAACCACCCTATACGCCAAAACCGACAACTCCCGCTACAAGAAGATTGACCCGGAAACCCTTGAGCCCCTCGGAATCGCCAACCAGACCGCTCTTCACCAAGACCTAAACGGACCCCTCTCGGCCTCGCACGCCAAGTCGGACCCGGTCACGGGCGACATGTACAACTACAACTTCTCATTCGCCCCCAAGCCCACCTACCGTGTCTTTCGTGTCTCGGCGGAAACAGGCGAAACGACTATCCTCGCTTCTTTCCCTGGCAGACCGACCTACATGCACTCTTTCTTCCTTTCGGCCGACTATGTCATCATTTGCACGTGGAACGCGCACTTATCACCCGAGGGCTTCGCAAAGGGCTCGTACATGGGAGCGCTTAAGGACTTTGACCCTTCGCTTCCGGCGAAATGGTACGTCGTGGACCGGAAACAGGGTCGTGGTTTAGTTGCTACGTATGAGAGCGATGCGTTCTTCTGCTTCCATACCATCAATGCGTGGGAGGAGCAGAGCACCAGTGATCCCACGAAAACAGATGTTATTGCCGAGTGCGTCTCCTTTGAGAACACAGACCCCATGAAGAAGCTCTACTACGAGCTCCTTCTCTCCTCATCGACCGACCCAGAAGCTCGTCCATCCGCCAATGCCAGGAACAATGGCGGGAAAATACAGTCAAAGATCTCACGTTTTCGGCTTCCGGCCATTCCCTCCACCAACTCCGATTCTGACTTTGGTTCAGCCCTAAGAGCACCCCTCATCTCAACAACCCTCCAGACCCTCTCCCCCGAACTCCCAACCCTAAATCCCAGCTATGTAACCCGGCCCCATCGGTACACCTACGCGGTTATTGACCGCGGCCTCTCAACCTTCTTTGATGGAATCATGAAATTCGACTCCATCTCCCAGGAAACGCTCATCTGGTCCGCGCACGCGCAGTCTCCAGGTGAGCCAATCTTCGTTCCGGATCCGCAAGGCGAGCGGGAGGATGATGGCGTGCTGCTCAGTGTTGTGCTTGATGGCTTGATTGGGAATAGTTACTTGCTTGTACTTGATGCGAAGACGCTGAGTCAGGTTGGCAGGGCGAGTGTCGAAGGAGTTGTGGCATTTGGCTTCCATGGGGTGCATGTGCCGAGAGAGGTTGGGGTCTCGACGGGGGACTTTTAGTTCTGTTGCTGCTGCCCTTATTCGTGGTGTAGGAATTGAGGAGCGGAGGTTGCTAGGTTATGCCGAGGTTGTTCCAGATTGTGTCGATGTATGTATCTCCCGGTAAGCGCGGGCATTGTTCGATATGAGTAATTCAGAAAGCATGATATGCCCATGGTACCTTCCTCACACGAATAGCCTACCGTTAAGGAAGCCATGGCCCTCACCCTTCTCGCAGGCTAAAGAACGATTGGCCCAATGCACCTGCCCCAGAAGATGCAGCGCACAAGACAAGGAAAGAGCCCCTTGGGTTGTTCCTTCCCTCTATAATTATCATCGAGTGAGGCAAGAGCGACCGCCGCCGGCCCTTCCTACTCTGTTTGAGGAAAGCTCATCCTTGTGTTGGGAAAGCGGGTATCCTTTTCGGTCTTGCTATCCGTATCCACAATTCCTGAGGACCGCTTTTGTGGACTTATATATAGACTCATAGCACGATTATGGAAGTCCAGGTATATCTCCTTTTTGCTTATTGCTTGCTATCCCACTGGATAAGTATCTCCTCCCCCTTAACCCTCGAATTGAACCACTCTGCGATCTCAATCCTATCCCCAATAGCCCTAGCTCCCGCCAGCAAATCCGCCGTTGCAACAGCCAGTATCGCCAAGGTAACCTCCATGGTCCCTAAATTCTGCGCAATGCATGCCCTCGTCCCCTTCCCGAATGCGAAGAAGTTGTTCAGCATCTCATCCGTAGGGTTCAGCCACCGCTCGGGCCTGAATTCTTGCGGGTCAGCGAAGACGGACTCGTCCTGGTGTAGCTGGAATGCGGCAACGCCGACGCTTGTGCCGGGTGGGAAGAAGTATGATCTGTACTGCCAGCCGTGTGCGGGGACGGAGCGCGGGAGACGGATGGGATTTGCCCAGGAGAGGCGCAGGCCTTCGCGGACTACGCCGCGGAGGTAAGGATCTGTGATTGGGGAGAGATTGGAGGCTTTAGTAGCTTCGAGGGAAGCGCGGAGCCGGTTATAACTGAACTCGCCTTGGGTCAGTGCTCTCTGAGAAGATTGAGATGGGGCTCGGGAGGAAGCACAGACATTTGAGGGTATTTGGCCAAATACCACATGATCATGGCAGTGTTCATGCCCGTTGAATCTGTGCCCGCGAAGCAGACATCTTTTACCTCAATCTGCGACTGAGATTCTGACACCCGTTCGAGCAATCGACTCTGGTAGCTGCCACTCTTGGGGGCAGAGCTCTTCACCAACCGGCGGGTGTACTCGTCTATGGCGATAAATGACTTGGCCGTCTCCGACCCTTGAGTAAGATGCTCAGCGAGACCTACCAGGTATTCGCCTAGTCTACCGCAAGTGAAGTTGAAAAAGGCGCCAACCCCGACATACGCATCGACAAACGGCGACGCAGACATGACATTCACCTTCTCATCTAAAGCGCCATATCTTTCCTGGAACAAGTACAGCGTCACAGCATCAATCGCCAAAGCTCGTGCGATCTGAAGCACGTTCACTGGCTGGCCGGATTTTGCATCGCGGCGGATTCGCTCGACGAAATCACTGACCACACCGTTCAATGCATCCTGGGAGTCGCGGATCGACGCGGTCGAGAACAACGGTGCCACTGCCTTCGCGCGGTTTGCCCGCTCGGGTAGGGTTAGGGTTGAGAATATCGTCGTGTGGCCTTCAATGTCGAACTTTGAGTAAACAGAGGTCTTGGGGAAGCCGCCACGACTTAGGTATATTGGTTCAATCGCGTCTCCGCTGGCAATATCAATGTCGTTGGGGGCAACGCGGAGCACAGACCCGTATTTCTTGTGCAACCCGAATATCACAGTGCATTCGTCTCCGATGTAGGTGTGGTAGGCGAGCCAGAGGGAGGTGCACGCGGCAAGCTTTGGTCCGGGGACTCTTGAGAGAGGGTGGAAATACAGTCGGTAGAGACATCGGGAGAGAAGGCCTCCAAGCAGGAGAGCGATCAAAGTTGCGAGTGCCATTTGTTGGAAGCAGGATGCGGGGATCAGCGCCTGCACAGCCAGCGGTAGGAATCCCTCTGTGCTGACCACATGTATGATCAGAGACGATTTCCGCTACTTATGAAATGAAGAGACATTAGTATGAGTCATTGGCAGCACTCCTTGCTTACAATTTTCTTCTCAGGCGGTGGGGTGAGGTTTAAATGTCGGAAATGGCTTGCAATGTGTCATCGGAGGATCACATCGGCCGAGCTCTGCAGCGAAGCTGACGTGGTTGAAGAAGCCGAATGCAATAGATAAACTCTGATCGCCAATGATGCATTGGCTATAAGAGGCAATCTCCAACGACTAACTGCAGAGGGTAATAAATTCCTCAGATCTCAGACATCTCGTTCCTTATCAGTGTGCAATTGGAGACACTGATAAGCTCTCTCGAGCGTGGTCAGGTCAAGATGGTAGATAATGGTATCGTTTCCGTGATGCTTCAGTGAGGAAGAGAAGAGGATAAAATTTGATGTCGAAATGGATGTTCCAGCAGCGAGAAACCCCCCTTCCGAAGAGGACGCCTTTGCGCCGGGTGTCAACGAGGATATTGCGCTTGAGAACCTGGGCTATAGGCAAGAACTCCAGAGGACATTCAGTCTTTTGGACATGATCGGCTTTAGCTTTAGCATTGTTACATGGTGAGTTTTAATGAAAGGCCATGGCCTTTGCTCCAACTAACAACTTCCCAGTTGGACAGCCCTCAGCGGAGGGTTCATTATCGGAGTCACTGCTGGAGGACCTCCAGTCATGATATTCGGCTGGATCGGTGTGTGTGTTTTGACTCTTACTGTCGCCTTTTCGATGGCGGAAATGTGCTCACGGTGGCCTGTCGCTGGGGGCCAGTACTCCTGGGTCGCTCTCCTGGCGCCTCCAAAAGTGTCGCGAGAACTGTCCTACATCACTGGATGGTTCATGCTCACAGGTGGATATTCTCGCCCTTTATACATATACTCCAGCTGACACCACAGAGGTCTTCTTGCGATGGGTGCGGTCAACAACTCCTTTGCAGCCAACTTCCTCCTCGGCCAGGCAAACCTGGTCTTTCCTAGCTTCACGATTGAGCGCTGGCACACAGTTTTGGTTACTTATGCAGTGGTCGCCTGGTCCCTGACCATCAACGTCTTCGCACCGCATCTACTGAACCGTCTGTCCCGGGGAATCCTCATCTGGAATATCTGCTCCTTCATGATCATCACCGTGACCCTCCTCGCCACGAACTCAAACAAACAAGCCCCTTCGTTCGTCTTCCAAGATTTCCAGAACTTCACCGGCTTTGGCCAGGCAATGGCCACGATCATCGGCATCCTTCAGAGCTTCTTTGGGATGTGCTGTTACGATGCTCCAAGCCATATGACAGAAGAGATGAAACATCCATCTCGAGATGCCCCCATAGCCATGGTACTCTCTGTGGGGATGGGATCTGTGACTGGATTCGTCTTCTTATTGACATTGTGCTTCTGTATTGGCGATATCGACAACACCGCTGCGTCAAGCACGGGTGTTCCAGTTATTCAGATCTTCTATGACTCTACGAATAGCAAGGTCGGCGCGTGTTTTATGGCAAGTATGATAACGGTCATCAACCTTGTCTGCGCAGTGAGTTTACTCGCTGAGGGCTCTAGATCTCTCTTCGCCTTTGCGCGGGACAACGGGCTACCCTTCTCCAAAGTCTTGTCCAAAGTAACAAGCAAAAGTCACATCCCTCTCAACGCGATCTTCGCTACAGTTCTTGTCCAGATGGCATTCAACTCTATATACTTTGGTACAATAACAGGTTTCAATACTATTCTCTCGATAGCCACTACCGGATTTTGTACGTATACCACTCAAACCCCCTACTTCCCTTCTCACATCCTAATCAATGTCTCTAACATATTGAAAAGATATATCCTATGCCTTTCCCCTCTTATCACGCCTCCTCGGCTATATCACCAATCATCGCACGACCGCATTCACCGGCTCCTTCGCACTCGCCCTCCCTCTATCTTTAGCCCTAAATGCGCTGGGCCTCTTATTCCTCCTTTTCGCATTCGTGACCTTCAATTTTCCTTCTCTGGCACCGGTTGATGATGAGAATATGAATTATACTAGTGCGGCAATTGGAGTTATTGCGCTCGTGGGAATCGGCACATGGGTTGTGTCAGCGCGGAAGAGGTTCACGGGGCCGGTTGATATGGTGCATGGCGTTGGGCGGTCGACTGAGGGTGAGCCGAGCGCGTATGGGGACGGGGCTGCTGTTGGGTGTGATGGGAAGCCTCAGGGGTGAGAAAGGAATGTTAGGGTTCACGGTTGCTACATGTGCCATTTATGGAAATGGTAGTTGCTGTTCTCTAAGATTTTGTATAGTTATAGGTGCAAAGGTAAGAATGTATGTAGACCCTGCAAGCCGGCTATATCTCAAGTCTTGTCCGGTGGGACAGACCAGTATATCTAGTTTGGCTGTTCTAGCTAATCACGACTCGGGGAGCAACCATGCAGGATCGGGCTCATCATCGTCATCTTCTTGTTCTTCTTCCGATTTCGAAGCTGCTTCGTGGGACTGGCCCCGCACGTCTCTCAACAGGTCAGCTGGTGGCTCCGAATCATCGACACCAAGAGGATCGGAATGTGTATTATGATCCGTGTCTTTGTGATCATCGTCAAGTTTCCGTTCCTGAGATGGCCAAATATCGTCCTCCGGCACTTTAAAGACGCCCAGGAGCAAATCTCGGGCCTCGCGAAGCGCCCCCAGCTCTGCCGAGATGCAACAGACGAGAAGCTTCCAATCCCGCTCCTCTGCATAGTCCAAATGCTGTTCTACAAGGTCTGTCGTCCGCGAGAGATCCTCCATAATACCTCGGACCATGTCACCATCACCATTGCTGCCTGAAGACCTGTCCATTTGCAGAAGTTGAGAGTGAGACTGGATTGATTGGCGCATTATCGCCTTCAGACGCTTTTCAAACCCTGAGATGTCATTTATAACAGCCTTCCACAACCCGCCACCTTCATCAAGCGCTTCGATTTCCGCAGTAACCTGCTGCTGCCTCTGTTGCAACTCGGATTGCTCCCGTTTCCAGTGTTCTTCTGCCATCTCAAGTGTGCGTCGGCTGGATTTTAGAGAGTAGAAGTTTTCGCCACCCGTGCTCTTTGCCGACGGCTTCACAGGTGGGTTCCTAAGAAATCGTCGAATGTCCGAGTCCAAAAGCGACAAAGACTCCTTGTATGAAGACAATTTGGATTCGACGGTGTTCTCAATCTGAGAAAGCTCTCGGACAACATGTTGATGTCTTGCCCTCATTTGCGACAGCTTGTTTTCCATCTCGTGTATCTCCGTCTCGAGCTTGAAACTTTCGTCCTTCAGCTCCTTCGACCGGTGAGATTCTCTATTGTCATTGATGGCGGCGATAGAACTTTCCAACCCAGTTCGTTTGGAATTAAACGTTTCAATCTCGTGCAACCCAAGCTCCCGTTCCTCCAATCGGAGACTAAGTAACTCTTGTTCCTCTTCGCGGAGCTTCAGCAGGTCATACATGGACGTAAAAATTCCTTCCCTTGCGGCGCGTAGTCCTATCTTCTTAGCCGGCGGCTGACGGATAGGTACCGTTGAAGCGCCTCGAAACTTTGGGGGTTCCACGAAAGAGACATGGCTCTGGTTGATAGCACTTCCTTCATGTTGTTGGCCGCCCAAGCCAGCTAGAAGCCCTTCACTTTGGGCGTCTATGAGCCGCTGTAGATTACGCTGAATATGCTTTGCCTGTCGCTCAATATGAATCATAGGGTCCTGGTGGTATCGAGAGGCTCTAAGAGGTAATGGCACTAGAGTCTGATTCATGTTCTGGGGGAGAATTGTCGACATTATGCAGTAAATAATGCAGTTTCGAGGGGACCAACAGCGAAGAAAAGGCTCTAAAGAAACAAGGCGCCCACAGCACGCTTGTCTAGAAGTAAGAGGTGGTGAGAACAATCAAAGAAGTGCACATTCTAAAGACAAGGTTGCTATCGTTGTCCTCATATTTAAAGGGTCCTTTGAAAGCAGCTCACATGCGGCTGTCCATCACGCGGCAGTGGTGTCATCACGTGATAGCTCTAGGGCCGGCTGCAGGAACCACGGGAACCCTTTCCGACAGCTTCCATCAGCCTAGAGTCCGTTGACGTGTGCTCTCATCTTGCTCTTCACATCTCCTTCTTCTTGTACTTTCAAAAATTTTTCCGTCCTTGATCCTTGTACTACTTGCTCTTCATTCTGTAACTACTCGGAGTCTGATTGCTTCCCCTTTCCGGCCTCCGAAGTCGTCCGCGTGAAGCTCCGTCAAAGCTGTCGCCTCCTACCCAGCAATAACATCATCCTTCCTTCAGCCCGGTGGTGCTCGATAAACATGGTTGGGCTTGCTTCAGCAGCAGGTCTGGTTGGCTTTCTCTCCGAGCCTGACCCAGAGCTGAGAGTGTTCGCTTTGAAGACGTTAGATTCTCAGATCGACCTGCTCTGGACAGAGGTCGTCGATTCCATTCCGCAAATGTTTGTCTCACCCGCCGTCCCTTATTGAATCTCTCAGCTCGCCTGAAATGTTGAGTATGCTGACACTCATTGCTCAGAGAGGCGCTCTACGAAGATGAAACCTTCGCCGAGCGCGGCCTCGCCGCTCTAGTCGCCGCCAAGGTCTACTACCACCTTCAAGAATACAACGAGAGTATGGTGTTTGCTCTAGGTGCTGGCAAGCTTTTCAACCTAGACAACGGCGGTGAATTCGAGGAGACTATCATTGGTATGCGCTTTGCATTGTATTTTGGCAAATTGGGTCTAGCTCATACAGTGTCTTTCTTCTAGCCAAATGCGTCGATACATTCATTACGCTATCCGCCTCCCAACGGCCTGTTGGCGGCGATCAACCCGCCAACCTGAACACCGCGTTCCCCATCACCGTTGAAGGCGCCACCAGCACCTCTGCCAGCCTCACGTCGCCGATCACTCCATTCTCACAATCTGCCCTGCCATCAAAGTCATTACTATCCAGGCAGGAAGGACCTGGAGCGGACGGCGCTATCCCCGAAGATACTGGCGTCAAGGATGTCGAAATTCCTCTTGTTCTCAAGCGAGGAGTTCAAGGCCAGTTGCAATCCGTCATTGAGCGTTTGTTTGAGCAGTGTTTTGTCCAGAAGCGCTATCGCCAAGTCATTGGTATCGCAATTGAAGCCAAGAACCTGGATGTGCTTCGCCGGGCTATCATTCGCGCTAGCGCGGACGAGAACAAGCAGAATGGCGAGTCCCGCCGAAGCGAGGAGTTGATGGAATACGTGCTGGACATTTGCATGGGCATCGTTCAAGAGCGAGGTTTCCGCAATGAGGTATTATTCATTTCTTGGTATTTGCGAATTCAAGCTAACATTGTTTCAAGATTCTGAAACTCATTCTCGATCTGCTTAACGAAATCCCCGCCCCCGATTACTTCTCAATTGCCAAGTGTGTCGTATACCTTAATGAACACTCCATGGCTTCCGTTATCCTTCGCCAGTTGGTAGAAAAGGGCGATGCACGTTCGCTGGCTGTTGCCTATCAGATTTCTTTCGATCTCTACGACAACAGTACCCAGGAGTTCCTCCAGAAAGTTCATCAGGAGATTGCTGAACTTGTTCCGGAACAGAAGGAAGATTTGCCAGCGAAAGATGACCAGGAGGAGCCAAAGGAGACCGATACGTTGCTGGAGGGCCAATCTTCATCTATTGGCGGCAATGACGAATCTAAACTGACGCCTGAGGCGCGGACGGCATTCAAGAATATCCTGGATATCCTTGATGGCCTGAAGACAATTCAGCTGAACATGGAATTCCTGCACCGAAATAACAGGGTGGATATAGCCGTCCTTAACAAGGTTCGGGACAGTTTGGAGCCTCGCAACTCAATCTTCCACACTGCAGTAACCATCTCAAATGCTTTCATGCATGCCGGAACAGCGCATGATAAGTTCTTCCGCGACAATCTAGAGTGGCTTGGCAAAGCAGTCAACTGGTCCAAGTTTACTGCTACGGCTGCACTAGGTGTCATTCACCGTGGCAATTTGAGCCAGGGACAGAAACTTCTACAACCATATCTTCCCAAGGACAACATTGCAGGTGTTAGCGGTGCTGGGTCTGTTTACAGCGGGGGTGGTTCTCTGTACGCGCTCGGTTTGATTTATGCCAACCACGGCGGAATGGCTATCGACTATATACGTGACCAGTTCAAGAAGGCGACCGAAGAGGTTGTTCAACACGGTGGTGCCTTGGGTCTTGGCGTTGCAGGCATGGCCACTGGGGATGAGGGTATCTACGAAGATCTCCGGAATGTTCTTTACACAGACTCTGCTCTCAACGGTGAAGCCGTCGGTCTTGCCATGGGTTTAGTCATGCTTGGTACTGGCAACATGAAGGTGCTCGAAGACATGATTCAGTATGCTCATGATACACAACACGAGAAGATCGTTCGTGGTCTTGCCATGGGCATGGCTCTGATCATGTATGGTCGTCAGGAAGCCGCAGATGAGCTAATCAACGGTCTTTTGGGTGACCCCGATCCAACTCTACGCTATGGTGGTATTATGACCATTGCTCTCGCCTACTGTGGTACCAGCAGCAACAAGGCCGTTCGCAAGCTTCTCCACGTGGCTGTTAGCGATGTCAACGATGACGTCCGCCGAATTGCTGTTCTGAGCTTGGGTTTCATCCTCTTCAGAAAGCATCAGAGCGTACCCCGGATGGTGGAGTTGCTCTCTGAATCCTACAATCCTCACGTTCGATATGGTGCGGCAATGGCTCTTGGTATCTCATGCGCAGGTACTGGCCTTGACGAAGCCATTGATCTCCTTGAGCCGATGCTCAAGGACTCTACCGACTTCGTACGCCAGGGAGCCCTGATTGCTTTGGCCATGGTTTTGGTGCAGCAGAACGAGGCTATGAACCCTCGCGTCAGCACACTACGCAAGACCATGCTAAAGATGGTTGGTGACAGGCACGAGGATGCAATGGCCAAGTTTGGCTGTGCTGTCGCTCTTGGTATAATTGACGCCGGCGGTCGCAATTGTACCATCAGCCTGCAAACTCAGACAGGCAACCTCAACATGCCTGGTATCGTGGGTGCTGCAGTATTCACTCAGTACTGGTACTGGTTCCCTCTTACCCATTTTCTTTCGCTGAGCTTCGCCCCTACCTCGGTCATCGGTGTTGACCAGAAACTCGAAGTCCCATACTTCAAGTTTCACAGCAACACCAGACCTAGTCTCTTTGACTACCCTCCTGAGCAACAAGTCAAAGCCGAGGAAGCGCCGGAGAAGGTGAAGACTGCGGTTCTCTCAACCACTGCACAGGCCAAACGACGAGCACAGCGCCGTGAGAAGCAGGCAAGACGAGGAAGCATGGAGATCGACCAAACCCCTACCACTCCTAAGGTTTCGGATCAAATCCCAGACAAGATGGAGACTGATGAAGGAGCGACTAAGGGCGAGGAAGGGGCAAGGGAAGGCGAGAAGGAGGCCGTTGAGGGTCAGAAGAAGAAGGTTGAGCGCGAGAAGGTTGGCTATGAGCTAGACAACATGTCAAGAGTTCTTCCGGCTCAGTTAAAGTACCTCACATTCCCGGACCCACGGTACGAGCCGGTTAAACGAGTATGTGTCTTAGCCCCATTGTGTTATAAACATACTAATTCATTGATACAGCCCACCGGCGGTGTTGTTGTCGTGCTCGACAACAAGCCAGAAGAACCCCGCGAGACTATCGAGCTCAAGGCCAGCAAGGAAACACGGCAACCTGTTGCCCCCCCAGAAAACCTGCAGGAGCGCATACAAGCAGCTATCAGCGGTGCTGGTCTACAGACACCCCCTCGTTCTACCGGTTTCGCCGAGTCCACCGCAACGTCGGGGGCTACTGCTGCGGCAGGAGTACTGACCGCAGTAGATGAGGATGAGGATGGAGAAGAAGCGCCTGTTCCCGAAGAGTTCGAGTACCACAGTGATGAAGAGGGCGACTACTGAGCATTGCAGAGGATGTGCTGCATCGGAGCGGGCTGTATTACTAGATTAATATAAATCTATGTCTCGAGCGAGGGCGGTACTTAGATACTGCATAACATCTTGGAATGTGAATCATGTCTTCTAGTCGCCTGTTTCCAACCAGTCTTCAATCACATGGTAGCGAGCCAATCGGGCAATCTCCAATTCGGAGCGCATGTACTAATGACTATCGACTGAGTTGTTCCGGCGGTAACTCATCGACTGGGGGATACCGATCAGGTTCAGCAAGCCCGATCTTCAGGGTTTCGGAGGACCTAGCCCTCAACTGGTAGGTGATGCGATATGAGCTCATTCAACTCAGCACTGGGAGAGAGCATCGGCGTATGATCAAACCGAATAAGGCAAATACGTTCACATGTCTGAAGCTGGGAGGATCAGGGTCGACGACGACTCATTGAGATCATAATGTCACGTGTAGAATACGTGCCTCGGTATCTTCCTCTTCAGGTTAGTGGCTGTGACGTCTGAGAAGATGATCTAGTCCAATCAGAAATAAGAGAATTCAGCTGTGTCGGTGCGCCTCGGACAGCTGATTATCAGGAAAAGTGCCGGCGCTGACCATGTATGGAAAAGAAACCGCTGGCTGAATGCAGGGATCAGAAAGGGAAAGTCACAGTGCCATCACTGTGGTCGCCAGCAGCCCAACATGTGAAGAACTGCCGGTATCAGTGCCTTGCGCATCATAATCCGCCGAGGAAGCTCGCCGAACAATCTGCGCATGCAAGTCTGACGACCTCTTTTAGGCGCTTTGTCCGAGATCAAATATCCACCTTTGGTTCTGGCATTCAATCGAACTCCGTGGGCGGACCATTCTTGTTGCTACCCTGGTCGCTCCTATATCAAACCACCTCTTCCCTCTCTCCCAACTTTTTCCTACCCCAGATTGTTCTTCCCCATACCTACCTAGCTGTGTGCCCCCACACCCTTTGTTTGCTTAAGAACCTCTCTCCGTCATCATGGCAAAGACATTCACGAAGGACGACGTGGCGTCGCACAACAAGCCCGATAATCTTTGGATCATCGTTGACGATGATGTGTACGACTTGACCAAGTTCCAGGACGAGCACCCAGGTATGTAATCTCCAGCGCGACAATTTGAAACCTGTGTTTGCATGTGATACTGACGTCGATGCGCGAATAGGTGGGAAGAAAAGTAAGCTTGTGACGCCCGATACGCGCCCGAACTGCGGATACTGACTTGTGACCTCTCTCTAGTCCTCACACGGGTCGCTGGAAAGGACGCCTCAAAACAATTCTGGAAATACCACAATGAAGGAATCTTGAAGAAGTACCAGTCCAAATTGCAGGTTGGATCGCTGAACACCAAGAAGGCGGTGGAAGCACCCGCTTCCGCGCCCAAGACGGAAGCCGCGAAGCCTCAAACAGCTGCAGTTGTTGATGTCGCCGCCGCAAAGTCCGCGGAGCCTCAGGAGCCGTACGGCGACTTGATCCCGTTCGCGGATCCATCCTGGTACCAGGGCGTAAGTTTTCTATCTGATCTGCAACGTAACAAGCTTCAGTTGCTGATTGCACATAGTACCACTCTCCCTACTTCAACCAGACCCATGCCGCTCTCCGCGATGAAGCCCGGAAATGGGTTGAGACCGAGATCGAACCATACGTGACCGAGTGGGATGAAGCCAAGGAGGTTCCTGACCGTATCTATAAGCAGATGGGTGAGCGTGGATATCTCGCAGGTCTGCTCGGAGTCAAGTACCCCGTCCAGCACACCCCGCACAGGGTTCAGTCCGTCGCACCCGAGAACTGGGATCTCTTCCACGAAATGCTCCTTACCGATGAGCTCTCCCGTGCCGGCAGTGGTGGTCTTGTCTGGAACTTGATTGGCGGCTTCGGAATCGGTTGTCCTCCCTTGGTGAAATATGGCAAGAAGCCACTTGTGGATCGTATCCTTCCTGGCATCCTGGCCGGCGACAAGCGCATCTGTCTTGCCATTACGGAGCCTGATGCCGGCAGTGATGTCGCCAACCTGACCTGCGAGGCCAAGCTGTCCGAGGATGGCAAGCATTACATTGTCAACGGCGAGAAGAAGTGGATCACCAACGGTGTCTGGTCTGACTACTTCACCACTGCTGTCCGTACCGGCGGGCCCGGCATGAACGGCATCAGTGTGCTGCTCATCGAGAGAGAGGCTGGCGGTGTCCAGACAAGACGCATGGATTGCCAGGGTGTCTGGAGCAGCGGTACCACATACGTGACCTTTGAGGATGTCAAGGTTCCCGTGGAGAACCTCATCGGCAAGGAGAACCAGGGTTTCAAGGGTAAGTGAACGTTTCGCTTCTTATAAGTCGGTCTCGAACTCAATCTAATACTTGTACTCAGTGATCATGACCAACTTCAACCACGAGCGAATTGGTATCATCATCCAATGTCTCCGCTTCTCCCGCGTTTGCTACGAGGAATCCATGAAATACGCCCACAAGCGCAAGACTTTCGGCCAGAAGCTTGTCAACCACCCCGTCATCCGCATGAAGCTTGCTCACATGGCCCGACAAATTGAAGCCAGCTACAACTGGCTCGAGAACATCATTTTCCAATGCCAGTCGATGGAAGAGACCGAGGCAATGCTCAAGCTTGGAGGTGCCATTGCCAGCTTGAAAGCCCAGTCGACCACTACTTTCGAATACTGCGCTCGCGAGGCCAGTCAGATCTTCGGTGGATTGAGTTACAGCCGCGGTGGGCAAGGCGGCAAGGTCGAGAGACTGTACCGTGACGTCCGCGCGTATGCCATCCCCGGAGGAAGTGAGGAGATTATGCTAGATCTCAGCATGCGTCAGAGTCTTCGTGTTCATCAAATGTTTGGCATGAAGCTATAAGGTTACAAAACTACATTTTCGTTTCTTGGATATTCTTCTTTGTTACTTGGGTTTCTCTTGGTATAGAGCCTATCTTGTTCTTGAGTGTATACTGTACTATATTTTGGGAATACAATACACTGGAGTTCATAGGAAGGGAGTATATGCACGGTCTCCCTGGCGTGTCATCGTATGGGTAGCGCAATAACCGATATCTATGTGGTGAAGACTGAGTTTATCACCAAACATATATAGTTGTAAGTTTCGAGCTGGTTGGGCTAGATGCCAACGTTGAGAAGTCCACTAGACTTGACAATATTCTAGTTCTCTATATTCGAGTTCTCTCGGAAATGAACGGTACTCAGTACTAATGATCCCAAATTTTTGATCTGAAGCCCAAGAGATTGCAAAAATATCTTTTGAGAAAGTTGGTAAGGATGAAAGATCGGAGTGCACTACGGTGGCGCGTTAATACCAAAAACGCAATGGTCCTGCCTTGACAATGAAACTCGCCTTCTGAAAGCCTTCGACTCCCAAGTGCCACACATTCCCCTCTCTTTTCAGCGGCTACTTGATATTTTGATTGCTGCTCGTTGGGAGTGGTCATCTTCATTCTTCTTCTGGGTCTCACTTTCATTTGACCTTCCCTCGCAGCTCCCGATACCTCGTCGGTGTTGCGGACTCGGCGCGCACCGAACAGGGAATCGTCCTACTATCCTGAAGGCTCTGCGACAACACCGACTACTAATTATTCACTGATCGGTCGCAATATATCTCTCCTATCTACCTAGCCTACCTTTGAACTACACTCACCGCTTTAACGCTCTCCCGTAAATACCACGTCGTTGCCCTCCACTTTCGCCTTCGAACCTGCACCTGCCGCCAACTTCTTTCTCACGTAAACTCCTCTCGCCGGAATGTCTCGCAACTTGATAGATCAGGACTTTGGGTCCGACGAGGAGGATGATGATTTCAATCCCGCGCCTGCAGAGGAATCAGACAATGAAGAGGTAGATCGGGGCCAGGTGTGTATTTCTTGGGATAATGGATAATTATGAGGGCACTGGGCTGACGAGACGGTATCAAGGCTGGGCACCGTGGACGTGACGATAATGCCCGAAACAGGGATGACGATGAGGATAGAGAGAATGAGGCTGGCGGAGACGAAGATGAGGAGGATGACGATGACCGCGGAGAGGACGACGATGAGGAGGAGGCAGAAGAAGACGAGGAGGACGAAGATGCTGTTTCGGTGGGGTTTCCTTGCTTTCATACTCTTCTCTATCGGACAGTTGCTGACCCATATCCATTTTGTCATGTAGGGTCGATCACGAAAACGCAGGAGGGGTCTTGGTGTTCACAACTTCCTCGAAGTCGAGGCCGGTGTCGATGAGGACGAAGATGAGGGAGAGGATGAAGAGGAAGAGATGGAATTTGGTGGTGATTTACACCCAGATGATGCAGATGCGCTGCCCATTGGGGCAGAGATGGATGACCGTCGACACCGTGACCTTGATCGTCAGCGCGAGTTGGAGGCAAGCATGGATGCTGAGAAGCAAGCACAATTGCTTAAAGAGCGTTACGGACGGAATCGCGCCGCAGCCTCGGACGCTGTCGTCGTCCCCAAGCGGCTTCTACTTCCTAGCGTCGATGATCCCAGCATCTGGGGTGTCCGTTGCAAGGCCGGAAAGGAGCGTGAAGTGGTTTTCGCAATCCAGAAGCGCATTGAGGAAAGACCCATCGGTTCACGAAACCCCATCAAGATCATTTCGGCCTTTGAGCGTGGCGGTGCTATGAGTGGCTATATCTATGTTGAAGCACGAAGGCAGGCCGACGTCATGGATGCCTTACAAGATATGTCGAACGTTTATCCCCGGACGAAGATGATTCTGGTTCCCGTGAGGGAAATGCCGGACTTACTGAGAGTTCAGAAGTCGGAAGAGCTCAATCCTGGCGGCTGGGTTCGAATCAAGCGTGGAAAGTACATTGGTGATCTGGCTCAGATCGAGGAGGTGGAGACGAACGGCCTGGCTGTGACAGTCCGCTTGGTTCCTCGTCTCGATTACGGACTGAACGAAGACTCTGGCGCGCCTATCGTCGACCCTAAGAGAAAACGAGCTACTGCGAATGCCGCTGTCGCTCGACCACCTCAACGCTTGTTTAGCGAAGCCGAAGCCAAGAAGAAGCATAGCAAATACCTCTCTGCTACGTCTGGTCTAGGTGGAAAGTCATGGAGCTACCTGGGTGAAACCTACATCGAAGGTTTCTTGATCAAAGACATGAAGGTGCAGCATCTTATCACCAAGAACGTTAATCCCAGGCTCGAAGAAGTCACCATGTTCGCTCGCGACTCCGAAAACGGCACATCAAACCTCGATCTTGCCTCCCTTGCAGAGACATTAAAGAACTCTACGGCAGAAGAGTCATACCTCCCTGGAGATCCCGTGGAAGTCTTCAAAGGTGAACAACAAGGTCTTATTGGCCGCACAAGTTCCACTCGTGGAGATATTGTGACTATCTTGGTTACGGAAGGCGAGCTGGCTGGCCAAACGATAGAAGCACCTGTGAAGACACTCCGCAAGCGCTTCAGAGAGGGTGACCACGTCAAAGTCATCGGCGGTAGTAGGTACCAGGATGAGTTGGGTATGGTTGTGCAGGTTCGAGATGACACAGTCACTCTTCTCAGCGATATGAGCATGCAGGAAATTACAGTCTTCAGCAAGGATCTTCGTTTGTCCGCTGAGACAGGTGTTGATGGGAAACTGGGCATGTTCGATGTTCACGATCTCGTCCAACTAGAGTTAGTCTGCTCGTACTCACATCGTGTTCTTTGCTAACAGTTTTAAAGTGCTGCTACAGTTGCTTGCATTGTCAAGGTGGATCGTGAGTCATTGCGAGTGCTGGATCAGAATGGTTCCATCCGCACCATTCTTCCTACTCAAGTTACCAACAAGATTACTCCGCGCCGGGATGCTGTCGCTACAGATAGAAACGGAGCAGAGATTCGACATGGGGACACCGTCAAAGAAGTCTATGGCGAGCAGCGGAATGGCTTGATCCTTCACATCCACCGCTCATTCCTCTTTATACACAACAAAGCCCAGGCTGAAAATGCGGGTATAATCGTTGTGCGCACCACCAATGTTGTAACAGTTTCAGCGAAGGGAGGGAGGTCGACGGGCCCGGATCTCTCAAAGATGAACCCAGCTTTGATGAAAAATGGCGCCCCAGGCGGCATGATGGCTCCTCCTGCGAGGAGCTTTGGACGTGACCGACTGATCGGAAAGACAGTCATGGTCAAGAAGGGACCTTTCAAGGGCCTCGTTGGTATTGTCAAAGACACAACGGACGTCCAGGCCCGCGTGGAGCTTCACTCTAAGAACAAACTTGTGACAATTCCCAAGGAGTTGCTTGTCGTCAAAGATCCTATTACCGGTCAGACAATTGACATGTCTCGTGGCAGAGGAGGCCCACGGGTTCCTCAAGGTGGTTCGGCCGCTCCACCATCTGGCTGGCAGGGGGGTCGTACTCCAGTGGCTGCCGCCGATTCCTCAAGAACACCAGCCTGGGGTGGAGCTGCTTCATCCAGAAGTAAGTGTCTTTCTTTTTGTTCTAGTTTACAAGCTTTTCTAACCTTTCTCTAGCTCCTGCCTGGGGTGGTCTCGGTTCTCGCACACCTGCTTGGAAAGCTGACGGCTCACGAACATCAAATCCCTATGACGGCAGTCGCACAGCCTATGGAGGCGTAGGGTCTCGCACGCCAGCCTGGAACGCGGGAGCACGGACGCCATACGGCGGCAGCGACTTCGATGCCTTTGCAGCTGGCTCAAGGACCCCTGCCTGGGGCGGAGCTAATGCTGGTGGTCGTACCCCAGCCTGGTCAGCCGGTGGTTCTTCAGCTAGCAACAGCAAGGCTTACGATGCTCCCACACCCGGCGCAGCTTACTCGGCACCTACCCCAGGCGCATATGCCGCCCCGACTCCCGGCCTTTCAGCACCAACGCCAGGAGCCTGGGCTGACAGTGCGCCAACACCTGGCGCATACAATGCTCCCACGCCTGGTGGTCCGTCAAGAAGACCATACGATGCGCCGACCCCTGCCGACTTCGATGGTGGAAGCCGCCCATATGATGCACCAACGCCAGCGATGGGCGCCGCTACACCGGGAGCTGGTCCATACGACGGCGACGATGGCGGTCCGCGATACGAAGAAGGGACTCCCAGTCCTTGACCGTGTAGAATTGCTTTCTAAAGGCGGTTAATGGTTTTCAAACATAAAACTGGCGTATCCTTCTCGGATACTTTTTTACATACCTTCATCTATTAACCCTTCAGGTATCATCATCTGTTTAGTACTACCGTGTATTACCAACCTATCTTACTTATTCATGCAAACGCAATGTACTTACCCAACTTAGCGTACCCTTGATACTACAAAGCTCCGAGATGTGCTCAAAAATTTCAACTCGAACAATTGAATGATAAAACTCCCGCTTCATCCACGATCCCTTGAATCTCATTCCATTCCAATTCGCCGACCAGAAAATGTATGTAACGTAGTAGATATATAATAAAACACAAATGGGGATTAGAATCGAAGCAATCCTCCACGTTCGAAAAATGATAATTTGAAGCTGTACTTGTTTCTTTTCATTTCTCCCGATTTTCGCCGCGCAAATTTCGTCTTTTGACTTGCTTCTGCATATTTTCCATTTACCACCCCCACTGCCCGTGTTCCATACCGTTGATTCCTCTCTATAAATAGATGTCGTAAAATCGAATTTGGTGGGAAAGGGACAAAAAAAAAGTGCTCAAAAACGAGTCGAAGGTGGATGAGGAGTTGGATTGGTCTGTTGCGAAGAAACTAGCGGGCTTCGTAGGTAAAAGGGAAGAGTAAGAGTGCGTGAGAGAAGTATGAATGTATGTTCAAGCGGGTACTGCACGCGCCAACAAGCGGATATTATCCAAAAGGCCTTTGACCAGGTCTTCGTATTGATTCTTCGGGTCCCCTGACATGGCGAGTTGTCCTTGGCGGCGGATTTCAGCAGCTGAGACTTCGATCTCGAGTTCGTGGTCGAAATCACCTTTTGCGGAGGGCTGTGCAAGTGTTAGATCTTTATTAAAAAGGGGTAGAGGAAACGGAAATAAAGTGACGGAAAGAGACGTACCTCGGACCTAGCGACTTGAGTCAAATCAATCTGATAAGCCAGGTGCCGGTAGCTCATGCGGTCTTTATTCCGGTCACTAGCGCCACGGCCTGTATCTGCGGGTGAGAGGTGGGAAATGTCGCCGTCGTAGTTCATTTCGAGGTTGACACTGACGCGCCAGTCGACGCAGGTGCGCGGACTATGGATATCAAGATCCGCGACGCGGCATTTCACGATTTTGGCGAGAACTTCCCCTGTGCGTTGATCGACGGTGACTCGAACTCGGGGCTTGTGGCGAGGATTGAGATTTTGACGAATGATGGGTGGCAGGTCGGAGGGAGAGACTTCGTAGAATGTATCGCGTTCCTTCTTGTGTGCGTATGAGAGGGGAATTCGGCCGGGGTTAGCTTGTGGCATAGACGCTTTCACAGCTTCGTTAAGGAAATTGTTCATGGCTCGATGTTGGGCCTGTATAAAAGTTAGTTTATCGGGTAATACTAGTGGGGGAACTGCCACGTACTTGTGTCATGCTGCTTTCAAAGCTTGTTCGGATGCGGGAATTTTCTCGGTTGATGACACTCTCGCTGAGTACCGGCAGCTGAAGCCTCTCCCCGCGATCTAGGTCTATCAACTTGCCTAGCTTTGCTTCTATTTCGATGATAGCACCTTGACCTACTGCTGTTGAGCCAGCAGGACCCGCCGTGGCATCATTTCGAAGAACCACGTGCTGGAACAAGAAGTCGCATACTATCTTAGTTATTTCCTCGTGCGGTATGAATCCAGTTATGGATGGCTCCCAGGGCCCTAGACTCTTCACTTGCGGTGGCTCCGAGGGTTGCGATTGCGCCGCAGGTGTCGAAGGGGCCGATGGGCCGTTAACGACTGAGTTCTCTCTTTTGATCTTTGTTGGCGGTGGAGTGGCGCGTGATACAGCCTGCTGGCGAACCAGCCATGGATTTTGCGGTGTGTTTCTGATATGCTTGGGAACAGGGGGCATTCGATTGGGAATCATCGGACACCTTCCCTTTGTGCGGGTTGTCCTTTGCGCAAAGATCGGCGGCTGATTGTACCGTCTTCGTTTCGGTTTGGGAGATTCAGGGCTCGAATTGACCAGTCCCGAGCCAGTTACAAACTTAGCTTTAGGCGGTAGCGGCTGCCCTTGTCTCGCCTTTGGGGATTCATTTGCGACGAACCCTCCGGATGAAGGGGGGCTGTTGATCTGCGCTGCGCTTGACGCGGGATGGTTAAGTGAATTCTGGCCAAAGTTCCGATTCCCTTGCGCCGCCACGCCATTTTCCCTGTCAATCAGCTGCGCCAAGGCGGCCTGCTCACTGTGCCCTGCCACGCTACCGCGTCGGACGCCTGGAGAGAAGGCAGTCTTCGGGCTGACACTCTCATCGGAAGCCCTCCTTTCGGGCGCAACCGAGGCCCGTCGCGGGGTCTGTTCGAACGCCCTTGAATCATGCCGCACGGGTCGAGGGACCGCGGTTGGCGACATGTGCATCTGGGTATCTTGTCCGACCCATGGGCTGGACGCACGGTTCGATAGGGAATCATGGCCTGAGGACCGGGGGCGCGCGGATGAAGGTGTTGATTGATGATAAGGAGCGGCCACAGAGCCTCGCGGCGTACCAGGAAGCGAGGCTTGTGCCGGAGGAGAAAACTGCTGGGGTGGATATTGTTGTGACGCGGCGGCGGGAGGACTCTCTCTATGGGGGAATGAGTGGGACGTGGAGGAATAAGGGGTCAAAACAGACTGGATAGATTGAGAGCGCTGGGGAGCGACTGGTGTTTGCTGTTGCGATTGATGATGTTGTGGATGATTGTAGGCCACAGGCGCGGCGAAAGAGTCGCGTCTGGTAGAGGGACCATAAGGTCCGGGAGGCGGACTGGGACCGCGCTGGTGCTGTGCGCTTGCATTCAAGGAAGGTGTAGGGTGGTATTGATAGGGCGATTGTAGCGAACCGTAGGAGGAGCTTCGGTCTGGGGAAGTTTGGGCGCGCTGGAGCTGTGGAGGTTGCTGTGGTGGCCCGTTGGGATAACCGGCCGGATAGGAGGATGACGATGGTGGAAGCTGGTCGTGTGAAGGGTAGACTGGCTCGGACGGTTTGCGAGTGAGTTGCGGCGGGGAGCGGTGGGATGGAGGCGATGGAGGGCGACGCGAAGAGCCCGCGGCATCACTATTCATAATGGTGCGCAAATCCATGGCGACTGAAGGTTTTCTTTTTTCCTCCAAACGAATTCGAGATGGGCTCAACTAGAGCAGAAAAAAAAAGACCAAGCTGGCACGGGACTGCAAGAAACACGACGCACCCCCTTCCACAACGCCCTGAGGCGGATGACGGGAGAGTTGGTGCCTATCAAGGACGGAGCTGAGGAAGGGGTGGGGGTGATGGTGAAGAAGACATTTAGGGGATGAAAGGGATGCCTGAGATGTGGTGAAGCTGAAGGCAGCGATTCAGACCGATAAGAGGAAAAAGAAAGGAAGATCGAGCGAAGTCGCGGGTCGGAGTCTGCAAGCTGACTTGGCAGAGGATTAGCAGTGGTTGAGCAGCAGGTTGTGCAGATTGCAGACAGAGTGTTCTCTTTCAAGATAGAGACAATGGTGTTGCATCTAGCAACCTCTTTTCGCGGCTGGTTGGATAATACTAAATGCAAGATTGCTCCTATTGCGCTGCTACAGGGGTACAAAGAGTGGAAGTTTATATCTACGCTTCCGTCTCGACATAGGCGCACGTACTGGTCAGTTTGACGCAACTCAATATAGCTCTACTAGAAACGAGGATATAGCTGTCTCAAGCGGAGCTGTCACATCTTTGAAGCTGCTTCCGTTCTGAGACTTGACTATTTTCTGCCAGGCGGTGTACGACTAGATCACATGATTCATACGTGATCATGGTCTGTGCCTGCCCGTTCGGGAGGGTTTTACGTTGAGCGATGTCACATGTCATTGAAGGGCCTAGATTCGAAGTATACAATCAACAATAAAAATTATATATAAATCACCGTTAATGAGCAGGAAGGAATCATGCTGATGGAGCTACTCTATGCTGAACCTTTGGTGCGCATGATTCCTCTACATACATACTCGAAGATCGACCCCAATGGTGAAACGTCAACCCTCCTGAAATACTCCGGATCGACAGTCGCCATTTGGCCTTAACCTCTTCGCCCTCTGCTGCTCACCCAGCATTTCATTTTCACCTCTTTTCTCTCACTCAAGTCGATACTCATCCGTCCAGTGGACCCGCCCCTCGCATTCGATGGGACGCTCACCATTGAGACTACCATAGCATGCGCACTCCTGCCGTTGCGACACGCGCTCCCTGATGACGAGTCCCGGACCCATACCAGCTCCCCCCGTTGCACATATCGACTCCACCATTTGCAGCACATAACTACATATAAAGCTACGCACTCTTATATCGTCACCTGAGACAGAGGCTCTACGTCGGCCTCAAGCTCCTCATTCTCCCCGAAATGAGCGACCAGCATGAACCCCAATCGTCCCCAGCGATCCACAACGTTCCTCTCAATGACGTCGAATCCTGTCTCGAATCCGAATCGCGGAGTCGCGCTTTTCCTTGGTCCAACTTCGAAAGTCTATCAGCTTCAGATATTGTTTCCGACCCTTCTAAGCTCTCCGCGCTCATCGAACACTTCTCCGAAAACTGGCAGGATTATTTAGAAGATTGGTTCACGAAGCTGGGAATCGTCATTACCCCCAGCTACCTACAACACTTGGTCGGTGGTCAACCGCCTCCACAGACGAAACTTCATGCGATTGCAGCGCTGGATGGGTTGCGAGGATGGGCCTGCTTGCTGGTTTTTAACTTCCATTTCCTTTTCACCTATACATGGAAGGTCGCCGTTGGTTGGGGATTCAACAATGACAATTTTTACCTCTACCAATTGCCAATCATCCACGTCCTCGTCTCAGGTCACATTATGGTCGCCATATTCTTCGTGATATCCGGATATGTGCTTTCCTATAAACCTCTCAAATTGATCCGCAACCGCTCCTGGGAAGAGACATTCGTCACATTGGCGTCTTCAACATTCCGACGCGGCCTCCGATTGTACGTCCCTTCGATAGTCGGCATTTTTCTGGTCCTGGTCGCCGTACGCATAGGCGTGTACAACTACTCACAAACGGTTCTGTACGAGGGACACACCATCAGGGGCACCAACGAGCAGCATCCACCGATTATGGTCAAATCACTTGTCAAGCAGTTGTGGGATTGGTATGCAACAATTGCGCGATTAATGGATCCTTTCGACTGGGCCCTATACTACAACAACTACAACCCCCACCTGTGGACCATACCTGTCGAATTCCGCAGCTCTATTGTCCTATTCCTCACGATTCTCGCCACCTCCCGCGTCAAGACAGCCGTGCGCATCTCCCTAGTCAGCACTCTGGTCTGGTTTTGCATGCGCTACGGCCGATGGGACGTTGTCCTATTCTTATCTGGCATGCTTATGGCTGAAGCCGATCTCATACAAGGCCTTTGGGATAAAAGCCCATCTGCGGAAGAGGAACTGAAAGAAAAACAGGGTTGGAGCGCCCATACCACTCCCTCGACATCCAAACCTCGACAACCATTCCGCCTATTGAGCCCTAAGCGCTGGATCGCCCTCTTAATCCTAGGACTCTATTTCGGCTCGACGCCAAACACCGGCTACAAGTTCACCCCATTCTTCATGTGGACATGGCACGTCACGCCCAAAACATACCCCGAACCGCACCGCTTCCCGCAAACGCTCGGCGCAATCATGATCGTCTATAGTATAAACCACTCAAAGGACATCCAAAAGCTTTTTGTCAACCCCGTCTCGCAATATCTAGGCAAAATCTCCTTCGCATTCTACATTGTCCACGGACCCATCCTCCACTCATTGGGTTACTCTCTCATGCCGAATATCTGGAACATCACCGGGAAGGAGACGAACTTCCAGTACTGTTTGGGTTTCTTCATCGGCTGGGCGATCTGTCTTCCCATCTCTCTCTGGGCGGGCGATCTCTTTTGGCGCCTGGTTGATATTCCGAGTGTTAGTTTAGCGAGGTGGATCGAAGGGAAGGTTTTGGCGAGAACGGGCGGGGGTGGGATGAAGAAGTCACAGAAAGAGACTTCGCTTGCTCATTGAGGTGTTGACCATACTTTCTCTTGGGTGGAGCAAGCTGATTCCGCGAGAGCTGGCCTGAACTCAATGTGTACACAATCCTGGTGCTTGATCTACCTTCTTGTTTTCCGTTTGAGATATCCGTCCGATTCAGGAAATCGGAATTATACAACGGCTTTAGCGGGCGTATATTAGTCTGGACAGACATTTTTTTTTTCTATGTTCATATATGGATCTCTGGCCTACATGTCTAGTTTACCATTGCGGGAACTGTAGAAGCAGGCATATATCCAGACAGCCTTCGATCGGATATAATATACCCAGAATGTCTTCGATGCAATCATTCATTCGTATACTCGTACTCGTACCAGGCGCAACCCAAGACGCTTCTAAGGACATAAATTTAGGGTTGGCAAAACCAGGTCTCTTACTACCCCAACAACCTTGCGGGAAAAGAGAAAGCAAGGAGGAAAAAAAAAATATCAAGCTCAAGATCAAACGCAAAGACAGATGCTTTGAATGACTAAAGTCGAGCTAATAGACGGCGCGATGAAGAACGAAAATTGGGCAAATAGTATGCGTGTCTAGTGGATATCAAACAACTTTTCCCTGGCTGTTTACAAGGCGACGCCCCATACTCCTCGTCCGCCACAGACGCCTAGCCAGTCACGAGGGTGGCCGGCGCTTGTGGTGCCCCCTTGTGGTGACCAGCTGATGTTTGATATTTCGTAATCGCACTGCCATGCGGCTGCGGGGCCGCGCTCGGTGGTTGTAGATGGTGTGCCGGGTGTGTGCGCGGCTGGTATGACAGGGGTGGAGTTGTGTTGGTTGATGAGGTCCCAGAGCAGGACGAGGCAGTCATCTGCACCGGAGGCAAGGACACCGCGTCGGTTAGGAGACCATTCAACGGAATTGAGAGAGGCGGAGTGGCCCTTGAGTTCTAGAAGTGCCTGGCCGGGCTGGCGAACATCCAAGACACGGACTATGTTCGAGTCTTGCGAAAATGTGGCAAGCAGGTGAGCATCATGAGGTGAGGCTATGATCATTAGTATGATAATTTATAGGGGTGGCTATCTTAGGAATGGGACTTACCGGAGATGCGCAGTAGCGGCGGAGGCCAGGCGGAAGCTGGAGCGGAGGGACTGCCATTGCCTGGGCTCATCACTAGCCGCCATTGAAGTCAGCATTACACAAGTATAGAGGTAAACAAAGAGCTTACATTTCTCATTCTTTTCTGTTGGCTCATATATGATGGTGCTGTGTTCCAGGCTGCGCAGATCGAACATGCGAACACTGCCGTCAGCACCACAGCTGACGAACACATCGACGCTGTTCGCGCAAAAGCGCACATCGTATACTTCCTTGTCGTGCGCAATAAGCTGGGTCTTGGCTGTCAAGGTGGGAATGTCCCAGATCGTGCAGGTCGTGTCGATACTAGAGGTGATGATCAGACTTGGAGAGATTGTGTTCCAGTCTAGTGAGGTAATAGGAGCGGTATGCTCGGGTGATTTGGAGTTCGAAAGCAAGGCCAGAGGTGATAACTTTACAGGCGGTGCATCCCTTTGGTTTGCCGGTCGCGTAATAGAATTGGTAACATGCGGAGATTGAGAGTTTGGTAAGGACCATAGTCGGAGATGATCTCCGGACGTGGCTAACAGGTCTGTGGACTGCTTCTGGGATGACGGGGGTTCCCATAGGATTCGTGTAACTGGATATGAATGGGTAGCTTCAGCTGTCTTAACATATTCCAGCTTGACCTCCCCGGCAGTGGCATCGGATGTATCAGGGTCGGGATGTGCAAGTTGGGTATCGAGAATTTGTATCTAATTGCTCAATGTCAGTGAAAATGAACCTGGCAGGTAGGAGTCAGGATATGCCTTACATAATTATGGTGGTCTTCTAAATAGCTTCCTAAAGCAATTTTTCCGCCGAAGGAGCCTGCATTTCCAGTCACTGGCCATTTACACCAATCGACAGCATAGATAGGCCAAGGGGTGATGTAGTTGCTGTTGGTAGGTACTTGATTTTCAGCGCTACTGAAGGCAGATGCGCCTGTACTTGCAATAGGATCGCTTAGAAGGTCCCCCGGGGGACGAATATCTGCCAATCCTAGGGGCGAATACTTTGCGCCTTGGGGGGTGGGAGGCTGATATCCAACACCTGGCGATGACCCAGGAGGCCGGTACTTCTGCTGCTCGAATCCTGCCGGGCTGGATCTGGAGTGACCATGGGAGTTCATGCCGGACCGCGGTGTCGTTGATGGAGGCTGAGGCTGGGGCTGGGGTTGGTGTTGCAATTGTGTGGTCAGTTGAGGCAGGGTGGGAAGAATAGACGGAGCAGTATTCACCGAGACTGCTGGTGGGCGATTGGCAGCATTACCTGGCTGGAGAGCACCGGGCAAAGTTGCTCCACTTATACCACCGTTTCCGCTGCTATACTGGCTGGGCTGAGAGCCCGAAGGCTGGATATTGATCGAAGGGAGATGGGTGTCAGGGCTCGTAGGGTAATCGTGGGACATCGAATGTCGCGGAAGGGCGCCTGGCGCCGAATTTCCGGCCGGAATATGTAGCTCTTCTGGTTGTCGGCCATAAATAGTCGCCCGTCGAGGGTCAAAGGCTTGCGCGGGGTTTGACATGGCGGCACTGAGGAGGGAAGGATGATATGCGAAAGGACCGGCTGGACCACTGCGCAGCAGCGGCAGATTGGCAGCGTAACCACGGCCTTATAGTTTCGAGGGGCTCAAGCAATCGTCCTGGTTGGATTAAGGTCAATTGGACGACCTCTTCTCCCTGATATAGATGGCGGGCGGGAAGATGATAGAAGTCCAGCGACAGCAAGAGAGTGCGGGGTGTGATGCATGCCAAAGGAATGACTAAGAGGGCTTAATACATTTTGTGCCCAAGAGAGAGCAGATGGAACCTATACAGCAGCGTAGGGCGTTGAACAGAAGCAGACGATGAGACCAGCTCCCATGCGAGGAACAGCAGCATAAGGTTATCTTGGGCAAGTGCCAGCTCCCGGGTGTGACTGACCTCCGCCCGACTCGGAGTCCCGTGATGCTGACTCATCCCCCCGGTTTCGATACGCGTATCTTATACTCCGTACAATACTACGAACGGAGAAGAGCGCCGGATTCTGAACCGCGGCCTCGGCTACTAGGTTTTGTCGACGATGCGACTTCGTTCTTACACCCGGATCTTTCATTCGACTTCTTTCCTCCTGGACTTTGTCTGGGGCCCCTGTCTGTGACAGTCCGATGATTATACTCGTCTCCTTACCTGCTACCCATGGTTTTTGCTCTCCAATACGCGTGCCATACTGATAATCACTCTTGGTGAGCTTCCCCTCCGCAGTGCAGGTTCCCCGCGATGGCATCAGATCGCATATCCCCGCCATCAGCCTTACTCTTGCTACCCCCTCCGCCATCCATCACTTTCGACCAATTTCGAACTGTCTATGAGAAAACCTTGTCTGCAGCATTCAGCAATCTCTTGAAAAGCCTCAATGGATCAAATCGCATTGCGTCACTAGACATCGCTCTGTCTCTACCGGGTCTGCAATCTGCACCATGTCAGCCCCCAGCAAGAGCTTTTGCAAGCCTACAGCGCATCGTGGAACACGCCTACAGGCTCATTGGGGCGGTCTCAATCGAGCGAAATGTTGAGATGGAAGCACCCGGCGGCATCGATTCGCGGGTGATTTTGCTAGATTTCGATTCGGTGCGAACCTCGGAATATGTACACAAAGGCTCTGTCGCTGCCGAATGCAATGGTCCTATCATCGACGTTAGAACTCTGGCAAGCTCGGGGCGTCTATGGGATAACATTTTTTATCCCGATACTCCAGTAGGTCAGGATCTCGCGACGGCATTCAATAAATTTTATGCTGCAAATGGCGGGACCCTTCGACGACTGTCGGAAATAGCCCAATGGACTCCGGGCGAAAATCTGGTGGTTCCTGGGGAGACGTCCGAGTCAGTCTTGCATCATTCAGTCATCTTGGGCGGCACGTTCGATCACTTTCACATTGGGCACAAACTGTTACTCACGGCGACCGCACTAGTCTTACAGCCGGCAGGAATCGGCCAGGCAGGTCGGGAGAGGACCATCACAGTCGGCGTGACAGGTGATGACATGCTGAAGAACAAAAAGTATGCCCAGTTCCTGGAGAGCTGGGAGGAACGGTGCCGGAACACAGGGACATTCTTGACATCAATCATGGACTTTGGACCTCCCGAAACAAGCGCATCACACGTTGAACAGATCTATAAGCCTGGCCCGAACGGCAGGGCCATGGTGATGAAGATCCGACCTGGGATAACCTTGCGACTGGTGCAGATACTCGACCCATACGGACCAACCATTACCGAGGAGAATCTAAGCGCCTTGGTAGTCTCCAAAGAGACTCGCTCGGGTGGTGCCGCTGTCAACCAGGAGCGAGCCAAACGGGGGTGGAAGCCGCTCGAGGTTTTTGAAGTCGACGTAATCCACTCGGGCGAGGTGGCTACCGGCGAGGTCGAGGATTTCGCATCCAAGATCAGCAGCACGGATATCAGACGACGGCGAATGGAGCTAGCCATGATATAGGCCGACGGATGGGCATGATGCGAATGCCACAACAGTGTACGAATGGTAGTGTATGTATATAGTGAATCCGGAGTCTGAAACCAGACGAGATGCAATGGCAAAGAGTGCATACGCGCGCGTTGGTTTATTCAATAATCGCCAGTCGCACGCAGGCGGAGGTGGGGGAGAACCGTTGGTAGAGAGGACACTGTGAGCGCAAAGGGAAGGATGTTCTGCTTATCTGTCCGGTATTCGGGGAGGCGCCTTCAGCCTTCCAAGTCAGCCTGTCGCTTGCCTCTTTGTCCCTGCCCACGCGACGCTGGCTCAAAATTGACCTTGACCTCGACGCGGTCAGATTCCAATAATAATAATAATAATAATAATAATAATAATAATAATAATAATAATGGAATTGTCCCGCAGGATTCTATCGGGTTCTGCATGATGCTGCAGTGGTGATTCCCGTGTCCGTTCCACAGCAGGCCCCTGGTCTCTTCCATGCCAGGGGCTGGAGATGGTACGGAGGTGAGGCCTGTCTCTCGCCTGCGCAGTCACAGAACTAACCCAAGACTTCCAGCTACAGGACCTGGTGATTCGCTTCCGTCGGCGGGGTTCCTGCACCTGCAGGTATCTTACTGTCTGGTCGCAGCCTCTCTTCGAATCCTTTGCTCCCAAGTGCTGCTCCTTGACGCTCTGTCGCTCAATCGCCTTCCCCGCCCTGCCGCTCTTCGCTCCTCCAGTGCTCGGTCGTCTCTTCTCCCCTCCTCCAGTCCACGCCCTCAGCGCCTCCACCATCCACCACCACCACCCCGGCAGCCCCTCGCCCTCTCTTCCAATCCTCCAATCCTTCTACTCCCTTTGCACCTTCTTCTGCAGGTTCGCGCTGGGTGACCGCATGCATATTCAATCATGTGACTTGCGTGTCCCAGCGTACGTCCAATCTTCGTGCTTCGGTTGGCCCAGACGACTCGCCGCCGGGCCACTAGATTTTGGATAATGCCGGAGGCCCTCGTCAACCTGGTCGATGGGACTGGCGATGTGGGACTTGGGAGATTTCGTCAGACATGTCGATGTGCTGCAAGCGCTGTGTCTGTGGCCCGCCGCCTATTATTCGGCTCTCCGGGACTTGATACAGCACAGGCTGTCTCTTTTGAAGCCAGAATAAGGTAAGATTCAGAGGCACATTGGGAAGCAAAGCGGCAGACAAGATGCATCAATTTTCAATATATAATTTCAGGACCCGAACCTGTCGATTTTCTTGTTTCCTTTTTTTCTCCCGCTCCATCTTTTTTGCTTTGTATCCTCTACTGTTGACGTGCCTTTGCTACTTTCGCTGCTCGTCCTGCGCCTACTGCTCTGCAGTCTTCCGCCGCTTCTTTGCTTATTTCATCATCTGGTCTCTCATCTCTGTCCCAACCCTACCCCTGAATTGTTTGTCTACTACATTACGAAAGTCTTTCAGGAGTCCGGTGGACTCTTCCTCTCACAGCTCCCATCTTGTCACCTTGAATTCCATGTGGTTGCGAGGAGCGCAAGTGGCCGGACACGCGGCTGCAACGCTGTGCGAAAATCATGAAGCCAACTCAGCCAGGCATCGAAGATCTAGCAGACGAATTGATCCTTGAGATCCTCAACTTCCTCCTCGGCGCAGACCAACTGTCCAACGTCCCGTCTCCTGTCAATCTGCCTGATCGCTCCACCGGGCTTGATGATCGGCCGCCTCATGTTCGCAGCGAGAGCACCGATTTAGACCAATTTCGACTCGTTTGCAAGCGATTCGCGCGGATTGGCACACCTAGGAAGTTTACTCGCTTCAACCTCCGGTTTGGGCACAGAGACTTCCAGAGGCTGGGAGAGCTTATACACAACCAGCTGGCCTGTCATGTGAAGAATTTCACATACATGGTGCGGCCCTTCTACCAAGGAAGCGGTAACTGTCTCTCGAATAAGCAGTCCCTGCTGCGACTATGCTCAAGGACTCGAAGTCGGCTAATATTCAAATATAGGCTGGCCGCAATTTCTTAACGACGTCGATCCGACAACGTTCCCGAAGAGTAAGGATCGACTGCAAGACCAGACTCGCATAATTGAGAAAAACTACGACCAACAGATGCTTCTCAAGGCAATAGGGGCATTCTCATCCCTCGAACAGGTCAAGCTCCTTCGACTTCAGGACGAAGAAGATGAACGATTGCTGGACCAGATACATGAATTCTCGCTGGAAGAATCGCTGACGCTGGATTGGGAGCCCGCCTGTGCGCGAGCAGTCGCCAACTTGGGGATATCTCTTCTTTCATCGAACTGTACTTCTATCGAGTTCGTAGGGTCACAAATCAGCCCCGAGGCGACAGGGAGGTTAGTGCAGACCCCATCCGCCACGCTCTCCAATTTAGGGGCCAGACTGGTGGGCCTTGACGTTACTCTTCACTCGAACTTCGATCTAACAAGCCACATGGACGGCCTCTCGGACGTCTTCCACGACTTCTTCCTCGCCGCGAAGAACCTCAAGACTATTAACCTGCGGTTCGAGACCCCTGTTCCCCTAGATCTCCCGCTAGACCGGATATTTCATCGCACACAGTGGAAAGAACTTCGCACGTTCGGTATTCAAGGTTGGCTTTCAAGCTCCGAAGAGATCATTAACCTCATTCGCCGCCACCGCCGGCCGCTCCGCGAAATTAGCCTCGTCAACATCTATCTCCGCGACGGAAGCTTTTGGCGTGACGTGCTGTCTGTTCTACACGACGAAATGGATACGATAGAACACATTCTCCTAGATGGAATAAACTACGCTAGTCAGCTAGACGGTTCATCTTCTAATGCAACCAATGGCCATGGCAACAGTCATGTCATTGACATTGGAAACGCAAACGGGAACGGCCATGGTAGCGGATCAGCAGGGGTTCATCAGCCTCCCCTTCCGCTGTCCGTCATTGTCAACGATAACACTCCGTCTAATATGGCAAATCGCGGGTATACACGCAGCCCATCCGCTTATGGCCTGCAAGCCCTGAGAAAAAGTTCTGCAGACATGCTGGGCGACAATGGGATCAGTGTTGGGCCAAAGCAAAGGTCCTTCTGGGAGGCGTGGGTGTTGGCGAGTCCGCGCAACGTTGCTCGGAAACGAGTCTGGTTGGGCTAATGTCGTGTAATTGAGGGAGGTATATAGCGTTCCTACTTTAATTCTGTATCTTAATGAAGCGTTGCAGTGTGGGGTGGTTAAGAGGTGCCGACTGAATGAACGAAAGGATGAATTATGCTCTGACTATATGTTCGTTATTGACTGCTCAGTAACTGGTCCTTTACACCCTCTCTTTTGCAAGGAAGTGCTGTGGGGAAGTTGGAAAGTACGCTGAAGCTGTAGCATTGAATTGGGAAATAGGTCGATTCTATGTGACAATGGGTGAGTATCCAGTTATTCAAAAAGATTCCGCTAACCACTGATTCATGAATAAAGGTATTTTCAACAGTATTCTCAAGATCTCGAAAAAGCTCGGGGGTAGAACAGACAGAGTTGACATTAGCCATGTTATCAATATATGGATAAGGGAAATGCTATGACAATAGATGGAGATAAAGGGTAGGGCAAGAGACTATTTATTGTGCAAGAGTCGGTTCAACGGCAATAGTCGCAGCAGACACCTGGCCCGAGCTGGGAGGTTTCGCGCTCCGCTCACGCAACCGTCGCCCCTCCATAAGCCCACGGAGTCCCCGTTTCTGAAGCCCGATGACGCTGCTCAGATCGCCGGTCCAAACCTCGCGGTCGCCGTGTGTTCCGCGGCGTCGTCGAGTAGCTCGCGCAGGATCAGCGGAAAGAGGTTCCGAGTCGGAGTGATCGAAGCTCGTCGCGGACGCAGAGGATGTGCTCGCGTTGCTGATGGAGTCCTCGCGGTCGTTTCGCTGGTGCCGGCGGTTGAAGACGTTCGTGTTGATGCGGAGCGGCACGCCGCGGGGTCCCGTAGAGGCGCCACCGGCGCTGCTGCTGGCGACGGAGGAGTTGGCGCCGTGTTCTGTGTCAGAAGAGTCAGAGTTTAAGCGGCTGTCGCGGAGGGCGAGGGAGGCGGTGGAGTTTGCGAGTTCGTTGGCGGCGTGTGCGCCATTGAGGGCTTCAAGAGTGCCGCCAGGGCCGCTGATGAAGCCTGTGCCTCGGCCGCCGCCCGCCGCCATGGCTGCGGCGTTGAAAACAGCTGCTGCATTGCGGCCGTCGAGGACTTGATGGAGGCGTTCCACGACTGCTTCGAGGAGGCCGTCGACCTGGTATGGACGAGCAAGTTGGAGGAGGGAGCAGAGAATCTGAGGGGTGCAGAGCGGGGATCCGACTGGAGGAAGGGACGAAGAATAGAGGTAGTAGACAAGGACTTCGAGGGTGAGGACGGTGTGTGGAAGGTATAGAATGCGAGGGCGGGATGTTGGGGGTAAGCTGTGGGCGGAAGGTAGTTCAAGGTTCGCGAGGAGGGATTTGGAAGGGTTATGGCTGTTGCTGGCAAGGGTCGTGGCGTTGGAGTAGGTGCTGCCATGGTCCAGCGACGGCGTTATTGTGATGCTGGAATTGCGACTTGGGTATGGCGCTAATGCAGGCCGCAATGTCGCTGCATCTGATGATGTATCCGAGGATTCGCGCAAGAGCTGAATAAAATAGGGACCCCATCTACGACTGAGGATCCGTGAGTTCACCGGAATCCGCTCTCCCCCTACGGCTTGAAGCTCCATATCAGCCATTTCGGGGATTGCCAGGGCAAGCCGCCCCAATCCGTCGGAGGCTGGTGAAAACGGCCGGCCACCCGACGTGAGCTGAGATAGCTTATGATGGAACGAAGCAGGGACTGAAGGAGCACTATGAGAAGTGTATCCAGATGTCGGAGACATCCTGCAAGGGTTGTTGTAGAGCCCAAACGCCTCGAGCTCCACCATGCACAGATGAGTGAAGTTGATGCGACGGTGGTTGTAGTCTTCCACAAGATTGCGTCTCCGGTGCCCAAGAATCACGAAGGTATTCCTTCTCGCCCAGAGTACACCGCGGTTCCAGCTACCTTGTCCGAATACAGACCCACCAGCGTCAATCCGACCCCAAGTGAGGCTCTTCAAGTCGAGCGCCCAGAGCGCGTATTCTTGTTTTGACGAAGTAAGATAGGTTCCGCTCACCACAAAGTGTCCGTTGATGACACCACCATTGGGAAACCGTAAGCCTGGAGGGGAGGCCTGGCTCGGCATAGCCTTCTCAATCAAACGACCATCCGGCAGACGCAGCTGGAGTTCGAGTTTGACGTCTAGGAAGTTGTAGTTGGAGTAAATCAACATTGGGCATCCTGCAGATCCGGAGCCTTCTGTGGGCTCCTGTGCATCTCTCTCCGTAGACGCAGAGCCTATGTCTGACACAGTCATGCCGGTTAAGGGAGCAGCGACACTCCGATACGCACCACAACTCCTTCCTAGAGGACTCGTGTTTGTCCATTTCAAACTGCGTAGGTTGAATACGCTTATCTGCTCAATATAGTGGTTGGTGCTGTCCTGCCCACCTACCACTACCATTTCCGCTCCGCCAAAGCCATCGATATCCACACCGATCGAGCCCTGATGAGGATTGGCCGACGCAGGGTTATGGTGAATCGCAGAGAGCGGAGCGGTCGCGGAGGTGAAGTAAGCACTCGAGGGTATTATGGTCGCACAGTGAGCATAACGTCCCTGTGGAGAATCGTGGGTGTTGACACGAGTCCAGGTACGGGTTGGAACATCGAAAATGTGGATATCTGACATGACAACCACTTCGGGTTGCGGCTCATGGCTAGCACTGTTCGCAGCGTCTTGAGAAGAGCTTGTAATAGGCGACATGCCACCGTAGCATACCAACTTGTTATCGCCAAGAGCACAAACACTATGAAAATATCGCGGGCGGGGAATATCGCCAGTCGCTTCGATTCTCGACCAGTGACGCCGGATCAAGTCCAGCTCGAATATGTCCGACGTCAAATGCGGGCGGGTTTTTGAAAGGATACGCCCTCCAAAGACGTATAGTTTATCGCCGAGAATGGTCGTGGTGGCCCCGACAAGAGCGGGAGGCTCGCGGCCGGAAGTACGGCGTACATTGCACACAAGACCCGATAGATTGACAGGATTTGAAGACGAGTTCACGGTCTGAGCTCCGGGAGAGATTCCAGAGGAGAGGTGTTCATCTCTGGAAGAATCCAGGTGACCTAGACTCGACTGGCTTCTAGACATCATTCTGGAAGCAGGACCCTGGGGCCGTAATCAACTTATCGCTGATACCCCTCTTCCAATTGTGTGTGTTTGTGGTAAGCAAGGCGACAGTACGGACGACGTTCGGTGTGTGGAGGTATAAGTCGGAAGCCCAGGCGAATGCAGAATCCTTCCAGCGTCGATGATTGTATCCCCCGAGCTCGCACTAATAGCTTATCTCCGTGCGCGGCGCTAGAAAAATCTCGAAGCCACAGGGCAGCATGAGCGTCGTAAGCAGGAACAGACAAGGCTGCAGCTGGAGATAGGATCCGTAAAGCTAAAATCGATATATAGCGATTTCGCACCGATAGTCGACGTCCGGTTCGTAGCGCGCGATTTGGCCGGGTCAGGGGCGGGCGGACGGACGAGAGCAATCAGCGTGGCTTCCCCGCCGTTGTGACTCTGGCCTTGGTGTTTTGTTTGGAGGGTTACGCCGGGGGAGGTTCGCAAAACGAGTGAATCGGCGAATCGCGACTCGTGAGGTAGCCAGGAAAGAGGCCGTAGATTTGTGACTCCTTTCTGCCTGCTTGGTCTGCAGAACGTTGAGGAGTCTAGTCGCCGGCGGGAGATAGTGGTAAGTGTTCTCCGACCACCTCTCGCACACAGCCTCAGCCTAGCAAATCAGCAAAAGGAAACCGAGACGACAACAGAAAGGGGATGGTGTCAGTAATAATGTTTGTTGTACCGTAGCGGATCCTTCTTCGAGCCGGTCGCGGTGGTAGTTAGTGTGGACAGTAGTAGTGGATGTCCGACAGCCTGACTCGTTGAGAGGAAACCGTTTTTGGCAGCTGTGGAGAAGCTGGCCGTTAGATGATGGCCTCAATATTGAAGTCAATCTTTCTGACAGGTGAGGCTTAAAACGCCGCCAGATGAAATGAAAAGGCCATTGCTTACAATCCAGAATCAATTTAATTAACAATCGTCCGTGCCGATGATTTAACAGCCACGTTTTCTTCACACAACAGCAGTATTTATCCTTGTATCAGGAACAGCCATTCGCCTTTAACAGGGCACAAAGCATTGACATCTGGGAAACTCATGAAGCCAGATGAAAGTCCTGTACTATTAGTATACCTAGGTAATCAAGGCATATTAAATAGATGAGGTAAGAAGTCGGGGAAAAGGAGGACGAAGATGTTTGCCTGTCAGGTCAGGAACCGCCGACTATGTGATAATAATAGCACTATTAATGTGGAATTTCTGGGCGGGGTATTATTTATGCTCGAGCAATCAGAAAACAGTCCTGGCCTGTACTGATGCTGCATAATTCTAGCAGCGACGGCTTCATGCAAGGTGACGAGTCTGTCTCCTGGTTCGTTTCCTTGCCGTAGTTCGTTCAAACACGCCACTAAAAAAATATTATTCATTACAGCTGGCTAGAATTTGGCAAGGGTTGCAGACTGCTCTACGCTAATGCGTGCTCTCCTGAACATTAGAACGAACTCTGATGTTGGAACAAGGTGTGAAATATTCAGTTCATTGTATCATGAGGTATCAATTATTAACGAAATCGGGTTGATTTCATTCCTTTTTGTGCTCCTGGAGCGGTCATCCAGTGACAGTCCCAGGGTTACGGTCTAACAGCCAAAAAGCCATTTACTCCTTCTTGAGGTTGGTGAAGCGCAGGTAACTATTCGAGTAACGGTCAGCCAAAGTTCTTGGAAAGCTAGTCTCGGGCGAACTCACGGCTTGACGACGCGGATGTCGCCGAACTTCTTTTGAGCATCCTCGGTGGAGACGGGAGGGGGGATGACAACGTCGTCACCAGGGAGCCAGTTGATGGGGGTGGTAACGCCGTGCTTCTCAGTGGTTTGGAGAGCATCGATGACACGGAGCACCTCAGCGGTGTTGCGGCCGGTGGAGGCGGGGTAGGTCATGATCAGGCGGATCTTCTTGGCGGGGTCAATGATGAAGACGGAGCGGATGGTCAGAGCCATGCCTGTGAGAGAAGAATTAGAGGCAAGCTATGATTGACGCGCTTAGAAGTGTATATGTACCCTTGGAGTCGACGTTGGTGGTGTCCTGGTAGTCAACCATGTCGAACTGGTGGGCGATCTTGCGCTCTGGGTCGGAGATGATGGGGAAGGTGAGCTTAGAGCCGGTAACCTCGTCAATGTCCTTGATCCAGGCCTTGTGGGACTCGGTGCCGTTGGCGCTCTATATCGGATCAGGACAAACCCACATTCTCACAATTGGGCCTTGACTTACGAGACCGATCAGCTTGACGCCACGAGCAGCAAACTCGGGCTCGAGCTTGGCGAAAGCACCGAGCTCAGTGGTGCAAATGGGAGTGAAGTCATCCTAAATAAAACTCCGTTAGCATATGCTCTACCGACTGCGGTTCTGGAGAACCTCCAGTGGTGTATGGTAACTCACGGGGTGGGAGAAGAGGATAGCCCAGCTGTCGCCAATGTAGTCGTGGAACTTGATAGGACCGTTGGAGGTGTCGGTCTCGAAGTTGGGGGCAGTCGAGCCGAGACGGAGGCTGAAAGACAGCGTTGTGTTAGTTAATGCTACTCAAAGCATGGGTAAAGTTACTCACGGAGCAGCGCGTTCCTCAGCCATTATGATGGTATATCTGGAAAATGGGTATAGATGAAGGGAGTGGAATGTGACGGATTTTGGTGTGGAATTGGATCAGGATGAGGAAGAAAGAAAGAAGAGAGGTGGCTCCAATAAATAAATATTATGAAGAGGACCCTGAGATGCTTCAATGCCCCTCAATGGCTTTCCATGTTACCCCTCCATCTTCCCCCTCGATCACGCAATCTGCCCACCGCCTGCTAGATGCGTGCACCCCCTCCACTTGCACTGCAAGCCAACTTCGATCCAGACTTGCGCTTCCAACTTTCCAAGCTCAAAGAACGGTTCGCCAGTCTGAAACTTGGGGACCTGGAGAGGTAGCTCCGTTATTGGCCCGTTCCCAGTCGGTGTCGCCCTCCATCTTCATATACGGAGTAACCTGATCCCGACTTGTCGAGCAACTTCATCAGGTTTTCTCTGCTACCAAGTATCTCAACCTTTCTGCGTTGCTCGCTGTTTGTTTCATTTTTGTCCTCCTCTGTTGACTCCCCTCTCACCCGCGTTTGTCGGCCGATCCCACTCAAGAAATGCATAGCTCGGCCGACAGCTTGAACCGGTGGCCAATGATCACGGATGCCGATGGCGCAATTCGCTCACATCATCGCCAAAGTCGATTCTCCATCGGGATTCGTGTTCAAGGCTGAGAGCCGAGCGAGCGAAGCGGAGAGAAACTGAAGAGGACAGAACTCAGGCGCCTCGCAGGATTCTGGAGCTTCTCGATTCAGGCTTCCTCCCGCTAGTGCGGGAGGAATTCCGCACATAGATATTATTTTCTTTTATACATTAGGTCAGTCTAAGCTCGGTGCTGGCCAAGCTCTCTATCGTCCTCGGCGCTCACGTTAATGATCACTTGAACTCGGCGATCAGTCCGACACATGAAAAAATGGGCCAGACAGGGTCTGAACATTTGTGGCGAGTCCAAGCGTCTACAACATGACTGGCATCTAATCATGAGGCATGATTTCCTAGATACGATCAGGGTAACTCCAGGGAACGGTGTCAGGGACGTCTTACACTGGCAAATTTACTTCGCGCACGAATCTGAGGGCCAAAGAAGACCAAAACCCACGGCACAATCGTTAAGAGAACGCCCTGGACAATGTTAGCTCTTATCAACGATGGCAAAGGCTTTCATACTATTCCTCCTAAAAGACTGCAAGCAGCCGGGTATCCTAGGTTGGTGAACATGGCATTCGTCACCAACGGAAAGACGCCTCCTAGGACGTTGCGGCCTCGGACACATTAGCAAGTTCGATCACAACTCATCCTGAGCGAGTACGGATTGGGTTGACACATACAGAAAGACTGGGCCGCAATCGCAGAACTCGCATATCGGTGGTAAGTGTCCGCGAGATAGTTGAATGTAGCCAGGTAAATCGACAAAATCCCTATCGTTGAACAACCAATGGCAATGGTCGGAACAATCCATGGGATTGATGAGTACGATGTCCAACCAAACCAGAACAGACCTGCCGGCATCAAGATTGATTCGATGCATGCAAAGTACAGCCGTCCCTCGGGCGAGCTCGACATTTTTCCCGCGCGAGTAGCAAACTTCTCTTGATAGACGCTTATGGCCGTTGCTACAATAGAGGCGACAGAGACCGCTATGCTTCGTTAATCACTCGCCATGGTAGCATTCTTACTACTGGGATAGATATACCTGAGAATACCGCCCCATTCTGCTCAACATTGAAGCCGTGATTTGTTGAAAAGACAAGAGGTATAGCACTGAACTTCAGGTATAGAATAGCCCAACTGAACGCGACCCATAGTGAGAAAAAGAAAACTACTGGCTCGGTGAAAAGAAGGTCTTGCGTCCTGTATGTCAGCGAAGATCGCTCCGTATCTTCAATCTTAAGAAAGCACTCACGAAATGGCCGGTAGCATGAGATTGATATCATCTTGGCAAGGGTCTCACGCTCTTCATCGCTTTTGACCTTCCATCTAATCCGCTGAACTTGCTGCTTCTCGGGGAACTCGCTCGATTCAAAGACAACGCCGTAATAGCCCGCATCTTCGAGTGCTTCGTAGTATTTATTCAAGGTCCTTGCCTTTCGGCTCAAAAGAACGCTCCCACGTGTTTCTTTTAGGAAGAACCAGAGAATAATCAGGAACCCTGCAGCTGCAATGGCTTGAGAATAATAGATCCACCGCCAGCTCGCTCGTTGCTGGATAAACCCCGTAATAAGCGGGCCCAGGCCGGTACCAAAGAGAACAGAGCCCGCAAAATATGACATGGGGGTATTGCGATCTTCCGCGTGGTAAATATCACTGATAACGCCTCCAACCATCGTCGAAAAGGTAGCTATAGTTAGTCAGGTCAGCACTGCTTCCTTGGAATCATACAGGCGCACAAAACATACATCCACCGATTCCCAAGAAAAATCTTGCGATGAGTAAACCAGCAAAAGAGTCCGTGGCCCCACACCCAACTAGGCATACTGCACTCTGTTAGACTCATTCTTTAATCCCCAATGTCATGGCTAAGGCACACCTGTGAACACAACACCGCTAGACACGAAGATCGGTCTTCTGCCGTTGATTTCCGAGAAGGGAGCTAGAACCATGGGGGCGATACCGAAGCCGAGACAAAACAATGTGATTCCCAAGTTGTACACAACCCTGCTTACACCCCATTTTGCGGTAAGCTCATCAGCCGGCGGGGTATATTCTCCTGCAGCATAGGCCGACATTGCAGTTACGCCGCAGGAGATCATTGTGATTACTGTCTTTCGAGGTTCGGACCACAGAAACGGCGAAGCATATTCTGAGAGGTCTGGACATGGCGGTGGAGCTGGCTGGCCAGGTTGCGGGGAAGAAAGGCCCACAGGCTGAGGTATTGGAGTGCCAAAGGTCAGGTATAACTCATCGATCGAGCTCTGTGAGATGTAGTTGCGTGGCGGAACCTCAGCACTCTGGTCGGAATTGCCCATGACCATTTTTGGCATTTTTGGGTGGGTGTAGCTATACTCGGCGTTCTGTCCGAAGGTCGGGCGAGATTGCCGACCCTTTGCCGAAACCATCTCCGCAATTTGTATATACTCTTTCCATCAGGGAGCCCGGCAGAGATGGGCAAGCGAGCCGAACTTATATGCCGCGGGGAGAAAGAGGGGAAGGGAGAGTATTATTCAGCCTTTCAGCGTCCAGCGAGGATCATCCCTCAAAATGAGTCGTGGTTGCGATCAGGCTCGGGTATCCCCAACCTTGGCTTCACCATGTGGGGTCGTGTTGTAGCGGAAATTCCGCGTTGCGGCTTGAAGCTTTAAGAAGGCCAATGAGCGCGTGAAGGCGACCATGGAACGTTTGCTAGTCAGGCAAGATCTCCTAGAGGGGCCAGTACTCAATAGCGAGTTGTTCATTGGTTGGTGCAGGAAAGAAGCGCTTAACAATCTCAGTTTTGCGGCCCTCGTTATGTTCGCCCTGAAAGCGCTACTCCAAGCCGAGGATTTGGACATAGGATTGCGACATTTAGCCAGAGGGCACTAGACATCTTCCCACAGCTGCCGGAATCTTTGGCGTCAGTACCTGCAGTTAACAGAGCTTGGATTGGGTTGCCATTATTGCCATCGAAGACTGAGACGCAGTATGCATCGCAGAAGGGAGCAGCAGGTGGAGCGAGATCACATGACATATATGATCTGCTTCGGGCTCGACGCGCGCCGTCGCGGTGTGGGCCCGAAGCCATCTTTGAGACTCTTTGATTTTTGACATCTGGGCCACAAACAAGCGTCAATTCACTTGTGCGCGATCTGGAAGGTTGTTACTAGTGAGTGATACTATTCCTGGTTATCCTGAAAATCTCTTGGAGTGCTACTCTTGAACAATTGACCAAAGAGCGACATTGTTTTGATCGTGGGGTACCTAGCTGCTTTCTCCTTTCGATCACTCAATGCGGGTAGAGCACTGCTAACGACTTGACAACTTTCCAGGCACTTCCAGCTCACCTACTGGCTCAAACCCATCAACTTTACGCTCTCTGGCCAGCGAAGGCTCACCGTCACTCGATTTCATCTTCTTCGGATCTTACCTGACCTTCCTCTCACTCGCATCCCACTTCACCCTCCTTTCCTCCCAATCAGCGGCATCAGCCAGAACCTCCATCCCCCATCAACTTCGCCTAGCTCTTCAACATTTCTTTCTTCTCTTCCATTATGGCGCTTGGCAGGAAGCGCAAGTCCGAGAGCGCGTCAGTCGCTAATGAGACTACCACACCTTCCAAAAGAGTACGTTCTACACAATCCATCTGGTCTCTATTTGTGCTGTATCCATACTCTTCCTGACTCGATTCTCGATTTATGCTTTCAATGCATTTATTGAGAGATTTTATTGAAAATGTCCACGAGCTGCTGTATCAGCCTACCCTCTTGATGTTACTTGTGCTTTCGTCTTATCCTCCTCTCAATCGCTGGATAGGGACAACATCGCCTTGCAGGTGGCTTGCGGTGTCACGTACCTCTTGAATCTAACGTGTCTCACCTCTAGGTCGCTACCGGCGCTGCTTCCACCCCGGCAACTCCTGCTACCGGAGAGAAAAGAGGTAGAGGTCGACCCCGTAAGTACCCCGAAGGCTCCAAACCAGCGCCCCCTGAAGGGCCGAAAAGAGGTCGCGGTCGGCCACCGAAGGATCCAGCCGCCAAAGGTACGTTTCTGCCTGTGTCAATGGTTTTTTTCTGGCTTCTAACACGCCCTAGGTACGCCAAAGCCAAAGACGCCTGCGAGCAGCTCACGGGGCCGCGGAAGGCCCAGAAAAATCACTGCCCAAACAAGTGCCAGCGTGTCTACGCCCAAAACGAATGCTTCCACAGCAAAGACAGACAAATCGGCAAACAATTCTGGGCCTTCCTACTGGTTGATGAAGGCGGAGCCTGAGTCTCGCCTGGATAAAGGAGTTGACGTGAAATTCTCCATCGACGACTTGCGTGATGCTAAAGAGCCAGAGCCATGGGACGGTATGCCTTCAATTCTAGCGCGCTTACTTTCATGTTTTATACTCATTATTGTTCTGATTAGGTGTCCGCAACGCTGGAGGTAAGGTCTCCTAACAAATAAATGGCTTCTGAAGGACTCATCTCACGTTAAAACAGCCAGAAACCACATGCAATCCATGAAGAAAGGAGACCTTGCTTTTTTCTATCATTCAAACTGCAAGGTACCGGGAATTGCAGGTATCATGGAAATCGTCCAGGAACACTCTACGGATGGTAAGTGTCTATGGCTAGAGTGCCTACGCAGTGGGGTGGCTGACCGGCATCTTCTGTTCAGAGTCTGCCTTTGATAAAGACCATCCTTACTACGACGAGAAGTCTAAACGTGACAACCCAAAGTGGGTTGTCGTCCATGTTGAGTTCCGCCGCAAATTCGAGAACTTGATCACACTGAATGAGCTCAAGTCCCACGCCAACGCCAAAGGACCCCTTGAGAATCTCCAAATGATAAAACAGGGACGTCTTAGTGTCTCACCTGTGACTGCCGAAGAGTGGGAATTTATCAACAGCCTCGTGAAGAAAAGTGAGGATGCCGACGCAGCAGAAGGCGCAAAGGAGGGGAGTGGTGCTGAAGAGAATGCTGGAGAGAATGCCGGAGTGAAACCCAGTGAGTGAATGACACGATTTCGATCCATGCCGTCGAATCTCACATGCATACCCCGTGTATCTACCTCCGATCTTCTTTCTATGTACATGTAGACGGCGCCTCTTCTATTCTCTTCTTTTCTTTCGGGCATTTTCTATTCATCGCCCACGCGATTTGCAGTCTATTCCGGCATGGCCATACGAAACCGGAGATTAGCTTGGTAATCAATTGTTGTTCCAGATCCGATGGTTCGGTGGTCCTCATAGAATTCCTCAGAAGGGTAGGTCTATCCGAAAGAGGGGCCAGCCCAGCGCCAAGCCCCGCTTTCCAGTGGTTTATCGCGGTTTATCTCATCACCTGGAGCTGCAGCTGTCACTGATTGTCAGAGCTTCCCTTTTCCTCCCCAACTGCATCCTGGCCCCTCCCCCTCCATCTCCTCTCGTCCTTTATGTCCTTTCTTCCCTCCCTCTCCCCTCATTTCCGTCTTTGTAGGCTTCGCCTCTCGACCTCCTCAACCTTCCAACCTCCCCGGCAGTTTCATTCTTCGCGCTTTACCATGTCTGACCTCAACATTCAACTGACAGCCCCCAATGGGCGCAAGTACACCCAGCCGATTGGACTGTTTATCAACAATGAGTTCGTCGCGTCAAAGTCTGGCGAGAAGTTCGCAAGCATCAACCCCAGGTATGTAACTGCTGACCGAGCTATTTTGCTTGGCATGCCGCTGATAGATATCACAGTGACGAGTCCGAGATTATTTCCGTCTACGCCGCAGGCGAGGAAGACATTGATATCGCAGTCAAGGCAGCTCGCAAGGCGCTCAAGGACCCGTCATGGAAGTCACTGCCTGCTACGGGCCGAGGCAATCTGATGCTCAAGCTGGCAGATCTTGTTGACCAGCACAAGGAAACTCTAGCCACCATTGAGACTTGGGACAACGGTATGTATCATATGTTGCGAATCCCATGCACCAATCTGACTTTGATAGGCAAGCCTTACTCGGTGTCTTTGGGTGATGACCTTACAGAAGTGATCAACTGCATCCGCTACTGCGCCGGATGGGCTGATAAGATCCACGGCCAAACCATCAGCACTACACCAGAGAAATTTGCCTACACACTTCGCCAACCCATTGGAGTCGTAGGCCAGATTATCCCCTGGAACTTCCCTTTGGCCATGGCAGCCTGGAAGCTAGGTCCCGCTTTGGCCTGCGGTAACACTGTTGTCCTTAAGCCCGCCGAGCAGACTCCTCTCAGTATCCTGTACTTTGCCAACCTTATCAAGGAGGCTGGCTTCCCACCAGGTGTTGTCAACATTCTTAACGGCCACGGACGAGTAGCAGGAACCGCCTTGGTCACCCACCCAGACGTCGACAAGGTCGCCTTCACCGGCTCAACAATGACAGGCAAGGAGATCATGAAGATGGCCGCGGGAACCATGAAGAATGTGACTCTCGAGACTGGTGGAAAGTCGCCCCTCATCGTATTTGCCGACGCAGATCTCGACCAGGCCGCCAAATGGGCACACACCGGAATCATGTACAACCAGGGTCAAGTCTGCACAGCAACGTCGCGCATCCTCGTCCACGAGTCCGTCTACGACGAATTCGTGAAGCTCTTCCGCGAGGCCGTTGCCACCACCAGCAAGGTCGGCGACCCCTTTGCCGACGACACCTTCCAGGGACCCCAAGTCACAAAGGCCCAGTACGACCGCATCCTCTCCTACATCGAGAGCGGCAAGCAAGAAGGTGCGACGCTCGTTGAGGGCGGCGTACCATACAAGAACGTCAAGGATGGGAAGGGCTTCTTCATCGCTCCGACTGTCTTCACAGATGTCAAGGACAACATGCGCATCTACCGCGAGGAAGTATTTGGACCATTCGTCGCCATTTCCAAATTCTCTGATGAGGACGAAGCTGTCACCCGTGCCAACGACTCGACATATGGTCTTGGTGCTGCCATCTTCACCAAGGACATTGAGCGTGCTCACCGCGTTGCTGCAGATATCGAAGCTGGTATGGTTTGGGTGAACAGCAGCAATGATAGCGATTTCCGTGTGCCCTTTGGTGGTGTCAAGCAGAGTGGTATTGGTCGTGAACTTGGTGAAGCTGGCTTGGAGGCTTATTCCCAGGTCAAGGCTGTTCATGTGAACATTGGGTTGAAGCTGTAGGGTAGAAGTACCCAGTCGTAGAAAATAATGCTTGTAAATGATGCCTTACTATATTATCGTTACTACCTATATTGAAATAAGAATGAAATAATGACGCTTGTCAGCCTGATTAGCATCGAGGTTCTTGCATTTTTAGGCTAGGGTATAAAAGTCGGTACTATCCTTGTGGGTGCCCTCGCTTCAACACGGCGTATTCTATGGTCAAGATCAATTGTTTCGAAGCATGTTCATGACTAATATTGGTTTCCTGGCGCCATCTTGTATAGCTGTTGACAGTGAGGTTCGTCTGAATGTGGTCAAGTCACACTTGGGGGTTGATATATATTTCTCCACGACAACGTCGAATAGATCATTCAACATTCTACAACCTGGACGCAGAATTCCTGAGCTTAATGGCAAACCTAACAAGGATTTATGTACGAAATGGTCTTCTCCGACCGTGAAAAGACTAGAGCCCTGCCAAAGCACAGGTAAGCAAGTAGCAGTACGGAGTAGCTGACCGGAGGGTTGACGCGTCGAGGTATGCGGCGCTGAACGACGTAGAAGGACGACTCTGGATACATTCGCAGAAGCATCAGCACTTACCACAATGTATACTCCGAGGTCAGGACGTGGGTCAGTCTCTGGATCATAATCTTCAGTTGAATACCATCACGCACAACGTTGAGGTAATCAATGCGATGGTTATACGTGCTGCTTCGTGCGTGATATCAAGCGCCTGTCTCTGCAAGTAATTGAACCCCTGTCACAAATATGGGGGGCTGGGCTTCTTGGGCATTTCCTTTCTTCTCGACGCGCAGGACGAAGCGTCAGAGATGATATAAGGATGGACCAGGCTGCTTATGATATTTGGATGAGGACCAGGTGACGCAGTACTCGACGCTGTCGTGGCAAGCCTGGATTGTATGGATTGCCTGCTGTTGATGTCGATACCTGAAAGAAGTCGCTGACGGGAGGTGTGCCTGATGAGGCTTGATGTTTGCTAGGCGGTTAGACACTATTTCTCATATGTGCCGAGTTATGGGGTTGGGTTTGGAATGTGAGGTGAGACCTGTGTGGTTGAGGTGGAGTTGGGTGGATTCTGGAGTCTCGAATCTTTGAGCAGAGAGGTACCTGTACTTTGAGCCTAAGAGAGCCGAACACCGTCTAGGAAGGTACCAGGTACCACGCCTGAAGCACGAGTGCCCAAACTGTGAAATGCATGACCGATAATACCGTATGAGTACGTTAAATACTAGCTGATTACCAAGGGCAGCACCTGGGTTACTAGGCGCGTGAGAAAGGAGCCTTAGCTGCAGATTGCCCAGCTTATCATGCATGTCGAGGGCCAGGCTATGTAAGAAGATACGTTGTCATGCATGAAGAAATGATCATGTGAGCGCAACTTTGTGTAGCCATGCATAAAGTATTTTATTGCTGCGTATCGCCCAGATGTTTGCTGCGGGAAGGCTTCGCATCACTCTGATCCAGCAGGAGTCCGAGCAGATGTGCTCTCAGTTTGATCGAGATTTGGAACATTTGATTTCCTATCAGATTTCGGGGCAAAAATTCGGAAAAAAAAAATCTGAAACGGGATTGGCCGATTTAGCTTTGTTCTCACCGCATTTTCTCTGTCTGCTGGGCCCAGTCAGGGAAATGGAATACCGACCTTGTTGGTGACCATGTTGGTGACATCGAGTGGAACACTATCAAGGAGCACATCCTGCGCTGTTTGCCTCCTGCAGGTACTTACCCCCGCGATTGCGAGCCCAAATCAATGCAGATGATCATGCATCGAGATTGCGCTGGCAGGCTCCACGTCGACGCTGGTCCGTGTGCTCGTGACTGGGAAAGTTGGTTGCCCGATTCTTCAGGCTACGATATGCTTGACCCACAGTCAACGGACCACCTTTTGCTGCTTTGGTGAAGGATAAATGCACTTCATGGGGATCATTCCTAGATGGTCCAACAAAGGGAAAGCTTTGCCATCTCTTCGCTCTCTACCGGAAAATGCTCGCGGTATCGGGAGTCTTACGCGACCTCCACAAGAATATTCCGAGGTCTGTGACGCCTAAGGGGCATGCTGGTGGCTCAAGAGGGCGATGGCCCGAATATTATTTCGATGGTCCTTCGAATTCGTCCTATTAATTTGTTTGCTTTTCTTTTGGCATGATTGTACCGAACAAACGGCAGATGCAGGCTTCAGGAGGCGTCAGAGAACGGGTGATCAATGCAGAGGAGGATGCAGACTTGTCGTTTCAACGGCTGTATGTCAAAAGGCTCGATTCCAACTGGTAGAAAATCTTACACAAAGTCCGGCAGTTTGGGACCCCGGCCGATGGTGCAGTGTCACATCCATGGAACAGCAAAACATTAGATTCAGGGACCGACAGCAACAGATAGGTAGGTATGCGGTTCAGTTCTAAATTCCATCGGTCGGATCAAATCCTATTTGTCCAAAGCGCCTCCGCTGGAGCTCCTCGACCGAGAAAAGTGAGGCGGCTCGACACGACAAGTGCGTTATAACAGGAGTGAGACTCGATGTGTCGCAGGAGGGCTGTGGAGGTGGAAAGACTTAGGACTCAGCAAACATGCAGAAACGGGGTCAAACCATCGTTTGTCATCAAATCGATGATAATTAGCGAGGCGCGCGGTCCTTCATTATTGAGTCGATTTCGACACGTTCAGAGCGAGTGCTTGATGATGTGCATGACAGGTGACAGGTCGCTTCCCGAAAACCTGCGCCCTTAAGATCATCAAAGGACCTCACTCAAGAACTCGAATCTCGGGCAGAAGAGGAATTATCAGGCAGAAGTGGAGCCGAATGACCTGAGTTCCGAGTTGTTGTTGAGAGGACTTTCTTCGACTAGACGAAGCCGGGGAACTTGGGAAGTGGTAAATAGTCGCGCCGTTTATACTCCGTCCACGGTCCAAGGAACATGGATCTAGATGTACCTGGCCCGAAACAGCACAAAGTGGCGTGGATGCGGACGCAACTGATCGCCCTCAAACACGACGACTCGCTGTTGCTCAAATTAGCAATCGCAAGAGGGAAGATGAAGACTTTGAGAGAAAAGACATGAGGCCTCAAAGCACACAGTTGAAGCAGAACCTAGTGTTGGAGATTGGAGAAGACATGGTCGGGAGTCTCGTGGGGGCTTGGCACTTCCGTCTTTCCCAATCAGCCACGCTTCAAAGTCCGATGAGCCTAGCTTTCTGCAACCTCGCTGCTTTTTTCTCCTGGCGAGTTATCAAATTGATTGATCCTTTCAACCTTTTATTCAAACTGAGCGCTATCGCCTCGGACTGTCCTTGAAGAAAACAAGCTCTTCGCAGCGCCACGATGTCTTCGGTCTCGAAGTGGACGGTTACTGAGGTACGCAAATCGGAACCCCGCTGGCGTGGCTCAATTATTGAACCAAACCAAGTCTCACTCCTGTCTCCTCTAGCCGTACGTCTCAGTTTCCGGAGCTTTACTTGAAGCACCGTTTTGGGACCAAGCCAAGAACGAATTTCGCTTTGTGGACATCTGGAACGAGAAGCTCTATGTTGTAGACCTTACCAGAGGCCCAGAATCCCTTCAAACCCTCGATACATCCGAGTCGATCGGGTTTGTTTTTTCCGAGCTAGTTTCTACGATTGGCGGTGTCGCTAACACCAAGCATCCAGTGTAACTGCCAATATCGCCGACGATGGCAATGGCCTGGAGGAGTACATAGTGGCCGCTGCTAAATACGGCTTTGCCCTCGTGAACCGTAAGACTGGCGAGCTTTCATACATTGCTAGGCCTTGGGATGAATCGGATAAGCTCCGCAGGCGAGTGAACATCTAGACACACCATTATGTGACGGGGTATCCTGACCATATGCAATAGGATGCGCTTCAACGATGGCGCGGTTGATAGCAAAGGTCGGCTATGGGCTGGTGCCATGAACGATCCCAAAGTGCAGAGTCCGGTCAACGAAGGAGTTCTGTTTCGTCTCGATCCGGACGGGAAATTGCACCGCATGGTTGAGCAACTGACGATCCCGAACGGCATTGGCTGGAATGCTGCCAACGATACGATGTATCTCACTGACTCCCCAACGGGGAAGATCTTCTCTTTCGACTTTGACGAAACCACTGGGGAGATTAGCAACAGACGGGTTCACTTTGACATTGGTGAGCCAAAAGAGCCGGATGGTTTCGCCATTGACGTGGAAGGGTGCATCTGGAGTGCTGTTTACGGTGGAGGCAAAGTTATTCGAATCTCACCAGAAGGGAAGGTTATAGGCGAAATTTCTCTTCCGACCCGAAACATCACCTGCCCGGCCTTTGTGGGGACGGAACTATTCATAACGACTGCCAAAGACGATACCAACGATGACCAATTCCCCGAGTCGATTCGGTACGGAGGACACCTGTATAAAGTCGATGTAGGGGTCCAAGGGCAGAAGAAAAACGAGTTTCAGTGGAATCAGCCACCGTCATCAGAGTGATGCTGTGAGCTCGGAAGAAAGCTACGGATTTGTGATAGGTTTGTTTTGGACGTTTTTGAGCAACTGAGAAGATGTATCCTCACCTGAGATGCGGCGAAGGGGCGTCATGTGAAATTGCTTTCGCTTGAATTTCCGGTCATTAGATCTTCCCGGGCTTGCTGGTTCCCAAACCTTGGTCTCTCAACCCTGGAGAAACAGCAAAGTCAGACGTACTTTTGGAACAACCATTGCGTTCATCAGTGACGATTCAATAGTGCGCTAATCCATGAAGTTTTGTTCGAGAAATGTGTAACGGTCCAACGTCACCTATGTACCCCTTTCGAGGACCTCGGAGGCCAAATCCATTGTCTTTCTCGATTCTTGATATACTCCGTACCACTGAGATGTCTCGTATCTTAGCTGCGGAGTCTCCACTCCTGGCTAGCCCATTGACCAGGAAAAGCAAAGATGAAAGAAGTACGGTGTAGTAGCTTGGAAACAAAAGTACAGCTCCAACTCAAGATAGAAGTACCGGTATAAAAGTGCGCGCGAGATTTGTGGAGCTCGAAAGGTCCAGGTTGACAGTACCCCTCGTAAAGGCAATCGAAACGTCTGCACAACAGTGCATGTATGCATATGCACGGGAGTCACGGATATGTTCGCTTCAGCAAGAGGATGCAACAAAAATCTCCGCTGCAAGGTTGAGGCGACGAGAAAAAAAGCCAAAACAATCTTATCCTCGCTCTTTCCCCGATCATGCGCTGATTCGTGTGTTTGTGTAATAATAGTAGATGGACTCGGTACCGGGTTCGTCTTTCCTCCTCAGCCCTTATGACGCAGTGCTCCCTTGTCTAATCTGATCTTCACTGGCATCTGGACCGAACAGGCAGTATATACGGCGACGGTGGCGCATTGTCCAGCGAGACAACCCGTAGACCATTCTCAATCTGTGCAATGCTCAGAGATGGGGCTGCAACCTTGCCAGGACAATACTACTGTGGAGCACGATCAGAGGATGAAGAACGGCGCACACCAAAGCCTCGATGCCTCAACGGAGGTTGGGCGGGTCGGCGTCGGACAATGTCTTGATGGTGTATGATTGTCGAGGCGACCCTGCTGTCATTAAGTTCTCCATGAGTGAGACTGGGGAATTTGAATCTGGTATGATACTACTGTAAACGTCGTTGCATACAAAACCGATTCAATGCAAGAAAAAGGGTCCGAACTGAGGGAGGGACGAATGGAAGACAGCCGTTGGAAGAAGGAAACGTCGATGCAAACCATTGCGCTTAACTCGGAATCCCATCGATAATATCGACTGACCATGCTTGCAGGTCTCCAAGAGCCTAGAGGATGGATATAACAGGGCGGTTAGAGCGGCATTGTCGTGGAAGGTGGGAAGCAAAAAAAAAAAAAAAAAAAAAAAACAAAGCATACATACACGCAGGCGATCAATCTGATCGAGATCCGAGGAGCGAGTTGTCAACGGACGTCCATGCCTAAATATTGTTCCAACGCACACCGAGTCCTGGACATTGGCCATCGCATGGAGGGCCCGTGAACCGCATCGCTGGGAAGAGTTTTAAAGTCTCTGCCAATCGCAGAAAAAGCCCGGCAACAGCGGCCAGCTCATGCAACTTCCCTCTTTCTCACACCTCTCGCGCCATCCCATCCCATCACCTCTCCGCCTTTTTCAAGCCTTCAATCAACGATTACAGTGGCCGGCCACTGAAACGGAAGATAGTTCCGTTGCCCTATTGAAGTTTAGCTCTCCCTTCTGGAGGATTCGAGGACGGCTGGCGGGTTCCTTTTGGCATTCTAGCATTTCCAGTATGAAGGATTCCTCGCCCTTTACCGTCTTTCGGGATCTCCATTCTGTTGGAAATAGTCTGTTTTGTCAGCTACTGATAGGCTAATTCACATCTCTTAGGTTACGCTATTTTCGCTGACACGCCTGCCCCGCAACAGCCCTCGACGAGTCGCCGACTCAACTGATAATTCAAAGTTCAGATCCAACGTGTCACGTCTCGGGAGCTGTGCGAAGCAGCCCTCGTGTGATTAGGATTTCTTGGGGCCTGCTTGTGCGGATCCTAGAGCGGATCGGCAAGAAGAGCGCCTAGAGTCTGCCTTCCCGTGTGGATATTATGTATGACGTTGGGGCCGAGGGAGCAGAATGCAGCGATGATCGAGGAATCATTCTGGAGAAAAGGTCTTCCTTTCAAATCCAGACTTGAGGGGTTTTGTGGGCCAATCATCCGTCAATTGCGGGACTGCATATCTTGAAACGACAGATTCATTGCCCACTCAAGTCTCGTCCACGGTTGACGCCGTATGCGACAGTGGGACGAGCCAGTGCCTCCAAAAGCATTGCCACTGAGGGCACCAAAGTCCAGAGAACAGCATGGCGATCCATGAAACGACTAGCTTAAGAAATTGCCCTTCACACTCTGATGTTCCGGCGAACCCAGGATGCACTTACAAAGAACAGCCGCGATACTCTCAAGAAGATTAATGATTGAGCCTCTTCTATTGTGAACCGTCGCTTACAGCTCCACTCAAGGCCAGCTTGTACTCGTCCTTTACCCTCCATTTGCTGCCTGGGCTGGAGAATTCCACGCTTGAAGCTCTGGCATGATCATCACTAATCATGAATGAGCTGAGCTGACGTGAAATTGGGAGTAGCCCTCAAACGTATGATTACGAGATGAGCTCACAACCTGTATATCATAGCCTCATGATGCATATCGCGAAGATAAACTTCTCGGAGTAATCAATTTCCCTCCTCAGGAAGGACTCCACTTCTATCAGGATGTCCCATCCAGATTCAGTTGATTTGTCCAGCATCGTTGCCTTATACCAGCCACGACATCCATGTCATACAGAAACCAGATAAAGGAAGGTTGATGCAGCAAGGCAGCGGGCCGTGGAGCCCATCATTAGCCAGATGGGGCATTCCATCCTGCCGTTATCCGGGGAGTTTTAACTTCTGCAAGATGATGATGGTCAGCGCCGCCTTGCTCACGTTGTTGCTTCTCTTGCTTGATGCCCAATAATGACGTAGCAAAAGCATGCATTTTCCAGCCCAAAAGCCACTTTGCGTCAATGAGGTTGGCTGAATATCGAACCGGACGCAAGACGGGATGTTGTTGAGGTACCATCAAGAAGCTGGTCCCGTCAATAATGGCTATATCTTTCTCGAACGGTCTACCCATATGACACCTTTTGGACCGTTGGATGAGCTCTCAACCTTTTAAGGCGTCTCATGGACCCGTGGCCCGTGGGTGACCAACGGCCGCCTGAGATTCGCTCGGCACGAGACAAGATGGACCGGCACCAATGGAAACCTCTTACCCATCGATTTTCAGAAAAGGGGCCGCCTTGCGAGATGTGACTGGTTACCGGGATGTCTGAATTGACCCGATAGGACGAAAATCCGGGAACGATGAACCAAAGAAGAAGCAGCTGGAAGCGAGGAGCGACGGGAGTGGAGTTCCATGAGTTGCAGAGCTGGAGGCAGATCTCCGCTAAACTCTTATCTCCTCGAGGAGGTGAAGCATTATGCAGGACATGGTGATTCCCCGAGTTGACTTGAATCTACATCGTTCAATAGTCCTGGATGAGGAGTAAGATCCCTGCCTCAATTGGCGGGATTGAATGTTTATAGAGCGGGATGGGCCCCTGGCTCCCGGACGAGGTCCGGACTCGGAGCGTCCGCTGTTCTCCGTCTCTTCCCTTCCTCCTTCCCTGAATCCCTGGCAGCAAGTCGACGAGTCGGGACTCGCAAGGGTGTCGGCGAGAGGTCCAATACAGTATTCGCTTTGAGCTTCGAGGTGCGTGTCTCGGGCTCCGCACCATCTTTTCCCAATCTCTTTTCTTTTTCTTCGGGGACCCGAATGGCACTCACCGAGTGAAGCACCTTTCTTTTCCACGTCGCTTCAAGCGGGTGTAGTGGAATGTGATAGGCCGCGAATCTCTTCCTCAGGGTATCGGAGACGTTGAAGAATATAGTGCTGGTGATAGTTTCAGGGCAGGTGAGCCAAGTTTCTCGACGCGCCAGATTTCAGGGGGTTAATTTACCGGCAGAGAGGTCAGTGGGGGGGGGGGGGGCAGCACGTTGCCTGCGCCCTGCAATAAAACCGAGTCGAAGATCGTCCTCGTGATTGAATCCAGGAGCTTTCGAGTTGAGCCGGCAACTCTGATGGTATGATGTTATCATGATTCTCGAACACTCGCCTATGGTACTTTGGTCTTGAGTCGGCAGTTTCGGGTGTCACAGAAGCGGTAAGCAGCTGGTCTGCGATAATCTTCAATCCTTGATTGTGGTGACTGACGGTTGGTGCTAGTCAGACCCGACTGTTCCCTGGTAACTAACCGTCGACCAGCCCGGTGACGTGCATGGCCAATTGCCTATCCTCCACTGGATGGGGAATAGCATCACATCCTTGGGTGATTCCGGCCTCCACTGTTTCCGACCACGTCCATGGTGACGGCGCCTCTTAGGAGCTCCCGGGTCACTCGCGAAGTTTCCCCAGCCCCGTTCCCCTGCTAGTTGCCTTTTAGTCTATACACTAGCCTGCCCTTTAAAGGATTTCCAGGCCTTGACCAATTGGACGCCCTCCATGGGCCTGCCACTCGATGAGAGAATCCGAAGCATGTCATAATAATATACGGATGCTAAGACTCGAAACAAACAAGCGACTGCTGCTTATTGCGTCACGTTTCGAGAGTGGTATACAGCATTTCTGCCCAATTGAGGCTTCCGTCGCTGCTTACCCTTTGCGCTCAGCAAGCACAGCCATTTCCCTTCAGGGCGATGCACATAATGAGCCCCGAGCAGATGGTACAAAGTACGTGTTTGTGCCTGCTTGGTTGCCAAATATATAACGTTTGGTTTGGCGCCGCTGGCTGACGAGCTTCAAGGTTTTCTTTAGTGCCTGTGCGTATCGTACGGTATGTACAGTAAAAAACGCTATATTTTCTTTTTCTTCTCTTTTTTTCTCTGCTGGGATTTCTTTTTCTTTATTTTCTCTAATTCGATTCAATAACCCATGATCGAGAGCTGGCTTTCCCCATGTGTCTTGCCTTTTCCAGCGCTGAGGGTTCATGGCCAATACTGGGCTTCACCTTTGCACACCGCTGAATCTCAACACAGCTTGCTGCAAACTCCCTCAGGCTACGATCATCCATGGGCCACTGACTTGGCTGCTCTTCTCAGTGTAGTAGATTTATAATTATAGGCGAGCATGATTGATAAACCCGTATCCTCCCCTCCTCCTGGTTTCCCTCCTGTTTGGCCCGTACCTAATACCCTTTTGTCTTCTCTGTATACCTTCGCCCACCCCCCTATATCGACCGTTCTTCCACGCTGCCGTTGGTGTTTCATATAATTCTGTTTTATTACAAGCTGGCTCTCGTATCCTTCGACCTCGAATAAACTTTGCTTACCCTTCTCCTGGGACTATAGTATTGGCTTGTAGTACGACTGTCCCTTTGCTACCCAACACAACACCAAAGGAGAAATCCGGAGACAGCGACTATTTGGAAAACCAGTTTCCCTTTCCACCCCATCATCCCCATCCATCAACACTCCTGTCTCTCCGTGTTCTCCCTTCACCGTGGCTACTCTCGGGATCAGTGTCTTGACCACCCCCTCATACCCCCCTCAAGCACATTCGCCACGCCAATATCATTCGCTGTCTGACTATCAACTCAACCATCCCGCACCCGGCCCCCTCTCTCGCGCTCCTCTTCACGAGTCCTCGTCGGCTCTTCTGGAGCGAGAGGGGGTCTCGCCATGCCCCAGGACGACTCTACGGCACTCCTTTGATAGAAACGCGGAGCATATGTCGCAGATCCCCCCGGTCTTAGCTCAATCTCCAACCGATGCACATCCGCGTGAGGACCGCGGTTCGCTGGAGCGGAAGAGACGCCATACAGGCGACGAGAACCTTCCTGACATGGAGCGGCGTGGATCCGTGCGCTCTCGGCCTTCTTCCTGGCACCCGTCTGCTCCTGTTGAACCGCCGCTGAGCTCTTCGCAGCATCGCTCGATTGGTGTCAGTTCGATCCTGAATCATCCACCAGCGGATGGGCTAGTGACTCGAACTGGCTCTGTAGACAGTGGTCGCGAGGGGCTTGGAGGGGATCAATACCAGCAACAACGACTGTCGTCGGACTCGCCGTCTCACTCTCGGTACCCCTCTTCGTCAACAGTGCATCTACCTTCTCCTTCAATGCACCCCGCAAACCCTCCTTCAGCATTGTCACCTGGGATGAGGACGCGCCATCAGAGTATCGCTCCTGTCTCGCCGTCCTCACACTTTGTGGGTGCAACAGGTTATTTCCCTCCAAAACCCGGGCCAGGCCAATCCCCTCTCGCTCAGCAATTGCCAGGCCTTCAGACGGTGGCTCCGAGTTTACCTTTATCGATTGACACCGCACCAGGGCAGCTTCTACCTGGGTCAGTTCACCACCACCAGGTTTCGGTACACTCGGCTTCAACATTCATTGGCCACCGCGCAAGTACGAACCAAACACCTACACCTAGCTCGAAGGAAACCAGTCCGACGACACCAGTGTCCGTCTTCAGTCAGCTAGGTCGATCGTCGCCTGCTATCGCTGCAGCATCTGCGCCTCAGTCGACACCGTTGTATCCCCAATACGCCCAATTAGATCCCATTACTCGATTGCCAATCATGGATTGCCCATGGCGCTCAGGAGAGGAGACATCAGGCTTAAGCGGGCCTCAGCCGGAGACGCTTCCACGGAGGAATATACCCTGCTTTAAAGACGAGAAGTCGGGTTCTTCAATTCAAGCAGAAAAGCGGAAAGCAAACAGTGACGCCTCGCGGAGGTTTCGCAACAGGAAACGGAACGAGATGCAGATGGAGCAGAAGATTACCTCACAGCAAGATGAGATTCGCAAACAGGCGGAGACCATCCAGAAGCAGGATGAAGAGCTTCACGTGCTGAGAAAACAGCGGGATTTCTATCGCGGTGAACGAGACTTCTATCGTGAACAGGTAAATCGCTTTGTTCCAGCTGACCAACTCCCTGCGCGAGGTACCTCACCCGAGCCCTTATGGCTGAAGTCTGACCCAACAACATCGGGCAAGGAGTCGTCCTCGTGGGCAAGCCCTGACATTCCCGTGAAGCTTGAGGGCCCGCCATCCGGATCTACAACCCACCAAAATACATCCGGACTTCATGCGCCCGCATCAAATGTATCTTCGATCTCAGCCTCGAGGGCTGAAGGGAGTTGGTCCGCCATCCCTACTTCATCCGCATACCCAATAAAGGCCGAACGAGTGACGCCAGACGAGCGCCAAGCCAGACCAATGCCGCCGACTCCGAGCTCATGGAGTCGCACTACTTGATGAAGATGATACAACAAGCTTTTCGGACGAACTACGTTAAGCATCCGGTCCGATACAGGGTACAGGGATACGCCTGCAGAGTCGGAGACTGGTTATGCTCCTATCCCTGTCCCTGCCCTTGTCCTACCTGACAAGGTTTGGAAATTAAAAAGTTATGGGTGTTTTATCCTAAAAGTGACAACATACACTGCATTGGTATATCGAAGCGAAGATTATACAAGGTGGATTGGCTTTTGTCGTTGTCGTCGTCGTCAGGTGCATCGTTCGCTTATACTGCACATATCTCTGATACGTTTACATGTTTGGAACGCGTTCTGCTCTTTACCGATGCAAGAAGACATCAAGTCTGGAGAATATTGTCTCATTATAGCTGGTGCTACTTTGGTGTTTGGATATGGTATTGTTATTCTGCTAGTTGTTGTACACTCGAGAACGATACCTTCGTACTGCTTCATCAGTTCTGCGGAAATGAGCGTGCTTCTGCTTCAGTTTCATAGACTGTATCACTGTATAGTACAATTGATCGGCAATAAGAAAACCTCTTGAGCAAAGCACGTGTGTCACCTTGTCCTTGACTCCAGATCGATTAGCTGCGTGGAGACTGCGATGCTTGTCTTGGGCCAATATTTGGGGGTGCCGGTGCCAGAGCTTTAAGGCAGCCAACCACCAAAGCGCCCGGCACCCACGTGGGTGACATCCAGCCTATCACCAGTGCATCCCTTTGGCACCCTTGCATCCACCAGGTGCCAATGCCTTGATTATCGCTTTGTCGTCTAACGTCCCGCTGTTTAGCGGAAATGCTTCTTTTCTTCAAGTCTCGGGGTGGACACCGGACACTGACTCTATAGAGCTATCAATCCACTACGCCCCGGGACGAAGATGAGGGGACTATCACCACATTATAAGCATGAGTGCCCAGGCTGGGGCGGGAGAGGGGCAGGAAGGGGCAGGCTCGCCTTCGTTTTCATCATGGCGCTCATCATGCTTTCACTTGCCCTCTTTCATCTACTTTCGAGGTGAGATTTCTTTTCTACATCTTCATGACGTGATGCTTATTCGAGCAGTGTCTCTGCCACCCCTCCTGTCCGCCAAAACCAGTCTTGCAACTCCGTTGACAACGGCTACCACTGCTTTACGCATATCTCACATCTTTGGGGCCAATATTCGCCTTATTTCTCCCTGGAGCACGAGTCGGCTATCTCTCTAGATGTACCTAGCGACTGTGAGATTACCTTTGCGCAGGCGCTCTCCCGTCATGGTTCGCGGTATCCGACGGAGACAAAGACAGCAGCATATGCTAAGCTAATAAATGCCGTCAAGGCTAACGCGACTTCATTTACGGGGAAGTATGCCTTTTTACAGGGCTATCACTATACCTTGGGTGCAGATGACTTGACCACTTTTGGAGAGGCGCAGATGATCGATTCGGGAGCCAAGTTCTATCGTCGGTATAAGACTTTAGCAAAGAGCATTACTCCATTCATTCGGGCGTCTGGATCAGATCGTGTTGTGGTGTCTGCAGACAAATTCATCGAGGGGTTTCAAAGCGCGAAGCTCGGGGATGGCAATCTTAAAGGCGATGCTGCAATCATTAACGTTATCGTCCCTGAGGGCGTCGGGTTCAACAATACCTTGGACTCCAGCACCTGTACGGACTTCGAGAACAACAAGACAGGGAGCGTGATAAAGTCGAACTTCATGGCCTTAATGACGCCACCGATCTGCAAGCGATTTGAAGCTGAACTTCCCGGCGTCAGCTTGACAGGTCAGGAAGTCATCTACCTCATGGACATGTGTTCGTTTGATACCGTGGCAATCACCACAGACGGTAGCGAGTTGTCTCCATTCTGCGGTCTCTTCTCGGACGAAGAATGGGTACAATATGACTACCTGCAGTCCCTAGCCAAGTACTATGGTCACGGCGCTGGCAATCCTCTCGGCCCCGCGCAGGGTATTGGCTTCGCCAACGAGCTGATCGCCCGACTCACGCAGTCTCCTGTGAAAGACGACACAAGCACGAATCGAACACTAGACTCTAACCCAGCCACGTTCCCACTAGACACCAAGTTGTACGCCGACTTTTCGCACGATAACGATATGATCTCGATCTTCTTCGCTATGGGGTTGTACAACGGCACCGCGCCTCTTTCCAAAACTTCCGTCCAAAGTATAACGGAGATGGACGGGTACGCGGCATCGTGGGCTGTCCCATTCGGCGCGAGAGCCTACTTTGAGACGATGCAGTGCAAGAACGAAAGCGAGCCGCTTGTTCGCGTCTTGATCAACGATCGGGTCATTCCGTTGCATGGTTGCGAGGTTGACCGGCTGGGACGCTGCAGGTTAGACGACTGGGTCAGTGGGCTGAGTTTTGCTCGGAGTGGAGGGAACTGGAAGAGCTGCTTTGCTGGATAAATAGAGGGGTAGCAGCAGTTGTGACTTTTGCAAAGAAGATGTGTGTCTTCACGTGCCTGAATTACCTCAACAGCTGCATCATATCTCTAACAAACACCGCAAAACACCGCAAATTTATGATGATGAACCCAATTATTTCAAATCACCTTGTGTTGCCTGCCAGCATGGCCTCCTTTCATCTTTTCTTCTTCTTCCTCCCTCTTTCCGTGTCTCTGTCTATCCCATCTGTCCCGTCCATCCTAACCATCATTCCAGGAACATAACCAACAACAAAATGGACCAGGATACACAAGACCAGGACGACGTCTCATCCTTTATGTCAACGTCCTCACAAGAAGAACCAGAAGACTCTCTACCCCTCCTATCCAGACCTGGTCTCTACTCACCCAAACCAGCTCTGATCCTCCTCGCCCGAACCCCTCACCAGCTCCCCAAAACCTATCCTTCCATCATATCGAAGCTGCAGCGCGACGCCCACTTGATCACAATCCCAACAATCTCAACCTCACACAACCCGATCGAAACACTAACGACCCTCCTAACGAACCCAACCATCACTCCGTCCATTGCAGGAATCATCATCGCTGACACCTCGATCATGGACGCTGAGGATCCGTGTATGGTCAAGTTGACAAAGACACTCCGAGACCTCATTCAAACCCTTCCTTCTCGTCCTCATTATTCTCACCACAGCCATTCCACCAACTCCAACAACAACAACCACAATCCGACAACCCCGACCCTCCTCTTCGCCTTCGACTTCCCCGCCCAGGCAGCGTATCGGCCCCTCCTCTTCCACAAATACATTTCAACGCACTTCAGCCTCCCATGGCGGATCTGCGGAGCAACAATGGGCAAAGTCTCTCTCGAAATCCAGGAGTCGGGCCTCACTAGGATGGGCGGCAGAATGTATCGCGGACAGGGGTACTCGCTCCGCGCGGTGTTCCTGGAGGACGTGCCGGAGGAGGATAAAGTGCTTGTCGTTGCGCGGGGTGCTAGTGTCGGGAATGGCGGATTAGGGAGGAGTGGACAGCCGGGTGTTGAGCCACTGGGGATTGAGGATGCAGAGAAGCACGGTGAAGGAGGTCAACTCACTGAAGGCTTGTTGGTCGGAGCTTGGAACCAAGGAGGAAATGCAGGAAACGAGACGGATAGTACGGCTGGAGAAGAAGGGGTGTTCGAGGTTAGTCGTGTTGAAGTTGGAGAGGGCACTGACTGGACTCTTGCGAGGCCTCGATTCGATGAGCACGGCGAGGCGTATGACCTTACAGGTCCCGAACACGAAGATACTCGCATGGCCGAACAAGAACACTGCTGGGAGGAATACGACTGGGCAGACGATGAGCTGACGGACACCACGGACCTTGACTCCGATGAGGAAGCAAGCTCTAGTTCTAGCAGCGACGACACAGACTCCGACACTGACAACACCGGCATTCACAGCAACAGCGGACAACCAGGAAAGAGGGTCATCTACATCAACGCCCCTACTCACCGTTGTACAAACATAATCTCCTCCTCCTCCTCCTCCTCCTCCTCCTCCAACGATCCCCAGACCCACCCCCAACCGACCCCTCAACCCGTTCCAAAACACCCACAGAGGAAACCCAAACCAACCCGCCTCGCAAACTGTCCCGTCGCAATCCACGAGCTACAATCCAGCACCACCTTCCAACAAGGCAGCAAGCGCGTGCGCGTGCGCGGCTTCGTTGGCTTCGTCGGCCACGTCGAGGATAACCGGTCGATGGCGAGCTTGATGTTGGGTATGTGTGCTGTGAGAAATACCAGGCCGCTGCCGGAGGGTGTCAGAAGGGATTTGGGGGTTTATTTTGGGTAATGGTGTTGTTGCTGGTGTTGGTGCTGGGTTAGTGAAGAGGGTGTTGGCAGATGACTGCTTGCTTGGATGTGAGATTGGGGTTCTCGTTTACTCTCCGCTCTGATGTTTTTCGCTTGTTGTGTGTTTTTTTTTCCCTGCTTGCTCTGATGGAACGGTAAACCGAATGTACAGTGTATCAAAACCTACGAAGCCAGGTTGGGATGAAACGATATGGAAGGAACTTGAAAGGAAGAAATGTACCTAACTAGGATAAGCAACGCAGCGCCATGCTCAATAAACAACTACATACACAGATACATACACACTCAACCATAATAGTACAGTAGCTAACCTCGTGCTAGAATCAACACCAAGGATCACTTCTCTTCATCCCCTTTACCTGGCACCCCAGCCAACCGCTTCGGCTGCTTGTCGCCGTACGCTAGAAGGGAAAAAACATTAGTCTCGCCTCGAAGAAGCAGGTACAATCCGGAACGAAGCCCAGAGTATCGAACTGAACTGAACAAAAACAAAAATCAGGGTCAGTACTCACTCCTCTCAAACAACACCCAGGACGTATAGAAGAGAATCGGTAGCGCCACGATCGTCGTCGTCCATCTGATACACGGTGTCAGCTCTCATTTCTACCCCGTACGTACCCCTACACAGTACTATATAGTAAAAGGTATAACTTACCGCCTCGCTGCAGTCTTATACGCCTTCGTCTGCCGGATATCCTTTGGCGGTGGTGGAGGAGGACGGATATGGGGGGTTGGGTTGACCCGGGCTTGGGGTTTGGATTTAGGGGGTTGTTGTGGGGTGCCCATTTTGGTTCTTTTTTTTTTTTTGTGTTTCTCATCCACTTCTTTGTTTATTAGCCTGACTGCTTGAATTTGACTCTATTTTCTGTGGCTTGAGATTTGATCTCGAAAGTGAGGTAGATGGATGTACAAGATGAGATGAGAAAAAGTGGTGATCCTCGGCGGGTGTGAGAGGTCACGTGCTCAGGCTTTCGTCCAAGGTCAAGGGTAAAGTTGTCAATTTTTGGTAACAAGGGAATTCAAATAAAATGGTAGGCAGTTGGCTCTTCAAGGTTGAGATGAGGTACTAGTAGTAAGATGAGGTAAAGTACAATACGCATTATCTAGGTGTCATCACGTCCTCAAGTTTGCTGTGGCCTGTGCAAATAACACAAAAAGAAAGGACATTGGAGAAGAACTTCGAAGTGACTAGCCGACTAGGTACTCATCTGCAAAAAAGAGGACCTTCATCCATTTTTTACACTGTCGCTAGTGGGTAAAAACGAGAAATTTAGAGGACAAGATGCGAGATTGAATGCGATATGACAAGAAAACAAGAAAGGTCCGCCGGTAACATGCAAGATAAGAGAAGCCGAAACTGAGACGAAAATAAACCTGAAGTCGACGCGCTGAATAAAGTACGTATGTAGTTGTTGAAGTGGTGGTAGAAGTAGTAGTGCCATGCAGACATCGCTATGCTTGACCCAAAGCCCGGTGCCCATGACTCCGATAGGATAAATCAAAAACAGGATTATTTAATTGAGGAGATGAGGAATGAAATAGAAGAGGTAGAGAGGTAAAACTTAGATGGTCAATAGCATCAAAACCAATCGGTGAATGTTTGACCGTTCAGTTTTTATCAACGTTCATAGGATTGACAGCTGCCGGTCGAATCGGTGACTCGGCGTGGCTCTCGTTGAGTGCGGTGACGTTCTTCAGAGGCGTCCCTTTCCTCCGGGCATGGGCGGCACGAGCGCGTTCAGCACGGCGGGCGCGGTCTTCAGCGTGCACTTGGAATCCTGCTATCAGCGCTTGTGCGGCGCGGCGACGAGGTCGGCCTCCAGGTGTCGTCTCGGTAGAGAATTGCTCAGATGAGCCAGGGGTGGCGTTAGTCTTGGTTTCTGCGGTTTTGGCAGGAGTGGAAGGAGGGCCCATGGACTGTGTTGCTTTTGGGACTGTGGACGTTTCGTTTGGCGTCTTCTGGGCTGTTGGGGCGGTGGAAACCTTTTGGACTTTGGGAGAGCGCGTGTCGTGTCCATGTGATTTCTCCGGGGTAGTAGTGGTTTCTTCGAGTTCGGAATGGGGCCGTTTCTTTGACTGCTCGCGGGTTGCTGCGCTGTCACTGGAAGCAATATCCTCGAGCATGAACTTCTTCTTTCCAAAGCTAAGAGTGATTTTGAGAGACTTCTTGTCTGGAGACGAGGCTTCTTCTTCCGTGCTGGGTTCCGATGGCGGTTCGGGCGCGGGCTCCGATGCGGGCTCCGGTACAAGTTCTGTTGCAGGTTCTATTGCAGCAGGCTCAGACGGAGTAGGGTTTTCCGTCTCTTGGCGGCGTCTCTTTGGATTTGGGGTCTCTGCAGGATCTTTAGGAGTAGATGCGGTGCCAGCTCGACGTCGCTTTCGAGTGGACGCTGGAGGCTTCGACTCGGCGACACTCTCAGGGGCAGGAGCCGGGGGTGGCGGCGGCTGTCCGTTATCGTAGAGGCTGATGAGCAACTCGATTTCGTGCAACGGCATATATCTTGTGACAATGATCCCTCTCGCGCGGGCCGCTTCCTTTGCTTTGAGCTTTGCTCGCTCCTCAGGGACATTCTCGAGGAGGAAGAAGCCCTTGATATCAGCGGGCACATTACGATCTCCAATGCAGGGGGGATAGCCAAACACGCGGTCCGCTTCGGACTGGACGTATGACCTCAGACGGACAGGGGGTTGCGGCAGGTCTTTGTCGCCATAGGTGTAGTTAGGACGATACCATTCATACTTCGGGCCGACGATGACGAACTCTTCTCCATGCTTGTTATGTTGGCCTGTGTGTTCCCAGCCATCAGCATCAGTCCACGGGTCCGAAACTTGCACATTCTCTAAGAACGTCTCGCTCGTGGGCGGGGTTTCTTCGGCCTCCGCCTCTTCTTCTGTCCTTGGTAATGGTTCAGCAGCTTCATTGGGTTCAGAGGGTTGGGCAGGTTGGGCAGGTTCGGCGGCCTCAGTAGGCTCAAAGGACTCGACAGCCTCGGAGGCTTCGTCGGGATCAGCGGCCGCAACGGCCTCAACGGGCTCAGCGGGCGGAGGAAGCTCGGTAGCTTCGGCTTCTTTCTTTCTATGTTGCCCATCAAACTTGTGCTGTAACTCTGCAAACCATTTCTCTGTCTCAGGGGGTAAAACAAAGTCATCAGCCAGTGCGGCCGCTGCCAGCTCGTAAATCTGCTTGGCTAGCGCAGCAATGTCGAGGGCCGGGGTAGGTGCAGTTGATGTAGGTGGTTGCGGGCTTGGCTTCTGCCTCGAACGTGAGCGAACCTCGGCCGTGTCAGTGTTGGCCGCGTTCGTTGTCGTGTCGGCGGCGGCGGAAGGTTTGGCGGACGGTGCACGAGGACGACGGTAGCGCTGCTCGGATTCAAACGACTCCAAGGCGCGAGCGGTCGGCTTACGTGCACGGCCTGAGGTGCGTGCTGCAGTGGAGGTGCTGGTGGACATGCTGTTGGGAGATGTAGGAGCGTCCATCTGGCCATCAAGGCCGTAGTTGTTTCGGTACATCGCACTATCGTACTCGAGATGATTGTCATTCTCAGGGGGTGCGACTTGTGCGGCCTCATCTTGGGCGTTTCGTTTCGCCTGTTGCTGAGCAAGGATCGATTCCAACGACTTGCGGCCCACGTTAAGTGTTACCGTATTGCTCAGTCTATTTGAACGTTGAGGTGAGGGGTGTTCAGAGGTATTTTGAGCTGTAGCATTTTCAGATGCCTTGTCCTGACTAGGAGTCTGGTCAAGAACTCGGGATGATCGACGATCGCGGCGGCGAGATCTAGTAGAGGTGTTGGGAGTCTCTGCTGGGGTTTGCTTGACAGAAGTGGCGGATTTGTTTACACCATTTGGTGTCTTAGCAGTAGCAGCTGCAGGAGTGTCGGGAGGGGGCTTGGTGATCTTTGTGCCCGTGTGGGCAGCAAGCCTCGACCTGCGGTCCCGACGGGATGACTGAGGAGTAGAGGCATCTGCCGATGAAGCCTTGGTGGGAGTGCCATTCTCCTGGCCCGCATCGTTGAGCCGAGTCGACATTGACTGTCTAGTCTTACGGGTGTGAGACATGCCAGCGCCCATTTCAGAGTCTTTGGTTGTCTCTGAGGGTTCAGGTTTGACAGTGATTGTCTGGTTGCGGAGAGGAAGTTTTCTGGGGGAAATAGCACCTTGCTCTGTCTGAGGTTGACCAGGCGTGGCAGTAGGGGTAGATTTGGAACTTCCAGGAGTCGGGGCTTTTTGGGGTGTGTCAACAGCACTGGAACTCTGGGAAGTTGACAGAATCAAGTTGCTGTTACGAGTAGGTCTGGTAGACTTTGGAGTTTGAGATGGCTCAGAAAAGGCTCTGTGAGTCGGGGTTTCCAAGACACTTTTGGAAGGCAAAGTCTTGTCCTCTGAATGAATGGCACGCTGTGTTCTGCGGCGTTTTGAAGGGAGAACCTCTTCAAATGATGAAGTAAGCGGGGTTGGGGGAAGAGAATAAGATGATTGGGGAACGTTTGACGTGTTCAGTTCAGGGTGCGCTGTTCTCTGAGACGCCTGAGAAGCCCTAGACGAACTGCGTCGAGAGCGCTGCAAGAGTCAGTGGGGGCTGGGGAGAAACTACAATGAGACTTACAGAAGTCAAGTCTGGCAGAGCAGGAGAGCCGAGCTCTCGTGTAACAGACCTGGCAACCACTGTGAGGTGTTGTTAGCTTGATCGAATTCATGCACGAAACCAGATGGGAAGCCAATAAATCCAAGATCCACAGGGGCCAAAGACAATGCAACAGAGCGTTCTCACTTTTTACACGCAGTGTTTGAGGGGTCTGTTAGGTCTATGTGCAAAATAACCCTTATTTGGTCTATAGTTGCCCTCCTCTTGCTTTTGGCCTAGTTCCCCTCTTAGTACCCTAATATCTCAAGCTATGGCGACTCAAGCACTCGGTATGAAGGACTCGACGGTTCGATCGGTAATTTAGGCTTGCGTTCAAATTACGTATCAAGGGCGCTTCGTTCAGGGCAGACCTACAAGCAGCAAGACAAGTCAGAAATGAGTAACGGAGGGTCCGGATGGGGACCCGGGAACTCCTGGAGGGCACAACTCCTTCCCCCGCACCACGGCACTACTTACAGATGACTTGAATTGTCCCCGGTAACCTCAATATCCCAATTATTCTTTTCCAGATGCTACCAGAGCAGTGTTGGAGGCGTCAGCAGCCGGATCGCAGGGGTTCCGTCGGTGAGGCGATGGCGAAGCAGGCGGAGGGTCAGACGATTTCGCGGGCGCAAAAGTCGTCCATAAACTAGGCGAAATCGTGATCGGGCATGGCGGGAGTGAGCGGGACGGTCTTCCGGGACGATCGAGTGCGTCTTGGGCGCAATAGTCGTTGGCGCGAGGGAACAGCGATGTCGAAAAACAGGAGGTCGAGGAACGATGGGTTTGAGCCCGAAGGAGAAGAGCAGAATTAGGGCTTGAACTCTTGAGGTCACTGGACCCAAAAGCCCCAATCCCGCCCGGGCGCTTATCTTAGCGCTTCTGCAGCAACAACTCTCCCTCGACCTCTTCCAAGCTCCACGTCGCAATTTCATCGTCAGCTACATTCGTTCCTGTGCGCAATGCAGTGGTGGCAGACAGTTCTCCAGCTTTCTGTGCTGGCCTCGGCCGCGCTCCCCGCCGCCGCCGCCAGCTGGGGCTTTGTTGATGCCACCGTGTCAGTTCAGACCAAGGGCGCCGGCGTCGGCTCTGGATTGAAGCATGAGTACGCTGCTCCTGCTCTTTCTTTTCTTTGCTTGTACCCTGCTATATTGCAGTAATAACTCGACCGTTTTATAGTATCCCCTCGAATGGCGCCCTTTCCGACCCCGTTCCCCTCGGCAATTCGGATACCCTCAAGGTCGCCCTGACAGCGCAAGAAGGCAAGTCAGCCAAAAGCGCGCACCAAGTCTTTCTCCTCCTTCAAGAACCGACTTCTGGCCTAGACATTGCGTACCCTTTCTCCGTCAAGGGTAACGGCAAGTCGCGGGTCGAATTGGTATGAAACGCGAATCTCCGCACCCCCGAGGACTAGCTGACGTGGCCTAGACATGGAAAGACCTTCCCTCCCAATTCCTCTCTACCTCCAACGCTCTCGATGCCAGTATTCTGATCGGATCGTTTGGAGAGTCTCAAGCTTACAACGCGCCCGCATTCAAGCTCTCCCTCGCCCGCGGCCCCGATGAGCCCGTCCCGACTTTCGAAGTCTCGAGATATGGAAAGCTCCCTGAGATCCATCACATCTTCAAGAGCGACCCTCAAAGCCCTCCTGTCGTCATCACCCTCGCTTTCCTTGCGGCAGTGCTCGGCGCCTTCCCAATACTAGCTGGCTTGGTGAGTTCCTATGTCTTGCGGATGCGAAAACGTAAGCTGACCTGTATTCCTCCCTCTAGTGGCTCTACCTCGGCGCCAATATCAGCCATCTCCCGACAGCGATCAAGTCGGCGCCTCTTCCTCACGCCGTCTTCCTTGGCTCGCTCCTCGCCATTGAGGGCATCTTTTTCCTGTACTATACTTCCTGGAATCTGTTCCAGATCCTTCCTGCTGTCGCTGCTGCTGGAACTGTCGCGTTCATTAGCGGAAGCCGTGCCCTTGGTGAAGTTCAGGGTAGACGCCTTGCTGGCCTCCGATGAACGAGTAGCAGACACCCAAAAGTTGCAGCGTAGAGTTACCATAGCTTGTTCGAGCCAGCGCTCGGGAGATACATGTAGAATTGCCAAATCAATCAAAATACACAGATACTACCAAAATCAATTGTACATATATTCAAATTTCAGAATTCCCCAATAATAATATTTGTTTGACGTCACCCTATGGTGTCCATTTCGGCCTAGCCCGCCCAAACTCCGGCAAAGCAAATCCATCTCCAGAAAGTCGGAACATTTCATCCAAGCACTCTGCATCCCCTCAAATACAACCCTACAATCACAGAATGGGCTCATCTGCCTCGAAACCAGCGCGTTCTGCGGCGCAAGCTGCCACTCGCCGCCAATACCCCAAACAACCGTCCACTCCTTCTCCCGCGACCACCACAGCTCCCCGATCCAGACCTCCGAGCGCAGCTCAACCACCACCTCCTTCTCAAACTCCTCCGCCAGTGCCGAGACCCGGTATTCGACCACCCGCACAAGGTCAGGGTCCAGAATACCAGTCCAAAGAGCAGGCTTCTATTGAGAAATCAGCTGGTACGTTGCGCTCTCCCGCTTCCTAAGAGGCAGATCACAGCCACCGGCCTCCGCAACCACAGTTGCACCGAAACCTTTCCACCTTCATCGATCAACCTACCCGGCCCCATTCGCACCCTAACTAAGCCAAGTAAAGCGAAACTAACACGCCCTTGTTTTCTCAGTAATCGACCTCGACGGCCGCGACCCCCACTTCGCCGCATCCCTCCGCTCCATCGGCCCGGTGACCCCCTCACCCACCCTCTCAAACTCAAGCACATTCGCACAAACTCAATCGCACCTCCAATCGCAATCTGCCCCAGGCAACAACCAATCAGTCTTCCCTACCTCTTCCAACCCCGCCCTCCTCGCCATCACCGCCCGCCAACGCATAGCCCGCGAAGCCGAGGCCGAGGCTGAAGCGATGGGGCAAGGGAATTTTGCGGGACGGAGGTATCTTGATGCCTTGACGATTCGGCAGGCGTTGCATATGAGGGATAATCAGGGACTGCCGGGGAGGGAGATTGAGAGGGTGCTGAGGTTAAAGCAGGGAACTGTGGAGAGGTTAGGTGGGAAGGGGGTTATGGGGGTTCCCTGATTGATCGCTGATTGACTAGGGCTTTTGAGGAGAGAGGGGCTTGGAAGGTGTATGAATATCCAGGCTTGCTGGGAGAATCTGTATGATATTGTGTATATTAGGTTCTGATGTGGGATATAAATGGCTGGAGTAGGGGTTTTAAGGTTATGCTTGACGACTACCATCGTTCCTCTCGTTTGCATATGAGCAGCCAGACAATCATTGATTCATGGCAACCACATTATCGTGACCTCACATAACAATAGCCATATCTCATTTCATCCATCCGTTCCATCCCAGCTCCTCCGGCTCACCCACACCAGTCCAGCATCTCCTCCAACCACAAGCCATCACAGTGTATACTTGAAAAGCGGGGACTTATCCCCCATACTCAGCAACTCATCATCCGTATACCTCTCCCGTACCTCTCCCTCATCCATCTTCGCCTTGCTCTTATTCCCCCACACAAAACTCAGCTCAAGCGCCAATGCAACAAGCAAAGCCGACCCCCCAAACGCACAACTCAGCCCAAACCCCGTATAATACTTCGGCTTCTCAGCCTCCAAATACATATAACTCCCGACAACACCTCCGATATTCCCAATACAGATATTAAACGCGAGACCGACAGCCCTCCGGCTCGACGGCGCAAGGTTATTCGCTGTCCAGGACGTTGTTGCCGGGTGGATTGGGTAGATGCCGATGCAGGTGAGGATGATTGCGAAGAAGGCGGGCCCGACGTTTTCAGCGAGTTTGCCCTTGAGTGAGATGATGATTGCGTAGCCGATTGTTACGAGGCACAGCGGGATGGCGACGAAGGGCATCCGCCAGTAGAATTTGTCTGACAGGATGGAGAAGCATACGGCGGAGATTGCGCCCGCGACGTAGGGCGGGACCGTCATTAGTTGGGCGTTTGTGTCTTTGAAGCCCATCTGGTATATTGTTAGTTCGGTTGCGTGGTGGAAGGGGAAAGGGGAAGGGGTACGGACTGCTTGGGTTATAGTTGGGAGCGTAAATTTGGTTCCTGTTTGAATCCATGGTTAGTATACTCCATGATCAACCTCTTTCAGAGCAGATAGGATAGAAAGAAGCAAGGCAAAGGTAGCGCCTACCATAAGAGCAAGCCGACTGCGCCAGGAGAATATACGCAAGCATATACATGCGCCAGTTTAGCATCGTGGCCTTGATATCCTTCCACGATGTCTTCTTCTTCTCCTCCTTAAAGAGGCCGCCCTCCTTGATAAAGTGCTGTAGCTCAAGGTATCGGATTTCCTCAGCAGTAAGCCACTTCCCCGAAGAAGCCGGCGAGTCAATCAGGCAGAAGAAGCACATGACACCGAGAACCACGGTGGCAATACCCTCGAGCAAGAAGATCCAACGCCAGCCCTCCTGGCCGGCGACGCCGTGCATCTGTGCGATACCTGCTGCGAGGAGGCCGGAGAAGGCACCGGAGAGGGCACTTGCGCAGTAGAAGATGGCAATGCGTGTGGAGAGCTCCTTGGGCATGTACCAGAATGTGCAGAGGTAGACGGCGCCGGGGAAGAATCCAGCTCTGTGTAGGAATTGTTAGCGGTGCCTATAGAAGTAGATGGGGAGGCATACTCGAAAACCCCGAGGAGGATTCGCGTCACCAGAAGACCGGCAAAGTTCTGTACGATGCCTGTCAGGGTCATGATGATGCCCCAGGAGGTGATTAGGATTCCGAGGTAGATGGAAGGTCTGGCGAAGTTCTTGAGAAGCATGTTACTTGGGACCTCTGTACTCATTAGTTTATTTTCCTGCTTGAGAGGTGGGCAGGATCTCGTACCAAGGAGCACGTATGGGACGAAGAAGACGCTGAGGACGATGTTCCACTGAACGCCCGAAAGACCGAGGTCGGTGTCGAGACCTTCAATCTTTGCATTGCCGATATTGGCTCGGTCCAAATGACTGATCAGATAAAGGACTGCCAGCATGGGGATCAGGCGAATGTCGACCTGCACGTATCTTAGCATATACTCGAAGCTGAGGGTTGAGGGCGCTGACCTTTCGGAGGAGCTTCTTTCTCGCCTCGGGAGGGTAATTGGTGTAAAACTCGGCATCCTCGGGCCTCAAGCCCAGGACCTGGAAGTTGTCAATCGCGACAGTGCGCGATACCTTCTCGACATGGTCAGGGTCGTAAAGCTTCTCGTCAAGGACATCGACGTCGGCCGGTTTGTTAGTGTAAGTCGCCATGGTTAGACACAACTCTCGCAGGTCAAGTCGCTGCCAGTGGTTAGACTCAGACTTAGGCCAATCTCTGCTAGATATATGTCTGGATAGCCAACTGAGGGGTCACCAGTGTAGCGTAGCAGCGGAAAAGGCAGCGATCACCACCCCATCCCGGAATAATGCCTCCCTGGGTGGTAGGACCGTTCCTCTCATGGTGTAATAGCTGCGCCTCATATGCAGCTTAGCGACTCAGAAGCTCATCTCCACAGCTGCTCAGTCCACTGCCGATGGTCGTTTCCGCAGCCAAGAAAACCCCAGCTTTGGCGGGCCTGGGGAGGTAGCGTTCACGTCTTCATGACAAAGCTGGGGCGCTTGCGGGGTAAGGGAACTTTGACTCGCTGATCCTGCTCCGCCGCGTTTCCAGGCGAAATCCGTTCGGGACCTCCGAACCCGCCGCGTCGTTTTCCTTGTCGGGAGGATGTCTCCTTGGTCTGGAAATATATCCGTTCGCTTCCCATCTTATGTCGCTGACGCGGAGAATCCGTTGCTGAGGCGGCGGAAATATATGTACAATTGGGCTTCTATACTCGTCTGCTTGGCTTTCCGCGGCAACAGCTTGAGGATGATCAAACCGTTCGACGAGAGCTCATGCAGTAGCTTCCTGGTAGAAGATAAGCGTCGGTGGCACCAAGGTTATCACCGTTCGAGTCTTTAGATGGACGGCCATCGAACACCGGTCTGTCTATCATTTGAGTAGGATACTACTGGCCTATATAGTGACCTCTGTGCCGCTCCTTATACCACCATCGACTACTCTGCTGCCCTCATGAACTCAAATGCATCAGTTGCCTTAACAGCAAGGTAGGTAATTGTGGATGGTTAATCTATATATTCACAACCTGTGAACGAAAATGCGATTCCCGAACCGCCATTTCTTACATGTAGCTGAAGAGTGGCCGGACTATTGCGAAGTATATCCTATTGTAACTCATAGAGTTTCTTCAAATTAGTAGACTTCCTCTTCTTCCGACAGGACACCTCTGGTAGATTCTTTGCCAGAGAATACCTCCTACCTACGCATCAGCAGTGTTGACAAAATTCATGTCTATTGGCCAATTGATCAGAAGTGGGTCCGTCGCTGGCAGTTGAGGTCAGCTTCAGCCCACGGTCAACACAACAAGCCAGACACCCTGGCCAGGTCTCCAGGAGGCTTTCGCAACCCTATCAGCCACCATGGCCGAAGCGCCCCCGAAAAAGCAAGCCTCGGAGCGGAGGAAGCAGCAAAATCGGGTGGCTCAGAAGGGCTATCGTCAGTTTACGCTATCCCCACTGCGACCGAGGCTGGCTGACTGACTCGTGCGCAGGAGAACGACAGAAACGCCGAATGCAAGCCCTAGAAAGACTACTGGATGTACACCAAAACTGCTTAGAAGACTCTTCTAATGATTTTTCTTCGACAACTGTGATAGCTTCGGAAAATGGACTAGCTACCCAAGCTACATCCGCAGCAGGAACAAACCCAACAACGCCTTCGGTACTGGCAGACTCATCTTCTACTGCTGGGAGCCCAGGTGTATACAGAGGAAATGAGATACACGAGCCAGCAGCGCACCAGAATGCAGGCTCGTTAATGCAGTTTCAGCCTACGCAAACATCTAATTTGCTTTTGAGAGAGCGAGTTTTGGATCAACTGATGCAGGAAATCGATAGCGTTGATGAAACCATATACAGTCGAATCATCTCTAAGGAGATCTCTATCAACCAGATATTCCAAGCAGGGCTGCGTCATGTCCTTACGGACCCATTGCACAACCCGTCAAGCAACGTTACACCCTCAATGGACGGGCTGGAAACAGCTCTTCGCACAGACAAGATTCTCGTCCCTGAAAATAGCATGCAAGTTCATACCCATGCTCTACCTGACATCTACGCCAACCATCTCCGTCTGAAGCAATTTACTGAAGTTGCCGCTTTAAGAGCCAGCGCTGAGGCTATTGGTCTTTCTTTTGATGTTCTAACCGACCCAGATGCCGAATCACCCTTTTATCGGGAATCAATCTCAAAAGATGCCGCTGAGACGATGGTCAAAGAGGAATTTGACAACGTGGTGCCACATCTCCGACCGACTATAGCACAGATACGATACAGTCATCATCCGTATCTCGATGCACTACCTTTTCCTACGCTACGTGGACGAATCATTGAGGCCTGTTCGTTGGAGTCGCCACTATTCGAAGAAGAGGATCTGTGTGACGACATGGAGAAGGGCAGGCTCATCTGCTGGGGTTCGTATCTCGGAGGCGGGAACGGTGCTACTGGCTTCGGTTGTCCTTGGGATTATCGCAGCTGGGAGGCACAGCCATGGTTTCTGAAGAAGTGGTGGTTTTTCATCGGCGGGGAGCAGGGCGAGCTTTTCCAGCAGACTCGTTGGTGGCATGAGCTAAGAGGCGATCGATTAGTAGCTCCGTGGTGAGCGAGATTTCGATAGTCTGCATTGTCTTGATGGAAAGGGGCAATTATGTTGCACAACATAACCTTAGCTCTTGATTGGCATTTAGGTAAAAAGTCACCGTGACGTCCAACGGGTCAGCCAAATGCCGCCCTTCATTCCGTCAGGTGACGAGAGCCACCCTTGCTCAGGCTGAGATGAGCAGCTGGGGTGAGCAATGGATCCGCTTTTGCTGAGGTACCAGCCTATCAAAAGGCTGATCAGGCTTGATGCTAAGCCTATATAGGATTAGCCCATAAAGGGCTTCGATTGACCCGCAAGGCAAACAAAGACAAGCTTGCGGCTCACATCATCCATGTCCGATCTACATGGTACGGTGTACAGAGTTGCAAAATCCGTGGCAAAATAGTCTTTGTGTCATGAGGCAGCATGGCTATAAAAGGGGGCATAAGCATCCGAGAAGCAGGAGCTCGTAGCCATCAATTCGCATCTATTGCCTCCTACACATTGTAACATCTACTCAAACAATCACCAAAGTCAACATGATGGAGTACACCCGGTAAGTCACCAATGTCTTCGTACACCACGTTACTTCAACATACCTGATTGACCTTTCAATCAGACTCGGCCAGTCTGGCCTCAAAATATCCAAGGTGGTCCTAGGCGCCATGTCCTTTGGAACCTCCGACCAGATGAAATGGACAATCCCAGAAGAACAGGCATTGCCCATCCTCAAGCATGCCCTTGACCGAGGTATCAACACCTGGGATACTGTACGACCTCATACTCTTTCCACCAGGAGTGCTCCTAGAATCTAACCGGCCCTTATAGTCCGACGTCTACTCCTTCGGCGACTCCGAACGCATCATCGGCAAAGCCCTAAAGCACTACAACATTAACCGATCAAGAGTCGTCATTCTGACAAAGTGTTTTGGGGGCATCCCCACACCCGAGGACTTTGAGGGCGCAAAAACTGAAGAGGAGAAGCTCCGCATAATGTCCGCCAACGACGGTGTCATGGTCAATCGCATCGGACTCTCTCGCAAGCACATATTCGATGCCGTCGATGCTAGCGTCGAACGATTAGGCACGTACATCGATGTCTTACAAATCCACCGACTGGACCGTGACACACCCCGCGAGGAGATCATGAAGGCACTCAATGATGTCGTCGAGAGCGGGAAAGTGCGATACCTCGGCGCAAGCTCTGTACGTCCCCCTCCCTCCGATCCCACCAACAACTTACCTTCCTGATTAGTCCTAACAGTGAATGTTTTAGATGCACACCTGGGAATTCCAAGCCCTAAACAACATCGCCGCCCAAAACGGCTGGCACAAATTCATTAGCATGCAAGACTACCACTCCATGCTGTACCGCGAAGAGGAGCGCGAAATGCACGCCTACTGCCGCGACGCCGGCATCGGTGTAATCCCTTGGTCCCCGCTCGCCCGCGGTCTCCTTACACGGCCTTACAGTGTCACTAAGGAGAAGCCCACAACCCGCTCAACGACCGACATCTACTCTGACTTTCTGATCGGACCCGTCACGGACGCAGACGTCAGCATCATCGGGCGCGTTGAAGAGCTCGCGAACAAGAAGGGAGTTAGTATGGCGAAGGTTGCTATCGCGTGGAGTTTGGCTAAGGGGGTGAACCCGATTGTTGGGCTTGCGAGTGTGGAGAGGGTGGATGAGGCGGCGGAGGCTGTAAAGCTGGCCAAGAAGGGGTTGTTGAGTGGGGAGGATGTGAAGTTCTTGGATGAGTTGTATGTGGCCAAGCCGGCGCTCTGGATGGGGGATTAGATAGATGGATGGCTTTTTGTGTTGTTGTCGATTGTATACTATTTGCTCATTAATCTCTGTTTATCTGGATTTGATCTGTATGGAGAGCCTTCGCGGATGAAACAGGTTAGATTCAAGCATGGGTGGCACGCCAGGTGTGCTTGGAGGGAGAGCGTATTCCTAGTTTTTCGTTCGAGCAAATCTAATCCCACTACCTCCAGAGCACACGTTGGCATTGGCTCTAGTGGAATATCTTCGGCGAGATTTGGCCTCTACCCAGCATACTACCTGCCCAGTAATAAATGCATTTTTCCCTGCTTAGCAAAGATACTCTTTTAGTAGAGTATCTACTCAACCCTCTGCACAACCCCCCTCCCATCCTCTAACCTGGCAACCTGCACACCAGTCGCAGCCGCCTGATGCAACTCAATCCCAAGAACCCCTTCATCATCACCCTCCTCCCACCCCTCGCGCTCATCCTTAACCCTCCGCACAAACGCCAGATCCAGAATTAGAGCTACAGCACTAATCGCAACCCCAAAGTACAGCGCCGCGCGATACCCAGCAATAGCATTTCCGGAGTCCTTTGCAATCTGCACCTCGACCGTCGACGCAAAGCCTAGACCAAGACTATTCCCGTAAAGATTCAATGTCCCGATAATCGACCCGGCGACACCCTGCTGGTTCCGCCGGACGCTATTCGACGCGATGATCTGCCCCGCTGTATAGACGAGGTCGGGACAGAAGGAGAACAGCACGACGGAGGGGAAAACCTGTGCCCAGTAACTCTGTTTCTCGGACACGGTTGCCATGAGTGCCGTTGAAGCTAGGACCGCGCCTGTCCCCAGCGCAAGGATCCATTGCGCTGCGAGGCGCGGGATGAGCCATGCGGCTAGACATGCTGCTGCGGTACCACAGATTACAAAAGGGGTCCAACCGATTGCGAATTGCAGGGTGGACCAGTGCCAGACTTCTTGCAGCCAGAGGAGCTGGTACCACAGGACTGTGCCGACGGTCATGTAGTTTAGGAGGATGACGAGGACGAGGATGGCGAAGGAGGGGGCGTGGAAGATCTCTGGGGGGAGGATGGGGTGTGGGGTTTTGTGTTCCCAGATTATGAAGAGGGTGAATAGGATCACTGAGATTATTAGGAGGGCGATCTCGTAGGGGGTTGACCAACCGACGCTGGGTGCTTGGCTGGAGTCTTGATTAGTTTCACGTGGAAGGAGGAGTCATGGATGAGGGGAGGACGTACTTCCAGACAAAGTTGAATAGTATCAAAGCGCCGGTTCCTAGGCCAGCACCTAGCCAATCGATCTTGCCTGTATGGAGGATCGTCACTTCTCCCCGACTAAGAAGCCAGAGGGGAATGAATATCGCAGCACCGAGACAAGCCCTATCCCGTCAGCTTCGTCCTACATAGAGCCCGCCCCTAAGCCTCCTGGACACTCACACAAAAACAAAGAACCACTTCCAATGCGTATTCTCCAGAAAGGCTCCAAGGAAGAGCGCAGAGAAGTAGCCTCCCAACGGCGCCGAAGCAGCAAAGAATCCCAGACTCAGATTCCTGACCCGTCCCGGCGGGTTGGTGATGGCTATCATAGCCACAGCATTTGGCATGATAGCGGCGCCTCCGACACCAGCGAGAGCGCGCATAGTCACGAAGGCGAAGAAGTTGGTGCAGAAGGCACTGGCCAAGGTACATATGCAGAGCCACGCACCGCCTCCTAGCAGCATCTTGCGGTGTCCGTAGACGTCCCCGAGACGGCCACTCATCAGGACGAATGTGCCTTGCGTGAGGCTGCGATGCTTTAGTATAATAGGCATGATGTTGGTCAAGTGTATGCGAGGCTTACCCATAGCTTGCGGCCATCCAAGTTGCGTACGAGGGCTTCACGTGGAGGGACTCGCTGAATGTTCGTCCGCCGGCGACGCCAGAGAAGTTCACGATCATCTACTGAATCTTAACACGCTGTTTAGGAGGTTTACTATGTATAGATAGCGGCACACCTGAACAAGATTGGATAGAACTATCAGTATAGTCACAGCTAACTGGCGCGGTCGATTTGTTTCTGGCAACGGCGCCCGCTCGAAGACCTGCTGAGCAGGCTGTGGCTCCGGCGCCGGTTGCGTAAGGGTGACATCTTGCAGCGTATCCTGAACAGCGTTCTCTGCGATGATATCTGCCGAATGTCGAGGACTGGTCCGGATAGGCGTGCTAAACGGGTTGATGGAGGCCGTCAGCTCAGGTTTCAGAGGCTGAGAGGTCAGCTCGTGGTGCAGCGTTGGAACGAACGCCATGGCGACTGCAGGTGGTGTCCTCATACATTCACGAGATCGAAGTGCGATGAGGGGTACTGGCATTTGTACTGTTGAGTCAGTCACTGCTTACATATTCAGTCGGAATTGTGGCCGTTTCTAGGAAATCAGTCCGACTCGGTCTTTGTTCCGTCGGAGTTGCTCCTGGTATCGCGATGTGTGAAGTCATCTCGAATGGCAGATCAAAGCTCAACAATTGTTATTCTTGCAAGACAGCAAAAATGAATCAACCTAATCAAGCAGGTTGGCTTCGGTCTGTGGGTGAACACTACTCCTAGTAGTACAAGAAGCATCCAGAGCGATGATTGACCGAAGATGAAAAGTGTGCAATGAATCCATCCATCGCTTCTTCCTACAAGGGCCCGACTATAAAACCGTAACCCGGGAAGGTGCGACCGAAATAAGGTCTGTGGGCGTACCTTACCTGAGGAAATCTTTCAGTGCGAGGAAGGAGCGACCGGCATCCTTATTCATTCATGAACAGTTCGATCAGTATAGTCAGGACAGTGTAGTATGAGTTTGGTTAGTACAAAAGAATCACATCTCTGTTGCTATTATTGTCCTTCTAGTCACCAGACGCAGCCATTGAACTGGGGCCTACAGAGAAGTGATCTTTGATGAGCTAATCTGTGGGTGCGGCCTAAGCATAGTCCGACTTCAGCCTCTTTCTGTCCGTCGCGTTTTGATTCGAGTCGTTAGGAAGCCTCCTTCAGACAATAGACTAGACACCGAAAGCGGATCCATGTCCATCGGGTTCGTTTTGTCGACAGCATACGCCGACTTTGCCATCTCTCTACGTAAAAGTAACCTTGAACGTGAGACTGGTGATGAAGCGAAGCGACATAGTTGACGCAGTTTTTGTTCCGAAGAGGTCAGCAGATGAGATGATGATTTTCATCTTCAAGTTTGCTTCTGGAGGACCTCAGGCCGCCACTCGGTGACCCACTCTCCAAGGTTGTCCTGTCAATAATGTTTTCCTTCAGCTCTCCTTTCCCATTTAGCAGGCGCTCTTGCGGTGAAAGGGATCCTGCGTCATTTTGCTGGAAGCCTTAGTTGGCAATGTATCCACACATGTACAATCTCTCGCTTGCGTCGCCATACTGTCAATTCTCTCACGGTGTCAGCAGCTGAATACGCTCACAGCCTTATCCCACGCCAACCCAAAGCAAGGGCGACGGGCGGGCCGCCTCTTGTGGATCAATCATCATCAACAAGCTGCAGAAGCTGATCCATCTGACCCAAGTCACCCAATCCAAAGGAACATGATTGCTCAACCCAAAAAGCATCGGCATTGCAGATCTCATCGCTACACGAACTCGATTGTGCTCGCACCGACCATCGCGATTTCAACAAGCCACGAGCCTGCAAGTTCTTCACCTCACCAACTAATCAAGTCAGGGCCTAGGACTTAAAGTCTGGGCAGGGTTGCAATTAGGGTATTAGGCCCCCTTGGCGCATATTCAGCTGCAGGAAAGGGTGTTCGTGTCCACTCATCGACCACTCATGATTGCACGAAGGAGCGGCTGGCCTGGGCGTCCCGACGATCGCCATGCGAATCCGGCCTCATCAAGAAAAGGAATGTCGCTCCGCCCAGTTGCTATCACCTTTATAAACTCTGCCGACCACACGACAAAGGGTAAGCAGACCTTTACCCATCGGTGCTTCGCCAGATAGCCACAATGCCTTTCCAACATGTCAATACCAACCCGTTCAATGAGGGCGAGCCTGCCCCAAAAGGACAGCCGCGTCGGCTCGTACTTTGTTTCGATGGTACCGGAAACCAGTATCAGGGAACGGAGGAGGACACAAATATCGTAAAGATATATGAGATGCTTGAAAGGCATATTCCGGGACAGTATCACTACTACCAGCGTGAGCGGACCGTCTTTCTCTCGCAAATCTGTACTAACATACATTCTCACAGCCGGCATTGGAACTTTGACGTATGTCAGAGGGTCCAACCGTAACTCTGCGGGACCTAGTCTATGGTCAAGGTTTAGAGCACGCGTCAGTGCCATCCTAGACCAGGGCTTTGGCGTGTCCTTTGTCAATCACCTCCTCGCAGGCTACAAGTTTGTGATGCGCTACTATTCACCAGGTGATCATATTTACATCTTCGGCTTCTCTCGCGGCGCATATACGGCTCGGTTCCTGTCTGAGATGATTCACAGTATTGGCCTCCTCTCGCGCGGGAACGAAGAGATGGTGCCATTCGCGTGGGATACATTCAGTCAATATCAGAGCTCACGTGGAAATGTCCCACAAACCGACAAGGACCGCGAACTGGAGCGATACATGAAAAAGTTTAAAAGAACATTTTGTCGCCCTGATGTCGCTGTACACTTCCTCGGCCTTTTCGACTGCGTCAACAGCGTCGGTCAGTTCGAGATCCCACTATTTCGAAAGTCCTATCGATACATTGCCAGCCCTTGTGCGCGACATATTCGACACGCGGTCTCAATCCACGAACGTCGGCTGAAGTTCAAACCGGCCCTCTTTCACCTCGACGAGGAGACTCGCAAAACCGTGGACTTTAAAGAAGTCTGGTTCGCCGGGAACCACGGCGACGTGGGCGGCGGGTGGCCGTTACATGACGGCCAGAAACATTTGCTGTCGGATATCCCGCTAAACTGGATGATTCAAGAAGTTTTGAGCTTGCCAGAGTCGGAAAGTAAGCTGTCATTCATGACGACCAACGTGGCGAAGACGGTCCGAGACGCGACACAGTCGCTGTGCAGAGACGAGGAGCCGGGTACAGAGGGATTTCATGCCCAGCAGATTACGAATAAGCCACATGACAAGCTTCGGTTTGGGCACGGTGGAAGCGCGATATCTGTTATGCTGTGGTGGATTTTAGGTTTGTTCTCCTTGGGTCTTTTTACACAACAACCTTCGAAAGACCTGTCTAACAAAACATAGAGGTCCTCCCGGTAGCAACGCGCCTAGAGCTCGAAGGCGGAAAATGGGTCCCTCGACGTCTTCCACCAAACTTTGGAGCCGCAAGAGATATCCCCTGTGGAGCAGAGATTCATCCTAGTGTGTATGAGATGCTGGAATCCGGCATATTAAAGGACTTTCCGATCCCGAAGCCGGGAGGAGATAATCCAAATCTACCTCCGAGCTTTGTGAATGATGAGGAGCGACATATCCAGAGCGCAGCTGAAGGGACTGGTTGTGGGTGCAAATAAGGCATTTTCTTTTCAATATTTGATGATATATGGTCCTCGAGATGATGGTATAATGGTGAGATGATCGCATGGGTACTGTTTGTATAAGGTTGATGGAATTGGCTCTCGGCTTAATCGTTCTGAACGGGGTTTAGGATGTCTTTACTTTAATTATAAATATCTCTATACCATTTTCTCTTTCGCAACAGTGCTCTCTTCAGTCCGCCAGGTACTCTCTCAGAAACGCTGATTGTAAGGCTCTAATCGAAGGTTTCTCCCAGGAAACCATCAAAATCCTACTTATTACAATCACAGTACTTGAACAATTAAGTTTACCGAAATAAAACCCCGCGATAAGCCAAATCCCCCAAGTATTGCCAAACGAGAGCCAATGATACACTCAATAGTCCCCTCATCAACCCTCGGCTATCCACGGGCCCGTGACGTCTTAACTCCGCTCCCTCCGAAGCCAACCGCTTCTCCGCACACCCCAAAGGGAGAATGAGTCTGGGGAAATCCCAGAGAAAGGGTACAACACTCTCACACTCCTTTTCGCTCTATGCTCTGGATTCTTCCTCAATTGCACTTGCACACAATAGACAGCCATGTCCTCTCTCCGCCCATTGCCACGGCGAATACCGCGTGTCCCGAGCCTACGAACACAACCACAGTCACGACTACCGTTCCTACAACCGCTGTACGCCTCCAAGCGATGGAGTACGTCGATTTCACAGAGACCGGGGTCAGATCGGTATGCTTATATTCCTCAACCACTCTTCACTTTCCTTCAGAGACTTGAACCAGTACAATTCATATCCATACCCCTCTCCCAAGTTATCCAGTTCGAAACAATGCAGCAGTGGCTAACTTCTTACGCGTTTGCCGTTACAGAGTCCGATTTCCCGGCGCCGTAAACAGCAAATTCACAACCGACATGTCCTTTATCAATCCGCTGGAGTCAGCGAGTATTCCAACGTACCGTGTGATGGATTCCGACGGTGTTCTTGTCGATAAGGCTCGCGGGAGGCCGGATGTTCCGAATGAGGAGGTTTTGACTTGGTATAAGAATATGTTGACGGGTGAGTCTTGCACTCTGGCTTTACTTCTTGGGACTTGTTCCAGGAAATGTATGGGTGAATGGGCTGACTGGTGTGCTCTGTTCTAGTGAGTATTATGGATGTGGTTATGTTTGAGGCGCAGAGGCAGGGAAGGTTGAGTTTCTATATGGTACGACCCCTGCGCTTCCTTGATATATCCTATATTCCTGGTGAAGAAGAGGCTAATGGTGGTCGATCTGTAGGTCTCGGCCGGCGAGGAAGGTATAAGCGTGGGCTCTGCAGCAGCTCTGACCCCCGACGACGTGGTCTTCGCCCAATACCGAGAAACAGGCGTGTTCCAACAACGAGGATTCACATTGAAGAACTTTATGAGTCAGCTATTCGCCAATCGCAATGACTCTGGCAAGGGAAGAAACATGCCTGTACATTATGGCTGTGATTACCCACGGACGGTACATATCACTTTATTCCCAGCAGGCCACCCAACAGAGTCACTGACAAGTTGTATAGCACACAATCTCCTCAACCCTCGCAACGCAAATCCCACACGCTTCGGGCGCCGCCTACGCATTGAAACTTCAAGCCCTCCAGAACCCAGACAAACCACCCAGCATCGTCACCTGCTACTTCGGCGAGGGTGCCGCCAGCGAAGGTGACTTTCACGCGGGCCTCAACATCGCCGCAACGCGCTCCTGCCCTGTAGTCTTCATCTGTCGAAACAACGGGTACGCAATTTCAACCCCCACGCTAGAACAGTACCGCGGCGACGGAATCGCCTCTCGCGGGGTTGGCTACGGCATTGACACGATCCGCGTTGATGGCAACGATATTTTTGCTGTGTACGAAGCCATGCGCGAAGCGCGGCGCCGCGCCCTCGCCGACGGCGGCAAACCCGTCCTCATCGAAGCGATGAGCTACCGCGTCTCGCACCACAGTACGAGCGACGACTCATTCGCGTACCGCGCCCGCGTCGAAGTCGAGGACTGGAAGCGGCGCGATAACCCGATCATCAGACTGCGCAAGTGGCTCGAGAACGAGGGGATCTGGAACGAGGATTTAGAGCGCGAGGCCCGCGAGGGGATTCGGAAGGAGGTGCTAAGAGAGTTTGGGGAGGCAGAGAGGGAGAAGAAGCCGCCGATTCGGAGCGCGTTTGAGGGGGTTTATGAGGAGGTTACGGAGGAGGCGAGGGAGCAGATGGAGGAGCTCAAGAGGATTCTTGAGACGTATCCTGAAGAGTATGATCTTCGGCCGTATGAGGATGGGATTAAGGGGTTATAGACTTTTTTTTCTAAATGTCTGTGTTGTGATGAAAGACTAGGTCGGCACATAGGTTACGGCGTTTTACGATATATGAATACTATGTGTCGGGCATATTGACCATCGCAATGGTTTCGTAGTTATTGTCCTACATCAGGGAAGGTGCAACCGCGAGCATAGTGTATGGTGCCATTTTTTTAGGAAGGCACGGAAGGTGCGCGTTGGGAAGGAACGACCGTAGACATGAAGGTCGATCGCACCTTCCTCGTCTGATATGAATCGTTTTAGGAAGGTACAATAGTGGAGTATACTCGAGGAAGGCGCTACCGACATGAGCCGAAAGGGCAGGAGCGATTACGATCGCACTTTCCTTCTAGGTTTGTGGAAACTATCGGCCTAATAGGGAAGGCGCAATGGCGCGACATAGTATAGGAAGGCACAGTGGTGAGTGATAATTCATTCAATGGTGCGCTGATAAATATCTTCATAACGTAGTGTACATCAGACAGACGCGCTAATATTCATAAAAGTACAGTAGTAAATCGTCGGATACACGATTGTCTCAGGCAAGACGCATAGGAAATTGCCAGTGCCTAAACTGCCAGTGCCTGCTGCGCGAGCTTCTTGTTCCGCTTGACCAGGGCACTCAGCTTCTTATCGATCGCATCAAGCTCCTTGCGCGACGCCTCGAGTTCCTTCTGTGACTTGACTGCAAACGTGCGCAGCTCTTCATCCGTCATGCCCACGACGTCATCAAGGTCCGGCATGCTGCCCATCACGACGCCCGCAGCGCCAAGCATGTGCTTCGCAGTCGCGGCAGCAAACGAGCGCACCGAGGTGGCGGTCGCATTCATGATTTCCGCCGTGTTGGCGATTGCCCAGTTGTGGCTGCGGGTACTGTCTGCTTCCATGGCGGAGAGGACGTTTGGTGGGGCGGAGGCCAGTGCGGCCTCGGTGGGTGAGAGGGCGGATGTGGGAGATGAGGCGGAGAGGGCGCCAGCGGAGGTCTCGTCGACCCAGCAGACGTTGAAGTTCTCGGGCGTAGCGAAGAGGGCGTCGAGGCCGCCGCCGCGGTTTGTTGCGTCGGGTTCTGTGATGGGAATAGAGGGGTATTCTTGGAAGGCGTCAATAGCCCATGAAATGCTTTTCTCGAGAGCGAGGTAGCGGTCTTCCTCTTCAGGGGACAGATGGTGCAGGATACAACCGCGAGGGCTGATCAGGCATCGATCCTTGAGCGAGTTGGTTTCAGAGGCGAATCGGATGGGCTCTCCGCGTAGCAGGGCCTTGCGGTGTTGCTCCGTCAGTTCGATCGGTTGCTTGAGCTCTTCGTAGTCGTCCGAAGTGCATTTCATGTCAAAGCGCTGGCTGAGGTTGGAGGGGTTGAAGAGAGGGTGGTGGTTGAGATCCAGGGCGCCTGACCTGTGGAGCTGAGAGAGCAACACCTGCAGAGGGGAAGTGCGTTCAGCAAAGAGTTCTTTGAGCGAGACCCCCGTAGATTCTGCATCCTTCAGTAGCTGCTCGACAGTGTTCTTGGATCGCCACGGCTCGGGCTGTTTCTGTTCGACAGGCGCCTTGCGCTCAGAGGGTGTAGGGGGCTTTGCTTCTGGGGCAGGAGCCGGCTCGGACGGCTTTGGCTTCTTCACTGGTTCAGCCTTTTCACTCTCTTCATTGCTCACGGTAACTGGAGGTATGCTGGTACCAGCACTCTCCGAATCCGGGTTAGGCGCCTCAGCAGGAGCCTTCTTCGTCTTGCGCTTGCGACCAATAATAGGGGCCTGGATAGGTTCTTCAGACACAGATGCAACCTCCTGCTTCTTGGCTTCGGCTTCCTTGGCTTTCTGTTTTCTTTCTTTCTTCAACTGGCTCTTGGTAATGGAGCGAACTGGTGCAGAACCGATTCTTGACGACGCGGGAGGCGAGTTGGCGCGAGAAGCTGATGTGGAAGTATAGAGGTCCGCTTCGGATCCAAAATCGCCGGGTGTATCAGGGCGGCTTTGGGAGGAGATGCTGGGAAGTCTGGAGCGGACCTTGTTGATTGGGAAAGATGCAATTGACTGGGTGGCTGATACAGGGGGCGGAGTTTCAGCCTTCGGTGTATCCACAACACGAAGCACGCGTGGCTGGCGAGGTGCTGGTGAGTCTGACGCGCGTGACATTCCAGTCATGGGTGTATTCGGCCGGGAGTCTACGGCAGTAGCCGGGACGGAAGCGTGAGCAGACGGCACGTGGGCTGAGGGCTCTGGTTTCGAAGGAAGCTCCGGGAGCGGGGAGACGCTCGGCGAAACGTTGAAACTCAAATCTAACTTCATGGGCTTCGATTTTGTCGAGCCTGAGGCCTTGGGTTCAGCTTTTGCCTGACCACTTTTCTTCTCCGGGGCGGGACTTGGTTCCTCTTTCGGCGCGGCACGAACCCTAGTGGCTGCCTTTGCCACAGGGGAACCCAAGGAAATCTCAGCGGCATTCTTGGTTCTGGAAGGTTTAGTTTGCGATACTTCCTTTGGCTCCGGTTCAGGTGCATCATCCTTGGGGCTTTGAGCTTCAGTCACTGAAGGAGATGGGACATCAAATCCAGGAGGTGGACCAGTGATCGATGAATCTGGACTCGGAGATTTCAGCCCGCCTTGGAACAACCCAGAGCCAGCATGCCCTTGGGGAAGAGGTAGGCCGGGAGGAAGGGATGGTGTCCCGGAGCGTCCCAAGGGATGAGAGTCGCTCATCAACTGCGACCGCATGAGAGCTCCGAAACTATCCACCGAGCGTTTGTCTTTTGTGGTCGCGCCGAGAGGGGGGAAATCTTCGTCAACTATCATGCCACGGGTCAGCGTCTGACAAGAAGGAGTGCAAAATGAGTGGTGTGGGTACAAGGGATGAGACGACAATGCAGGCGGAAACCCAATAAACGAGATGTGAACGGCAAAGAAATCTAGACAAGACAAAGACAGATACGAAAGGGCCGACAGATAATTACACGAGTGGCCCAGGACGAGTTGACCAGACTGACGCACAGGGCACAAGGTCTATATGAACGATATTTGTGAGAAAATGGTTTCATATAGAGGACCCTGCTTCAGTTTATCAAAGCCAGGCCAGGGAGGTTAACGTACATAAAACCATGATCAGACCGAACGGCCTCAAAGACGCTGACAGCTCACCCCGGCTTGAATGCGCTTATGGAGGGACAGGGAGAGCTGGCGCTGGAGACCCAGTGATCCAATCAACCTGCGTCCATGAATGCAACAAAGCCTCTGGTCTCCGTGGACCGGAAGAGGGGGTTTGGAACGCGAGAGGCAAAACAGGTAAAAGAAAACAGCGAAGAAAAAGTCCATAAAGAACAAACGCCCAAGCCACGCCTTGCCCAATCTCTTGTTTTTTTCAGAGCCGTTGCTAAATGCTTCATTGCAGTGCGGAAAACATAACATGGGATTAGATGCGGGAGGAGGGAGAAGACATGTTCCACACCCCTTTAAGGAAAAGCATAAATGATATCATGTCATAATCGAGGCAAGGGAAAGTGTAAAATGCAGACCAGAAATGTCGAATAATAAAAAAGAGAATTGGATGCAAAAAGGGGTAGTCATCATAAAACAGTGGAGAACGTAGGAGGGCGAAAAGGTGATCCAAGGTGAAGAGGGAAACAACATATCACCAACGGTTAAAACCGCTGCCATACATCATGGCGTACCCACCTTGACCCTGACTCCCATACAATCCTTGACCAGCAACAGCATTCGCACCAACTTGGGGCATCCTCGCCTGCAGGATACTCGGGTCCGCAAGATCTACTACACCACCTCCACCGGAGGAAGTGTTAGCATGTCTGTGCTTCTTCCCCTTCTTCCTCTGCTTCTGTGCCCCAGATTCGGAGGGAATCCCCGCCTGGGTGCCATAGACAGAGCTGAGAAGGCCATTGACAGGAGTCAGGGGAGGGGGAGTTTGGTGCTGTTGGAGGAAAGGAAACATTAACTCACGCTTATCTTGTCCCTGTAACCCATTCGCATTTGTACCACTGCGGCTGCGCAGCAGCTCGCGCATTAGCTCCGGATTGGCTTCCTGCTTGCCACTCAGGCCCCCAAGACCAGCATTGCTTGTGAATCCATGACCTTGAGAAAACATTCCACCTCCACTAATTGGTGGGGTTCCTGCTGTCTTCAAACCAGGAGGTGGGCCTTGGATGCCGCTGGTGTAGAAGTTGTTACCAAGTGTATGTTGTGGACTGGGTGCGGCAAGCGGGTTGAGCGACCCGGATTGCATCAAAGAAGACATTTGCTGGTTGATGAGTCGGGAATTAGGCAAATTCTTGGCACCAACATCATTGAACGAGAAGCGGGAGTTCTGGCGGTTCTGCGCCTGGAGGGCATTAAGCTGGGCAGCCTGGCTCTGCAGAAGACCCTGTCGGGCTTGTATGGCTTGTTCAGGGGTAGCAGAGCTGAGTCCAGTCTGCACTGGGTCGGCAAGACCAGCTTGCTGATTAGCTTGCTGATTCCCCGCCGATCTGAGCAACATCAGCTGCTGTTGTTGCAGAGGAGTCAAACTGCGTGTGTTCAGGTTGATTCCTTGGAACTGATGGCCGGCAGCAGATACGGGCGAGCCAACGGCAGAGCTTGTGGTTGTTCCTTGCTGCGACGGTGGTTGAATAGCTCCATGGGATTCGCGGCTAACACGACCTCTTGGAGGATTAGCGTCGTCAGGCTCGCCGCCAAGTTGCAAACTTCCGCTTTCACGTCCCTCGTCTTCGGCGGTTGTTGACTGAAGAAGTTCTTGCTCTCTTTTCGCACGTTCTTGCTCGGCTTTCTCTCTCATCGCCCGGCGCTTGACGCCGCCATACGGATCGATGAAAGAGGGATGGTTTTCGATAAGAGCAACCTCGTCTGGCGATAAGCTGGCCGTAGAGAAGATGAACTTGAAACACGGGGAGTTGACGGCTTTAACCAAGTTGTCCAATAAAGGCGTGTCCTGTTCCACCGGAGGGCGACCAGGAGTAGAAGGAGGAGGAACCGATGAGGGCGCATCTGACGGCGTAGGAGTTTCAAGACGTTCTTGCGGTTGCGTTGGTGGTGTTGGCTTCTCGCTACGTTTTGAATCGTCGGAAGGCGTGGCAACGGTTGCAAGAGCGGATCGTGGGCTCTGAGATGCTTGGCTACCTGTTAAACTGGCTCGTCTTGTTCTATTGATGGCGGTATCCTTGTTGGCCCAGCTGGCGGAAGACGGGAGAGCAGGTCCATCCAGTGGGCGACCGGCGTCGTCTTTGCTGGGTTGCCGTCGTAACGTTTGCGCGATTGGCTGAGCGGATGTTCGAGCGATATGCGGAAGGACAGTTGCACTAGGACTGCCTGTCACTCCATTAGGTCGTTGTTGGCTGGATAGAGTGTTCATCGACGACAGATCTTGACGACTGTAGCTATCGCTATCATCGCCGGTCTCGTGTAAGAAGGTACAATTCCGGTTATGGCACTGTTCATTTCGTAAGAAGGATGAACAATACTTCGTGGTTCCATATTGAGCCCTATTGTCATCAGCACACATCCTGGTAATACCTGTCGTTCCAGAAAAATTATACCTCAGTATCCGGTCACCATTTGACGAACCATCCACAGCACTAATACACGTCGCAGCGTCACTTTTCCTGGCGTAGGTGACATAGACACCAATGCCTTGGTTCGGGTTGCCACCGGGCTTCGCTTTACTGACGACAATCTTCTCGATTTCGCCATATTGTCCAAAATACGTGGGCGTACGCAGGAGTTGTAGGAGTTGGTTTTCGTCACGTATCGTAGGATTGAGACCGATCACATAAACCAGGTTCTTCTGAACGACGCGAACACCAGCGAGATTCTTCCGACTAGAAGCTTCAATTTCCCGTTTTTCTGCCTCTTTCTTTTTCGCGGCGGCCGCTTTTCGGTGTTTCAGTGCCAAATCCGCCTTAAACCTAGTTTGCGAGGTACCATGTTAGTGCCAAGAGCGAAAATAAAAAGACTGGACGGGCGCTTGGGGAACGTACTCATCGGCATCGGGCACCTTGTATTGAATGGTGCTCTCATCGTAGACGCGTCTGCAGTTCGGGCACCGGCCCTCTTCGCTATGGGTCTTGATGTTGTTGTAGCAGAACTGACAGATCTAGAGATTTGAGTTAGAGATGTCCGCCCCGTAATTTCCGACCCGCTCCAACGCCCAACGATCGTCGCAATCGGTTTCGCGGGGGTTGAGGCCACGTACCTGGTATCCGCAAGGACATGGTCTGAAGTTCTTGTCCGAAAGGTCGAACTCTTCGATGCAAAGGGGGCTACAAGAGCCGAGGGGTCAGTTACGGAACAAAACCGTTGTGAAAAGGATAGTTGGGCAACACGTACCAGAACTCATCGTCATCATCAATGACAGAGTCACTCTGTAGGCGATTTGACATGATGTCGGATTATGTGTAGTAATACAGTTTAAAGAGAAGTGAGTCGCAGGAGTGGCCAGAGATCAGAGACAAAAGACCGATCAACCAAGCCAGCGGAAGGGGTAAGGGAGGACAACGGGCCGGAGTAAAGGACGAGATAGCAAGTCGAAAAAGATGTCGATATTAGGGAGTATGTTCGGAGGAGGGGTGCGAGGTTGTAAGGGTGGGCGTAAGGACAGGGAGACAACACAGATGGGTGGAGGCAAAGACAAGAATCAAACTTGAAGCTTTGCTGTGTTGGGCTTGCAGGTGTTTGACTGGTTTGTCTTCGTTTTGAGTTCATACCACGTGATTGGTCCGGTCACGTGCAGTTCCGCAAAAGCTCCTTGGACAGCGGAACGACGTCTATCCTACAGCTGGATCACTCGAGCCTCCAATTGCCCGCCCCTTGTGCTGCAATTGCTGCGTTAACCATGGCCGCCCCTCGCTCTATGATGCGGCTGGGCACTGGTCGCTCTTTGACCTCTGCTGCCCGGTCATCCCGCAATTGCCGTGCCTTCTCTTCGACCCCTCTGCAGTATGTAGCGAAGGCGACCACCGCTGGGACGGACACCCCAAACATGCGCCACGCAGAGCGTCCTCGTACGTGAACTGCTTCTTTTAATTGGACTTGATGTGTGTTGGCAGAATCAACTAACTGTGCGCAGCCCAGGGTCCTCTCCGCGCCCCCGTTGTCAACCCGGCCGACAAGTATCAGGACATTGCTGAGGGCATGCACAAATACGGTCAATACATCATGTCATGCCTGCCCAAGCACGTCCAGCAGTTTTCCGTATGGAAGGACGAGCTTTGCATCTACATTCCCCCCTCCGGCGTCATCCCCGTGATGTCCTTCCTCAAATACCACACCGCGGCCGAGTACACCACCATCTCCGACATCACCGTCGTCGACTACCCCACCCGCGATCAACGCTTCGAAGTCGTTTATAACCTCCTCAGTGTCCGCCACAACTCCCGCATCCGCGTCAAGACCTACGCCGACGAGGCCAGCCCCGTGCCCAGTGTCACCGGTCTCTTCGAGGGTGCTCTGTGGTATGAGCGTGAGGCGTACGATATGTTCGGTGTGTTCTTCTCCGGACACCCCGATCTGCGCCGTATCATGACGGACTACGGTTTCGATGGCCACCCACTGCGCAAGGACTTCCCCTTGACCGGTTACACTGAGCTGCGATACGACGAGGAGAAGAAACGAATTGTTATTGAGCCGCTCGAGCTTACTCAGGCATTCCGTAACTTTGAGGGAGGCACCGCCGCCTGGGAGCCTGTCGGTGCTGGTCGGGATAGGACTCCAGAGTCGGTATGTATCGCCTACGCACATAAAATCATGATACTGACGATCACCAGTTCAAACTCCCCACCCCAAAGCCTGAGCCCAAGGAGGAAGAAAAGAAATAGAAATCTCATGTACCCGTATTCTCTCGCATTCTTTCCCGTTTTGTATGTACATACCGTGTCTACCTTAGATGGAATCTATTCGGTTCTTGTGATGAATCTTCGAGCAACAATACTATAGTAGCTGTATCCCAGACTTAGTTATCGTAATCACATGAATCAATTTATTGCCCGGGTTCCAGTCGATATCAAGCGGATCGAGGAGCCTCAAAAGCCCGCGGAAGAAAAGCTTCAAAAAGTCTTGGCACACGCAAACCCAAAAAAAGTCCTCCGTCTCCGCCATTAACGCATTCGTCTCCCTCCGACACAACCCAACGAACGTCGAATCTCCCCTTCTCTCCGCAGCACATTCAAGTCCATTACAATAAGATGCCCAAGCGAAAACTCTCCGAGTACACCGACGCCCCGGCGCAAAACACAAACCTAAAACTCCAAAAGACCCGCCTAAAGCAGAAATTCGACTACGGCGTCACGACGCTCGCGGGCGCACTCAAGACCGCGCGCGGATTCGAGAGACAGAAGCTCGGACGCAGGCAGAAGACAGCGAAGAATGGACCGCAGGATGAAGATCAGACGAAAGCGAAGGGTAAAGGAAAGGGAAAGGGAAAACCGAAGGGGAATAGCAAGGTCAAGGTCAAGCCCGGCAAGGAACTTTTTGGGGAGGAGGCGTTGAAGAGGATTGAGGCGGAGATTGCGGTTTTGAAGGTTTGTTCTACGTTTCCTCTTTTATCTTGATTTCTTGAGGTCTTTGAGGGGATATGATTTCTAACATGCGCTTTGTGGTGTAGACACTCGATTTACACGCTACAGCGGAGAAATACCTATTCAAGCAGCTCAACAAGTCGAAACGCATCGCGGATGCGCCTGTATTTATCCGCTTCCGACAATCAAAGAAGATCTCGACGGAGGGTCCCAAGAGTACCGAGGAAGCGAATGTCACAGCGCGGTTGTTCAAGTCGACCCCCGTGCAGAAGGTTTTGCCTGGGATTCTGGATGGGCTGCGCGAGTTGATTGGGATTGATGCGGGCGAAGGGAAGAAGGACGGTGCGCCAGTGGATGGGAAGCGTGGGGAGGCTTCTATGGGTATTGAGCGAAGGGCAGATTCCGGCGTATCTGAAGAGTCCGACGACGAAGCACGGGTTGCACGGGATGTGGATATGGAGGACGCAGAGAGCGACGAGGAAGACTACGCGCACTTCAACGCACGACTAGCATCAGATTCAGAAGGCGACGACGACGATGCCGATTCAGACGATGAAGCAGCTATCCCAAAACTGAAACCCCTCCCTCCCCGCTCTGACATGTCGATATCCCTCTCCCCCTCCGCCTCTCCCGAACCAGAATTGGAATCCCCGCCGTCAAAGAAACAAAAAGCCGCAGCGAATGCCTCCAAAACACCCACAACAAGCACAACCTTCCTCCCATCCCTAATGATGGGCGGCTACTGGTCCGGCTCCGAGTCCGAACCCGAGGAAGTTGAAGAAGCGCCACGGCGCAAGAACCGCATGGGTCAACAGGCGCGCCGAGCTCTATGGGAGAAGAAGTACGGCGCCGGCGCGAACCACGTCAAGGAGGGTAAGAAGAAGAGTAATGGCCGGGATAGCGGGTGGGATCCGCGGAAAGGTGCAACAGATGGGGATAGCGCGAGGCGAAAGTTTGGTACGGGCTCAAATACGATGGCGTTGGGTACAGATAAGAGGACAGGATCCCAGCGCGGTCCTGCGGCGGGCAAGAAGCCTCAGGATGACAAGCCGCTGCATCCTTCCTGGGAAGCTGCTAGGAAGGCGAAGGAGCAGAAGACTATGGCTGCTTTCCAGGGTAAGAAGGTTGTGTTTGATTGAAGCATTCCAGCATCCTTAGCAGCATTTTGCATATGCATTAGAGAGCAATGATATATGATGAATCATTTGTCTTATGATTGACTTAAGTAAACAAGAGCGATGAAGGACCACTCTAGGTATCGTTGACTTAGCTATATAAAGCACAGGAATAAAACAAGTGAGGCTGTCATGTATGTGTAACTCCGTAGAACACAAAAACATTTCCGCTCCATGCAACGCTGGGGAGTAAGCCATCACGCCAGAAACGAGAACCACAATCCACCGGCCAATACACTCCAATCTGTACCGGGGCACATCCTAGCATTCACTCGATCAAAACTGCATCCATCGATCCGACGGCTTCAGCTCCCCAGGGAGCCCCTGCTGCGGATCCGGATCAAAGCACGGAATAGCCGTGAATTCACCAAGCTCCTGCGGGAGATTCGACACGAAATGATCGAAGCCAATATGCGACACCTGTGGGAAAGAATGAGGCGTAAAGAGATCCGAGGGTGAAGTCATATCCGGATTCGACACACCCATGCCGTGCATATGGTGTTGCCGGGTATCACTTGAGGGACCTGCAGCGGTGGCGGGCGCAGCACCCAGGGTCTGCACGCCATTTGGCCCGGTAGTTGAGTAGGGCTCTTGGAAGGGAAGAGTCTCGGGGGACATGGGTCCCGTTTTCCAGAGCATCTCCCAGTTCTTGAAGCGGTCGTATGCGGATTCCATTGTGCCCGAGTGGCCGCCGGCTTGTGAGGTGTATTCTTCGAGGCGGGAGATGGCTCGCTCGAGGGCTTCGATGACGCTCACGGCGGATCGTGCGGAACCGACGCCCATTGACATGATTTTGATCAGGGCCATGCCTTTCTGGAGGGCTTCGCGGAGTCTTTCGGTGCGCTTCGTTAGGCTTTGCGCGAGGATGACGAGGAGGGCGGCGCGGCAGGAGCTGAATTCTGTAAACGAAGCACGAGCGAGGCCGGTTTCGTCGCGGAGTAATCGGCAGAGGTCGATGATTTCTAGCGCGGCTTCCACGCAGTCTGTGACGAGCGTTGACCTGTTCTTGGACACACCCGATGGTGTTTTGACCGGGGATATCTGGGTAGCGCTCGAAGAGAAGCCCTTCACACTACTAAAGAGGAACGGCCGGCCCAGGAAGATCCTAGTCAGACAGTAATCAAGCTTCAAATGCAGATTAGGTCGGAAAAGCGGTCCTCCCGGGTGCAGATCACGACAGTCCGTTTCTTCCGGCAACGTATTCCACCAGTCGACCAAGTGTTTTCGTATATTTAGTAGCCTTTCAAGGCAATCCTGTTGTTGATGCTTGCGAGACTTTCGGAGGTTGGATCTTGCAGTATTGTTAGTCGGCTTTCACCCCCCGAATTTGGCTTAACGTACATCTCATTGGCGGTCTCGCCGAGTTTCAAGGTCAAAGTAATCAGCGCGATCATGTTTGTATGATTCGAGACTTGCCCTCGCGGCATCAGGCCAGGGAAGTCAACAGGCAGGGCGGCATCAACATCTGTATCTTGGAGAGACACTGGCCTTCCATGCAGTATACTAACCCGCCTGGCAAACCATCAGTAAGCAAACAGAGAGTCAGGGCAAGTTTGGCTTACTTTTCAATCGTGTATGCCGTCCAAAATACCCTATTGCGGATCTCGATCATATGTGCTGGAAGTCCCTCACCACAATACTTCCTATGCATGCCATTCTGTATCGCCATCTTCAAGGCAAGGCCAAAATAGGTATAGCAGAGCCCAGATGTATCCAGCGGTAGTAAATATGTTCCAATCAACAGACAAGCCTGTACGCTTCGGATAGAAGCCGAGGCAATGATATCTGGTAACAGCTTAGAAGCAAACTGGTAAAACGTCAAGCCAACTTCATCCTCCGAGAAGCCGTGGTCGTCGGTATCGGAGGTGTTAGAAGATAGACGGTTCACAGGTGTAGCCGACTCCATGTGCGCGAATTGTGTTCCAACGGCAAGAACCATCAGGATAGAGCATACCGCGCCGGCATCGTTGCTCGAGAGGCTCCCGGGGTTCGTATAACAGGTGTTGAGTTTATCTTTGAGCCAGTCCTCTTCCACGTAGAAGTTGTTGGTTTGCGCGTACTTGAAGAACATCTGCACAAGAAAGTCTGCAACAAATCGTGGCGGTAGACAGGTGACTGATGCGGATACCACGGCCGAGCTTGACTGCAGTTGCGTGGCGCGCCATCGTTCCTCGAATGGCTCTGCTTCGGTTGAGGCCTTATCCGTCAGTCATGCTCAGATAGATACGGGCACGTATGGCATACCTCGGGCGTCTCTGCTTTCATCCACTCATCAATCTTCTTCCTGATCTTCATTGAGAAATTCAGATATGAGAATTCGCCGGAGTATTCTGTAAAATAGGTTAGCATCACTGCCAGACAACACCGCAATTCGCAAGCCAAAACTCCTCCGCAGGAACAGCGGCCACCATCACCAAGTATAGAAACATACGCGTCGTATTATCCGTCAACGCCTTAATCGTAAAGTCCTCATCATCAATCGCCAGATCCTCCATATCCTCACTGTCCAACAAAATCGACGGACCGCCCTCAGAGTCCGATCCCCGATGTTTACTCTTCAATTCCTCGGCCGTCTTCCGGAGCGACTGGATATCGAACGAGATATTCGGGACATAGTGTTGCAATATGCGTTCCATGCACCGGACACGCTCCGACTCGAGCATGTCATGGCGGCTTCGTGCGGCGGTTCGTTCGAGAAGTCTAGAGTTTCCAAATCCCTCAGTGAGCGAATATCCACGAACCGGGGCGATAGTTTTGCTCTTGAAACATTGATGGATTGTATCGGCGACTTACGAGACAGACGACGAACGCGCAAGCTTCTCTGCGTGGTCGGGGTGGGTGAAGACGCATTGGCGGCGATAACGGAGGCACCGACGACACGGTACGCCTCCCTCGCATTTCTCCTTTACGCGACGGCAGCCATCGCAGCTAAGATAACCATGTCAGAGGAGAGCATAACCATGCAGATTGGGAATAAAGTCGCAAAATCCGGGGTGACAAGGTTCGCATGTCACTCACGCTCGCACCGCTCTTTTGCGGTTCTCCTCCGAAACGCGGGGTCGCTTCTGCTGGCCCACGCCAGCGGGTGCAGTAGGTGTTGAGGGGGCCTCTTCCATGGCAGCAAAAGGTCAGGGCGGTTTTCGTAATCGTTCAAGCATTGTACTAAGACGAAGCCCAGAGCGCGAGGGACAAGAGGTGCGTATCTGGGGGAGATTGGAGCGGAGAAGAGGGGAGAATCGTGAGGAGATACGAGGATAAAATTTCCTGGTCTGATTCCGTTTTCCAACTGATAAGCGGCCTTTTCCCTCGAATTGAACTTCAACCACGGGTCGCTTACTTTTCTAGAATTTGAAAGTGGAGAGGTGCAAGACTATTCATGTGCTAGAGATCTTGTTTGAACTTTCTCGGCCCTCGTCTCGATATCTAGTTTAACACTTTGCCGGGCTAGGTGTCAGCAATACATTTACAAGCATGAAGAGCGACCATCAACTTTTCACAAGATTTGGTTTAGAGATAGACATGAAAGGGCCACAAAAGCATCTTGTGACATTTGACTACATTCAAAAACCGCCCACCTCCATCCCAATCCCCCTCTCCGTCCCTACATCAAGCAACTTCTTTCCAATCACCAAATCCATAATCCCCATCCCCACACACTTCATCACCACATTACACCCATCCGGCACCCCAATCGCCTCATTTCCCAAAGATTGGTACAACTCCCCAAGCTCCAGAAGCTGATCCTCCGTAACCCGAGCCTTAATGAGTTCGCCCGACTCCTCCAAGCAAGCCTCCTTCGAATCCACATACACTTTCCCTCCACCAGAGAGCAGCGTCTCGGAGTCAATCTCCTGCATATGCGGCCTGTACGAGCCGATCAGCGAGATGAATCGGGGCTTAAAGGGCTGCAGGTAGGAGTTTGGGAAGTTTGGCTCTGTAGATGGCGTGCAGCTGAAGATGACGTCGCACTGCGCGAGTTCGGAGCGGAGACGCTCGTCGTAGTCGGCTGTTCCTTCTTTTGACAGAGTATGCATGTTGATACTTGGATGGGAGCGTCTGAGATCTCTGATTACGGTGCTCTCTAGCTCATCCAGCCGCTTGCGTCCTCGGTTGATGAACGTGATTCTCTTGACCTCATCGGGGACCAAGAGGAGGGCTAGACGTGCATGCCACTCGGACTGACGTCCAGAGCCAAAAATAATGATATTCTCCTTCTTCAGCGACTTGCAGCGAACGAAAAGAGACATGATCGCGAGCGCTGTGCGAAACGCCGTGATCTCCGCGGCGCTCAATAAGCCCAGAAGCTCGCCTTTGGGCGAGAAGATGTTGATCACGCCGATGATGCCATGGGACTTGGAGGCAGTTACGATTTTGATGCCCGTGCTGGCCGTGTTGGAGACGGGCATGAAGAGCGAGAGGTTCTCATCTTTCGTTGTGATGGTTGTGCGGAGCGGTTGGTGGACTAGGCGTTCGGAGTCTGGTGAGGTTTTTTGTGCTGAGACAGTAACGAGGGCTTCGTCGAGGGTGTGCAGAAACTCGTAGCATTGTTCTTGTGTTAGTTTGCGGAGGATCTGGGCGACGTCGGATTCTGATAAGAGGTGCATTGTGTTTGATCAGATGCCTGAAATAATAGCCGAGAGAGGCGTAGACTGCGGTGTTTTTTAGGTTGTCTAAATGCTGCTGGGACCAATATTCCGACGCGCTGATATATACTCGGAGTTACGAGGTGACGAAGTTGGAGAAGTCGGGGATCGCTGGCGATGTCGGAGCATCGAATGACCCCCTCCAACTTAAAGTGAGTGGAGCAGTTAGTGGACGAACCCCGACTACGTACAGACCAACGCTGGACCAGCGATGAGGAATAGCCGCAACTAAAGCCACCGCATTCCCAGCCAGGCACTTGAGATATATCACCGACGATTGGGCTCGCAAGATTATTATCGACGAGTAGGAGAAATCAACTCTACAGCCCCATGATGGCATAGTTTATGCTACCTACCCGAAGACTACTAGTAATAACCTTCGCCCTTAGAGAGGGCCGTCACCGACTCCTTGGTCCCAAACGCCGCATGTCTACGTCGCAGGTCCGCGCTCTCAATCTCCCCAAACTGCAGCCGAACCTTACCAATCTCGTCCTTCAGAGGCTCGGTTCCCAAGCATTGTCCAACGGCCAAGCGGTCCAGCTCCGGATTCCGCGTCGTCATCAAGACGCTTGAAAACGAGGTCCCTTGGGCGACGCCGTTTCGTCGCAGGGCGACCAAGCCGACGATGACGCACACAATCGAGACAGCCACCGCACTCATGTAGGCCGTGAGCAGCCCCGTAGCGCCGTAGAAGTAGTAGTTGCGCAGGGTCCGGTCCATCACTGCGACCGTGGTGTTTCCGCCGTTTAGGCTGAGCAGGCTGTAGGTGAAATTGTGGCTGAGGTCCTCGATTGCCTGAGCCAGGGTACCATTTCGGCACAAAGTATTGGCGTCATCGCCATACGGGTAACCATAGCTGCTGGTATTCCATATGTCTGCACAGGCAAAGAGGCCGGTCTGCGCAAGAGATGTATCGGTGAATGGCGCCGAAGTTGAAGCAGTCCTATTCTCAGTCAGTCCACCTCTCTTGGTCATAACCAGTTGACCTTGGAGAAGACCAGAGAACATCAAGTGCGTTACGTAAAAGCCCGCATTCACGGTTGGATCTGATACCACGTGTGAAGGCTGTACGGTGAGAGAAGCATCCCGACCGCTCCAATTGGCATAGGCGACATGGTCGACTGAGATTGGGGTCAGCGTCTGGATGCCGTTGGTAAAATGCATGTCGATCACGTAGGAGGTATTCCAAAGCTGGCAGACAAGCTCGGTGGGCTGTGTGGCGTTGTCGTTCCACAGCGGATTGCTCCCTTCAGCTGATATGAAGACAGTGTTGTTGAGATCACTAGGCACGGTCCCCATGTAGATTCTTGATGACTGAAACATCGGCTCCGGAATTTCACTATCCCACAGTTCCTGGGTCACACCATCTGTCTCCACAAGAGCTTCGCTCAATCGCTGGCATTTGTACGAAGGACCCCAGAACGAGAGTTCGTAAGACGAGTTGGAGAACGGGGCAGTGACCGGAAGCACCTGGGCAGTTGAGGCCATGGCTGTGAAGACGCGGGCCATGTCGACAGAGGGGGAACTGATGGCGAATTCACTGTGAGTTACTTCATTTTGCCAATACGACAGGTCAAAGTTGACGTTTGGAACGAGCAGCTCAGCCTCGTCCCAAGCTGGATACGTAACGACGTTCAGTGTTGCAGGCGTAACAATCGCTGTCAAGGGAATCAGCCTGGTCAGATGGTGAGTTATTGGTTTACCACAACAAATGGCAGTGCACATACCAGCAGACAACCGCCAGCACGGTCAGCGTCTTTGCATACAACCACAAATCTAGGGTGAGAAAAGCCAAAGGGCTGCCCCGGACGGCAAACATGCTATCAATCGAGCTGAGCCGGACACTCTTACGGCGCAGGGTGGACCAGGTCTCTTGCACCGCGGCGAGCCCGACGGCGGACACCAGGCATGATTTTATCAGAAAGGCAAAGCCAGTTCCAATTCTGATCGCCCAAGTTTGTTGCTCACGAGACGCGACGCGAGAGCCATCGAAGCTCTTGTAGTAGAAATGATGGCCCACAGACAACATCGCACCGGAAATGAGCAGCCCAACCATCAGAGTGGGACACCTCCAGCCGACGCCCCATGCGGCCGGTGCCTCGGCCACTTGGACTGGAGCTTGCACCGGCACCAGCATGGGCGACTCGGGGCGTTTGCCATGGCTCGAATCGTCGCCGGCGTGGTCATTGGTTGAGGGAGACATCTTACACTGGGCGCCCAAACAAGAGCAGACTCTGGCACCGTCCGAAGGCGCGCGGGGAGAGGCTCTTCACCAGTTCTTATATGGACTAGACGTTGGGACCATTTTGTGTGCCAGCGGGCAGATACGAGGGCACGGGCCTCGTATTCTGTGCCTGATCGTGCTTGGCAGCGCTACAAGGATGCACGCGAGCAGGGATCTGGTGGAGGGACCAGATGAATCATGAAGAGCAGCTGATGGTCTCCGGCGTGGTTTGTTTCAACAAAAATTGAAGATGCGTAACTCTTGATATCTGTCATTTGAGCGACCAGGCGGGAACGGACTCTGAGGCATCATGAAGATGAAGTGGTTGTGTATCGGTCAGTGTTGTTGAAGGAGCAACAAGTGTCAAGCGGAACGAAGCAATCAAGAGGAGAAGCACGTGATTTAGAGCTTCAGGCACCATTGACATTTGGGGCTTCATCCAATCAGTAGTTGGAATGTAGGGACAAAGCTCAAAAAAAGGCTTGGCAGGCGGCCTTGCGGACGCTAAATTCATGCCGCAACAATGAGCCACCAACAACCATCGACGCAGAGCGGCAGAGACGCCAGAAACGAGGTTTTCATTCCGAGGAACAAGGTTCTATAGTTGGTAGGTCCTCCCGAGGATCAGCTTACTCTAATGAAGAAATTCGCCGCAGCAGGTGAGCGAAACAGGCCACTCACTATACACTCGGATGGGGTGGACGGATGAGTTCAGTTATCCTGACACCTCGCGCGTTGGCGCCGTGGATTGAGGTGCAAGTGTGATAATGATCGTAATCTATTTATGCGAGCAGGCGCAGCTCTTTGCAGTCACCACAACCATCTGTGCACTACCCTACTACAGTTTGGCCGACAGCATGTTCTTGTCCGACCAGATCCTCAAAACCAAGCAGTGAATTGTCTCGACGAGGTCTCCAGCGATCTCGTCCGAGAGCCGGACATTGTCATCGCCCTTGTTCAGATTCAGTCGGTAGATGTGGCATCTGGCATCCGCAGGTGCAGTCCCATTGCTAATTAGCAGCTGCGGCTGACCGCTGAAGCCAGCAGTGTCATTCCATTCGGTCCATAGGGTCTTGATAATAGCTTGGCTTCCCTCTTGCTGTTTGATGACTACGCGATACGCAACTTGCGTGGCGGAAGTAGTCGATGGAGCCGGATTCTATGATGAGAACCAGAAGATGCCAGCATCCGCCGTCCAAGAACAGACACTCGTTGAGGCTCAGAAACCAACACGTACCAGAATGCGAGGGGCGGCCAGATTATCAGTAGGTTTCATCAACTTCTCAGCATGGGCGAGATACCGGGCACAAGTAGCGAGGATCTTTGGCGCTTAGACAAAATGACGATCGATATGTCTCTGAAGTCGGTCCAACAAATACTCGCTTTGTAGCTGCTCACCTCGAGCATGCTTATCCTGACACTGATAGTTGTCGACCGGACCAAAAACTGGCCCGTGGACAGACGCGCCTCTTCGACAAACTTGACCGTCTTCTTGGCGGTTTCGTCTCTCACGCACCAGCTGCGGGTGAAGACAGGCTCGAAAATCAAAGTCGAGTTCGTCGATGTAGTAGCCCACAGTCTGAGTCTCACCGATAGGTCCTGACAGCACAAACGCCATGGTTGAGAAGGCGCTCACGATGTGGTTGCCCACCTGGCCCATATAGATGTCCGAGTTGGACGTGTCACTGGGATAGATCTCATTTTCTCTGCTATAGTGTGGTTGCGTGAGCGGATGGCCTGAGCAAGGATCGGGGCGATATGCTTACATTGATGATCTGCCATTTGAAAGAACGGTCTTGGCCCTTAATCTCCTGTGAGACGGGTGAGAAGACATGATGTCCAGGCTGTGGTCTTTCTCAAGGCCAGCGGGTGTTGTTTGGTCCTTTCAAGTTGTGCTTGCTGTAGAACGAGAGCGCGGATAGAGGTCTGAAGGTGCAAAAGCGAGGAAGCACGTAGAATTCAATCCAAATTATACCTTGTTGGCTTCTCACTTGCACGCTAAAGCGCGAGTCTCGGAAGCATCCCGTATCTACTTGGTTACTCGACTGTCTTTGTCCGTCGCCAAATCTGAGAAGTAGCAGAACCCCGCCTATTGCATGAGGCTATTGGCAGTGTATGAGGAAAAAGGGAGGGAGGGATGAAGCGACAGTGCAGAAGGTGTATGTCATGGCTGGGGGTTTTCGCAAGTACTCGCAATGGGCTAAAAGCGCTAAGTATACCGAAGAGCGGGGGGGTTTGGGAATGAATGAATGGGCACGGAGTTTGATTATGACGTAGGCTTATACCTGATGCTAGTCTTGCCTGTCTTTCCTCTATGCTCACTTCGTCTTACTATGTATCCTTTATCTCCTTCTTGCTTCATCGACCATACGCATTCGCAGGTCGAGCAGGCTGTGGCCCCTTACGTAACTTCCTGCTCCCAGGACCGGGCCTCCTTGACTCATCGAATTGTGCGCAGCACTACGAGTAGTATTGGAGTTTTCGTATCTCCGATATTGCGAAGGAAGTAAATGACTAGTCTGGATATAAAAAGTCATTGAAACGTTTCTATACATTACTCTCTTAAAGGTGTAATGCTAACATCTATATGCAAGCGCTAGTAAACCAAACAACGCTCAAACCATGATTCGTGAGGCCAACAGACAAAAAGAAAAGAACTTAACAAAGAGTCTTGACTCTATTTGCCGAGCCCAAAGGCGCAACGGGCACGTCGCTTGAGCTCGCCGAACATGGCTTCTTGCGACTGCTTTGTGCGTCCAACAGCTTCTGTGTTCTCGACAGCGCGTCGAAGCAAGAATCCCATGCACTCCTTAACAGATCCCCAGGTGAGGAGCTTGTAAACGTTTGGCGACTCAGAAGGCGCGACCTTCTTGCCCTCTTCAGCCTCTGCGCTCTGGAATCCCTCGAGCAACTCGCAGCTGATCTCGTCCGCCATCCCCTGGAGCTGAGCGTAGCTGAGTTCCACGTCCGAGCCTTCGCCCCGAGCAGCCTGCTGGAGACGGAGAGCGTGCGCCTTGCGAACAGACTCACGGTTGTGCGTGGCGATGATGACGTTGACGGGAGGAAGTTCGGTCGCGTGTTCAGGCGAGGCGGACTTGAGCATTGAGTTGTATCGACGGGTTAGGAGGGCCTCGACGACACCATCATAGCACTGGTCAGTCTCTTCCTTCTTCGACCAGATGAGGTGACGAGGCTCGGTCTTTAGGTATGCTCCGCGCACAAGCTTGACGCCGAGGGTGTAACCCTCGCGGCGGGAGATCTCGAGATGCCTGGCGAGTGTGGCTGGGGTGGAGCACAGGTATGCCTGGTAGGTGTTGTAGAAGACAGCACGCCCAGGAGTGCGCGAGTTGCAGTATTTCTGGTACTTCATCGTCCACTCTTCGATTCCTGGCTGCACGGCCTGTTCCTCTGCATCAACCAGCAATCGCACGTTGCGGGAAACGGCGAGATCGCAGACTTGTTGGATGGCCTGGTCCATGAACGGCGATGGAGCGGCCTGTCGCTGGAGGTAGTGAAGTGCTTGGACGCCCATACCGGTGAATCTTTTCCTGTTAGCTTATGTCTTGGTGTTCGATCGAGGATAGAACTCACTTGAGAGCCACAAAGTCGCCTTCCTGAGCCATGTCCACAGTCTGGAGCGTTCCATCTAGCCACATCTGGATTTCCTGTCGGCTTGCCTTTTCATCGGCGGGATCAGTGTTACTTTCTCCCACTAGAACCTCACGCGCATAGCCAAGGAGAACACCCCGGTATCCGAGCTCTTTGATCGCGTTGATTGAGCGCTGGACCTCTAGCTTGTTTTCGCCAGCGTTGAACTGCTTGTAGAGAGAGTGCTTGACAAGGAGGTTCAGCAGAGGGTTCTTCGCCACATCGAGCAGAGGCGTCTTAGGATGCGCGAGCGCGGAAAGTGTGTAGATGCATGGCTTCAGAAGTATCGATGAAGAAGAGACGGAGAGGATTAGCAGCGAGCGGAGGACGGAGGAAAGAGGTAGCTTGGCGAGAGGCGAGGCTGTTGGTTTCTTGGGAGAAGGCTGATGCCACAGGCTGTTTGTGGTATCGGCTGTGAGAGATGATTTGGCGTTGCTTGTTCGACTGACGAATCTGGTTGATCGATGAGCGGATGGCGAAACGCTGGATAACACCCGCACTGAGGGGCGAGGGGTTGCTGCTTTCATGGTTGTGGTTGCAGTAAGAGAGTATGTCGCTCGGTAACCAAGGATAGACGTGAAGATGTTGATGAGGTTAAGTATAACTAAGGATACGGTTGGGGTCGATGGTAGAGATTATCATTTGTAACACTGAAGGATAAAGGAATGCAGGCAGTACAATAGCCGGTGGAAGCCGCTTTGGACCGGCAGCTGCTGTGTTACAGTGGCAGCATGAAAGTCACCTGCGCATGATATTGCTTCTGCTGCTATCAGCCAAGTAGCCGGTCGACAATATTCTGCGATCAACTCATTACTACGTATCTGAGATGGGTCTTGGAGACTTGGGAAGATGGGTCGTTTAGTTGCCGGTCAGAGATTCTGCAATCTGGGATTTCTATGAGTAAAGAAAAATTCGGACGGCCATCCGGTGAGCACTTCCCCTTGAATATCTGATGAAATGTATCTGCTAATGCAAACTGCAAGCCCGGATCGAGATCTAATCAAGGGTGGTGTCCCCGACTTCCATGAGTTCCATCCACCGGTTCACGGGCCGGTGCCATGAGAATCCCCACCAGGCAACTCTGCTCTGTGACCGGGCCGGTTGGTGCCACCCACCGCAGCCCTGATCCCGTGTTATCGCCTCCCCTCTCGCTGACCAGCTGACAACACTGGTTTCAGTGATCACTGCGCCTGTCAGATAATAATCATTGCCACCTCTTGGCTTATCCCACGTCGATAGCGACCGGAAATTGGCCGAGACAGAACGTCATTTCTGCCCGAATCCTGAGGCCGAAACCGAAATTAAACGCTAAGTAGGACCGGCTATGCCCAACAAAGCCTAGCATCACGTGGTGAAACCCGAAGTCGACGATCAGCTAGACTTAACCAATCAACCATTAGTTTGCCACTCACTGATGGGTCAAGCTTTGGACCGGCGGCGGTTCTGGCAGGGACTTCTATGCCAAGCATTCCAGACAAACACCTTCGATGTTACCACTGAGGATCCCATTAGTCACTGAAACAGCTTCATGGAACCCAAGCCAGAGAAACCGGCTGCGTGATGGCAAAAGCATCGTGCGGGATTATGCGGAGAAACCCCGGATTCAATCAAGTTGGACGAGTGTGAGACTCTGGAGAAGGTATCTCGATTCTCGAAATTCGGGCCACCGAACTCCTTACCTTTTTCCTATGCAAGTTTCTTCAAAATGACGCAGGAGTCATGGATACTGCCCTGCAAGCGCCCTTAGCACTCGTAATATCCTAGGCGTCAGCATTATCTCACCGGACTTCCGCCGAAGTTACTCCTATCAACGAATATATGCCTGGAGACAAGGGCAAGGTCTCAATCCATCAACCAGAATTGGACAGCCAGGGACCCAGGGACCCCACAGATTACCGCCTGCACTGCCCAGAAATCCCCGGGGCCAATAGGGTTAATCTCCCACACAACCCAAACCCATGAGTAAAATTTATCTCGTGCTGGAAATGATAAGCCGTTGACTCAGCAAAATCTGGGGACTGTGCTCCAGAATCAGTTTTATAACACCGTAGCCTCGACTTGGATTTGGTTCACTGCCTCTTACACCCAGAATTTATCATCCACACCAAGATGAGTCCTCCCTCGGTCAAGAGTATGGAGGAGGGCTGGGCAGTGCCTGTCCAGTCCAACCAGCCCGATTATGAAGACCCAAAGGCCGAACAAGGGGAGGTCGTCGAGAATTTCCACACAAAGCGCGGTTTGGCTTCGAGGCAGCTGCAGCTGATTGCCATCGGTGGTTGTATTGGAACTGGTCTCTTTGTCGGTTCAGGTCAGGTTTTGTCGCTGACTGGGCCTGGTAAGACTCTCGACGCGTGCTTGATGTGTCGTGCTAATGCTGTCTAGCACCGCTGCTGATGAGTTACATTGTTATGTCTACGGTTGTTTGGTTTGTCATGAATGTCTTGGGAGAAATGACCACATACTTGCCTATCCGTGGTGTTTCAGTGCCGTACTTGATCGGCCGGTTCACTGAACCATCAATTGGCTTTGCAGCTGGTATGTCCATTTTATCTTTCCATACCGCAATGTACTGACTCGATCAGGATACAACTACTGGTACTCTTTTGCCATGCTGCTGGCCTCAGAGGTCACTGCTTCGGGTTTGATCATTGAATACTGGAATCCTCCGGTCAGCGTCGGCCTCTGGATTGCAATTGTCCTCGTTAGTATGTAACCAGTTTCCTTCCTTCAAAGGGTGAGCTAACATAGAGCAGCAATTCTTGCCCTCAACGTCTTCGCCGTTTCGTTCTACGGAGAAGCCGAGTTCTGGTTTGCGACCCTAAAGATCCTCGCCATCATCGGCCTGATTATACTCGGCGTCGTTTTGTTCTTTGGTGGAGGCCCGAACCATGACCGTCTGGGATTCCGATACTGGCAAAATCCAGGTGCCTTCAACCCGTATCTAGTCCCCGGAAACACGGGAAAGTTCTTGGGCTTCTGGACTGCTTTTATCAAATCGGGATTCTCGTTCATCTTCTCCCCCGAGTTGATCACCACCGCCGCTGGAGAGGTTGAGGCACCTCGTCGCAATATCCCCAAGGCCACGAAGCGCTTTATCTACCGTGTCTTTACCTTTTACATTCTAGGCAGCTTGGTGATCGGAGTCACCGTAGCTTACAATGACCGACGCCTCACTGAAGCGGTCAACAGCGGAGGTTCTGGTGCTGGCGCCAGTCCTTTTGTCGTTGCCATCTCGAATGCTGGCATCGGTGGGTTGAACCATGTGGTCAACGCTGCTATCTTGATCTCCGCTTGGTCTTCCGGCAATGCTTGGTGCTATGCTGGATCGAGAACTCTATTCTCTCTGGCGGGAGAAGGTCAGGCTCCGAAGATCTTCCTGCGGTGCAACCGTAATGGTGTGCCGTGGGTGGCTGTTCTTGCAACATGGACCATTGGACTTTTATCCTTCCTCAACCTTTCCAGCTCCGGGCAAACCGTCTTTTACTGGTTTACGAACCTCACTACAGTGGGTGGTTTTATCAACTGGGTGTTGATTGGAATCGCTTATCTGGTATGTTTCCTTAATCCTTGAATGACCATTCACAAGACTAACATGAAGCAGCGCTTCCGCAAGGCAATCATATTCCACAACATGCTGGACATGCTGCCGTTCAAGACGCCTTGGCAACCCTACGGCTCCTACTACGTGATATTCCTTGTCAGCATCCTAACCTTGACAAACGGGTACGCCGTGTTCTTCCCGGGTAACTTCAATGCATCCGACTTCTTGGTCGCCTACATCGTGATCGCCATCTTCATCGTTCTCTACGCTGGACACAAGATCTGGTATCGCACCCCATGGATGACAAAGGTGTCGGAAATCGACATCTTCTCTGGCAAGGAGGAGATTGACCGTCTGTGCGAGAATGACCTTGAGCGCAACCCCAGAAACTGGATGGAGATGATTTGGTGGTGGATTGCTTAGAATTATATACTTGCTCTGTGTGATATTTTCAGTTAGATACTTGAACATACAATATGACTTCGAACCGTCTCTACAAGTGCCTTGTTAATTAAACACCGAATCGGCTAAGGGATCCGAATACTAGAAGCCGGTCGGCGGTCAGCTACACCTTGGACACATACCCGTTCGGTATGAAGGTGATAGCCGATGAATAATAACAACATCAAACATAATAACCGGCAATGTCTCGTTGCGATATCGTTGCGATTGCTTCTCTGGAGATCGCTGCGGGGCGGGGTGTGCCACTGGGGATCCGGCCCGGTGACTGTCCCACCCGGCACTCAAAAGGGTCCCGGCCCTGCGAACAACAGCCACCGGGGCGGCCATCTCTTGCGGGGCAAGTTTACATTTTGTCCTGGAATATTTGGTGATTCGGTCAAGTAATACGCCTCATCCGAAGATCTCATTGGCTTGGGTAAATGTGCTCCAAAAGGCGCATTCCTCCGTGGATAACCGGCTGCTTTAAATCACGAGAGCTTCCCCGCATGCCTGCAGCCCGTTGTGTTTGCTCCCCCTCTTTCTCCTCTTTCCCTCTCGACGTTTCTTCTCTTCTTCTGTAGTGCTGAAGTCGCCTTTGATTCAGACAGTGAAGTGAAAGAAAAATGCAATCGTCGCTACTGCTCCGAGCAAGGGGTTTCCCTGGTGCCAGAACCGCCTCGGCGTTTGCGCGGACGAGGACGGCTGCGTACGCCACTTTCAAGGTCCCTCGCATCGACAACGAGCCAAACGTGAGCAATTGACGATACGAATGAAGTGACAATCTGCTAATTCGTACAGAAACACTATGCTCCTGGCTCCCCTGACCGAAAAGGTCTCCAAGAGGCCCTGGCCAAACACCAGCAGGCTGCTCCCTTCAAAGTACCTCTGGTGATCGCAGGGAAGGAGGTGAGTTCCAGCTCCAATATACACAAACAACAAGCGCTAATATGACAAGATTGAATCTTCCCAAACATACACACAAACGAACCCCGCCTCGCACGGCCCCGTGGCCACCTACTCCAACGCCACAACCCGAGACGTCGAAGCCGCCATCGCTTCCGCCCTCGAGGCTCGCAAATCATGGGCCTCGACTCCGTTCGCCGACCGTGCCAGTATCTTCCTCAAGGCGGCTGACTTGATCGCCACAAAGTACCGCTACGACGTGATGGCTTTGACGATGCACGGCCAGGGCAAGAACGCCTGGCAGGCTGAGATTGACTCTGCGGCTGAACTGTGTGACTTTTTCCGCTTCGGAGTCAAGTATGCGGAGGATCTGTATGCTGGACAGCCGGTACACAATGCTCCTGGTGTTTGGAAGTATGTTTGCCTCAAATATAGAGATCTTGGGATGATTGCTAATGAGACAGCCGCGTTGAATACCGTCCCCTAGAAGGTTTCGTTTACGCTATTAGCCCGTTCAACTTTACTGCTATTGGTGGGAACCTCGCTGGTGCTCCTGCATTGATGGGCAACGTTGTTATCTGGAAGCCTTCTCCTTCCGCCATTGCTTCCAACTGGCTGGTTCACCAGATTCTCCTGGAGGCTGGACTGCCCAAGAATGTCATCCAGTTTGTTCCTGGTGAAGCCGAGGAGGTGACAAAGTCTGTGCTTGACCACCCCGAATTTGCTGCTCTGCACTTCACCGGTAGCACCAGCGTGTTCCGCAGCCTCTACGGTCAGATCTCCGACGGAGTGGCCGCTGGCAAATACCGCAGCTACCCTCGCATTGTTGGTGAGACTGGTGGCAAGAACTTCCATCTCATCCACAAGTCCGCAGACATCCGCAACGCTGCCGTCCAGACCGTCCGCGGTGCCTTTGAGTTCCAGGGCCAGAAGTGCAGCGCCACATCTCGCGCCTACGTGGCCGAGTCAATTGCCGACGAGTTCCTCGAGCATGTGGTGAACGAGACCAAGAACCTCAAGGTCGGCCCTCCCACCGAGTTCTCCAACTTCTGCGGCCCCGTCATCCACGAGGCCTCCTTCAACAAGCTCGCCAAGGTCATCGATGAAGCCAAGAACGATTCCGAGCTCGAACTTCTCGCTGGAGGTACCTACGACTCGTCCAAGGGATGGTACATCCAGCCGACCGTCTACCGCACCTCGAACCCCGACCACCCTCTTCTCTCCCGCGAGCTTTTCGGCCCTATTATCGTCATCCACTCGTACAGCGATGCCACCGATGGTGACTTTGTCCGAATGGCCGAGAAGATCGACCAGACTGGCGAGTACGGTCTGACCGGCTCCGTCTTTGCTCAAGACCGCGAAGCCCTGCAGCTTGCAGATGATGCCCTCCGCAACGCCGCCGGTAACTTTTACATCAACTGCAAGAGCACCGGCGCTGTTGTTGGGCAGCAGCCCTTCGGTGGTGCGCGTGCCAGTGGTACGAACGACAAGGCGGGCAGTGGCAACCTGCTCTCGCGGTTCGTGAGCTTGCGCTCGATCAAGGAGGAGTTTGTCCCGACGTACAATGTTACGTACCCTAGCAACGAGTAGCGTGTCTTTTCTTTCTATTCCCCTGTTGCGACTGTTTCCTTGCATCTAATACGGCGTTTTCATTTTAGCATTGACGAAAAGTCATGACTGTTCATATACTTGGTGATATCAATACCATTACTTACACACCTATATCATTGCCCTTCAAGCCCTAGGCCTTTAGACCTTCTTCAAGCAGTTCCCAATAAACCTCCCCATACTCTTCCTCGCCCTCTCGGCAAACTCCCCCAAATCCACATCATTCCCCTGTCCATCCGCGCCCCCATCAAAAATCTCCATACTAAACCACCCGCGAAACCCCGTCCGCAGTACCGCAGCCCCAACAGCCTCAATAGGCAGATACCCACCATCATACGGCATGGGTCTAAAATCATGGCTCCACCTCCCCCGCGTCGCCGTCCCATCCACAACCTCGCCACTCAACGGCCCGCCCTTTGGCTTATACGCATCAGACACCTGCAAGAGATAGATCTTCTCCTTCGGAACGGTCCTCGCCAACTCGTCCATACTCGCCTCAAACCGGCGACTCAATTCCCTCTCCCCGCTCGAACCGGGTTCCACGTTTCCGATACGTCCAGACTCCGTACTCGGATCCGCCCACTCCCCGCCCACAGACTGGAACGTGTCCAGACACAGCCCAATATTCGGGCGGTCCACGGCGTCCACAATCTCCCAGACATCCTTCCAGGTCTTTGCATGAGACGACCAGCACCAATTCTCATATGCAACGCGCATCTTCGAATTCTTCGCCGCGAGGATATCGCATAGCTCCCGCAGATCCTCAACGATATCTCGCCGCAGACCCGCACTATCATTCCCAGAGCGGGAAAGCTTGTCCAGCGGCGTATCACTAGACCCAACCTGCAAAATCTCTATCCCCGCAGCGTCCATGATCTCAACCCAACCCCTCGCCCGGGCGAACGCATCCTCCCGCTCGGGGGATCCGCGTGGCCACCCCTCGAAATTCGAGAAGGGTTGAAGCATGAGGAGGGTGAGGTTGTGTTTCGCTGCGAGGGCGCGGATGTCGCGCGCGGCGGATGTTAAAGAGGCATAATCTGTGGGTGAGATTTCGCGACTGTGCAGTGTTGAGGCGTAGGATAACAGATCTGGGAATGCGAGTTCGATTCCGGTGAAGTTTGCGCTGGAGAGCAGGGAGAGTTTCGTTGGGAGGGGGGTGTCTGATGTGCCGAGGGAGCAGGTTGCGTAGGAGAGGGGGATTGAAGACATCCTTTTTCTTTCTTTCGCGGGGGAATATGCGAATATGAAATGCAAGCAGTCAGATATGCTTATTAAGTTTATTAAGGCGTAAGGTAAGAAGTCTATACGAAAAATGTCAAAAGCTATGAGATTCGGTGGGTGTATGTTTATAGCCAGTTGCACTCGGAAGCCGCGGTGATGACGTCGCGATGAAGTCGAACCTCGCGACTCAATCATGTCAAGCTCTGGCTTGAGAAGCTTGAATTCCCCTCGGCCACTTTTTAGACAAGTAGCAGATATAGTTGAATTTGCTAATGATTGTGCGTGGAAATGATGTAACATTGTCGACGACACTTTTAATCCAACATCGCTCTGCAACATCCATTTCTCGAACTATATACAATCACACACACAACAACGCAGCCCAGAAACAGCAACCATGCCACCCAACAAAGCCATCGCGCAGAAATACAAACGCATCGGCATCGTGGGCGCCGGAAACATGGGCTCGATGATGGCCTTTGCCTTCTCCGAGCTCGGCCTCGACGTCTCCATCTGGGACGTCGCGCGCGAAAACGTCGACCAGCTGCTCTCGTCAGCAAAGAACGTCAACTACGACGGGAAGATTGAAGGATTCTACGAGATTGAAAAGTTTACCAAGTCGCTCGAAGGACAAGGCGTCGAGCGCAAGATTTTTCTGTTTTCGATTACGCACGGAGACCCCGCGGATTCGGTTCTGGGGATGATCAAGGGGTCTCTGAAGGAGGGGGATATTATCCTCGATGGCGGGAATGAGCATTATCGGCGGACTGAAGCGAGGCAGAGAGAATGTGCGGAGATCGGGGTGAGTTGGATCGGACTCGGTGTGTCGGGCGGATACCAGTCTGCACGGCGAGGACCGAGTTTATCGCCCGGTGGGGACGCCGAAGCACTCAAGGTCGTTATGCCGCTACTCGAGGCATATGCGGCGGTCGACGAGAAGACGGGGAAGCCGTGCGTTACGGGCGTTGGACCGCGCGGGTCCGGGCATTTCGTCAAAATGGTGCATAATGGGATTGAAGGGGGCATGCTATCGACAATTGCTGAGGCGTGGTCGATACTGTATTACGGAAGGGGGTTGAGCTACGAGGAGATTGCTGATATCTTCGACGATTGGAATAGAGAGGGGGAGTTGCGGAATAACTTTCTCCTGGAGATTGGGGCCGCGCTGTTGAAGGTTCGGAAGACGAGGGAGGGCGATGGGAAGGGCGAGGGTGTTTCCGAGAACAGCGACAGAGATGGGTACGTGATTGACGATGTGCTGGATAAGGTCGTGCAGGACGATGACGATACAGAGGGGACGCCGTATTGGGCGGTTATGGAGTCTGCGGCCAGGCATGTCTCTGCGCCGACGCTGGCGACGGCACACTATATGCGCATCGCGAGCGGGAATCGGGCAGAGAGGCTGGAAGTCTCGAAGAAGCTACATGTCCCCCGTCCATCGCCAATCCGGGGGATGAAGACGTTCGAGGCGTTCAAGGAGCACCTGCGCAGGGCCGTCTACGGCTCATTCCTAGCGAGTTTCTGTCAAGGCCTCGAGCTTATCGCTCGAGCATCCGAGGACGAAGGCTGGGGCATCGATCTAGGCAAATGTCTCCAGATCTGGCGAGCAGGATGCATTATCCGGTCCGAGGGCATAGCAGATATCCTACAGCCTGCACTCTCCGAGAACAAGGAGCTGAAGAACATGAAGTACATCGACAAGGCGTCCGAAGAGCTGGGGAGGACGTACAACTCGCTAAAGGAAATTGTCATTGCAGGCATCGACTCGGACCATTACCTACCGGCGATGTCGGCAACGTTGGAGTACCTGAAATATGAAGCAGGGACTATGCTCCCAACCAAGTTCATGGAGGCCCAGATGGACTTTTTCGGCGCGCATGGATATAACAAGCCTGGAGTCCCAGGGGAAGATCCGGGCCCGGTTGGCAAGGGGCCTCATCATTATGAGTGGCGGCCTGCTGTGTGATTCAGATCTCCACGTCGTATAGGGGGAATGCATTACAAATATAGCTTCAGGTACTTGTGACGTTGGGTCCTGCACTTACAGAATGTACTATTAATAAGCCACGTGCAATCTATTCTATCCATTGTCCAGGATGATCATCTCTGGACTTGCTGAAAGAGCATCAATTTCCTCTGGAAACTCATCAACTGCTCTGCGTAGAGGAAGTGATTTTTCTTTTGGCGATCAATACATAGCCCCATTATCAATGCCTAAGAAATACGATGAGGAGACCACAAGAATATGTACTCTAGTCTGTGTATAAAAGACTCAGATGTTAATACACTATAATATCGCTGTGTCAAATTCAAACCTTGAACTGACCCATTAACTTAAAAATTGCACATCCCAACCCTACTCTACTCCTGGAGCATCCTCTTCCACAAATCAGGAAGCGTCCCCTTGGGCGGCGCAATCTCCAAAACCTCCTTACTCGTCGTGTTCGCCATACTCTTCCCTTCCCACGCGGGCTCCATGGCATGCTCAACCGACAGCGCCAGGCTCCGCCCGCGCATCGACGGTTCAAAGAATTCGCCGACGGCAGAAACATCCTCAAAGCTAACATTCTCAACAGGCACCCCAATTTCCTTCTCGATGAGGTCGACGATCTGCGCGCCCGTGTTATCCTCCGGTCCGTTGAGGACGTATTTTGCGCCGTGGTGCGGAGTGGGATCATCCGTCGCGAGGAGATGCGCAGCAAAGACGCCCACATCGTCTGGGTCAATGAGGCCAACGGGGACATTCTTGGAGATCATCAGGCGGAGCGGACCGTCATACTTCCCACCAGTCTCGCGGTACTTCTTGACATACTCCACGGCGGGCGGGAGGATATACGAGATGAATGCATTCGGCTGCAGAGACGTCCACTGCACGCCCTCAAACTCCTTCGTGCCAAGCATGGCCTCGAGAGCCCAGTGCGCACGCGGGTAATACGCCTCGCAGTCGGGGCGAACATTTGCTTCCACAGTCGAGATTCGCACGATGTACTTCACGCCAGCATTGCGTGCCGCAACGTGGAAGCCGGATTCGTGTGCGAATTGTGCGGGTTCGACGGGGGAGGCGATGAATGCGCGGACGACCGAGTGCTCGCGGAGCCAGGCGGTTGTGATGTCGTTCCAGTTGTATTCAATGACTTCGACACCCGGAATTTTGGTGAGCTGTTGCGCGGCTGGGGAGGAGAGGGAGCGGGTGAGGGCGATGATGCGGTGGTTTTGGAGGGTTTTGCTGGATTTGAGCAGGGAGGGGAGGGTGGTGGTTAGGGCTCGGCCGGTGTTGCCCGTTGCGCCGACGATGAGGATTGCTGGGGCCATGGTGGTGTTTGATGTTGGGTGCTTGGTGTACTCTTGTGAAGTATGATACCATCTTGGTCTGAATTCTAGGGCTATTTATGCTTATTACTTGGCCCCATGTTTAGGAAAGGTGGCCGATTAGCAATAATGGCTCTTAGTGAGTAATGCGGTGGGATGTCCGAGTGGGATGCTCCGGCGAGGCATCGGACCTCTTATATCCGCCGACTCGGAGACTTTGTCGGGGAGTTCACTCGGAAATGAGGGAACCCGAAGAAATCTCTCGGGGAAAAAGATCCGATCATCCCACAATATGTGACACGGAGACGAGACACGTTGAAGGTTTGGAAGCGGGAGGGAATGTCGTGGTGCAGCCCAGTTGCTGTATTCGTCGGGCGAGACAAGTGCAGGAGATAATGAGGGAAAGGATGGTAGAGTAAGTGCAGAGAAGGGGATAATGACCTAATGGGGCAGGAACAATCTAAGCCGAGACCAGAGACTAGGAAGGAGCTACCGTTGTAGTGGTTCCTTCCTTGTTTAGGGCATCGTCCGTTCACTGATTTGCGAAAAAGGAAGGCACCACTGTCCGGTGGCCCACCATAAAGCCGATACCTCCAGCTGTAACTCCCCTCTCCTTCTCTCCTTTAGGTCTATATCTCAAGCCCAAATAAGCACACCAAATCCCAGTCCCGATCTCCCAGCTGATCGTACAGCACACGCGAAGCACGGCCCTCCCTCCGTCCGAACCACCGCATTTCTCCCCCACTGCGCGCACCACGCCCGCGCAAGCAGCTCCTCCCCCTTCCCCGTTGCATTCACAACAAAAGGGCGGTCAGGCTGCATAAGAGCTGGAGGCTGCTCATGTCTCAACCTCTCCACCGTATACCAGTGCGAATACCGCGCAAACGCCTGCATATGGACCCGATGGGGACCGCCGCTACACGGTGGAAGAGTGACGAAAACAGGGTTCGTGTTGAGGGTATATCTCACCGCTGGCTTTTCGCTACTGAGTTGGAAGACAAGGTTCGCGCGGTATTCCCATTGAATGCTGGACTCGACGCCAACCCCCTGCAGCCACTTTGGCAGGAGGTGCGTCGGGTCCCGGTCGATGGGTACTTGCTCTAGCTGGATGGATTTGAGCTCGCAAGTGGTTGGACGCCGCCCTGGGGTGATGGGAACGATCCAGAAGTCGTGATTGCTCATCTGTGCCTGCCACAGATCGCGGTCGTCGTAGGGTCCGGGTTCCGTTATATCCTCGTCGGCGAACAAGAAGCTGTCGTCTTCGGCCCCAAATCTGGGCAGAGGGGCCCCTGGGCAAACGTTCTCGAACCACAGTGAGTGAATTACTTGGGCCTTGAGCTGGATATGTCTTGGGCCTGCCGCATCCTTGACCGGGGGCATGAACTCAACAGCCGGGCAGGGGCCAATCCAGCCATTGAGCGATTTGACTCCGGGAAGAGCTCCAAGGACACGGCCGAGGGCTGTTCGAGTGCGCCAGTACGAATGCTGAGGCAGCGACAGACCCCAGTCCCAGGATGCTGAAAGCTTTAGTGTCTTGCTGATAGACGGCGTGCAGAGAATAAGCGTAGACATAATGGTCAAGGCTAGGAACTTCCCTGGGAGTGCGACGCCATAAATCCAGTCTTGCAAATGAGGGGATACGGCTTCCCCTGCCAGTATCCTACTGTACAACTTGTCGACGCAGTCCCGTACTTCGTCAATGTAGGGCCAGTTCATTTGTTGCGCAAACAACACAAGTCCGGCCACCTGCTGCTCGTGGACTAGCGAGTGAAATCTCACTGTCTTCAATGTTAGATCCCAGTCTTGGTCAAGGATGGCCTTTCCAGCACGGCTCTGCGTAACTTTATCTCCGTCGGCGACCTTTGCGAGAGCTGCCTTGATTTTCGCTTCTGCCTCGGCGAGACCTCGTTTCATGGTCTCTGTAACATCTGGGCCAGCCAGCTCAACCGCACGGGAATAACACTTCCGAGCCTTCTTGCTACGGTTTAGCTTCATATATGCCATGCCCAGACGTGCCCAAGCCTTTGCATACGTCGGGTCTATCTTGACAGCTATATATGCGTCCTCAGCTGCTTCCTCGAACTGGTCCAAGGCGCAATACGCTGCTGAGCGGTTACTTCGGTAAATCGCATTGCCCGAATCGATCTTGATGGCCTGCGAGTACATACTCAAGGCACGAGGGTAGTCATGTCCATAAGTCGCATCATTGCCTAGCCTTTTGAGCGCCTCGGCATCAGATCTTTCCTCGGGAGTGATGGGGTCTGCGAGACTCGCTGTGTCGATGTCCTTGTCCCCAAGAACAATGCTCACGTTTTGAACCCAGAGATCAGCAGCAATAAGAGCACCCAGTATCTGAGGCGTCAGATCTTGGCTTGTGGCTTGTTCGCCATACTTATCTAGCCGCCTCGCCAGCTCTTTCGCCACAAGTATCTCCCGAAAGACAAGTTCCTTTTGCTGGTCGCTACGCTGAAGCGGGCCGGCCCACCGCTCCGACACTGTGCGGCCATCAATGAATGGCGAGGACATATCAGCCCTATTTAGCTTAGTATACAGCATCTCAATCCACCAGCCTGGCTGATGGCCAGATGATCGCATCCCATATTGACGGCTACAGACACAATGCGTTAGATTTGCCCTCGCCGCGAAGTCGAATAACTCACCCCATGTCCCCGACAAGATCTATCAAATCCAGCTCATCCTGGACTGAATCCTGCCCCAGCAGCCCTGGGCTCCGTCGCAGCTCATCGAGCCTCCGTAAGAGGCCGGCCAGAGGGATCGTCGGGTTGGGGGATGTGCTGACTCGAACAGACTGGATAAACTTCCCCCACCAGGTTATCTTGAGCGCCCAGCACTCGAGTCCGAACCCCTCAATCGTGATTGTTCCCGGGTTCGCACCCTCATAGTTGGGATCGCTTTCAACGTCAAAGAATGTCGTTTGCTCAAGCGAATTTCCGGATTGCCGCTGGATGAATGTCTTTCTCTTGTAGAGCTCTAGCCACTCGGCTCAGTCACGACTCGATTCCGCAATGGCAATCTCATGCCTACCAAAGGAGGGATGCGATGTCTCCGAAGTCTTCTTATCGTCGCAGAGAGCAGAGCCCATCCCGTACCACCTGGCTTCGGCCGAAACATGCGGACCACCTGGCGTCGCACTGCTCACCGAGATAACCAGCGCCCCGCGCCTCTTCTCCGCTCTGAAGCGGGTGAAAGAGTCCCCGCGTCGGGCCAACTCTTGCATTTCTTTCTGAGATGTCAGTCCAAGCTCGGGCTTCTGGCTTACAAGTTCGTACGTACCATCAAATTTGTCGGGGTCTAGGTCCGCCCATGATGTCGGATGGAAATCCATCGCGTCGCTAGTTTCGCTGTTGCGCTTCCACCTAAGCTCCTCAGTTTTCTGAAAGTACATAAATCCGCATTCTTCGATGGAGGTGTCTTTATATCGTTCAAGGCGGGGTGGCCACAGCCACAAGCCAAGGCGCCAGTTGAACGAATACGAGGGCTAGGCAGTGAATCACTCCACGGACCCAGAAGGGTCGCAGCAGGCTCGAAGGACAATAATGTGTCAAGAAGCTGCTATTTACCGTGAGACATCTTTGAGCTCTCGCCGTTATTTTCTGCTTCGTTTTCGCTGGCATCGTGTTCACGCAACGCAACGCCCCACCCCGCCCCGCGAACAGGGACGCTCATATTCCCACACGCAGGTTAGACTTCAGCACCCGAAATCTCGGTCGAGACATGGGGTATCCAACACAGAGAATATAGCATAATGAGCAGAAAAGAACTTTTCGGCGTCGTCGTCTTCGGCTGTTATAAAGGCAAGCGGGCGGCCGTCCACACTGCAGACGCTGACCTCGAACTCATTACTGACATCCAATCTCAACAGTTGGAAAGACTGCCCTGATAACCAAATTCATCGGCGGAACCTTTGACAAAGATGAATACCGCCCTACTGTGGGCCTCGGCATGTATGTCAAGCATGAATACCAATATACGCCGCGGGTCTCCGAGACCCAACAGGATCCAGTCAAGGGAGTAGGAGTTACGGGCAGTAGCATGGCACAAGAGGCGCAGTCGAAAGCCGTCGACTACCTACTCTTCGAAGCAACAGACACAGGATGCACCTACGCCCGCCGTGGCTGGGTATACACGCGAATGAACGTGATTATCCTCACATACTCAATCACCGACCCATTCTCATTCCAATCTGCAAGGAACATCCTAGCGCGTGCGCGGGAGCACGAGAGTCAAGCGAAGATATTCCTCGTCGGGTTGCTGGCTGATTGTGAGGATGCGAGAGAGGTCACTTTCGGGCAGGGCGAGAGGTTGGCGCGCGAGTCTGGGGTTGAGTTCCGGGAGTTGAGTGCCCTTGAAGATGCGGAGGGGGTAGAAGAGTTGTTCAGCGAGGTTGCCGGGTTTTTGGTTCTTAGGGATAGGAAAGTGAAGGTAGAGGCTGGTTCCAAGGGAGAGTTGACCGTGTGGGAAAGGATGAAGACTTTTTTCTCATGGTCATAGATCTCTTACTCCATCGGCACAATCTCATCCGTCAACCCCCAGCTTTCCCAGTAAGCAGAACCCGGGTGATACCTCGCAAACCGCATGAACAGCTGATCTCTATCCCACTTCGAAATATCATGCGGACCGAGCAAGAACGGCTGATCGCGGGGTCGAAAGACACTATAATGCCGAATGCGCGCTTCTTCTGGGATGACCAAGGCTTCAGGATCGGCATCTTCGGAAGAGTAATCATATGGGGGAGTTGGAAGATGATGACTATCCCTTTCTTTCAATTGCCTTTGCTTGTCCAGAGAAATCTGCTTGGCGAACCCCTCCTCCAACTGCATAATCTTCCCTGCGAGTGCGATACCGGGCGCGCACTTATAAAATCCCTGCATGGGCGGTGCTCGCCGCAATAATGCTAGTGCTCGTCGGCGGAGAGATGGTTCTCGGCATTCGAGAGCTGTCCAGAATAGTGGGAGACCGACGCCTAGCTCGAATGTGAATACCGGTTGCGAGGCGTCCGAGCTTGCTGAGGCGTCGAGGGCTCTGCTTGCTTGTTCGACGATGGTACGGAAGCCCGGGATGTGTGCGTCGTAGACGGATTTGTTCTGTGTAAGGCATGTCGCAACGATCATGTTTAGGGTTGTGTGGTAGGTAAGGAGGAGGGCAGTTATGCTTGTGTTTGAGTTTGAGCTTGGCTGTGAATTTGAGTTAGGGGACGCGGGCTTTGTAGATATTGTTTCGGCTAACTCGGTATAGGCGTGATGCCATTGCTTTAGGCGTTCTCGTAGGGTGATCTGTGTGGCGAGTAACTCTGGTGTTATATTTGTCTCGATACCGAGCCAGGGATTGCTTCCGGCGTCATTTTGGAGCATGAGAACTCTGTAAGCGAGTGGTATGAGGGCGTCGCGAGCTGCTTCAAGTGAAGTAAAGCTATACTCCCCGTGGAGGTCAATCAGATCAAACAAATCGCAAGCCGGAACGCTCGAAATTGTCAAGGCGACCGTCCCCAGGCGTATAAACAGCGGCACAATCGTGCTCTCCAGCAACGCGGCAGAACCCGCGCCACCACCCTTCCTCAAATCCAGAATCAGCCTGACACCCTGTTGATAAAGCTGCAACGCCTCCTCAACACGCCCCTGCAGCGTCTCAATACAAACAAACAGGACGCAACTAACAAGCGCAACCTGCGCATCCACTGCCCCGCGCTCAATCTGCGTGCGGATCTTCGCCAGCGAGCGAGCGTACCACGCCAACGCCTCACTCTGCCGCCGATTCAGCGCGGGCGCCTTTTCATCCCTTCGACTCAGAAACACAAAATCACTACAGAGATTTGGACTCTCAAACAGCGTGCTGATCGCATTCACAGCGTCCCAGACGGCAGGCTGAGTCCGGCAGACCTGGGGCACGACGCTGCCCCAGAAGGCCTGGTCGAGGCCGCCGGCGAGGTAGGGCGCGGCGTGCTCGAAGTAGTATGCGAAGGCGCGGCGCTCGCGCCAGACGGTGTTGGGGGACGTTGAGAGGGGCCTGTCGAGGATTGTGGTTGTTGTTGGGGCGGAGGAGTACGTGGTGGTTGTGTGGGTGTTGGGCGCATACTCACATTTGTATTTGGCGGCGAGGCATCGGTGGCAGCTGGGTTTTTCTTCGCCGCATTTGATTTTGCGCGTTCTGCGTTGTGTAAGAAAGATACCATGAAAGTCGGGCGGGAACGTACTTGCAGACCTTGCAGCCTCGTCGGGACTTGAGTGGCCCGATGCGTCCTGTTGGAGGGGAGACGGGCATGGCTGCGACAGGCAGTTGAGAGCGTCATAAACTGGGACTTTCCATCTGCGACCAAGCCATTGTTCGGCGATATTATTGACAGAGACTCAATTCTCTCAACTCAGCTTCAGTATGAAAATCTACCAAGACGAGAACACGCAGGGTTGTCGAATTGTCAAGGAGTCAAGGGATGTTGGAGAAAGAGAGCGGAAGAACGTCGGCGCCAACACAAGACAAGCGGCCTTCTTGGGGCTGCGGGCCTGCGGCTGTGGCCTCGAACGGTACACTCCACTTCCCCCCGTTAGGCTCGCCCTAGCGGCCTTTAACAGTTGGGGGCAGCAAACGACACGGGCACTCTTGCTCCTCAAAAAGGTCCAGATCAGCTTTAGTTTTCAGCCCCCACATCAAGACCGAGAGGTTGGAGAAGATTGTTGTAATTTGAGCCCATTGATCTATCAGAAAAAAAGTCCCCAAGATGCCAAATACCGAGTCCCCAACGCGAAACTCCAGCGCTCCTGAACACCATACAAAAGAAAACCTGCGTAGCGTAGCGCAGCGTAGCCACGAACATGCACCATATGCACAATACCATCCTATCTCCCTCCGATTCCAATGCAATGCAGCCCGATATCAATTCATCTCAATACCCCTCCTTTGTCGAATAAACCCCCGAAACTGGTGTCTCAACATCATGAGGCCTCCTTGCATCCCTCGCCTCCCTCGCCATCCAGTGTAACTGCTTCATGCGGAGTTGTCGCATATACTGTCTCTGTTCTTGCCCCATCTCAGGGTCCTGCCCCTCGCCGTGGAACCCGTTTGTCGCGAGGTAGTGGATCGAGTAGCCCAACAGCGTGAAGACGACGCAGCCGACAATCACGAGGAGGATTACGACTTCTTTTGTGAGGGCCATTTTTGTTCTCGGTTGGAGGGCTGTAAGCGAGATTGGTTAGTTGGTTGTTTTTGAAAATAACAGGAGAGGACAAGGGTTGGAGACGTACTGTGGCTAGATGGCCTTGTAGGTAGAAAGAGAGTGGACGACTTCTTCGCAAGCAAAAAAAAGCCAAGGACTGTACCGAAACGAGCGTACTGAGTTGGATCGTATTCGAAGGAGTCACAGAAGCCAGACAGACAGACAGGCGAGCAGAGGGAGGAAAAATATCAAACCAAACCACAATCCCTTCCACCACTCGACTTAAGTACATCAGTACACAATCTAAATAAAGACTCCTCCCTCGAGCACTCTCCACCCTTCACCGTTTCATAACAAAAAAGGATTGCCCAAGCGTTCGCGATACATGCTCAAGGAGGGTGCGTCGCAAGACATATACTTCCCAAAGCGGGATAGCGCCAGTATCTGTGACGTCATTTGCGAGCGGGCCAATAGGAAAGAGCGATTTCGGTCAAAAGCGCAGGCGCTAATTTCCCGGCGCGCGTATCACAGGGTGGGATTTGGCGTGAGGTGCTGATGGCCTCATGGAGCTTGCTGTGGAGGGAAGAATCTGCCGGGCTAGACTCGAGGGGCGAGATAGAGTGTGTCGTCTTGATTCGTGGGATCTGGTGCCCCTGAGTTGTTTCTTGATTTTGTAGGCGAGGCATGGCAGCGTAAGGCGAGAGGTTCACGTGACGTTGGGTGGCTGTGTTCAGGTACGGAACATAAGGTTAAATGCAGGAGGGAAGCTTATCGATAAGTTTCAGCTTCCAGCTTTCGGTAGATGAGCTGCCGATCTGATGCGATATTTTTAGGCAGGTGAAGAACTGCAACCTGGTGTCATGAATCATCTCTATTTCAATGCTCTATCTATTGAATTCCGGCAAAGCCCGCTTATTCAAAGTAACCCGGGAACAACCAGTTCATCTTCTCCCTCGCCTCAGGGCTCCAGTTCGCCTGCGCAGTGCTAAGGCCAAACTTGACAGAGCCCGCATAGTGCTTGGCCTGGATAAGGTCTGCGTTCTCGTCGGCAGCAAGAGCGTCCAGCACAGCGGTGACAAAGTGCTTAGCGTTGACGGCGTTGGCCTTCATGTTGCCCATGACCATCTCGACGGTGACGTCGTCGCCGGACTCGTGCCAGCAGTCGTAGTCGGTGGACATGCAGATCATCTGGTAGGCGATTTCGGCCTCGCGGGCGAGCTTGGCTTCAGGGAGGCAGGACATGTTGATGACGGAGCCGCCCCATGAGCGGTACAGCTTGCTCTCTGCGCGGGTGGAGAATTGGGGGCCCTCTATACCATGGTTAGCGAGTGACGGCATACGTCCGAGGAATGAGACGTACCCATGCAGATAAGAGTGCCGCGGTCGTGCAGGACCACACCCTCTCCCTCCAAACTGTGTCCGCAAGCCCTCACAATCTTAGCAACGCCCTCATCGAACGGATCGCCAAACGGAACGTGGCCGACAATGCCTCCCTCAAAGAAGGTGAACGGCCGGATACCCTTGGTGCGGTCGATGACCTGGTCTGGAACAACAAAATCGCGGGGCTTGATCTCCTCTTGCAAGCTGCCGACGGCGGAAAAGGCAATGATGGTGCGGACGCCGATGGAGCGGAGAGCGGCAATGTTGGCCCGGGCGGGGACCTCGTGGGGAGCGATCTGGTGGTGTGCGCCGTGTCGGCTAAGGAAGGCGACGGCAACAGTCTTTTCGCCGTGCTGGTGGTGCAGGATGGTGATCGGGGAGGAGGGAGTGCCCCATGGTGTCGTGATGTTGAGCGAGGCAACCTGGGTGAAGCCAGGGAGTTCACGGAGGCCGGTGCCGCCGATGACGGCGATAGCGACGGGGCCTATGGCGCTCAGAGTCAGTCACTTTTATTCCAGAGACTGTACCGGCAACCCCGCGTCAGCTCACTCACCGTCGTATGTGTTAGGGAGGGCAGCCATTCTTTTTGCGAGTTGTTTTGGCGATTCGATTCTTCGGAGGGGTCGAGTAGCGAGGGAGGAGAGGGAGGAGAGAGAACGGCGAAGCAGCATGCACCAGAGACAGGATGAAACAGTTTGACAACCAAATGCCGCAGTGAAGGCGCAATTTTGGCCCAATGCTGAAAATCTCAGGGGCGGGGTCGAGGCCCCTCCGAGCCCCGATTGGCGCAATTAAATCGCGGCCGAGGGCTTATCGCCGGCCCACGTGCTACTCAGGCACTCAGGCTGCCAGGCACCAATAAGGCATCAACTTCTTGTTTTGTTCACAAAACCTGCTCACTCGTCACTCATCTTAAAGAACCAACATGGAAATGGCGTTGACCTCTCTGCTGCAAGGAGGCAGTGAGCTGACAGACGATCAGCCAAAAACCTGGGGCCGAACCCCAGACTTTCAATCCCGCTAGTCTCGAGGGAAGTGATCCTTCCGACGACCAAGATATATCGCCGGGATGTGGTGAATATCGGAGGAGCCCCATCGGCTCTCCAGCATCAGCACAGTTCCGGAGTACTCAAGCCATACCTTGACAAGACCTGTTCATGTTGTTTCCTCACAAGAGAAAATCTACTCTCCCAATCTACGCACGATGCCTACAACCTTTAAAGCTGCATTTGCTTCTGGGGTTGGTGCGAGTGACCACAGTATTGTAGGTTGGTTGTGCCGCTTGGAAAAGAGTTAGATGCTTAACTGTCTGTTGCAAACAGATTTGTATTCATTCTTATAGGTATTTGTACAGCTAACTGACTGATTTGTCAGGCCACCACTCATAATGATGGGCCGGGCAGGCCAGCCAAATATAGGCTAAGATTAATGACTCGCTGGTTGGTCGTCCCCTCTGCTCCATATCCATCATCTTTCATGAGATAGCTAATAACGGCCCTACCAAGACGATTCTCTTCCAACCTGGACACGTTCATTGGAGATATGTATCAAGCCAAGTGAAACACTCCATCCAAGGACCGTCCCTAAAGAAAGACAAATACCACTACCTAGCCACGCGTCTCTTCCCCACGATACCTCTTTATGATGTCTGCTGTCACCCATTTATCACGAACCCGGCATTTTTGGACGAAGAGTGCATGTCCCCTACGAAGCTCGCCGTAACCGTAGGAGGCGGGGAGGGGAAGAGACCCAAAACCATCGGTGCCTGCAGGATAGCCATTCTACACTGTCGCCAGCCACATCGATGCTGTCATAGGCCGAACAGCCCATATATCCCCCATCAGATGAAGCGAATGCCACAACTGGCTTCTCCAGTTGTGCCATGACCTGGTAATATAGGGAGGAAATGCAGAAACGGAAGAAAAAGAAATCATATTGAACTGCCCTCGTAAGATAGAACGACAATGAGGAAGGTAGTTGTGGCTGAAGAGGTTCGGTGACGGGGTGAAGCTTCAAGGCATTGGAAAAGCACCGATCATTCCTCTAGGTCAAGCACGGGATTATGCCGGATGGCAGATCAATGCCCTTTGCAATAGCCTAAGATTATCAGCATGGATTCCGTATGCTCCAGCCATGGTAAATCTCGTGAATGCGGGCCCTGAGGCTATGTTGGCATTGTACCTGATGGCTCCTTCTCTTTGGACACCGTAGCCCACTGACTCTGACGATAGTGTCGCTCAACTCGAACCTGCAAGGGATATATCATGCGGAAGAAAGGAAACGAATGGTGTCGAAGCATACAGACTGTTCCCATGACCTGGCTGTAAGACGCGCCACGTCCTATCTGCGACTCGAGCCCCAAATGACCATAAAAGGGTGGTGCTGATGGCGATGGTTTGGGCTCTGCCTTGACTCTGGTTTGAACCAGAGCTATGAGTGTGAGCGTGGTGGCTCACTTGGCCCGGTGGTGAGAATGAAGCCGTGCCTCGCATCTTGTAGAGCAGTTGTAGATAGTCCCTAGAGCGCTCCCGTGATTTGAATGTGCGCGTCCTTGAATTTTGACCGGCAGGAAGTTCTATAACGTCTCTACAAGACACTGCAGATATGGCTAAGTGACTGTATCTGCTACCATAAAAAGCCAGGCACAGTTACCATTAGATTGATATAATGGACTGTTCTTCTGGGAGTATTGACAGTACCAGGCCAACAGCCCACAAAGCAGCATCCATTGCTGTACTCTAATTCTTTAAATGCTGTATATAAATTTCATCAGCACTGTCTGGACAGGTGACCTCCGCTTGCTTAAGAAGTGGCAAGAGCCGAGTTATAGTCGACAGGACCGTTCCGCCTCGTACGTGAGAGTTATAGAGAAGTGATCAAATACCCAAACAGCCTTAAGACTTTCGCTGCCGCCAATGGCAAGGATGCGCCATAGAGGAGGCTGGTAGCGATGGCCTTACATCCCACACTCTATAAATTGTAGCGCAAATAGCACTCTGCTCCTTCTTGCCATGTCCCTTCCAGACAATATCTGCTGATCCTCTTGCATTGAGTAATGAGGAAACAGCAGCGGTGTCCATCTAATCTAGACCGGCTGAATTTCATTCCTGGCGTCTACCTAGGAGTTGTGGAAAAGCATTTGGCAATGGCTTGTACTCCCAGAACACGAACAAGACGTAATCAGCATTTTGTAAGCCTGTTATTCTCAGCCAGGGCGTGTCCCTTATTGGAAAAATCATCCAGGAAGTCTGCCGGCAGACGGGCCCGTGACGCAAGCCGCGCTTCGCTTGGCCTCGACAATCGCAATGGTGCAATTGGTGTGTCTGGCTTAGAACAAGTGCCCCTGAGGCTATCTGGTAATACTCGGCTTCGCTCCTCGATATTACCATGGAAACCCCGTCCAGTCGCCTCGGCCATGGGCAATATGAGAAACGCCAAGCCTGCGTAGCAAGCCTCATTTCTCGTCGCGTAGATATCGATTGCCAACTTTGCCATGTATGTCGAGAGGGACTTTATGGCCCTCTTGATCTGTATAATTGACAGACACTCGGAGGTACGCCTCTTCAGGCCCGACATCCTGTCATGCAATGCCCCTCTAGGAGGCCGACAAGGTCAAAACGGGCGGCACGATACTGGACAGCGACTATTAAGCCCCATAATTCTAGTTCGACTCCATTGCCCAGATGCCATAGGCTAATATCTCTCAGGGACTCTAGAAGGGGTCACGGGTGGGTGCGATTAACCTTGACCTATGGTCCACGGTCTTCGTAGACTCTCTGGCTTTTCCTCACCAGTACCCATGTTTCTATGGGCAGACTTCCCACCAGGGCCAACAACGGTTGGAGTCCATATAGTACCCCAACACCACGCGGTGATCAGATTGGTCTGGTGTCGGGCTTGGGTCGCTGGGGATTTAAAAGTCCACGGATCACGACCATCATCGTCCTTCTTGTTTTCGTCTTCAGCCCGCTCACCCAAGGCATGGAGCCTCTGTTCTGTTGATTTGCTCATCAATATTCTAGTGTTTCTGCCGCAAATTCTGCTTTTACCCCGAACTGGCTCGATCGGGTCTTGGGTTTCTAAGTCGATTTAGCTCGACCAGGGGCCTCGGACCATTCCTCAACTTCCTCAATCAGGTCGGCCTTGTAGGTCCGGGCAGCATTGAGGACAACACCAAGTAGAGCCACCTAATTAATGGCACGATGGTCCAGGCTCATGAAACCCTGGAGCACAGTATGGCCAGTACAGTCAACAAAGTGATAACATGGACCTGCGCAAAAACAAGCGCGAATACAGGCGGCTTCGTTGGAACTGCAGCGATCTCTGGGAATACTGCGCGTTTGAAGAGGCGTAGCATATCTACCACACAGCCGTATAGTCATCTCAATAAGTAATCAAGTAATGATTTCTCATACTCTTTGCCGTTCCTCCCAAATTCTCCTTTGAGGTAGTGGAGCGGGTACTTTGTGGGAACTGGAAAAACTTACCTTTTGCCTTTACAAAGCCAGGCAAGCTTTATTTCCAAGCTATCGAGATTATTGGAACGTTCCGGCAGCCATATTATCACGATTTCCACGGTAATACTTGACGCTCTTCGTACAGATGAAGCTTGAGTATATCGCCCTGCGATCCGCCCCATTCAGGGTCTCCATAGCTGCATATGCCATTCTGTCAGCAAGCCTAAGCAATCATGAGCATAGGAGATCGTAGACTAGAGGCAGGGCAATCATTCGCCTAGGCGTTAGGCAAGGATATCAAGTCCCTGGTTAACTTGAAGCCCGTCCCTGTCAGCTCGTAGGGCATTGCGGGGCTAAGAGTATTACGCGGTGATTAGGATTGTGTGACCATTGGTGTGTCTTGCGCCCTAACTGCTTCGGCACTCTCAGCACCGGTCTGAGGATTGATGTGCTTTCTTGAACGCTTGGGAGTTCGGGATGGCGTCGGCGAAGAAGGTCAGTCGGTGGGGATTGTAGTGGCCATTTCAGACCCTCGACTGGATATCATTAGTCTCGTAAACTGTAAAGTAACGGTTGCAATGCTTCCAAGTGCCTGGCGCAATTGTAGCTAGAGCTAGAGTGTCGTGTTAGCCTTCTTTACGCTTTCTCAAGCAGTATGCTCTTCGCCAGTGAGCGTGAAGCCGAAAGGCCAGTACAGGTATCGAGCACATATGTCCCGGCATGTGCTAGGACAGACATAGTAGGTATCCCAATAGCGCTAGGCCACCGCCAGACCTTATTATGTGCCATGATAAGACTGGAGTGTCGTAGATTAGACGGTGCAAGTCACCAACTTTATAGCAGAGACCGCGAGGTAGTGGGATCGGAGCCCGGGACAAGGCGCCGACTTCTATACTGCTTTCGGGTTCGTTCCATGGTCGGAAATAATAAGCATGTCAAGTGTGGGGAGCTTTTTTGGCCTCTAGGTGGTCCAAATCGAGACTGGAGTTAGCACAAATTAACTAGAGATGGGGCACGATTGGGGGAGAGGACAAAAGCAAAGCAGGCGCACGTATCTCCATAGTGGTCTCTGCGCAGTCAAGCAAGACCGTAATTGTCGTGGTTGCGTAAGTACCAGGAGTGGCAAAGCCGACAAGATTTTGAACCTGTGGGCGGGTGGTGATGCTTATCAGGGTGTAAAGCAGCGACTCCCCATGAGTTTAACAATCTCCATC